TTTTCTGTTTCGCTACCACCTGGGCTCCAATTCCATTTGTTGTCAACTCTGAAACTTTCCCATTGAGAGTCAAGGCCAAGTGTATGGCTATTGCCCAAGCTTCCAACTGGATCTGGGGTTTCTTGATTGCCTTCTTCACTCCATTTATTACCAATGCCATTAACTTCTACTACGGTTACGTGTTCATGGGCTGTCTATGTTTCTCCTACTTCTACGTTTTCTTCTTCATTCCAGAGACCAAGGGTCTAACTTTGGAAGAAGTCAACACTATGTGGGAAGAAGGTGTCTTGGCTTGGAAGTCTCCAAACTGGGTTCCACCATCCAAGAGAGATGCTTCTTACGATGCTGACGCTTTGATGCACGATGACAAGCCATGGTACAAGAGATTCTATTAAATCAATTGACAGTTTAATTTGCTTGTTCCTTTTTTTCATTAATTTTTGAAAGGTAACTTAATTTTTTAATCCAACACATAATCCCTTTCTTTTAATGTCCTTCATGATATAGTCTTATATATTATTAATACCAATTTCAAATTCTATTTCAGTAATTTTAATTAGACTTTTAAAAATATTCAGAGATTTTCCTAATATTATTCTTTCAATATGTTTGATGATCACTCTGTTATTGTAACAGAGACTGATTTATTCGGTTTCCTATACTAGGTCACCCTCATATAACTATCCTCACAAGGAAAAGATGAAAATTTTCTTTGTTACTACATTTTTCGATTAACAATCCAGCAAACATAACACAAATTTCTATTCTGGATTGTTTGTATTATATGATTTCTTAAGGTTGAGTCTTGACATCTCTATTTGATTTTCACGAATATTTTATTGATTTAAAATAGTTAGTGTCAAATTAAATTTCAATGAACCATTAAGAATTTACTGTTGTAGTGCTTTAACAAAAGGGAGTTGGTACAACAACTTGAAGAAGTAGTTGTCACTATGGCTAATCCTCATCTAGTACTCTTTTTTTGCTACGAATTGTTGAAATCATATGAAGTAAAATTCAATGAAAACACCTCGTTTATCCACCAAGTGTGACGCAAAGCTAGTAATTGAAACAAAAAATATCTTCAAGTTATTTTGAGGCTCGTTAAAATTTTAAAGCCACCTTAGATCCCCCAGATCCTGGTGGTATCTTATGCAACTATCCGATGGGAACTAGTTTAATCAAGTTTTAACCTTACATTCCAGTTAAATTAGCAAAATTGATAAAAAAATTGTGGGGAAGTGGTTCATATTACAAAAATTATGAAAAAAAATCGCTCAATTATTTCAATTTATCAGAAAAAGTATCGATGTAGAATGTAGTCTTTCCCTTCCCCGCCCCCACATTCAATTATGTAAATAGGATTATAATGCAACGGGACAAACTATGATTTCCATGACGGAATATGATAACAGCACAAAACAATTAGAAGCAATCCAATCTCAATAAATTTTTCCCAGTATAGTAATATTTTGTTGAATTAATGGAGTGAACTAAATCTTTTGCGCTGATTCTTGAATTCACGGTCTGGAAATTTCTGGGCGAGCAACATTTGGTATTAAGAAAAGATGCGCGAAAATCTGTTGTGTGATTAAGAAAGAAACGCCAAAATACTCATCTCTCAGAATATTCCGTTATATCAGCACTAGTAAAAGAATACTAATACGTGAACATCTAGTATAGTGGCTTCTAGGATAAGAACTAATATTACGATATCATTAATAGACATCCGATAGTTTTTTGCACCAGTCCTTTTGTTACAACGTGTGCAAAGAAACGCCCTTCCATCTCCCCCCAGGCTAATGTATAAACGCCTGTAGAAAGACCTTATTAAATGTAGTAGAAACAACAATGTATGTTATGTCCTAGCTGTCATTATCAAATAATGTCCCTAAAATAGATTTTATTAACAAGAGTACTTTGAAATCACCTGTCAATTCGAACAGGTTTACGTGTTGAGCCTAAGAAACACTAATAGCAATACAGCAGAAAAATCATCGAGGGGTAAATTTGCTAAAATAAAATTGACGTAAATATAGTGGGGGGCAGGGGGTGGAGCGAAACAAGGGTGAAGAATAACTGTAAACTGACGCACAGTAGTAAAACTCAAGTATCGGAAAAACCTTGAAGAGCGCTTCTTTTCAGCACAGTATGAACCGCAAGAGAAAACATCAAGGGGCAATATATATGTATGGTTCGTGTCTGACGAAATTGTATATTTCCAATTCATACGTGATCAGAAAGCATTGGCGACAAAAATCTCATAACTGTCTTATCCAAAGCAAGGCGTCATATGGATATGTTACGTAGACACTGTATTATCCAAACCATACGTAAGTCCAATTACATTACGAAAGGTGAGGCAAAAATATAACAGCTATCTCTTTTTCTATTTTACTGGGCAGACAGTAAGTGACAAATTAGCTTCGCATAACAATTTAGAAAATAAAGGCTATCCAAACTCTGTCCTGCTGCTGCACATTGAGCTTCTTGAAAAGTAACATGCTTCGGAAAAACTTTCGAGCCCTTAGTAAAATGGTGTAGGTAAGAACAATGTATTCCGACCCAAAGACACAATGAGAGTGGTCAATGCCACTCCTGCTTTCTTTCTCGCAACTCATTTCCTGATGTAGAAGATTTTGGACGTAGTAATCCAAGTTTAGTCTTCGCCCTTTGGTCCTTGGTAAGGTAAAGATTTTGTCAGTTGCAAGTGAACAAAGCATTTTTCTTGCTGTGAAGCTAACTTGTTTACATTTCTTCCCAATATAGAAATTTGTCCTAATTTTTCTTGTTTTCCAGGGTTTCCAGAATAAATTGAATTACACATCAGAAATAAAGATTATTGCGGGGCCCCACATTAGGTCTGGTTCAATTTTTTCTTCTTCAAGAGAAGAAAACCCTGACGATATTATCATTTCACCCAGCGTAGGTGTTAAGTTTACTTAATCGGGAACAATAAAATAAAAACCGTCTCCTTGCTATTTACTGTGGACATCACTGTAGTATTCTTACTTCCATTCCTAGACCCTTACACCCCACCTTACTCTGAAGAAGAAAAAACGCTAGTACCATTGAGAACTAATAATAAGTATTATTGTCTTTCCACTTTCGGTTGGTATCTGTAATTCACAAGCCTAATGCCCGAAGAAGGATTTGTGCAACCACGGAAAAATAAGAATTTTTCCACTACCCCCCCACTACACATAATGGAACAACAAAAGTTTGTATGGGAGGTGAACGCAACCAGCACCAAAACAGCTACTGTCCGATTGTTTCTCTGTGAACCAACAATAGAACAGAACGTTATCAACGAATACTCAAGTACGAGATCATTTTAAGGACAAAAGGATACAAGGACCCTCTCAAACCCCAGTACACAGATAAATGTCCTAGCAATTGAAAAAGCTTTTCCGTTATTGCTACATGGAAAATCTCTTTCAAAGGACCTTTTCTTCTTTCGCCCGCTCGAGCTGATTCCCGGGCCCAGTTTTTCCTTATTGTGATAGCTGTACTTGCTCTGCTACAGATTTGTCTAAGTAAGACACCCCCACCATGATTTTTTTGTCACTTTCTTAACTCGTACCATTCTCTAAATTTAGTCTCCTTGACCCCCCCTTTTCTCCCAAAACACATGAGTTTTTCCTTTCGGAAAATCATGATTTCGCTATATCAACAAAAATGGTTTTTCCAGCTAAGAGAGCAACGTACAATGTCGAAAAGACTAATAGAATGATTTTGCCCCACTTTTTTTTTAAAAAAAAAGGTTTACAATTTAAATGAAAGAAGTCAGGTCGCGGTGTTCAACCTCAGCCCTGCAGCTATTTCTCTGCATAGGAAAAAGTTTTCCCGAACCCTGTTGTTCCCACAGAGTACAGGGGATTTTCCGGTGTACAACTTAGCAAAGAACAATGACTTTTCCAGGCACAGAATGGTGAGTAGTGTAACTGATTCTTTGCTCACACAACACTTTTCCTTTCATCCCTTCCCCCCCCCTTCCAGCGATGCAACTATAATGGGGGTGAGGGGCAATGTTCTGAAATGAAAAAAGCAACTGCTGCCAGATTGGATCATATCTTCGTTCATACTAGTGAAATGCTAATAGAACTTGTTATTCCAGTATTATCCATTGTGTGAAAAGAAAAGTGAATTTAATATGGGGGACAGGGGGGGGTAGGTTCCTCGGGTCATAAAGTTGGACAAATACAATAGAAAAAGTAAATTTGTAAAATTGTAAAATTGTAAAAAAAAAGTAAACCTCCCTTGTTCAGTAACTCCCATAGGTTGCCCAGTAGTGTTTCTGAAAATAGAAATGTTGGATAACATGTAAAAGTAGATGGGAATATCATACATTCGATGAGTAGCGATTGTAGTATCGCAAGGGGCAAAATGTCCTTGTAGTTGGAAAATCTAAACTATGCTGCGAGGATGCTTACTATCCAGCTAAGAACTTTACGTCTCTTACAAAAATTTCTGCTGCTTACTTTTTTTACTTTCATTCTGTATCTTGTAGTTATTTAGATCTTTCCATTCACTGACTAAGTCAAAATGCTGCAGGTCCATCGCGTTCTGTTAAGAAAAATTTTTGAAAGAAAAAAAAACAAAGAGATAGAACTTAACTAATTGTGATCTAATGTTGTAAGAGCTTTTCTTTTGCGCCTAGTGACTTATTCTAGACAGCACGAAGAAGAAAAAAGTAAAACTTCAAAAGAAATTTTTTTTAATCCGGGGGATGTGGGATGCTCGAGAAGGAGCAAACCGCTAGAAGAATATGCAATGAAAAAACTTTTCTCCTTGAATTCTATCTTGTCAGAAATACCAAGATCTTGTTCAACAACAATCGAGTTCTTGAACCAAAAAAAATGGTATAAATAGAGGGCAAGTATTCAACATAAATTCGAATTCAATCATTCCTTCTATTCTATCTCATATCTTACTTCATAATAAAAAATCATCAAGCAATAGTTGATTATTCAAACTATTACAAATAATAAATAACAATAATGTCTGATCAAGAATCAAGATCACAATCTGTCTTGTCAGCCTCCAACAGTAAGGCTGACAGAGAAGACGAATTCAAGGCTTATGTCGATGAGGAAGGTCAACCAATGGTTGAAATTCCAAAGAAGCCTGCTTCCGCTTACGTCTCTATTTCCATCTTCTGTCTATTCATCGCTTTCGGTGGTTTCGTTTTCGGTTGGGATACTGGTACCATTTCTGGTTTCGTTGCCCAAACTGATTTCATCAGAAGATTGGGTCAAACTCGTGCTAATGGTACTCACTACTTGTCTAAGGTTAGAACTGGTCTAGTCGTCTCCATTTTCAACATCGGTTGTGCTATCGGTGGTATTGTTTTGTCTAAGTTGGGTGATATGTATGGTCGTAAGATCGGTTTGATCAGTGTCGTTGTCATCTACATTGTCGGTATCGTTATTCAAATTGCTACCATTGACAAGTGGTACCAATACTTCATCGGTAGAATTATCTCCGGTTTGGGTGTTGGTGGTATTGCCGTCTTGTCTCCTATGTTGATTTCTGAAGTCTCTCCAAAGCACATGAGAGGTTCTTTGGTTTCCTGTTACCAACTGATGATTACCTGTGGTATCTTCTTGGGTTACTGTACTAACTACGGTACCAAGAACTACTCCAACTCTGTCCAATGGAGAGTTCCATTGGGCCTATGTTTCGCCTGGGCTCTATTCATGATCGGTGGTATGACCTTCGTTCCAGAATCTCCACGTTACTTGATTGAGGTTGGTAGAGTTGAAGAAGCCAGAAGATCCATTGCTATCTCTAACAAGGTTTCTCCAGATGATCCAGCTGTCACTTTCGAAGTTGAAAATGTCCAAGCTGCTGTTGAAGCTGAAAGATTGGCTGGTTCTGCTTCCTGGGGTGAATTGTTCTCTACCAAGACTAAGGTTTTCCAACGTTTGATTATGGGTATCATGATTCAATCTTTGCAACAATTGACAGGTGACAACTACTTCTTCTACTATGGTACTACTGTTTTCAAGGCTGTTGGTTTGGAAGATTCTTTCGAAACCTCCATTGTCATTGGTATTGTTAACTTCGCTTCCACTTTCGTTGCCTTGTACGTTGTTGACCGTTTCGGTCGTCGTAGATGTCTATTGTGGGGTGCCGCTGCTATGACTGCTTGTATGGTTGTCTTCGCTTCTGTCGGTGTCACCAGACTATGGCCAAATGGTCAAGACCAACCATCCTCCAAGGGTGCTGGTAACTGTATGATTGTTTTCACCTGTTTCTACATTTTCTGTTTCGCTACCACCTGGGCTCCAATTCCATTTGTTGTCAACTCTGAAACTTTCCCATTGAGAGTTAAGGCCAAGTGTATGGCTATTGCCCAAGCTTCCAACTGGATCTGGGGTTTCTTGATTGCCTTCTTCACTCCATTTATTACCAATGCCATTAACTTCTACTACGGTTACGTGTTCATGGGCTGTCTATGTTTCTCCTACTTCTACGTTTTCTTCTTCATTCCAGAGACCAAGGGTCTAACTTTGGAAGAAGTCAACACTTTGTGGGAAGAAGGTGTCTTGCCATGGAAGTCTCCAAACTGGGTTCCACCATCCAAGAGAGATGCTTCTTACGATGCTGACGCTATGATGCACGATGACAAGCCATGGTACAAGAGATTTGTTTAAATCTCCTGAACCCTAATAATCATTATTAGAATTCTCAAATGAATTTGGGCTTATGATAAATCTTTTTCTCAATGATAATATTAATTCAAATCTGAACTTTATTAATTCCAAACAACTCTTAATTTTATTTGTTTTGCAATCTCTTTCTATATCGGGATGCAATTCTGATTACGCTGTTAATGCTAATTTTTTTTTTGTCACGCAACGTATTAATATTTGATTTTTAATCTCTTTACTCAAGGATTCTAATCAAAATCTAATGACATTTTAACATCTGTTTATTCATGATATAATATACTACTCTCTTTAGATATATCATATATGATAAATAAAGAATAATAATACCTTTTTATTTATTCAAAAAAACAATTGATTATCTATTAGCTTCTATAGTGCCTCGATAATTATATATTTTACCAGATATGCTACTATATAGGGGACCCCACAATTTAATTCCAGCGTATGTAGTAATGCAAGATCCAATTGATTTGAAAAGACGAAAATCATTGAGATCCGAAAACGTATAAATGTATAAACCATGTGACACACAGGTTGAAAATTTTTTTTTTTTCAAAATCCTTCACTGCGAAGAGCTGAGTTGAACGGATGACAGCAATTGTAGCTCATCGCAGAATGAGTAATTCAATGATTAGTTGTCTCTACATACTCACTTTTGCGAAGTATTAAATATTTCTTGAAATATATATTATGTTTGATATATTGCCGCTATTTTTTTTTAATTTTTGTTTTGGATTTAGGAAGAAACTGAGAAGGGTAGTATATTGATCCAACCATGACTAGCTTGACAGCCCAATTGAAAAATCTATCTATTGAAGAGCCAAAGGCTCTTGAAGGTTCTTTCCCAGAAGTCAATGTTGTTGATTTGATGAGAAACTATATTGCCCAGGAACTGAGCAAGATTTCCGGCGTCGATGCTGCTCAAATCTTCCCTGCATTGGAATGGACTAACACCATGGACAGAGGTGATCTTTTGATCCCAGTTCCTAGATTGGTCAGAACCAAGGGCTCCAACCCAAGAGAAATTGCTACTGAATGGGCCGAGAAGTTCCCATGCGGTGACTTTCTGGAAAAAGTTGAAGCCAACGGTGCCTTTGTTCAATTCTTCTTCAAGCCAGAATTCCTATACAAGACTGTTATCCCGGATGTTATCACTAGAGGTGAAGAATATGGTGCTTGCAAAATGGTCGACAACAAAAAGATCATCATCGAATTTTCCTCCCCAAACATTGCCAAGCCTTTCCATGCTGGTCACTTGAGATCCACCATTATCGGTGGTTTCTTGTCCAACCTTTACGAAAAGCTTGGTTGGGATGTCACTAGAATGAACTACCTAGGTGACTGGGGTAAGCAATTCGGTGTCTTAGCCGTTGGTTTCGAAAGATATGGTGACGAAGAAAAGCTAGCCAAGGATCCTATCCACCATCTATACGAAGTTTACGTTCGTATCAACAAGGACATCGAAGAAGAAGGTGACTCTCTACCTGAATCTGAATCTACCAACGGTAAAGCTCGTGAATACTTTAAGAGAATGGAAGATGGTGACCCAGAAGCTTTGAAAATTTGGAAGAGATTCCGTGACTTCTCTATTGAAAAGTACATTGACACTTACGCCCGTCTAAATATTAAATACGATGTCTACTCAGGTGAATCCCAAGTTTCTAAAGAATCTATGCAAACGGCCCTAAAAATGTTCCATGAGAAAAACTTGACTCACGAAGATAGAGGTGCTACTCTAATTGATTTAACAAAGTTCAACAAAAAGCTCGGTAAGGTCATTGTTCAAAAATCAGATGGTACTACTTTATACTTGACTAGAGATGTTGGTGCTGCCATGGACCGTTACGAAAAATATCATTTCGATAAAATGATTTATGTCATTGCTACTCAACAAGATCTGCACACAGCTCAATTCTTCGAAATCTTGAAACAATTAGGCTTCGATTGGGCTAACAAGTTACAACACGTCAACTTTGGTATGGTCCAAGGTATGTCTACAAGAAAAGGTACGGTTGTTTTCCTGGATAACATTCTAGAAGAAACCAAAGAGAAGATGCACGAAGTTATGAAGAAGAATGAAGCTAAATATGCTCAAATCGATAATCCAGATGAAGTTGCGGACTTAGTCGGTATATCTGCGGTAATGATCCAAGACATGCAATCTAAGCGTATTAACAACTATGAATTCAAATGGGAAAGAATGCTTTCATTTGAAGGTGATACCGGTCCATACCTGCAATACGCTCATTCTAGATTGAGATCTGTGGAGAGAAATGCCGCTGAAATTCCAAAGGAAAAGTGGGCTTCAGCTGACTTCTCTCAACTAAAGGAACCAGCTGCCGCTCTTCTTGTTAGATTGCTAGGCCAATACCCAGATGTGTTAAGAAATGCTATGAAGACAAATGAGCCTGCCACTGTTGTTACCTACTTGTTCAAATTAACCCATCAAGTTTCTTCTTGTTACGATGTCCTATGGGTTGCAGGCCAAACTGAAGAGGTTGCTACTGCTCGTCTTGCACTATATGGTGCTGCCAGACAAGTTCTATACAACGGTATGCGCTTGCTAGGTCTAACACCTGTTGAAAGAATGTAAACGAAGCTAGAAGTTTTTAGAGAAATATAATAATATAATATAATCTTCACTTTAAAAATAATAAACTTATTGATACTATGTTGCATTAGAAACTTCATAAGAAGAGGATTATCGAAGGTTAGGATTTGTGGTGTAATATTATAAGACTTTCTCCAATAAAGTAAGCAATGCTGCATGTATAATATTTTCTAAATAATTTCAAATAAGAAATTCAAGAAGACCAGAATTTGTACAGTTATCAAGAACTTCAAAAGGTTCTATAGTGTAGTGGTTATCACTTTCGGTTTTGATCCGAACAACCCCGGTTCGAATCCGGGTAGGACCTATTATTTTTTGGTTTCTGCTATTTGACTTTATGGTCACTGTTGTATTATAATATTACTTTTTACCATGTTAGATTACTGACAAGATCCTGAATATCAATTTTTATCATATATAGCAGAAACAATTTCTACATGTCTTCAAAATTTGTTGGTGATAATATAAAACATTACAATTTATTATAGGTCTGCGACATAATTCGCTGGAAAAACGCCCTCAACTCCATGGGCTACGCCGTACCACCAATCATTATGCGAGTCTGTCTTCTTTTGTACAACAATTATGTCATCCTTTTTGAATGAAAGATCACCCTGTTGTTGGCCATTGAAGTCATATAATGCCCTCACTTTAGGAAAACTACGCTCCGCTGGAGGAGGAGGCGGAACTGGTCTGTTTCTATTAAGCGCATGAGCGTCAGAACCATGACCTTGTACATCCTTATTTCTTTCACAAGGAGGTGGAGGATATCCTCCTCTATTGTGTGAATCATAATCATTTCTTTGTAAATGATCCTGTCTCTCAACTCCTCCCCGGCTATGCGGCATGTCGCCCGAATCCCATCTAGCTCTGCTCCTGGGTTTTTCATCATATAATGCTTCATCGTATCTTCTATCATATCTTTCTCTGCCATACCTTTCGTCAGGACGGGCTTGCTCTTCAGAATAACTGCTGGTCCTATAACCCTCGCCCGGTTGTGGGGTAAAATTAGGGGACTCCAGAATTCTATACAACCTATCCATCGAGGGCAATGGCTCCACCTCACCGTTAAGGATTCTTCTAGTAGTTCCTCTATCACCATAAACTTTTCTGTTTTCATCTCTTCTTTCCACAATGGCTGAACCCTCCACGGAAACACCAGCGAACAATCCTTTACTTTTAGAATATGTAAAGACTGACGCAATACCTGCAGCAGAAGCTGATGCATCAGCCTCCGCATCTCTGCCAACAGGTCCTGCAGCTACTGATACATTACCACCAAGGGTCACTGTACCGAACTCAGAAAAAGAATCAACAACTTCATCGGTATTCAGGATAAACACAAATTCTGTTAGCTCCATACCTATTAATCCACCAGCACCAGCACCTCCCATTGCGATGGCTGATGGTGCAGACCAAGTACCATCCCTCAGACGAGCCACAATAATACCCGAACCAGCCCTACCGGAGAATAAAAATCCTGCCTTAAGGATTGAAATTATAACCAGACCTTTGGCATTTCTTAGCACTGAAGGAGGAATAACCTGATCAGGACCATACGCTTGCCTTGGATCTATAAAACCCTCAAGAATTTTTGCAGCCTTTTGAGCCTCATTTGCTAGGCCCCTTGGAACTGGATTTGTCAAACTGGAAAGACCGACCATTTTTTACAATATGTGTTTAATATTTACTAAGTTCTTTCCTGTTAAAAATCATCGCTTCAAAAGTATTGAATGAGGATTCAGTTTGGAATTAGTAAAATCTGCATGCTGTTTATATAATAACAAATGCTCCGAGCATCAAAGAATGATGAAAACTCTGTCTGTCGATTTAATTAGAATAGACATGTAGCTAACGTTTGATCCCCCCTATCTCATAATTTCCCCTTTTTATTACTCTCGTAATGCAGATGATTCAAAATTACTCAGGATCCCAATAAAATTAATGCTGCATTGCTGCGATTACGTAGACACAATATTCCCTCTCGGAAAAATAGTATCCACGCATTTTGTAGATGTAATGTGTACGGGGTTTTCTGAGATCTATAAATTACGTAAATCTCCGTAAATCACAATTATAATGCAAGACATGCAGGGCAATGTTAAAACTCACTAAAACTAGACCAGATTCATTGATAATACCAAGGTTACTAAGTCTGAACTATAGGATATCTAGAAACCACAACATGATGTTTCATATTTCACACATGTTATTATACTCCGTTAATTTCAAAGATTCATGTATCTTACACACAATATATTGTCACGATTCATCCCAGACAATTCTAATTCAGCTAGCTATAATTTAACAAGTACCAACGCATGTACTATTTATTCCTCAGTATTTTAACACTTGAGATTTACTCATGACTTTTAAATTCGAGTATTGATCACTCATGCCCTATCCATCATTGTCAGCTCTTGCTAGCAGCAAATGCATGTGACGGGAAAAGATGACAAAATTGCGGAAGCGAAGTGCGGTGATAAATACTTAAAGTGCTATCACAGCGAGACTGGAGAAGCCATATTAGCATGAAATATTTAATTCCAAAGTCTTTCTTCCTAAAAATTTTTAAGACTCCTATATTATTCAATTTTCAAGCCTGTGGTTTTGGTTTCTCATATATACTAGGAGAAATGAACTCAGATCGCGACTTTTTGGACAAGATCTTTGACAAAGGGCATAACATTGTACATAAGGTGTCGCAATGTGTCGAAAATTCAGAAGAAGCTGCCATAAAGAACGGCTCTGCAATCTTGAATAAAATATTACATAAGGGATCTCAAGTAATTGATGCAGGCACAAATACAACGATACCTAGATCTGATAACGACAACATTCTTCGCAATATAACTAGACTTCCCTTTACCTTATTATCAGGCATACATACCAAAAGATCATGGAGCCTAATGGCGATCCCAGCAGTATCAATTGCTTTATATTGGGGCTCCACACAACTAAAAGTACGTCCAATCTTAAGCACTACAGAAAATCAATGCATCTTGGTCTTCGGCGATATGAGAGATCCCATCATTAGAGGACAAGTCATGGATCTTTACAGACGTGGCTTCACTCTCTTTGTGTGTCTCGAAAATGCTGGTACCTATAAAACGCATAACGATGAAGATGACTTTTTGAACTATATCGATCCCAAATCAACATCCGATTGGGCAAAATTCTCCGAATTCTTTAGGAAATTCCCGACTAATACTTTATCCGCTATACTTCTGATACCTAAGCTTTCCTATCACCCAACTGGACAAGTTACTTTAGAACAGTTGGAAAATGAACTCCATTCTAACGTTTTGATATATTACAGTACTCTTGTGGCCATCAGCCCTCACTTACCGCAAAACTCCAACTCAAATAGAATTCCAACTTTAATATACAACCCCTCATTATCAGTAAATATGAAAAATGTTGAGCATCCTGTTGAATGGCTAATATCTGGTTTAATGACCACTATTTTTGAAGAGCTCAAGCACTCACATATTTTCGATCCTTACATGATTAATGTTGGTCTTTTCCAATTAGGTGGTCAACTATCAAATTACAAATATCTTAATGTCAAAGGCTCTAACATTTACAATGACCTGTATTGGCCAATATACTGTTTTATTAAAATGAAAGGAGGTAATACATTTCAGAAATTACATGTAGCTATATGCTCACTATTTGGCTTGAAGAGAACGTTTTATTTGGGTAAATTCAGTTATCTTTTTACCTTACCATTTACATCAAAGCTATACAAATTGTTGAATGAATGGTACGTGCTATGAGATTATTTTTACCAACTTCAAATATGTGGCTAGATTATTTGCTTGTAGTATGTGCTTTTTAGTATTATTTATAGGAGCCAACAAGATCACATTAACAAATCTATCTGTGTTTCTAGTAAAGAGAACTTATAAAAATCTCTAACAAAAATTCTTCAACTATGTCATTATTTTATTATGCAGAATTATTATGATATATAAAAAATATCTTACAATTCATGGCTTACATCTACCAGAGAAACGAGGGTATAGAGAACAGTCTCTGACAGTGAATCTGTTACATAGCCATGCCAAGATACGTTCAGTACCTAGACCATAACCACCGTGTGGACAGGTACCGTACTTTCTTTGGTCAATAAACCAGTAGTAAGCCTTTGGATCAATGTTTTCACGCTTGAAACCGGCCAAAAGTTCTTCTTCAGTGTTAATTCTCATGGAACCACCAGTAATTTCACCGACAGTTGGCATCAAGACATCAACGGATTCAGTGACACGGTTGTCATCCTTACAACGAGGCATGTAGAATGACTTGATTTCTGCTGGGAACTTGGTCAATAGAATTGGAACACCAATGGTGTCAGTCATCTTTCTTTCAGCTGCCTCAGCAATGTCATCACCGAACTTGAATTCTTCACCATCCTCGTTCTTGATATCGTGTTCCTTCAACCATTCAATGGCATCCTTGTACTCTAGTCTCATGAATGGCATCTTTGGAGCTTGGAAATCTGGGTTCAATTGTTTGACCAGTGGACCAGCAATTGGGTCTTCCAATATGTATTGGACGGTCTTACACAATACACGCTCGATGTGGTCTAGCAGTTCCTCAAATGTTAAGAAAGCTAATTCGGCTTCAATGTGCGTATATTCAGACAAATGTCTTCTAGTGTGAGACTTCTCAGCACGGAAGGATTCTTGAACACAGTAGACGTCACCCAAAGAAGGCAAACAAGTTTCCAAATAAAGTTGGGAACTTTGAGTCAAGTAGGCCTGCTCACCGTAGTAGTCCAATTTGAACAAAGTGGAACCACCTTCGACTTGGGTTTGAACCATACATGGAGGAGTGACTTCAGTTAGACTCTCTTCAGTGTAGACACGTCTGATGGACTTCATCAGAGCGGCACGGACCTTCATCACGGCTGACAGAGTTTCACCTCTTAGGGCCAAATGACGTTGGTCTAGAAGCAAAGATGGATCAGCACCTTCGGCGATCTTGTTAGTGAAAGCTTCGTCACCAGATGGAGCCAACCCAACTACTTCATAGTAGTCAACAAGCAGTTCAACACCACCTGGGGCGGACTTACCTTCTGGAACCTTAGTGATGGTACCATATAGGGTGACGGTAGACTCAATGGTCAAGTCCAAGGATTGTTGGGCAATGGCCAAGTCACCAGTTAATACGGATTGCAAGTAACCATAACCATCTCTCAGAACAATGAACATAACCTTCTTGTTAGAACGTAATCTGTGGATCCAGCCGGAGATTTTGACTCTTTGACCAACTAGTTCATAGGACTGACCAATCTTGCACTTCTTGGCTTCTGGGAGAGACTTGTCCTCTTCGATCTTAATGTTCAAAGCTGCCATCTGCTTTGCGGCATTGTCGGCATCCTGCTGTTGCTTCTTAGCATCTTGCTCCTTCTGCTTGATGGCCTTCTTCTTCAAACCTTCACAACCCTTACGAGCCTTCTTCAAAGCAGAGGCAGAAATTTCTTGGTATTCACCATCAGCTTCCTTGTAAACAAACAACTTTGGTTCAGTTTCACTGCAAAATAGAGCGAAAGCAGCAGTCTTGAATGGTTGTTCTTGAGTACCAGCAACACCGGTCTCGTCAACACCTTTAACCTCGTGAATATACACAGACATTGTTGTTCTTTATTAGTGCTGAACCAAGTTTTTTATAATGCAGTATACAAAGTTTACAAAGCTTATAACCTTTAACCAATTGAATTTCAATAGATAAAGACATTTCACAGTTTGTGTCAATAGACGTCGACAAGTGAAAAAAAAATGAATCCACTCTGGTCACTTCAGATTACTCATTACAGCTAGAAAAGTTAACTCTTCCCAATGGTACCTGTCACCAGAACACTAAGTACAGCATTAAACACTACAACTCAGCAGTTGAAGTGACTTCCTTCTTGCGATGACCTGCGATTTATTGATTTTTTTCCAAAATTTTTCAAAAAGTTTTTTCACTTTACTACGGATTTCAGGACAAGTGATTTGCTTGAAAAAAAACAAAACAAACGGAAAAACTAAAAAATTTTCAGTGACGTTCAGCATGATATTGACTTTCGATGAGTATAATGCTCAACTCTGTTCGTGACAACTCTTGCAAGAAACCACTGTTCTGTGATTTCGTTTGTTCCTGACTAGCGGCTGGTGTTATTATTTCGTATATACAAAAAAATTATTGTAGTCCAGGGCGGCAGCAAGTGCAAGGAAACAAAAACATCCAAAAGAAGAATAGCAAAATGCCAGTTGATTTTGCTAAGCTCTGTTTGTCGGATAAGCCAGCTGATGCTGTTGCTGTCAAGTCGCTAGTTTTCAAGCCAAAGACTGCTAAGACTGCCACTCCGGTTCCAATTGTCGTTGTTGCTTTGCAATCCACTAACACTCCATCTCCAGCTATTGCTCACCACTCTGGCCTAAAGGACCCAAGATTGGCTCGTGATGAATTGTTTCAATCTTTCTTCAAGTGTGAAACCGCTAAGGGCTTCACTTTGGCTTACTTGACTAACGCAGAATCTGAATTCAAGCTGTTAATTGATAACAATCTGGAGTCTGTCGCCCCAGAAACTCTATTGCAATTGAACGACGAGTTGTCCATCAAGAAGTCCGACCTATGCTCTTTCTTGTCTCAATTTGATCAATACAAGCAAATTGTCGACTTCTCTGTTGAAATCAAGAAGGAAGCCCAGCCTAAACAAAAGAAGGAAAAGCCAGCTCAAACTAACGCTGCTATTGAAGATGCAAAGTTGATCGGTATCACTGTTGACAAGTCTCTAGACTTCTCAGGCTGGTACCAGCAAGTCGTCACTAAGGGTGAAATGTTGGACTACTATGATATCTCTGGTTGTTACATCTTGAGACCAAACTCCTATGCCATCTGGGAATCCATCCAAGATTACTTTAACGCTAAAATCAAAGCCATCGGTGTCAAGAACGCTTACTTCCCAATGTTCGTCTCCTCCCGTGTGCTAGAAAAGGAAAAGGACCACGTTGAAGGTTTTGCTCCTGAAGTCGCTTGGGTTACCAGAGCTGGTTCTTCTGAACTTGAAGAACCAATTGCTATCAGACCTACTTCTGAAACCGTTATTTACCCATACTACGCAAAATGGATCCAATCCTACAGAGACTTGCCATTGAAGTTGAACCAATGGAACTCTGTCGTTAGATGGGAATTCAAGCACCCTCAGCCATTTTTGAGAACCAGAGAATTCTTGTGGCAAGAAGGTCACACTGCTTTCCTTGACCAAGATGACGCCGAAAAGGAAGTGTTGCAAGTTTTGGATTTCTACGCCGGTATTTATAACGAACTATTGGCTGTTCCAGTGGTAAAGGGTAAGAAGACCGAAAAGGAAAAGTTCGCTGGTGCAGCTTTTACCACAACTGTTGAAGGTTACATTCCAGAAACTGGTCGTGGTATTCAGGGTGCTACTTCTCACCACTTGGGTCAAAACTTCTCTAAGATGTTTAACCTTTCTGTTGAAAATCCATTGGGTCCAGAACATCCAAAGGTCTATGCTTACCAAAACTCCTGGGGTCTATCTACTCGTACCCTTGGTGTCATGGTTATGACCCACTCTGACAACAAGGGTCTAGTTGTTCCTCCAAGAGTTGCCCAACACCAAGCCGTAGTTATCCCAGTTGGTATCACTAAGAAGACTACTGACGAACAACGTAAGAGCATTCATGATGCTGCAAAGAATGTTGAAGACCGTCTCCTAAAGGCATCTGTTAGAGCATTCGGTGACTATAACGACAACTACACTCCAGGTTGGAAATTCTCTCAATACGAGTTGAAGGGTATTCCTTTGCGTGTCGAGTTAGGTCCAAAGGATATTGAACAAGGTCAAGTAGTGGTTGTTCGTAGAAATGATTCCCGTAAGTACGTTGTCAAGCTGGATGAACTTGAGTCAAGAATTCCTGAAATCATGGACGAGATGCATAACGATATGTACAACAAAGCCAAGGAACTATTTGACAGCCACAGAATTATTGTTGATGAATGGAAGGACTTTGTTCCTGCTTTGAACAAGAAGAATGTCATACTTTCTCCATGGTGTGGCGTTATGGACTGTGAAGAGGATATTAAGGATGCCTCTGCCAGAAAGGATGATGGTGAAGAATTTGAACAAGATGAAAAGGCTCCTAGTATGGGTGCCAAATCCTTATGTATACCATTTGAGCAACCACCTCTAAAGGAAGGACAAAAGTGTGTCAAATGTGATCGCGCTGCCATTCAATACTGTATGTTTGGCCGTTCTTACTAAGAGTAATATACTTACTTATTAGACAACTTTATAGCATATGCACTGATCCTGTAAAATTAATATAGCTAAATTTTAATGACACACGCAAACGTATTATATTTTTATACATAATTTAGAACACAATTGTAAGTAAAATACTACTGCATAATGCAAAAAATAATAAAAAATGGACGAGTTGGGAATCGAACCCAAGACCTCTCCCATGCTAAGGGAGCGCGCTACCAACTACGCCACACGCCCAATGTTTTGAATGATATCTAAAAAATGATAGATAAATATCATAACAAGTAAGAATATCATGTGATCTGGATATACACGTATAAGCTCATGTCAGTAGCTGGTGGTACATAGGATTCAAAAAATGTAGGCGTCCCGTTTGTCTTTGATACCGGTGATTCTAATCTAACAAATGACATAATTAAACCGGTACCTGAAAGATGATAATTCTTTTAACTAACAAGTCTTCGTTTCGGTTTTGTCATTCCTAATATTAATCAATATATGAAAACTCAAAATGTTCAAGTTCTACATAAAAATATGTACACCTATAAACGATTTACCTCTTCTTGGTAAATAGTTCAACCAAACTTGCAAAAGAACCAGATCTATGATTAGAGTTCAGGCTTGCCCTCGATGATGCCCGCTCCATAGGTATGGAGGAATGGCTTTCTTCAAAGTTGTGGTTACTATCAACTGGTGTCATTTCGAAGGCAAATTTTTTACTTGCTGTGCTCCCCTTATTGTAATTATTGACTCCTAAGTTTTGACCATACCCGGATGTTGCCATTGAGAGATTATTTAAGGAAGTGCTAGAACTATTATTACTCCTGCTAAAATTATGCGAATATCTTCTTCCAGGAACGTTAAGAGAAGAGTTCGATTTTTGATGTATAAATTGTGGTCTCTCAAGGACAATAGCATCCTTCGAGTCTTGATTGTCCTCATCTGGGTAAGCTGGTGGCAGATCATCACCCACCAAATCCGATTTCATAGCTCTATCATACGATGGTACACTAGTTAAATCCTTTACTTGCCAGTCGCTTTTCAAAGATGCAGATGATGCTAATCTACTAAAAGAAGCACTTCTAGAAATATGTACATAGTCCGGTTCCAACGAAGGACTTGCCAACAACATATCTTGTTGAATAGCAGTCAATTGTTGGGTTTCATTTTCATTGGTTCCCTCTTGTTCATTTTCTATAACTAGATTTTGCAAGCTTCCCTGAAGTTGTTCTACATTAAAATTGTTTCTATTGGCAACAGGGGTAGAATACCCTGATCGATTATCTGGTGAAAAACTGGGTTCAGTGTCCTTTTGAACCACATCAACAGGCGACATTCTACCATTCCATAATCGGTCGTACACATGATTTGCATAATTTGGAGGAACCATGAGACCATTTAGAGATGAAACTGACTCACTGGTATTGACATTCATACTGGATAACTCAACTGCGGAAAGTGATTTCGAAAATATTAGATCTTCATTCTCTGAGGCACCAGAATTGTCATTATTTGAAAAAGTGCTTTCCTGTTGTATTATAGGACTATTATTTCCAGAAGACCTACCGATCGTTATTGTGGGTCTACAAGAACCATTTGCATAATTAGTACCATATAGTTTAATGTCTCTCTCTATCGCTTCGGGAGACTTGGTCTTGATTGGAACAAAAGGGGATATAAACAATTGAATAGGCAAGGATGCTCTTAATTCAGACATATGCCCATCTGGATTAATTAAACAGATGACAAACTTTAATTTATGACGAATTTTTACATTATTCAGGACCGTACAATCTTGAACACAAGCCAGCAAATTTGGAGGTATTTCAATTGTTGTATTAATATCCCATTTATCTTGGAAATCCATATCGGAATCATCATCAGAACCGGTGTTAAAATTAGGATCAGTTAAACTCTTTGCAGTATACTTCTTCTTACGTAATTTTGCTAAGTGCCCAAAAGGATCTTTTATCTTGGTTTTACTCACCAGTCTATCATCTAATGAAGAGACACCAGTGGCACTGCACAATTGACCAACCTCTACTAGCTGAACTTTCACAGGACCCAACTTTAACCCTTTCATCAATGGTGTAATTGAAATATCAATGGGGCTACTTGAGCCAATCGGAACAGCTTTTGATGGTATACTAATTGAATATTCCACCTTCTCCGGCCATGTATTATCTACTGAAATGGTTTCAGTCAATTCTAATGCATCAGGCCTTAGTGTTCTTATCACTCTTAAATGCTTCTTAGAAATCAGGTCCGATTGTTTTGGCCTTTCTATAACTGCTTCTAGATAGTACATGACTGTAGCATTCGGATGACCTTCAACACTTTCTGTTAGGGAGCCTGGTAAAATTGCTGTGAATGGAAACTCGTAGTTTCCCCTTACAAGTGTATGATAATTTGAACTTGCGTTCGAGGAAGTCCCTGTGAATGAAAGAATGGAGTTTGTTGATTTGGCTCTCTTTCTTTTCAGCAAATTCTCTGTAGCTTTCCGTTCCTCCTTAGATACATTACTTTCACTTTCAATGGCAGCCTTGCCGTAATTGTCATACAGATTAGCAAAATAGTTTTTAATGTTAAAATCATCCCATTGATGGTGGTAAAATCGTTTTTGAAATTTGGTATATCTAGTGTATGATCCCTTTGGAGTATTGGTAGTTATTGGAACATGCATCAATATTCTCCCATTAAGTCTTAACGTCAAGTTTTTGATATATATAGGCTGCTGAACAGAAACCACTATTGTCCCAGAAAGAAATATGGATGAGGCCTCCTCTGGTGATCCCTTCAGTAAAATGATACCATCCTCTGTGCTTTGTAACCTTATATCAAAAAGAAGGGGATCCCTTGAACTGCTATTCTTACTTACTACCATTTCAATATCTGCAATGTATTGGATGAGAATGCCAATGTCTTGATGCAAATGCTTAGATGTTCCTTCTTTGTGATGACCTAGCTATGATGAAGTAAGGCACCTGTGGATGATGTAATCTTAGGTGCTCACCAATAATTTTGAAGGTTTGATTGTGCCCAGTGGCCGTTTCAAAAGAATATATAGGTACTGAATTGGATCTTGGAATGAGTATCTGAGAGGGACTAAAGAATGATAATCTAATCAAATAGATAAGTGATCTGTATATGGATAATAGTTTAACAGATTATAAGCTTGTGACCCCTATGTTCGTCAAAAGAAATTTTTGGTCTGTGGGACTATTGCTGAATGCCAACGGATTCAATGAATTGGCAGAACTTCTCCAGCTCTAGCAAAATGTATTTAATTTATATGAAACCTATACTAATTGCGGATCTATTGTCGAGAGTACCTCATATAGAAATAGAGATATCGAACAACTTCTACATAAGAATTTTGCTCTACAATCAACATATCAGTTTCAGTTGTGAGATTAAACTATGTGAAGCATCGCTCTGTGCTATTATGTACTCACTATAGAAAGCCTAGAATGCTAGATCTCAAAACACATAGTTCTGTAGCGAAATAGCAATGTCTCTTCAAGCAATATTCTCAGTTGACGTAATCTTGATGCGGGACCAGAGGGCACGGAGCCATTTCGATTCTAAAAAAATGCAGAATCCTTGCTGTTATCTACATATAGAAATGACACCGAACAACAATAAAAGAAGCCTACTTCTCTCGTACTGAATACCTGATCTGAGTTCTACATTGCTTCACTAATGCATTGCATATACATAGAGATCAGTTGCTAAAAAAAAGAAACAACATGCCTCGAAAAGGCGAGTCCAAACTCCGTGTGATTGGTACCCGACAATCCATACGATACAAGACAGCTCTTGCAAGCGGTACAGCTTATAGCAAGAAGCAAAATGGTGATACACTCAAGGATAGCAAAAATGTATTTACTCTGAAATGAGGGCACACTATTCGGTAACTGCATTGTCTCGACTCGGAAAAATATGAAATGAAAAAAAAGAAAGAAAGGGAACAACTGTTATACAATCGATTAATACACCACCATTACCAGTGAAACGTACGTACAAATGAGGTGACCGAACAGCAACGTCTTAATAAATAGCGATTTCTTCGGAAAAAAAGCGTTAGAGAGAGCTTTCTTTCTTTTTTTGGGATAGTCTGCGCGTTTTCTCTGCATTGAATACTGCGATCGGAACTATTTTCAGATCTTGCATCGGTTATAAATCAAAACTCGGAAAAACTGGGCTCTCTGTGCAGTGGTCTCTATGCAAAGTAGGTGAAGCTGCCCAGAAACAGTGATTCTTCGGCTTTGTCTGTGCCAATCAACCTTGCTATGGATGTAATGGGGGATCTATATTCACGTGATTTATATGTTTTTTGAGTGGCCAATAACGATCTCACCGTTTCTCTTGTGGGAAGTTAATGATTGCAGTCAGTTCTCCTTGCTGAAGTTCTTGCAGTGATTGATGTCCCCTAAGGGGAACATCAATTCCCGTTTGGGATTGAACAATGGGGGGGAGGGAAGAGTGACTGGTTAATTTGAAGGTAGCTTCTTCCTGTCCAACAGAAGGAAGAAGAAAAAAAGCTACACTGCTGCAAAGGAAAACATTTAGTCAATAAAGGGAAGTCAAAAGTTCTCTTGCGTGAAAAATTGAATCATTTCGAGGCTTTCTTTACTTATGTTGGTTTAATTTGCATATCTCTGTACCAAAACGAATTATACAGTTGAAATAGTGTTGGAACAGCTAATAATCTATCCAATTATTATCCAGAAGGTCATACAAATATAAAATGGAGGTTTCGAGCATTATCGAAGAGTATAATAATGCCAAGGACAATGACTTCAGATATATGACATTGAAGCAACCAGTGCTCATTCGCAGTATTCAGAAAGATTTTGATAAACTTATGGCCAATCTTTATTTACCAGTTTTGACCCATAACGTTGATTCTGAGTTGCAACAATTGGTGTCCTTTGAAGTGTTACCTCGCGCTGTTTTGAGCCTGTTTGATTCACAAGTAGAAGAATACAACAGCAATGGCCTGATGTGGGCTTATATCGAAAGATACGTATTTTATCCTATTATAGATTCTTTAGAATCTGGTAATGAAACCATAACCAATCTGCTAGTCCAATCGTTGAGAAATATACTAAATATATTGATTTCAAATGATTTGAATATCAAAAGTGTTACACGTAATGATCAAATTCTGAGCGATAACTATCAGTCCAAATATCAAGATGAAGAGTTCATGAAACTAGTGTCTTTTATGCTAAAGGAAAGCCAAAAAGAAACTACTGTAGCGGGTCTACAGGGATATCAAGAAACAATACAAAAACTTATAGAGGTTTCCTATGATGGTAGACTCAGATTCCTTAGCCCGAAAGCTCTGAAAATGTGTATCGAAAGCCTTCATGATTATGAGGATTACAATACGTCAAGTGAGATGCTGCTCAATAAAGTAATAGAAAACACAGATATCGCTGCTGTGGCACAAACGCAGCAATATTTCAGTCTCTCTAATCTGAAGTTCATGTCCAAGAATTGGTACAAATTCGCTGAATGCTGCTCAGGAATTATTCCCAAGCTGATTGATGAGATTACCAAAGAGACTGAGAAGTCTGACATTTCAAAAATGCTAGAAATTATCTCTAACCTGAAAGATTACTTATTACAGGGAACAATTACCAACGAAGGACATCCGAAATTACCGTCCGACCTTTCTATATTGTTACTCGATCGAGTTCTCAATATTTTAACAAACATTATCCCGTCGATTGAATCCAGAGATGTCATTAATAAACACCACAATAATAACGACCTAGTTACCACTGAAAGTGATACCGATATTGTCGTTGAAGATATTGACCAGCAAGCTTATCTTGACGAGCTTGATGCAGGTATGTCTTCAAATTATGATGAAGATTTAAGTTTTACAGTAGATTTTGAGGGTGACGACACCTCTAGTAATCTACTGGAGGTGACGGAGGAAGAGTTGCAGGATATTGATATCTATAACCGTGACTACGATGTAATTGTAAAGCATTCCTTGAACATACTTTACGATGTATTTCTTGCTGAACGTACTGGTGTAATACAGTTTGGACCACACCTCGCTACAGCAAGGGAAAAATTAAATTGTATAAAATCCAAAGTTTCTGACTCTAATTTGGATTCGAAAACGTTCAGTCTTTTTACACACTTTTTTGAGCGTCTAGAAGACTTTGATAGAAAAGTATTTGAAACTTATGAAGTTTTAAGCATAGAAGAATTAAAAACTGAAATTTCAACACCAATTCCTGAGAGGAAAGGGGCTGTTGTTTTCACTTTAATTGAATATCTCGGCAAAGATCAGGTGAGTCTTGAGGAGTTACAATCGATTATTGAGCTAATTGATCATTTGATCGATGTTAGAGTAACCGATGGCGATAACGACAAATATCTTAGCGGAAATGATGAGAATTTGATTGCTGAGGCTTTATTACCCCATCTACGAATGAATAAGAGCTTCGTCCATACCTTTAAGGCGGGCAATATCTCCAAGAAAGTAGATAACGGGGCAACATTGCGAACAATGATATACACTACTCTTTCGCGCCTTGATATCACCAAACATCTACTAGTGTGCAAAGTTATAGAGTGTTTATTACATTATGGTATTAAAGATAAACAGGACTTAATCAGAGATATTGCACAGTCTATCTTGAAGAAACTACTAGATGAACACTACGAAGAAATACTGGCTTTGGAGACCACATGGTATAGTAAGTATTTAGTACCAATAATCGCTGAATCCACTTTACCAACAAACAATTTCCTAACAGCTTACCCACCATTTACTTTCCATACTGTTGATAGCTAGAATGTAAGATGTTTATTTTATTTTTTTGGGAATCAGTCAGTTTTGATTATACAGCATTGACAATTTCGAAACCTGACAAATCTGTACCAACACATAATACACGTCCAATAGACTATATAAATGAAGCGTTTCATAACTTCTCGTAACATTAATACCTCAATCAAGTCTAAAAGGGTAAGGCTAAAGTCTTCATGACTTGAGATGATGGGGCTCGTAGAAGTGTCAAGGGTCATTTTGTACCTTTGATAGTTCTCTCCCACCTTCATTTGACATTGCTCCCTTAATCCCCTTGCCAAAGGGAGTCATCAACCAAGGGGACCTTTGTTGAGTTGAGTACGTTTAATGATTCTCTCCTGTATGTTTACTCGATCCCTTAACTTGTATGTCTGTTCGGTTTTGGCACAATTACTAATGTTTGCAGCACTTATCTCCTTTTCTGCATTGTCGAGTCACACTTACTCTAAAATACTTCGACAATAACCTATCACCAGATCACAGGCTATACGTCAATAAACCTCTCCCCTTTTCGAAACAAATTGTAATGGATAAGCTTCTGAATTGACCGGCATGGTCTGTTTCCATCACTTAACGTTCTATCAGCTGTAAAGTGCGTATACCTTCATTGAAACGTATATAAATTACGGGATGAAAGAGCAATACTAAGTCTTGCATTTATAGCTATGAACACTTAATCTTGTATATTTGAATATCACACAGCAAACAAACCATATAAACAATACAATGATGAATCATAGCTACACACATATAGAGGAGGCCCCAGAGGCGAAAGAACAAGATATCCAAACACCACCACAATTTCTAAATAGACGTAGGTCTAGCAACTATATTGATGCGTTAAGTTCAAAGAGAAACGAGGAGAGTGACCCCATATCAATGGATATGCAAAATGCCAGACATCAGCTTTCCTCTATAGAGCAATCAGATCATGATAGTAAGACAAGCAATTGTAATAAAGTGGCAGAAGAAGACGAAGTAGACTACATGAAAAGAAACAATCATTCCAGACAACAGGAAAGACCCTTAACTGGCAGAAGAAGATCTTCATTTGAGTATGAAGACTTCAAAAAGAATATTTACAACAGATCAAAGCTATTCGAATAATTGTCAAAAGGAAAAGCTCCAACGGCGATTCATTGAGGGTGGGCCGAAGAAGTATTTTATGGAATCTACATTATCATTTTATCTTATTGCCACTTACTATAGAATAAATATTAAATACCAATATGTCTATGTAATTTAGTATTTTATTAGAGACCTTTCGTTACGGTCAAACAAGCCTGAATAAATTCAAATCATTATTGACAAAATAATCCAGCGGATTTGCCAAATTCTAGTTATGGATATTAAATATTCGAAAACTATCCAAGTTTTAACACATGTGAACAATTGAGAAGTGTAAGAAGGCTATACCTAATAGTTGCTGTACATCATTAGTATTATAAAACTGTATTAGAGGTGATTGTGGAAAAATGTTGAAGCACACTCTGAGGACAGCCAGGCCATCATCTAGATGGCTGCTACCATACAGGACTTCAATGGTTAATTGGTACACATCAACAGCACCAAAATTATCGAGGAACAATAAGCTGAAGAATAAAAGGAAGCTAGCTGAATTGAGACCGTTGACATTCAGTATACCGAACTACATTTCTGTGAACAAACTTTCCAATTTAATAAATTGTAGGGTGGAGGATTTAATTCGAGATCTTAGAAAGCTGGGTTTTGAGAGTATTACAAACAATTATATATTGTCTAAGGAACTAACGGAATTGATTTTGCAAGAGTACAACTACGACATTTCTTCATCAGCGTCTGCTCTGACAATTAGTAATGTATATGATGAGCTGAAATCACCTATAAATCCAAAGCTTTTAAAAAAACGTCCACCAGTGGTAACCATTATGGGGCATGTTGATCATGGAAAGACAACGATCATTGATTATTTGAGGAAATCTTCCATGGTTGAACAGGAGCATGGAGGTATAACACAGCATATTGGGGCTTTCCAAGTAGTAACGCCCCTCTCTGGTAGAAAAATTACATTTCTTGACACTCCTGGACATGCTGCGTTTTTAAAAATGAGAGAGAGAGGTGCGAATATTACCGATATTATTGTTTTAGTAGTTTCATTAGAAGATTCTGTCATGCCGCAAACAATTGAAGCCATAAAGCACATAAAAAACTCAGGTAATCAACTAATTGTAGCAATAACGAAGATAGACAAAATGCCAGATAAAAGCCAAAGAAATAAATATTTGGAAAAAGTTGAGAATGATCTGATTTCACAAGGAATTGAAATTGAAAAAATTGGTGGTGATGTACAAGTTATTCCTGTAAGTGCAAAGAATGGTGAAAACATGGATACATTTGAAGAGTCCATCGTATTATTGAGTGATATTATGGACATAAGGTCAGAAAATGGTCCCAGAACTGTGGCGGAAGGCTGGATCCTCGAGAGTAAAGTTAGAAAGACCATCGGAAACGCTGCTACAGTTCTAGTTAAGAAAGGAACAATAAAGAAAGGTGATATTTTACTTTGTGGAAACACTTATTGTAAGGTTAGAAGTATGAGAGGCAGTGACGAAAATAATAAATCCTTGAATCTTGCTCCACCTGCTGAAGCAGTTGAAATATCTGGATGGAAAGATCTCCCTGATGTAGGTGACGAGATAATCCAAGTAAAAAGTGAATCAGTAGCAAAGAAATATATTACAAAAAGACAGAAACTACTAGATGCTGAAAAAGGCGCAGAGCTGGTTGAGAAAATGAATGAGGAAAGTGTGCAAGTTGCACTTCAAAAGCAAGCTCAGAAATCCGATGATGTTGACGAATTTGAGAATGATGATGTAGAAGATGAGATACCTAAGGTAAAAGACATTAATTTTATAGTCAAAACAGATGTCTCTGGTTCTGTTGAAGCAGTTGTGGGAAGTATATCGCATTTAGGGAATGAGGAAGTACAATGTAAGGTTGTCTCAAGCTCAGTAGGCATTCCAACTGAAAGTGACTTACAATTAGCCAATATTACTAACAGTACAATATTATGTTTTAATCTTGGGCCATTACCTAATGATGTTCTAAATAACACATTAAAAGTTCAGGTTAGACAATACAACGTCATCTATAAATTGATTGAAGATGTTACTCAAATTCTTATTGACAATTTGAAGCCCGTATTTGAGAAAAAGATTGTGGCATCAGCTGAGATTAGGGATATATTCGAATATAGTTTGAAAAAGAAGAAACTCAAAATCGCTGGATGTAAAGTATTGAACGGCCAGATAAATAGAAATTCACTGGTACAATTAACGAGAGGGAGTGACAAAAATATAGTATATGATGGAAAACTATCGACATTAAAACACGGTAAAGATGATGTCGCAACCGTGACTAAAGGCCATGAATGTGGCATTACATTTGATTCTGGTTTTGAAAATTATGAAAAAGGTGATATTATCCAGGTTTATGAAAATATTCAACAACAAAGATACCTATAATTATAACATGTACATAGATAGGTATAGAAATGCATAGTTCTTGTATAAATAAAATTGCATTTACCCTAACGGCTAACAATTGTTGAAAGATCTTAATATTAGAGTCGCGTTATTTCCTCGATTCCCATTGAACTTTTACATACTCTTCAACATATGCAACATCATTCTCATCACATTGTGGTGTGAAATTTTGGATATCAGTATAAATTAGAATTGTACCCCATTCCATACCTTCGTTAACATCGGTTTCATCTTCCAAATCCATTATTAGCTTCGGCATCAATTGCATTTCAAAAACCCTACAACTTTGAGAATTGTAACTTGGATTTGGAACACGGAATGGAGGTTGTTCCGTTTTCATGTCGGCATAAAGCAAAGGCATACCTCCTAAATCATAGCGTAGTACTTGATGTGGATTGTATGCGACAACTTCCTGAAACTTTTGGAAAGTATCGTCATCCAAGAACTTGGAAAGTTTTTCAGTTCTAGGATCTAGTTTTATAGGATCTTTTTCGAGGTCATCTTCGTCTGTACCTGTTAGATCAAGTGCTTCTTTATCAATTTTCAGGTTTTTCGGTAGTTTTAGATGATCTGGTTTCTTATTTTTGAAAGATTCTTCTTCTACGTATAGCAGATAGCTCTTGAACACTTTTGATGTGTCAAACTCTTTGTTCTTCTTTTTATCATGCTCTGACTGAGCTGCTTTCAGTTGGGCCTTAGTAGATAATTGAGGTTCTTTTATATCATCTATCTCTCCACTTTTAACGTTTGTAGAAAAAGGATTCGAGTTGTCTTGTGATCCAAAAGGATTGCTGAAAGGATTCGAAGTGTCACTTTTGGTGATGTCAAATGGATTGATCTTAAATTCTTTTGGTTCTGACAATTGTTGCATCTTTTTATCAACGCTTTCCCGGTTTGTGGTACTCTTGTTCTTTTTTATACCTCTTATGCAACGCACAGAATTGGGTTTCCTTTGACACTTAGTACAGATAAATACATATAAAACCCGATCATCATCTGGATTTACATGGGTAAGGTCTTGTACACTCAATTTTTTTTGTACCTCTTCAACTTGGGCTATGTCCAATGGTGAGAACGCCTGTAACAAGAGTTTGAAGTTGTTTGATCCTTTGCATGCACCACATCTTAGCATATCTTTTGGGGGCAAAGAATCCTCAGCTAGCCAAACTGGTTCCCCGCCGATAAAAGTGTCCTCTATGGTCAGTTCATCATCTTCCTTAACTGGAGTGTCAACAAAGGCAAGGTAAACGTCGCCCGGTTTGCTAATATACTCGTCGTCCTCAAATGTAGAGTGTTCTGTATCTGACATGATCAATATTTGTCGATATTCTCTTGGATTTAACTAATATGTTCTTTGATAAATATAGCAAAGCTTGGAATTGTATTAATTTTCTGATCCTATAAAATATCATTGATTTGTTCTTGTAGCTCATCGCATTCATCTCGGTGATAAATTTTTTTTTCACTAATTTCTGTAGTGCCTAGTATAAAATTCATTGGCAAAAGTCCCAAAATTAAATATGTTAAGCAAAAGCACGCATTGTGCCTCGGTTTCAATATCATAAATACTGCTTTGTAAACCCTAAATCATTTGTTTTACTATTATATGAAGGAATTCAGAGCACACGAGCATTTTACTTAGAGCACTGATACTAGTTAATTGTTTTTCACCAACCAATAAGACACTAAGCGCAAGTGGTTTAGTGGTAAAATCCAACGTTGCCATCGTTGGGCCCCCGGTTCGATTCCGGGCTTGCGCATTTTTTTATCAATTGTTTTAAGTAGGTAAAGCTCTAGTAACAGCATATCAAGATATTTTATATACATCGGAGAAAAACAATGTTATGTATACAAGTATATCATTTAAGTTACATGTTAATATTACAAAGTATAAAGAAACCAAAAAGATGTCCTAAAACCATGGCATGAAACTGATGTCAGTCTTGGCTAGGTTCCTAGGGTTTACTGATGCACTGATACAGTCAAGAATGAATTGCGTAATGACAGTAGGAGTGGAACTAACATGTCCCATTTGCGCAACTCTTCTTATTATCAAATCAACATTGGTTTGTACCATATCTCTCAATTGTGGATTTTCAATTATTGGCCTGTGTAGATTACTGTACCATGAAATAATTTCATCTCTAATAAATAGGGTCAGTAACGTGTTTAGTTCGTTTTCTGGTTCAATCAATGCTTTTGCTATAGTAAACAGGTCCACAGCAAACACACCTTCAAGTGCTGTTTCTCCAATCAAAGTTTGGATGTTAGAGGTCATACGGAAAGGAACTGGCTCGTTATTATGGAAAATCGGAGCATCAGATGGTAGGTTCAATTCTTGGTTCTTGAGTAATGGTTTCACTCTTTCGTACGGATATCTAGAAGGAAGCATCTCAAGGGTGAAAACATTACCAGAATTCTTGTCGACATGGATTTTATGTGGTGATCTACTGTTGATCATCATCATGAAAGACATGAATACAAATGCACTATACTGAGAGGCAAACTGTTTCCTGAAAAGCCAAAATTCTTCAAAAGAAGTGAACAAATTCAAGAAATAATCCTTCATAACTGTCGTTGGAACATATAATGATTGGATAGAACTGAAAATTTCTACCTTCAGGACAGTGCTATCAGGTGGAGGAAGTGCCTTATCATATGCGGAATTCAACTTTTCGGAAATAAAATCCTGAATCATGTAAGGGTCAATTTTATTCTTTTCGCAATATTGATCATAAATCTGTTGCATTGTCACAAATGATGAACTATCGTTCATAATACGTACCTGAGGAGACAATGGTACAGCAATTGGAAGATGGAATTCAATGTTTCTACGTCTGGTTTCAACATTTTTCGATAATGTCTTGTTAAACAATCTGTAGAGTTGGAACATCCGCTCTTCTCTTCTGGAGTGACGTACGGCTGGGTATTGTACTGCAAAAGAATGCAAGCTACCATCGTGTCCTCTAATGGTGATCCTTCTGTAAGAAAAGTGAGTTCCATAAACAAAATCAACGCGAGAAAGGAATCTCGCAATTTTAACAAAGTGCAGGTTATTATCTTTATTCAGGAGATATTGCCCAGGAATCTCAATATCTTCGAATTTCTGGTGGTGAAAATTACTCAAATGGGGGCAAATTCGTTCGAGGTTTTCCACAGCAGGAGCACGGTCCAATTTTGATTCCAGACGTTTTCTCCAATAGCGAAGTCTTTTAATGTATGTCTCAAAGTCTGGTTTACTTTCAATAAAGTCAGCGTTGAACTTAGGTCTAATATAAGGTGCTAACAAGGTGTTAGCAAATTTCATCAAATTGTTTTCTGTTGTTGTTGGTAGTTTTGGATTTTTCCTGGGGAAGGGTAGTCTGTTATAATTGAATGTGCCATCGATTAATAAAACGTTAATTAATCTAAACAAATCTTCATCGGTACTTGTTTTGAACCGCTCATTGATTTGAGCAACCAAGGATTCTAGAGACAAAGCTAGCAAGGGATATGCGGTCTTTAGAATATTATTTAGTTCTTGCAAATATTCCCATGGTTGACGATGATCTCCGTTGCTGACTATTTGTTCATTTTTATCCTTTTTCTCGGCTGATGAATTCATAGTTTGTCTCTGAATTACAGCGAAATCTTCCTTCGTAGTCCTTAATTGAAAGTGTAGAGCTTGTGGATAACTCTTAGCTATTCTAATTAATATTTGGCGCACCATATTGGCCTCTTTGTGAGACAGCGAAGTCAATAATTGTGGAATAAAAGTTATCCAATACCATACAGGTACCTCACCTCTAAAAGATTCAAATGCGTTTGCTATGGATCCTGAAGAGTCATCCATACTGATCAGCCATAGAATACGGCAAAGTAGTTCGTGGATTTTAGAATTTTTGTATAGGCCAGCAGCTTGTAGATAGCAGCTGATGGCATTACTTGCAAAACTAATATTGTTTGGTTCTTCCGTTAATCTTCTATCATTGAAAAAACCCCATTGAGCCCACGCCTTTGCGAGATTTAGATCGATTTGAACAGCAGTGGCGAACGCCTGATTTGCTTCATCATAAGCCCTTAGTTTGGATAAGAACATACCCTTTAAGGTAAAAAATTCAGCCTTCTGAACAGTTCCGAAATATACCAAGTTAGTGTTGCTGATAACATCAAGACCAGTAGTTAATTCGTTGGTATTTTGATAGTGGCATTTAGCTTGTTCTCTCAGTTTTAAGAAAGCCTCCTGGATTTCGATGTTAGGTAAGGTGTAGATCCTTGCAAGTTGATTAATACATACATCAGGCATGTTGTGTTTCCTAGCCACATGAGCAAATCTGTTAATTACCCAAGCAATTTCGTGATAACCTCTATAAGCGTGTGTGTTAATATTGCCATTATTATTAGCTTGTTGCAAAGCAGGGATCAATGGCAAGTAAGAATTATTTATGACTTGGAATGCATGTTGTCTCCAAGTAACCAGATCATTCCACATATTTACATCATCCCAGATATTTGGAAGTCGATCTCTCCAAGCTTGTAGTACCCTCTTAATTTCTTGTGCTTTGGCGTCTAAGTTCTGTACAGTCGTAGTATGCAGGTTACCATAAATTTGGGTTGCCTCCATAAACTCAATATATTGTTGAAAACCGTGAAGTAGCCACTTATGTGCGGGAGTGTATCTCTCTGGAAGAGAGACCCATTTGTGTAAACTTAGTTGTATACCTTCACCACATAATTTGCGTACATCTTGGTCACCTTTACGTGTATCTGCAAAGTTTTGTAGTGCCAAAAACGTTTTGAACATTTGTCTTCTAGGAGTTGGTACATCCATTACACTTTTTACTGATTGTTCTAGTGCTTCCCGATCTGTATTCCAGTCAGCCACACGCCAACCACATTCAAGTAGAAGATCAGTGAAACCTTCATGTTTGGCTAATTCAGTCAAAACGTCCCAATGTTGTAATTTTTCTGCACATATAATCCAATTATCCTCCCATAGCGCATATTCTGGTTCAGAGTAAGGCAAAGCACCACTCCTGGCTTTAACTTGGGCAACCTCATACAATTGTTGTGCCTTTTCCCAAAGACCAACTTGTTCATATGATAAAGCAATATTGGTCTCAGTATATTTGGCTTTTCTTCTCCAAAGTCCATAAAACATGTCCTCCTCTTGAAGGTTGATGTACAATTCAAGTAAGGAATCTTCAACGGCCTCTATTATTTTTCCATTTTCAATTTGTGAGTTATTCTGCATTGACTCCAAAATATTTATCGATTGATACCATGAGTTGCATGAAATGGCCAGATATTTTACAAGATGTGGTGGAACCTCGAATGACTCTATCTTCCCAAAGGATTCTAACCACATGTTAATTACATTCAACCTGTTTGAATTTTGTCTGGTGGGGTTCGGTTTTGATAATAAAACTATCAAAGATCGGATGAAGCCATACTTTTCATCTTTTGGAATGCACTTATAGGCTTCAGGGAAAAAATTAACCCAAGCCCTCTGAATTGATTTATGGTCTTTATAAAATATTTCTACCAATGGATCAAAAATATCAGCCTTCTTGATTTCACATATTTGTTCAATATCATTCTTATGAGTGGTAATAAAGGCTGTTAGTTCTTCAGTAGTTTCGTCAGCAGAACTTTCAGAGTTCGTTTCCTCTAAAAGACTCTTCAAAGTTAATGGAGTTGATAATTCATAGCTATTAATGATTTCATATGATTGAGTAGAGTCTAAACAACCGTACAAAAGCTGCAACGCTTGATTCAACCATGGATAGTCAGCGATAAACTCCCAGTTAAGATCACATATAATGTAGTAGATTCTCTCTTTTATATCATCCTTTATGCTGGAATTTAATATGGACATAAATTTCTTTCTTATGTCTTTATTGCTGGTGCATGTTCCAACAAGGAAGGGTTGTTCCATTCGCGAAGTAATCTCTGGATTGGTGGATTGTCCATCGTCAAATAGTTTTAAGACGGTATTGTAAAATAGTTCCGATAACGTTGGTTCTCCTCTAACTTCGAAGGCAAGCATTTTTGTTAAAATAGCAGCTTTTTCTTTCACTGTTGGGAAGCTGACATTGTTAAATATCCAATAACGAGTAATACTAACAATTTTACGCAAGAAATTTTGATCCATTGAATGGTCTATCAACAATGCCATCGTCGACAAGAACGGTCTTCTTGAATCACCAAGTGAGCCGATTCTGATTGAAAGAATAAATAAGACTTTTTCTAGCAATTTGGTAGTTAGTTGTGCTTCTTCCATTGCGACAGCATCTTTAGGTTGAGTCATGCTTAGCTGATCCTTACAAAGTTTGCTAAAGGTTTTCATTAAGGGTAAAAGTAAAGATTCTATACTGTCAGGGAATGTCTTAAATAATGTCCACGACAAAGTAACACCAGCTGCAACAGATGCTGTCTCCTGAAGATTTTTTTCGATGACATTGATTAGTGAGCTGATAAATCCCTTACCAGGTTGTTCTTCTTCACTACTGTCCTGGCTCTCTTGTAAGCGTATAGCTCTCAAAACCAGGCCGAGAACTTTTTGTAAAGCTTCTTGGAGATCATGATGATGCGCTCTAATACATTTCGACAACAAATGTTCGATGTTAGCAAGATTTTCATAAATCCACTTGTCGGTCTTATTTTGGAAGAATATATATAAGACATCCAAAGCGTTGATGCAATAATATAATAGGTTTTCCGTTTCCATATCTTGTGAAAGGAGAAATTTCTCAAAGTATTCTAATTTGACGTTAACATTCTCCCAGCTTTGCTCAGATAAGAATTCTGATAGTATTTGCAATGTACGAGATCCCAGTTCCGAATCAGAAGCACGGTTGTTGCTGGCACAGATATATCTTATCAAGAAAGCAATACAAGTTTCTCTTAAATTCATTGGGATAGTACTTATTACGACTTCGCCCTCACCATGTTCAGTTTTAATCTCATTGGTGTCATTAGCATCTGACATAGAGATATCACCATCTTTATCCAATAATTGCTGGTTCGCTTGACCTGCAGATCTGTTTTCCCATCTCAAAATAAGAGAAGCTAAGTCGATCGCAAGTATATGATTCTCTGGATTTGAGTTCAACATAAAAGACATCTTATTCATTTGATGAATTATATTTGAAACAAATAGGTTCCTAGATTTGAAAAACAAGTCTGGGTGGTCTATAATAAACTGGTATAGAATAATGTTCTGACTCGAAGTGTTCTCAAACATTACTCTCTTTACCCAATTTATCCAAATATCTGGATCTTCTGTCGTCTTGAGTCTTTCATCTATCACAGGTGCAAGGACGTCTAATGACTGCTTCACTAAAAATTTCCCCTCTGATGGACTTGATCTCAGTAATGAAACGAAAACTTGAGTGGCTACTTTAATAGGAAAGTCGAATTCTTTGATGTAAAGCGCTGTTGTCAAATATGCGGATTGCTTCAGTATGATATCATCTAGTTTAATAAAATGCCATGTGAACTTAATTATATCTCTTTTGACATCAGTTAGAATCTTTGGTGCATACTTTATCAATATGGCAGTCAGTTGTAACAACTCAAACCTAAACTTGTCGTGGCAATTTGCGGTGGTACCTAATAATAAGCTGTTCTTAGTCTTCCAAATTTTAGAGTCGATAAGTTCGAGCCAGGCTGGCAATTTTGCTTCACCATAGCATTTAAGATCTTGGTTTTGAGCAACTTCAAATATTAGTGATGGGTTGACTATTTTTTTGTAGATGAATACACTCACATTTAATGATTTAGTTTTTAGAGAGTATTCTATTGACTCCTCAAGTAAGCTATTTTGTTTGTCTTTATCAGACAAGGACACAATATTTTTGAAGATGAAGTCATCGAAGCAGTCAGTCATACAGATATCCTTGGCATTTAAAAACTCGATAAATTCAAAAAATAATGATTGTTCATTAGGGTAATGTGTTAGCAAGTTGACATATATGAATTGGAATTTCTCAATGGATTGTGACAGTTGCAGATGGTCTATATAAAATTTGTTCTCCTTTATTGTGTCAATAGTCAATGCAACCATATCTTTTAGTTTCATTACAAAATCCTTTTGATCTTTCAGCCATTCATTACCTCTGATCTTCCAAACAGTTGTAAATATATCGAGCATGTTAGTTAAAAAGCTCACCACACGGACTTGGTTTGAAGGGATCGATGTCATATAAAATTCATAAAAGTTTGATAGTTCATTTTCAAAGCGGGTTGCTAGATCTTTCGCTTCCTCTTTTTGTATGATGCTACACATAAATACAACCAACTGTCTTAAAGCCATATTCTTCTTAAAGTATTCTATCACTGATGAACTAAAACGATTCATATATTTCGCTAAAGGAACTCTAAAAGGTGAATCGATTTGCAATCTCAGCTTCCTTTCCAATAACATAACTTTCAGTAGTAAATCATTTAGAAACATATCAGCTTGTGGGGGGAGAAGGTGGAAGATATTAATGATACTAACAATAATTTTTGTAGGTGTCTGTTCGTGTATGTCTTGACCAAATAAAGTATCAAGTACTTCCACTCTACACCAAGCATTAAGATGATCTAGTAGTTTTTTACCTATTTCAACTTTAAAGTAGGCAATTAGAAGCTCTAATAGCTTCGAAAGAGCGTCAAGGCCTGGAACAGTAAGTTTTTGATGGTCAGATAAATTCATCAAAAGTGGTTTCAGACCATTTTGGAGAAGTTCTTTTGGAAGCCTGGAATTTTCAGAGAGTGCATCTTTTAGTGCCTCATATGTAGTTTCTATAATGACTGGTGATGTTTTAAGCATTGTTTTGAAGAAAACGGCCAGTATTCTAATTCTGATATTACCCTGCTGTGCATTGGCGAAGTCTTCGTTTTTTAAAGCAAGTGCAAGAAGTTTTATACAGGATACTCTCAATTGCGTCAGTTGTTGGGAAGTCTTATATTCTGCAGCTCTCTGAGCTGTTGATAGTGATTCATCTTCGGCATCAGCAAGAACAATTGCTTCCTGTAGCAGTCTAAATAGCTCCTCATTAAACTGCAAAAAAGTTCCTGGTAAGCTTAAACAGAAGGTAACCGCATCTAGGTTACCTATTTGCATAGTAAAAGGTAGAGCCCTCAAAGGCTTTGCAAAGATTGGAGAGAGCAAAAAGTGCTTCGAATGATCCATTAATTTGACGATAGGCATATTAGAATTTTTTGAAATTAGTTCTAAAGCATTCTTACATGCTTTACGAACTACGGGATTGGCATTACTTAGTTCACAAACAATATCAGTTAAGGTGTTTTGTAATCCCTTTGATGAGAGATCATCTTCCGAGATTTCCGAACAGGTTCTCTCTAAGATTTTGTTGAATAAGTTTTCAGCCTCATTTGTAATAAGAACGGGAGCTTCTTCGGGAGTATCCTTGAGAACAAAAAGCAGACCATCAATTAGCTCAAATCTCAAAGACTTTAAGTACTCCTCTGATGCTTCTATATTATCTATTATTGCACCAATACCTAGTACACCAGCTCTTTTATTGTAAAATGCCTCGTCAAAACACAGATGAATTGCATCTTTCATCAGGTCTGGGACTAATGAGTATTTAAAGACTAATTTAGAACCAAAGATAAGTAAACTTCTTTCGCAAATTCTCTTTATCGTCAATATACTGGACTCTCTTACATCTTCCTTATAACTGGATAGTGCCGACATGAGAGCTTTTGTGAGAATATTGGTCGAAAACATCGGATCAGAGTATTTGATATCTATGTTAAATGTGTCTGACTGGAACCGTTTTTGTTGCAGAGCTTTATTGACCTGTAGCAAGGAGAAATGGTCAGCAAGTTTATTTAGTAATTTCATTGCATCCTCTTTTAATTCAGGTGTAGAGGTTGCCAGAAATATAGATTCAAATATCTTTATCAGAAGCGCCTCTTGATCATAAAATTCCTTCCTATGAACGTAACACTCTAAAGAATAATCCTCCTTCAATTCTAATTTGTCTTGCTGTAACAAGTCAATTGCTTTTTTGATTATATTGTGATAATCATCTGGAAACTTAGTCGAAGATTTGATAAACAGCAAGAAAACCGATTTCAAATACTTATAAGCACTTAATTTGGCCTCCAAATCTGATGCATGATTTTCAATAATTGATACCGCAGCCTCAACACCAGGAGTAACAGAAAGTGACATTGAGCCATTTTTACCATTAGCCATTGCTTCTGTAACAAGATCGACATTTAATGATTCAACTGTTTTTAGATCGGTAGGTGTCTTTAAAAATTGTCTATTTCTTCCTCCTAGCTTACCCAGTATTCTAACAACATTATGGCTGATTGTGTGGTTAAAGGGCTGTGGCTGCAGCAGTTTGAAAAGAGCTTTAGAGACTTGATCAACTACTGGCTCTAAGATTGGATCAAAATACTCGGCAGTCAGATTATCAATGCATAGTTCAAGAGTTCTTAAGCCCTGTGATACTAAATCAGGATATTCTTGCAAAGCATATACTAAAGGCTCCATCAGATATGGTAAATAGGGTGCCAAAACACTCAGTCTTACTGGTACCGTAATGCACAACTCCACATATAGTTCGCGTTCGTGAGGTAATCTAGCAGAAACGATCTTCTCGTTAAGGGATTGTAATAAAACTTGAAGAATTGGTTTAATTGATCTGTACAAGTTTTCAAACCTTCCGCCTCCAATACTTCTGAATAGCGTTCTGATCAAGTAGAAGTAAACTAGCGGTTCTTCAGCAGTTTTGGAGTATTCCAGAGAATCTAATATTAGTCCGTTGAGATGTGGTAATAGAACAATTTCATTAATATTAGGAAACAAGTTCACAGACATAAATGAAAGTTTAAATAATCTGATGAGAATATTGGATGTGTTAAAATCAGTGTTGCCCAATGTTTTCAGTTTTCTTTTCAGAAATCTGAGCAGTATGCCAGCAAAGTTCGGAGATGTTAATTCGCTTGTTAGAAAAGATTGTGCTACATGTAATAGCGCTGAATCTTCTAGCATTCTATCATATAAAAAGTCCATTTCGGCGTTCACAACTTCATTAAATGTTGCACTATCTACCTGCATAAAAGTGAATGCTAAGTAATCCATCAACTCCCTACCATCTTTAGTAGCTGATACAGGGAGGCTTGGCATTGTAATATCAAAATGCTTCTTCGAGAGGAGGTCTTTATTAACAGGATTTTCACTAGAGAAGAACCTTAGCCCAATAATGCACTCATGGAATAAATCTCTTAATACTAAAACTTCTTCATATGAAAAAACTCTTGATACAGAAGCCCAAAGTTTTGGATGAGCTAGGGTGTACTCATTGGCTGATGGATTAAATATTTTCAGATCGTAAACCACAGTTTTCAGGAAGGACATCAGAGTCCTGTAAAGGTAAAATGCATCCTTAACAGGGTCATTATGACTCTTTGGGGATAGCTGAATTGGAAGAAGATCGTGCAATTCAAAGAGTTCTATATTTACAGGCTCATCCACTTCAATCTCTTCTACCTTACCCTCTGATTTGTCTTCCTTATTTTTGGCGGTAGTGTCTTCCAGGTAATTCTCCTTCAATACTGACTTAATGAAATTGTCGGTATCATCAGCAACTTCTGGTAGAGGGTTCTTTTTTGAATGCTGTTTTATATTTTTCTCCTTTTCAATTTTCTTATGCTGTTTCATAATGGTATTGTATTGTCTATTTAATTTTTTGAACCTAGTAACATAGGCGTGAACGATAATCATTAGGAGTTTTTTAGCTCTAGGTGCTTCCTGTGGATTTTCCTTACCTAGTTTCAGGATCCTTTCCACCAAATTCAGCAGTAATTTGGCACTCATAATTTGCACTGTGAGCGCAAGGGACTCGTCCATGAGATATTCGGTATACATCTTTATTGTCTTTTCAATCTCATTAAGTTTTAGCTCGGATCTTATGTTATGGATAAAATCAGCAACTGTGCTGTAAGCGAGAGGCCGAAGAGTTTCATACATTGTGAAGCCATTGCCTATAAGGACACTTTTATCAAACAGATAGTCTAGTTTTGGAAGAAATAATTTCTTATAGTTCGTGGAAAGGATATGGCGAGTTGCATGTAACAGCTCTTTCCTGGCTGATGGCAATTCAGGAGGGCAATCTTGCAACAAGCGTATAATCAAATCAGGCACAATTGGAATATAATTTTGTAGTGAGTTCGCAGCGTATCCTCTAATGAAAACATATGCCAAAAATGATGTAGCTTTAATTTGAGCCAAGATGAAGTCGTTGTATGCTGCTTTATCATTAATTAGTGGTGATACAGAGACAAAGCGTTCGCCTCTCTTCTCAGCTTCCTCTCTTGCTTGTTTCTGTTGTTTGACTTCAATACTCAATAAAGTCATAATATATGGAGCAAACTCGGGCAATGAAGTCGTGGTTAACTGTTTGTAGGAAGAATATAAGGTGACCATTGTAATTGGGCATTCCGATAAGATTTTAAAGGAGTGTAAAGATGGTCTGAGCTTCTGACCTTTGGTTGAGTTCTCGTGAACATCATCATCCACAGAGCCCCTTGAGCTCTTGACGTCCAGGATGTTGGTACTATCGTTATTAGACTCCATAGTAGATTCATCATTGGAATTGTTATTTGTATCGTCATCATCATTACTACTGGAGTTCTCCAACCCACCATTTTCATCGGAGTAAAAAGTCTTCTCCACAAGCTCGGGCCTGTTCTTATAGAATTGGATAATGATATCGATGAAGGAGTTCACCTTTTCACCCAAAATATTCTTGAATGACTTGAAGAGTATAGTCAGAATCTTGGTTATTATAACACCGTTCTTTTCGTTTTCCTTAGGAAGAATATCTAGTAGTGCATCTGCTACTCTGACCGCGTATGGCTCAAAGCTTTGGTTCACCATACACTTGTTCAAAATTTCCAGCAAGGAAAACCTTAGTTTCTGCTCGTAGGAGTTGGACTCGAAGCTTATGTCAATCTTTTCCAATTGCTCCAGGATGATAGGCACCATAGAGGTGAGAAACATTTGAAATTCTTCAGGCGTGTTCAGTAACTGCATCAAATCGTACAGCTCAGACACCGTCGAGTACCGCGACGCCAGACTCTGCTGGTCGTCCTTCAATTTCTCGGCATACTCACTAATCTGATCAGCGGACGCCATTCTTGCTTTCTATATAGTCTATGCAATATCCAGAGCGGTAAAGTTGTATTCTCGGAAATGCTTCCGCAGAGCAAGCAAAATCTATAAGCTTAAGGAACTTCGAAAACAAAATGAAAAGATCCTTCTGACCCGTGTTTCGCGTCCTGGATCACAATAGTTATGCACTCCGGTAATTGAGTTCGGCGCTTAGAAATATAGCTCAGATCTAGTTCACTGTTGTGTTCTAAAATTGTATTGTTTTTTTCCCGCCAAACTGGATGGCGATGCCAAACGGGAAAGAGAAAAATTTGGGAAAACAACACTGAAAATGCCGATTTGACTAGGAAAGCATCGTTATCACGTGATCTATTACCCGATTAGGAAAAACCTTTAAAAATGCTACTTTGGAGAGCAAAACTATGCCCAAGTAGTGAGATAGGTGGGTAAAGACCTGGGGTCTCTCTACATTTGCTGTGTATAGCACGCCGGGTCCTTTGCCACTGAGGGTCAAGTAGGTGGTGGAGAGCGCAGGCTTTTGTAATGCAGACTCTGGAGGGGATTGTTTTCCTTTGTTGTGTCTGTGATGTGTTTGTGGGGAGTGTCCCATTTGGATAGGCGGTGTTATAAAAAAAAATAAGTATGCAGAGTATGTATGGATCCGTGTCTGTTGAGGGTTTTTAACTACAGATGGCCGATAGTTTACTTGCGGTAAAGGACATGACTTTTTAATGTATCTAGTGCTGCTGCGAAAGGGTACTGCTCACGTCATAGTACCCTTAAGTACTCACTAATACATGTCAAAAGTATGACACAGAAATTAGGGATTCTGACTTCAGTAAGGGCTGATTGGCTTGAGAATTACGAATTTGCTGAATTGGGTATTACATTATTTGCAACAGCATAGATTCTTTATGTGTTAACGGTAATTCACTCAGTGGAGTGATGCCACCCCTAAATTGTCACTACCCTTTATTACCGATCATGAAGTTTAGATGTAAAGAATGTCTCTAAGGCGTTCTTCCGTTACTCAATATGTAATTAGTTCCTCTTCATGCACAACAATGAGACAGCCAAAATAACACCAATGAAGGCTTGGCGATGAACAGGCTTATTCAGTCAAGGTAGATCATAAAAATATCGCACATGCTACTTTGCTTTCATAGCAATGCGTCCTGTCTATCAAAATTCCCTAGCCTTATTGCAACTGTCAATTATGAATCAATAACGATATATCATTGCTCTTACAAAATTAAAGGGTACTAAAAGATCATAAATAAAAGGATATGGTCAGGGAAATTTCAGTCCATACTTTGAACTTAATTCGCTCATTTTTAATTGGTTTTAGAAAACATATAAAAGAGGTATGACAATTCTATCTTCAAAAAGTATCTCCTTCAATGTCTTGTTTAAATTTTAACGTATTCAAAGTCGACAATAAAGCAAAAAGATGATATATTCGTTGATATTTTTGTGCGCATTGGCATCGCTTTCATGTGCATTTACACCAAATGCTACCTCTTTCAATGCTACTGAGTCTGAGAGTGTTGCTGTCTTCAGTAACTCAAGCAGTTTGCTGAGATACAATAGCTCTTCTGTGTTGTTTAGTAATAACTACGGTAAAAACTGGACTGTTTTGCTTAACAATACTGCGACACCTCAGAGACATAATGGTAGCAATAGGACATTCAACTACTTCGATTTCCTAAATAGTGAATACTTTGATGATATGGAATCTTACTATGAACCTGAAGTAATTATTGATCCTTTGTATAGTGAATCAAGAGCATTTTATGGTTTTAAGAATGTGTTCTACGTTTTTGACGCCCAGGGCAGAAATGAAACATCTGGACCTATTTCAAACTTAACTAACTCTTCTATGCTCTTTGATGTGTCTACAAACGTACACAATAAGAGTTTGATTATATCTAATTTCATCGAGGTGTTAGATACAAAACACTACCGTGGTAGATCATTCATATCGGTCAATAACGGTACATCTTTTAGAGAAATAAAGCCATCTATTCCTAACTTGAATGACAGTGTAGTTGACAAATTCTTATGTCACTTCCTGGCATCTACTCCAACCACTAAATTCAAAAACAGTAGTGATTTAGTATGTTTCTTCACATCTACTAACAGGGGCTTCAATAATACTGTATTTTTCTCAGGAGATTTTGGTGTAACTTTGCAAGCCGTTAATTTATCGTCTGGAATTTATCCTTTGGATGTTCAGATAACAGACTCATATGTGATCATGCAGACCGCTAATACTACAGCTGCTAATTGGTTATTCAATCTTGGAGATGATAACGGAAACAGCGACGATGATTCTGATGATAGTGATGACTTACCTCCTACGCCAACTGTTAGTGACTTCCCAGGAATTTCAAATTTCCCTGGTATACCTGGTATTAGTGGATTCCCTAGCATTAGTGGTATTCCAGGCATTAGCGATATACCACACCTCAGCGGCATTCCTGGTATTAGTGGTATTCCAGGTATTCCAGGTATGCCTGGTATTCCTGGCGCAAGTGGCATCCCAGGTACAAGTGGAATTCCAGGTGCTAGTGGCGTTCCGGGTGTAGATGGTGTTGATGGTGTTCCGGGTGTAGATGGTGTAGATGGTATTCCTGGTGTTGATGGTATTCCTGGCATTGACGGTATTTCTGGAATCGATGGTATTGATGGTGCAATAGGGGATCTGTTTAGTCAAATATCTGAATTGTTCAGAACAGTTGATCTTTACGTATCCAAAGATGGTAAGGATTTCAATAGGGCTAACATTCCAGCCATTACTTACAATGTCTTCTCAGTGAGTGAAATAATGGGAGGTAAGTTAATATTTAGTAATGGCTTCTCACCATTCACATTGGGATTTACGGAGGTAACGAATAGTACGGCTTCTAATAGTTCTACTAATGTTTCTTCTGTATTTATTTCTGATTCTACAGGGTTGAATTTCACTAGTGCTAATATCAGCTACAGTGACTCATTGTTCAGCCAACTCTACACTTTCGGGGATTTAAATGGTACTATAATCATGGCTCCTCTTGGTATATGGAACTCGACATCAAAGATATCAACTGATAATGGTGCAACATGGAATGATTTGAAAGTCAACAGTTCTAGTGTAAAGGGAAATTACTCTTGTATTGCACACAACAACTGTACCTTACAGTTGTCCGCCATTCTAGGATATTCAAAGACCGGTATCATGGTCGCGCAAGGAAATATTAATTTAACTCCACAAGACTTCAACAGGACCTTCAATATAACTAATCTTGATGACTTGTATGACGATTACAATCTAACGGATATAGAAACTGATAGTGATGATTACTTCGATAATTTCTACCTTTTGACCACGACATTCCTGTCAAAGGATGGTGGTATGACGTGGGAACAAATATTAGATTACTCAAAGGCAGTTGCCCTTGGTAACTTTGGTAACATCATTGTTGCGGAAGACAATGGCTTGAGAAATACCACTGGTTTTGTGTACTCTTTGAATATGGGTGCTACCTGGGATAGATTACCTACATCAGTGCCTTTGTTCTCCAATGATGTTATTAGTACCACACCTGATAGCTCCGGGTTGCAATTCATCCTAACCGGTGAGAGCAGAAGAGGATTCCGAAATGTTGCTGAAGTTGTAGACTTCTCTTCCTTGTTTAACGGGAAGCTTTGTAGCTCTTCAAGCGACTTGGAACAGTTTAAGCTGAATAACGGTACTTGCCTGAACGGTTCTCGTTACGAAATTAACAGAAGGGCTCCATCAGCTCAGTGTCTACTGAATATTAATAACACTAGGTGGGATATTTCTTCATGCTGATTAATTAGTGTATGTTCCGGTAGGTATATTTACGATCGTTTACAGCAAATAATTTCTCGATCCTTTATATGCACGTCATGTCAAACCTACGGGAATAGAGAGCGCGAATCCCCGCGGATATAGTAATCACATAAAAAGACATAAATAGAAGAGTGACTATGCATTAGGTATAGTAAATGCTATCTTCAATGCTAGTAGATGAGTATTTAACATAATAAATATCAAACTGTATGAGTTTTAAAATCATGTGACGATCAGTTACTACGTCGTGAGACTTGCACGACGATCCGACGTTCGAAGTGGGAAACTTGCGAATCCAATCGACTTGTCAACCAACGTAGATCAAAATGCTGAACAAAACTGGGAATAATACCATTGTTCACCAGTTTTTGGAAGCTTAATTGGTAAAAAATAGGAATTCTGTAAGAGGATCTGTTAATTGCAGTTGTGTTTCAGAGATTCAGCTTTAAAAAGCAACCTGATAAATCTAAAAGGAAACTAAAAACCTTGGAATTTTACCTTGGAATCGATCATCAAACCTTCTACTTCTGCAAGTGTTCAATTTTCTGGGACTAAAAAAGAGCCAGGAATAACCATATCTATTTACTTCTCCATTTTAGTTATTGGACCATGTCTTTTGAGCTAGCTGGGTCCATGTCGGATCTTTCCTTAGAGCAATCCCAAAGTAATGAATTGAAAAAGGGTAAGTCCAAGAGACCAACAAGGGCTTTTCATACTTTCTCAGGCAACCCTGTGCAATCTTCTCCAACTACGAACATGTATGCATTTCAATCAAATTACCAAACTCCAAAAGTTGCAGACAACAATGGAGTTTTTACGCCAAAGAGGGTTGAAAGCCAGACTGTTAATTCACCAGTATTGCAGTATGGTAACCCTCCTAGGACACCAGTAATGGGTGGTAATGCTTCTCCAAGAGCACACTCACCAGGTTATTTTTTCCCCAATGGCAATAACGAAAATGTCTTCTCTCATATTGTTCCCACTCAACGTTGGGAAGAGCAACTTCGTTATTTGACTAAAGCATTTGATACCACAAGGGACTCGGTTCCGCCATCGTCTACCACTGAGTTTTACTCTAGCGACTCTGGTTCGTGTGATCCTCGATTGATGCAATTGTCCATGTATAACATCCCCGAGGATCAGCATTTGAGAGCAGCAACTAAATTGCCTTTGGGTGTTACTATTCAGCCTTTTGCTGATATTACACCAGGCTCTGTTCCAGTTTCTGGTGATGGGATAGCTGCAGATACTATGAAGAATTTAGAAGGTCCAATGAGATGTAAACGTTGCCGTTGTTACATCAATCCCAAGTTTCAATTTAACTATGATTCGAAGGCGATTTGTAATATTTGTCAAATTAAGCAGCCAGCACCTTATGATTACTCCAGTGCTGTTGGTCCAAATGGGCAAAGAACTGATGCAGAAATCAGGCCTGAATTATCTAAAGGCGCTGTCGATTTCATTGTTCCACCTATCTATAATGCACACCCAGATAAACCAAGTGTACCATTGCATTATGTCTTTTTGATAGATGTTACATCATTAGCAAATGAAAATGGTAGTTCTTTGGCTGTCATTGAAGGTATCAGAAGCTCTGTTGACTACATTATCGAAAATCAACCAAACTGTAAACTTGCTATCATTGCATATGACAACAAATTGAAGTTTTTCAATCTGAAACCTGAATTAGAGACAGCCCAAGAGTACGTGATTTCAGAATTAGACGATGTATTCCTACCTTTCTATAATGGCTTATTTGCAGACCCTGCTGAATCTAAGCATGTCATTGACCAAACTCTAAGTAGATTGGCTGCTTTTATTACTAACGACAAGTACTACCACGTTCCACAGGCCTGTTTCGGGTCAGCTATTCAGGCTGCGAAATTAGCATTGAAAACCTTCACAGGTGACGAGGGTGGTAAAGTTGTGTGTTCTTTGAACTCACTACCAACAATCGGTAATGGTAACTTATATTTAAAAAAGGACAATGCACATGTTCATCATATGAGATGTGATAACGACTTTTACAAAAAGCTTGCACATGACCTATTAGCCAGCTATGTTTCCATAGATTTAATTGTTACAAGTGGTGGTTTTGTTGATTTGACTAATGTCGGTCATCCAACTCTAGTTACTCACGGTTCTCTTAAGTACTATCCACACTTTATACAACAGAATGACGAGGCGAGATTGGTCCAAGATATGGTATCAAATATTGCTAATACAGTTGGTTACCAAGCTGTGTTAAAACTACGTTGTTCCACTGGTGTCGGTGTGGACATGTACTATACAGATGCATCTGGCTACACTGATAAAGATGTGATTCTTCCTGTTTTAACCAAAGATACGACCATTGATGTGCTTCTGAAATATCAAGAAAAGTTGAAGGCCGGTACCGATATACATTTCCAATGTGCTTTGTTGTATACTGATGTGCATGGTATCAGAAAAGTTCGTTCCTTGAATACTAATGGTGCGGTTTCAAATAATGTTCGTGAAGTATTTAAGTTCGTGAATCAAAATAGTGTTTTGCGTATCATTGTAAAGGATGTTATCAGGACGTTAGGCGATTGTGATTTCGCAGCTATAAGAAAGTCTCTCGATACCAAACTGGTCGATATTTTGACCCAATACAGAGGTTTGGTTAGCGGCAACAGCTCTTCTCAACTTGTTTTACCTGACTCACTAAAGACTCTACCATCTTATATTTTGAGTTTCCAAAAGCAGGATTTGATGAAACCTAACCAACAAAGCACTCGTGGTAATGAGAGAGTGTATGATTTGATCAGATATGAGACAATAAACCCAGCGGAGCTACTATACAAATTATACCCACAAATAATTCCAATGCATGTTTTGCTGGAAGAAAATGATTTCTCTTTTTACGATGCTAATGATAAACTATTACAGATTCAAGAGGATTCTCTTGATGAAGTATCTGTCCGTAATATGCATTCAAACTTGACAGATGGAGGTTGTTACTTGATCTTCAATGGTGATTCCGTGTACTTGTGGTTCAATGTGCACACTAATAGATTATTGTTGCAAGATCTTCTTGGAATTGACCCAGATTTCCCTATCAATCAAATAACACTCTATGGGGGTATGCTACCTGAGACAGGTACAGAGATTAACAACAAGGCATTTAATTTGATTAGATATTGGGGCCAAATGGTTAATAAGAAATCTCTGCCAATTATTCCATTGAGACCAAACATTGATCAATATTACAGCTCTATTATCAGTCAGGTATTATGTGAGGACAAGAGTATCAACATGATCGAGAGTGGTGACAATTATTTCGTTGCTTTGCATAGGCAAATTCAGGAGAAATTGAAGAAGGAAGATTACATCAAGATCTCCACGAAGAGTCGTGGTGGAGACGATATCCACCAAAAATTTGTTCAATTTTAAAAGGAAATCTGAAAACTAAGTATGGGATAGGTTGATATATGCTGTAGCTCATAGGATAACCACATTTTTTATGAACCTTTAAGAGTGCCACTTCTTTGTTTGCTGGAGTAGAAAAGATGTATAAGCTCTCTTCTCCACCGTTATTACTTTAAATATTTAACGCTATAACAAACTCCCCCATCCAAGAAGAATGCTACTAACCAACGTAGCATTCAATATTGGTAGCCACCCCAGTATATAAAAAGATAATTTGTAATGATAATAGAAAACATGTGTTCAATGAATGAGGAAAACAATAATTTCACCGCACGAAGATTGTGGATACAAATAATTAGGGCAGTTGTACTGTTTTTAGTGAGCTGACATCTACAAAACATGAAATACTTAAGACATTCAATAAACCCATGACTTTTGTTAAAAGTGTAGAAGCCGGGTAAATCAACCAGTGGTCACTCTTCTTCCGTCACAGAGAAAATGCTGCACAATAATTATTTTTTGGGTAAAAATTAGTGAGGCTCATCTCCACTTATGAACCCCGCAGAAACATTTTGCAGCCAATAAAGATCGGAGAATCCGGAAAAACTGTTCACTATTTTCTTACAGAACCTTCCGCACCATTTCTGTGCTCCCATTGTTCAAATGTCTTGGCACCAATCAACAGGGAAGAACTTTGCAATTTTCCCTAAATTTCACCGATGTTCTCAGAAACACTCGTAGGAAACACCGGCATAATATTTAAATAGAGAAACCAAAGCGAAATTAATCTGTAGGGGCTCTTCAGTGCAAGAGATACAACCTTTGATCATTTGAAGGGTAGTTTTTCCGCTCCACAACAAACTAAAATAAGCTAGAAGTTGCTGCATAGCAATATAAACTTTATTTTTCTAAAATTGCCTTCGTTGCCTTACCCTAAACCCGCAAACGCATCATACCGCGGAGTTTTAGTGAGGTCAGATACCTTTACCCTAAAGTGAAGAGGCTCCTGTAGGGGATTCTAAGCGTTAAAGCTGTTAGAAATAAAAACGGGGTTCATACAATACAACAGCTGAATATGAACAAATTAATTAGCCAATATAATAGCCTCTCACCACAAGCATGTATTGTCAGAAGCTTAATAGACACAGCAACTCCTCCCCGTAACTATATTTTAAGGGGTCTCTCAACAGTGTACAAAGTTCATACTTGCAGTTCTTGGAACTCCGAGAGTTTAGAGGAAGAGAAAGGTATATGTAACTATATTCATTGTAGCAACCTAGCCTTGTCCAACACCAATTCCTTTTTGATATTAGAACAAACCTTAGAATTATTGCCGTTAGTCCAGGTGTTAATTTAGATAGACGGTAATGTGCTGCGTGTTAATATGGAAAGTTGCCCATCAGCACTGGTGTGGAGAAAATAGACTTTGTACTCTAGATGTATACAGACATTATTATAGTTATTTGAAGCAGGGGTTAGTGCATCCATACACACGGTAAAAATAGTAAACGATAGCAACAAAACTAGTTCTGCACCTCTAATATAACAGCAGTTCGCTACAAGGTTAAATTTAAACTGCTAGGGATGACTGTATCGCCAGAAATATCGTCCACATTCTTAGCCTATTTGCTCATCTTTACATCAACTTGCAAAATATAATAGGGATACCAATTATCAAAGTAGCGGAAATTTGTGCCACTCTACTAGAGTATAATGGCAATAGTGTACTGAGGGGTTTAAAGGTAATGTAAATAGGCCAGCATTTCCAAATAACTGCTTCATACTATACAAACCAGCAGGATTGTTCTATGAGAACTTATTTCAACAGTAAAAATCCCTAAAAATTGGCATTACAAATGTAATCTATTGTAAAAACAGCCGGATAATCGAACACCACCTGGCTCTAAAAATGTTCCTCCAAATTAGTATAAAAGTAATTCAAACTATCACCCGAGTTATGTATATATCGAACTCCTCTTGAAGTTGGCCTCCTTTTGCAATAAAAAATCCATATAACATTAAAATTGACCAAATACTACAAAAGTGTTAACAGTTATATTTCATAGGTTTTTAATCCTTTAAATTTTGGAAAGTGTTATATTTTTAGCGTTTGATAAAATTAATTCTATTATAATTTAGCCACAATGTCCAACGTTGATCCCACGAACCCAGCGTATATACCACCCACTCAGACAACAAATGCAGGATATATCCCACCAACTCAAGCCACAATTTCCGATGAGGGCTCAAAGTCAGGTTCAGATTATATTTACGATGCCAACGGCGTCAAGCAAACAAGGACTGATAGTATGATCAGCGGCCCTAAGGAAGAACTTCAAAAGGAGGTTGAAGAAGAACTGCACCACAAAAAGAAGAGTGACCTAATATTTGTCTCCTTATGCTGTATTATGGTTGCCTTTGGTGGTTTTGTTTTTGGCTGGGATACAGGTACTATTTCTGGTTTTGTTAACCAAACAGATTTTCTGAGAAGATTTGGACAACAAAGAAGTGATGGTACCTATTACTTGTCTAATGTTAGAACAGGTTTAATTGTCGCTATCTTTAATATCGGATGTGCTATTGGTGGTATTACCCTTTCAAAACTTGGTGATATTTGGGGAAGAAGATTGGGCTTGGTTACGGTCGTGGTTGTATATACAATCGGCATTGTTATCCAAATCGCCTCTATTGATAAATGGTACCAGTACTTCATCGGTAGAATTATCTCCGGTTTAGGTGTCGGTGGTATCGCTGTCTTGTCACCAATGTTAATCTCTGAGGTTTCTCCAAAACAATTAAGAGGTACATTAGTTTCTTGCTACCAACTAATGATTACATGTGGTATCTTTTTGGGCTACTGTACCAATTACGGTACAAAAAACTACTCCAACTCTGTCCAATGGAGAGTTCCATTAGGGTTATGTTTCGCATGGGCATTATTTATGATATTTGGTGTTATGTGTGTTCCTGAATCTCCAAGATATCTTGTGGAAGTAGGCAAGTTAGAAGAAGCCAAGCGTTCTCTTGCCAGAGCCAATAAAACAACTGTAGATTCTCCAATCGTCCTTTTGGAACTGGACAAATATCAAGCATCAGTTGAAGCTGAACGTCTGGCCGGCTCTGCATCATGGGGAGAATTAGTCACAGGTAAACCACAAATGTTAAGACGTACAATCATGGGTATGATGATCCAGTCGCTACAACAATTAACGGGTGCAAACTACTTCTTCTACTATGGTACTACCATTTTCAGAGCTGTTGGATTAGATGATTCATTCCAAACTGCAATTGTTTTAGGTGTTGTCAACTTTGTTTCAACATTCTATGCCTTGTATACTGTAGACCACTATGGTCGCCGTAATTGTTTAATGTGGGGTTGTGTTGGTATGGTATGTTGTTACGTTGTCTATGCCTCTGTTGGTGTAACGAGACTATGGCCAAATGGTGAGGGTAACGGCTCTTCCAAAGGTGCTGGTAACTGTATGATTGTTTTTGCATGTTTCTTTATTTTCTGTTTTGCCACTACATGGGCACCAATTGCCTATGTTATTGTCTCTGAGTCATACCCACTAAGAATTCGTGGTAAGGCCATGTCCATCGCTATTGCTGCTAACTGGATCTGGGGTTTCTTGATTGCTTTTTTCACTCCTTTCATCACATCCGCCATTAATTTCTATTACGGATATGTCTTCATGGGCTGTATGGTATTTGCATACTTCTACGTCTTTTTCTTTGTCCCTGAAACAAAAGGATTAACTCTAGAAGAAGTTAATCAAATGTATGAAGAGGGTGTACTTCCATGGAAGTCATCCAGTTGGGTGCCTCCAGACAGAAGAACTGCCGAGTACAATTTGGATGACTATTCCCACGATGATAAGCCATGGTATAAGAGAGTATTCTCAAGAAATTGATAATCTCAGCAATTTTATTATTTCCACAATAATAATAAACAAGACTTTTTAAAAACGTTGATTGAGCTTGCATTGGTGTCACAAATATTACACACTATTAATAAACTATTAAATGCAAACATTTAATGAATGACAAGGTTTTTTTTATTCTCTAATCTATTGTTTTAAAATTGATAATAATAATGACTACACTAATAATCATATATCAAAAAAATTTTGTAATTTTTTAATTTAATCCACTTTTCACTTTTTCACCAATATTCACCAATCATTTAGCCAATATATCATTAATACCAAACAAGCTATCCATTCTATTATTGACATGCCGCTGGTGCAAAAATAATTGCCATTATAGGTGAGGTTAAATAGCAAAATTGTTCATGGTCAAGATCGGCATATGAAGTTCATAACAAACTGAATTGATGCTAGATGCATGGTTTTCTATCTGTCTTGGAATTAAAGAGGGCACTGTTGGGTAATATTTGAATAATTCATCTTTTATGCTTAACCCAAAGCCTTTAAAAATGCTAAGGCCAATTCATTCCTTTCTTAGACTGACATATTTCTATATGTGATAGGCTTTTGGTAGAAGAGTTTTTGAGAAACATTTCCACCAAACAATAGCAAAAACATCACCAAAATATAATGCACGGATCCGTTTGACAGTAGTCGCCTGTATACGCGTAAACCCAGATGTGCATGACCTAGTAATATCAAAGTAATATTGTCCCGCAATATTTTTAACGAAGAATATATTATTTTAATCGAATCCAGCTTCAAAAGGTTCCTAGGGAACATGTACCACAGAGGAAAAGCGAGACATATTATGATGGAGAAACTCGGCTAATACATTTCTATTAGATCGCCAATCACTAACACGAGCTTTTATTTATTTCGGAATTATTAATAGTTTTATTCAAGTTAACGCGTCACAAATATCTGAATTAAAATCCCGATAACAGTCAAATGGTATAATAGGTGCCTTTTTTGATGAGCCTTTTGTGCATCGGAAAAACTATAACACACAAAAGAGGTGCAAGAAATATCTTAAGGGAGATGCTTGCTCACAAAGAAATCTCGTAAAGATTACTGCGTGAGAAATTTCAGGTTTTTGGCCTCGCTAGACTTTCGATTTGTCTCAAAAACAAGGTTCATCTTATCAAGCTCAAATATATGACAAAACTTTAGAAAAGATGATAATAAAAACGACAATTCAAACATTAGTTCTGTTCCAAATTAAGATACCAAGAAACTAATATCACAATTAAAACTTAACACCTGAATAATATGACTTTACCGATTCTTGAAGCAATTGGTACCCGCCAATATACGATCGGCAATTTCTTGCAATAGCAAACAATGGTATCTCAGAAATATAGAAAAAACAATGATACAGGAAGCCCTAATTTGACCTCATCTCTCCGAAATGTAGATATGACGTAAAATTCCTGCAGATATGGCGTCATTGGGCCAAATATAGTCCCAATTCAGATCTAAAAATCTCGCTTGACCACGGAAAAACTAAAATATCAGGAGAGTTTTTCCGTGGGAACTCCGTAAAAATGAAGGTTTGCGCGAAATTATATAGCAAATTATAAAAAAAGAAAGAAAAAGCCTTTTAAGAAAACATCGATCCCTGCATCAGCCGGAAAAACTCAGTGAAACAGCCGTATCATTTTCGGAAAAACTTTTTGATATGTCATTTTCCCACAGCGGCACTAATAACATAAACGCTAAAACATAATCGTACCTGCAAGTAGCCTGTAGAGTGCTTTCGGGTACATTCGTACCCGCGAGATTTTTTGATATTGCACTAATTATACTGACCGACATGAAAAGAAAGGAGATAGCATAGTATGGGTGACATAACATCAGTACACACCACAATGGCGTGAAGATATTGTTTACTAACATATTCCCCAAATTCATTGCGATATAGGAGCCGAAACGAGAATAGTAAATGCGTCAATAATGGAAGTAAGGTACGAACTGGGAATTGAGAAAAATTTTTCTGGAGTATAAAAGAGGAACTATTTCCCCCAGAAGTATTTTTTTGCATTGATGTTTTTCATCTGGGGTTAACTCATTTCAATTATTTTTATCTTACAACAAATAAAAAAACAACACAATAATTAAACATTATGAATTCTCAACCGGATTTGATAAGTCCACAAAAATCCTCTTCTTCAAATGAGGTGGATTCTCATGAATCCAAATATCTAAACCAAGTCGGCAAGAATGATATGGCTGACGAATTTGTTCAGAACGAAATGATTGCCAACCCAAACACTGGTAAAGGTGCTTTTGTCGGTGTCATTATCAGTTGTTTCATGGTCGCTTTTGGTGGTTTTGTCTTTGGATGGGATACCGGTACTATTTCTGGTTTTGTCGCACAAAAGGATTTCATTCACAGATTTGGTATGAAGCATCCTGACGGAACTGAATACTTATCCAAGGTCAGAACTGGTTTAATTGTCTCTATCTTCAATATTGGTTGTGCCATCGGTGGTATTATTCTATCTAAGCTTGGTGACACTAAAGGTCGTAAGATGGGTTTGGTTGTTGTCGTTGTTATTTACATCGTTGGTATCATCATCCAAATCGCTTCCATTAACAAGTGGTACCAATACTTCATCGGTAGAATTATCTCTGGTTTGGGTGTTGGTGGTATCTCTGTTCTATCTCCAATGTTGATTTCTGAAGTCGCTCCAAGTGATCTAAGAGGTTCTCTAGTTTCTTGCTACCAATTGATGATCACATTGGGTATTTTCTTGGGTTACTGTACTAACTTCGGTACCAAGAACTACACTAACTCTGTCCAATGGAGAGTTCCATTGGGTCTATGTTTCGCCTGGGCTCTTTTCATGATCGGTGGTATGACCTTCGTTCCAGAATCCCCACGTTATTTGGTTGAAGCTGGTCAAATTGAAGAAGCCAGATCATCCTTGGCCAGAATCAACAAATGTTCCCCAGATCACCCATACATCCAACAAGAACTAGACTTAATTCAAGCTAGTGTTGATGAAGCTAGATCTGCAGGTTCTGCTTCTTGGGGCGAATTATTTACCGGTAAGCCAGCTATGTTCAGACGTACTCTTATGGGTATCATGATTCAATCTTTGCAACAATTGACAGGTGACAACTACTTCTTCTACTATGGTACTATTGTTTTCAAGGCTGTTGGTTTAGAAGATTCCTTCGAGACCTCCATTGTTTTCGGTGTTGTCAACTTCTTCTCCACCTGTTGCTCTTTGCTAACTGTCGATCGTTTCGGTCGTCGTAACTGTTTACTGTATGGTGCTATCGGTATGGTCTGCTGTTACGTTGTCTATGCTTCTGTTGGTGTCACAAGATTATGGCCCCATGGTCAAGGTAATGGCTCTTCCAAGGGTGCCGGTAACTGTATGATCGTCTTCTCCTGTTTCTACATCTTCTGTTTCGCTACCACCTGGGCTCCAATCGCTTATGTTATTATCTCTGAAACTTTCCCATTGAGAATCAAGGCCAAGGCCATGTCCATTGCAACTGCTGCTAACTGGATGTGGGGTTTCTTGATTGCCTTCTTCACTCCATTCATCACCAATGCCATTAACTTCTACTACGGATATGTTTTCATGGGCTGTATGGTTTTTGCATACTTCTATGTTTTCTTCTTTGTCTCAGAGACAAAGGGTTTAACTCTAGAAGAGGTTAACGAAATGTATGCCGAAGGTGTTTTGCCTTGGAAGTCTTCCAAATGGGTTCCTGCTTCCAGAAGAGGTGCTGATTATGATGCCGATGCTTTGATGCACGACGACACCCCATGGTACAAGAGAGTTGTTGGTAGAGGTTAAGTGTCTTGCTTTCAATGAATAGGTCCAAATCTAAATTGATGTTGACAAATATCAAATTTTTCTAACGATTATCATCATATCTTCTATTGCACTCTTGCATTTGATCATGTTTCATTTCATTTATGACAAAAATAAAGAATTTTAAATAAAGAGTTAACCTTCTCACAATTTTACGAGCCACGAAACTTTCAAAATCAGTCAATTCTATATTATAAAAGGGATTGATGGCTTACGTCGCTATTTGGGATTATGTTCACTTCTCTGAAATTCAATTTTAGTTTCATGACCGCAAAAAGTATACAAGCCAGGACAGAAGTGTAGTCCATATAGATTTAACTACCTTTGCTTGTCTTGATTGTATGTGTTTGCGTTATTTTTCATTTTTTTCAACATTCAATGTTTTTAATGTTTCTATTTTTTTACCTAAATAACAACTTTTTAGTTAATATTAATGATAAACCATAAATCGTATTCCAAATTGTAAGACATGTGGCGTCGCCAATATGTAGGTTATAACAATACACCAACTTCTGGATACAATGCTATCTATTGATGAAAATGTATAGTCGCGTTTTGATCATTTTGGAATGCTAATAATTTGAGAGCTATTAAATGACGTGTTCATAAATCCAAGGCGAGGGCCAATACACCAAAATCAACTGAAGAGTCAGTTATGTGTACAAAGTTTCTATTTTTGTTACCCCTCATTAATTTTTTTGTCCCAATTGCAACCTTATTATCCCTTATATGAGTACCTGTTGTTCTTATACTTACAGGGATTAAAAGTAATAAAACTAAAACATTGCACTGTTTGAAATTACCCCACGCCATTGAAGAAAACAGGTTCAAGCTATGGTTAGTTTACCCCATAAAAATTTAGTTTAATAGAAATTAATGAGGGGCAAATTTCCAAAGTGGCTCTGAACATGTTTGGTTTACTGTCAAAATTTTACCATATCTTCCTTTTTTGGAAACATATTAAGAGGTATTTTCTGCCGGCAATGAAAGGAGAAATATGTAGAGCAAGTTGTCTGGATTATAGCTTTGACAGGCTTATGTGCCGACAACCAAAAGCATTTCTCTCTGTGTTGGCGGCAAGTAGTAGATAAAGTGGTACGGAAATGGGGATACGCCGCTCTGTTCAAAAAAGAAATCTAGAACATCACAGTCCAAAGAAATACAATATTAGAAAGGTTTCTTTCTTTTTCAGTAACCGAATAATATGCGAGTGTGACCTTTCTTATCCGAGGCATTTTTTGTTTCAAGATTTCCTCATATAGTATAATTCCCTCAGCACACACAACTTCAATATTGTTTGAATTTCCGCTCCGCCCATAACACAGTTCTTCCAAGCAGGAAAACAACTGCATAAGCAGTTCCTATTTCCTATTTCCATGAAAGCTTCCTTCATCGTCCCAAGTTGTAATGCTGGTATTACGAAACAAAATGACGCAATTATCTAGTAAGTTATCATTTCTTTTTCAAGACCTTGTTTGTATCTTATGCGTCGGACACTACTGCATACTTTTCTTAAGAGTTCAACAATTTTTAATAGCATATGCGTCATATATAATTTTTCCGAAAAGATAAGCGCAATAAGCGCAGAGAATTCGCACAAAGCAAGTTGCGAGATTTTGATCTTCTTCATTCAACTTTTCTTTCTTTTTCTATATCTTTTGTTAAAATTACGCCATTATCCTCGAAGGGAAAAACACAAGATTCAGATTTCTTAGAAGAAAGCGTGCATCAAACCCCTTTACAAATAGGAGATACACGGAAAAATTATTCTAGATCAATGGGCATTGTAACGGAAAAAAATAACTGGAAATAGAAGTGAAAATAAAATAAAAAAAAAAACCCGCGCAGCAGTTTCTTCGAGCGTCCTTGAAGTACATTGTAGATGCTATTGTATGGGAATGGGTCCACATTCTAACAGATTACGTACGGCCCTGGGAAAAAAGGAAAGCACAAAACGGGAAAATTTTTGTTACAAAAGGAGCCGTGCATTATTAGCCGAACACTCAGAGAGTTGTGCAGAGAACACCGATGCTACTTTTTCCTCGAGATCTTTTCTTTGCATCACTTTTTTAAGACGGACTGGCGTATGGGATGTTAAGTGTCCTTTTGATGAGTGCTGGGAGAAACTGTGCACGGAAAAACATTTTCAACTACATATCCATTTGGGAACAGTATATCTGTGCGTACATTGCCTTTTCTCTGCAAAGACAAGCACAGAGGATGTCGCAGACCAATGTTCAAATACAACCTGTAGGCTCCTTGCTTTTAAGAGCTCCCCTCTGGTCCCACCACAAACCGTTATCTGTTTAGCCACTAACAAAATGTGTGCTGAGCTAGGATATTGTGCCAGCATCAACAAAAAGTGGGGGGGGGTTTGAGGAGGGGCAAGGGGTAAATATAGAGGATTTAAGCGTGGGATCACATTACAACTGAGCAAGGAGTTTCTAAGAATACGCGTGGAAACATGAATGGAGAAAAAAGTCACTTTACGTGGAGAATAGCGGAGAAAAGACCCTTGAACTGATTAATTGCCCAGAAATTTCCGAAGCTACGTGCACTTGTCTCCGGAAAATTTAGCTAACTCAAATTAAAGCAGGGGTCCAGTGCTCGATCCGGATCATGGAGAGAAAATCAGCACAATACAGGAAAATCTCGGAGAGTATGCGGAAGAATCTGTGTGAACATGACAAAAACTCAAGATCAAAGACAGAAACACAAGCAGGAACGATTACGTTGGGCGGGAAAATTACCGAATGGCAAAAAAAAAATGAACCACTTGAAACAAAAGAAAATACCATAGTAGAAGGATGGAGGGGTAAGAAAGGTTTTTGCTTATCCTCGGAATAATATGATTGATATCTAGTCCTGCATGATTTGTCTGATTGTATCCCCCACCATGAGAGTATTGAAATTAGTCCCCATTAAACCTCCGCGATGTCTGATTCAAAGGATTAGCTGGAAGAATAAAAAACTTTTCAATAAATTAAGTAATACCATTGAAAAAATAATTTTTCCGGGGGTGGGGTCTCTTATTTCACAGTATTAGCTGTATCAAATATTAATTCCACTCCCCACATTGATAAAATAATTTCAAATCAAATAACAAGCAAATAACAGAAAATTTTTACTAGTACTAGTAAGTACTTGGTATCGATTAGAGAAATGTTAGAGGAAATGGTGGACTGTCCACCTCACTATCCGTGAATTACTGTAGAAACAGCGCGATTGTGTTTTACTTTGAACAAACAATTTTTGAAGAAACATGTTGTAAAAAAAAAGATATAAATACTGGCCTAATATTCGAAAAATATTAGTATTCAGTTGCAATCTCTTTTCCATTATGTTATATTTCAAATCTTTTATCTGAAGAATAATAACAAACAATTATAGTTAATTCTTTGTGATTAACATATAATAGAGAACAAAAAAATATCAATATGCTTTTCTCAAAAAAGAAGGAAGATCCTCAGGCCGTTCCTGAGGCATCTCCAGAAAATGACTTTTCTCCATCTCTATCCCAACAAGATTCATCTGCTTCCCCATATGAAAATGATGTCAAGAAGCTTGAAGAAGAAGCCGAACAAACTCCAATAGTAGACATTCCAAAGAAGCCTGCTTCTGCTTATGTTACTGTTTCTATCTTCTGTCTATTCATCGCTTTTGGTGGTTTTGTTTTCGGTTGGGATACTGGTACCATTTCTGGTTTCGTCGCTCAAACCGATTTCATTAGAAGATTGGGTCAAAAGCGTGCAAATGGTACACACTACTTGTCTAAGGTTAGAACTGGTTTGGTTGTCTCTATTTTCAACATTGGTTGTGCCATTGGTGGTGTTATCTTGTCCAAATTGGGTGATGTGTACGGCCGTAAGCCTGGTTTGATTATCGTTGTCGTTATTTATGTCGTTGGTATTATTATCCAGATCGCTACTATTGACAAGTGGTACCAATACTTCATCGGTAGAATTATCTCCGGTTTGGGTGTTGGTGGTATTGCTGTCTTGTCTCCTATGTTGATTTCCGAAGTCTCTCCAAAGCACTTGAGAGCAACTCTGGTGGCGTGCTACCAACTAATGATTACATTGGGTATTTTCTTGGGTTACTGTACTAACTTCGGTACCAAGAACTACTCCAACTCTGTCCAATGGAGAGTTCCATTAGGTCTATGTTTTGCTTGGGCTATCTTTATGATCAGTGGTATGACCTTCGTTCCAGAATCTCCAAGATTTTTGGTCGAGAAAGGTAGAATTGAGGATGCCAAGAGATCTATTGCGTCTTCTAACAAGGTTTCGGTTGATGATCCAGCTGTCGTTGCTGAAGTTGACAGTGTTCAAGCTGCTGTTGAAGCTGAAAGATTGGCTGGTTCTGCTTCCTGGGGTGAATTGTTCTCAACCAAGACCAAGATTTTCCAACGTTTGGTTATGGGTATCATGATTCAATCTTTGCAACAATTGACAGGTGACAACTACTTCTTCTACTATGGTACTATTGTTTTCAAGGCTGTTGGTTTGGAAGATTCCTTCGAGACCTCCATTGTTATCGGTGTTGTCAACTTCTTCTCTACTTTCGTTGGTATTTTCTTGGTCGGTAGATTTGGCCGTCGTACCTGTCTATTGTGGGGTGCCGCTACCATGACTGCTTGTATGGTTGTTTTCGCTTCTGTCGGTGTCACCAGACTATGGCCTCACGGTAAGGGTAATGGTTCTTCCAAGGGTGCTGGTAACTGTATGATTGTCTTCACCTGTTTCTACATTTTCTGTTTCGCTACCACCTGGGCTCCACTAGCTTTCGTTATCTGTTCTGAAACCTTCCCATTGAGAGTCAAGGCCAAGTGTATGGCTCTTGCTCAAGCCTCTAACTGGATCTGGGGTTTCTTGATTAGTTTCTTCACTCCTTTCATTACTGATGCTATTAACTTCAACTATGGTTACGTCTTCATGGGCTGTCTATGTTTCTCCTACTTCTACGTTTTCTTCTTTGTTCCAGAAACCAAGGGTCTAACTTTGGAAGAAGTCAACACCATGTGGGAAGAAGGTGTCTTGCCATGGAAGGCTTCTCAATGGGTTCCTCCATCCAGAAGAGGTGCTGATTATGATGCCGATGCTTTGATGCACGATGACACCCCATGGTACAAGAGATTCCTATAAGGAAATGACTAGTCCCTAGCTTTCTTTAGAGCCATCTGTTTAATAGATTCATCAATGTGACCAGTGTTGTCTAGCGTCGCAATTAATTTTTAAAGCAAACTTTTTAATACGTCGGAATAGAGGTACAAATCAAGGTAAGCCACATACTTTACCTGATTTGCATCGTGACACTTTAATACACTTTGGGAAATATCTATCCCTTTTTCTTTCCAACAATTTTAACGAACCAATTTTTATGACTTTTAAATATTATAAATACTTTTGATAATTCAGATTATAAATTCATCTAAATTACTCTCATTAAATCCTATCCGAGTTCATAGATACTGAGTGTATAGCTATGTAAACCACTAGCTCATCTCGAGGATCGGATTTTATATTTTAAAGGGTCCTTTGAAAGGAAAACTAGATACCACCCTAGAAGATTTCGTACAATCGGAAAATTAGAGGATGTCATTCTGAGAAAATCAATGAAATTCACATAATTCACACTTGAAGACTAAACTAAATGCATTGATCGCAACGGAGCTTGTTATCACCAATCCAATTGAACATTTGTGGGCTTATAATTTCACATTATTAATCAAGGATAATGCTACCGAGTCGATGCTTGTCTTCAACTCGAATTCTGGTGTTCAGCAGGTCGTATAGTGTTGCGAAAGTAAGCTTTCCTGAACACAATGTCCTTGACATAATCAAGGAAAATTTGTCAAACAAACTCTCTAGTCTATCGGGAGTTGATAATAACAAGGTATTCAACTCTATCGACGTCACATCAGGGTTAGAGAAAGGTGATCTAATCATCCCACTTCCGAAGATTGTGGCACACAAAGAAGACTTGGTATCACTAGCACGAACCTGGGGGGAGAAGTTATCGGATCAGCCATACATGGCTAAGGTAGTTGCTAATGGCCCTTTTTTACAGTTCTTCATTGAACCACACTACTTAACTGGGAAATTACTACCCAAAATTTTAGAAGAAAGAGAGAGATATGGACAAATCCCATTGGTAAAAGATAAGAAGGTGTTGATAGAGTTCTCTTCACCCAATATTGCAAAACCGTTTCATGCAGGGCATCTAAGATCGACCATAATAGGTGGGTTCTTAAGCAATCTTTTCCAGAATTTCGGATGGAACGTTACAAAGATGAATTATCTGGGTGACTGGGGTAAACAATTTGGTGTCTTAGCTGTAGGATTCGAAAGATATGGCGATGAAAAAATGCTAGAAACAGATGCCATAAACCATTTATTTGAAGTTTATGTTAAGATCAATAAAGATATAGAAAACGAAAAGTCATCTAATGGGAAAAGTCTTATTGATGAACAAGCTAAAGAATATTTTTGCAAGCTAGAAAACAATGACACAGATGCTATAAAACTATGGAAGAAGTTCCGCAATCTTTCAATTCGGAAATATAAAGAAACATACTCAAAGCTCAATATCGATTATGATGTTTACTCTGGCGAATCCCAAGTCTCTAAAGAAACAATTCTTTTAGTAAACAACATGCTACAGGCTTCTGGGCTGCTGAAAGAATCAAATGGAGCTAAAGTTGTGGACTTGTCTAAAGCTCAAAAATCTCTGGGGGCTGTGGTTGTACAAAAATCTGATGGAGCTAGCTTGTACATTACCAGAGATATAGCTGCTGCAATAGAAAGAAAAAGAGAATATAATTTCGACAAAATGATATACGTAGTAGCCTCCCAACAAGATCTCCACATGAAACAATTGTATCAAATTCTCAAGGAACTGAAATTTGAATGGGCAACCTCATTGGAACACATTAACTTTGGCATGGTTCAAGGAATGTCTACAAGAAAGGGTACCGTGATATTTCTAGATAATATTCTAGAGGAAGCACAACAGCAAATGTTAAGTGTAATGTCGAAGAATGACGTAAAATTTACTCAGGTTAAAAATCCATCTGAAATTGCATACCTGATAGGCACATCTGCTGTTATGATTCAGGATATGCAAAGTAAAAGAAAAAACAACTATAAATTCAAATGGGAGAGAATGCTTACTTTCGAGGGTGATACAGGCCCATATCTGGAATATGCTCATTCCAGGCTTAAATCTATTGAACTCAAAAATAAACACCTCCATGAAAGTTTAACACCAGTTAATTATGAATTGATAGGAGAGCAAGATGCCCTTGATTTAGTAAGGGTAATGAGCCGGTACCACGAAGTTCTAAAAAAAGCTCTAGAAACCAGGGAGCCATCAACATTGGTAACATACTTATTCAAGATCGCACATCAAGTATCAAAATGCTATCGTACTGTGTGGGTATCAGGACAACCAGATGATGTTGCAAAAGCCAGACTACATCTTTTCATGGCTTCGAGACAAATACTATATAATGGACTGAAGTTGCTGGGGGTAACACCTGTAGATAGAATGTAAATAAAAAGACAGTCATAATTGTAAATATTCCATAATAACTAATCATTATGCAAAAAGACTAGAAGTAATTAATGTAAATACTGATCATCCAGCTTCTATTCATTCATTGAACAATGCAGATACACCTCGTCCCGAATCTTGTAATAATTTTTTGGAACTGTCGATAGCAGTTTATTCACTTATTTATGTATTGACTATGATACCTGAGTGATTGATTATTCTCTATATGCATATTTATGAAACAGTTCTAATAGACATTTAATGCCCGTCAGCCTCTTCTTTCCAACTACCATGAAACATATGTTTCACAAGTGCCAATTCGTGCTGACTACTTTCGGCCTGCATTTGCATCACATCAGGAGAAAAACTAGTAATAGGTAATACCATAATGTCATCTACTAATAAAGGTTCTGTTATTAGTGAGAAAAACTCCCATGGCATCTTTGCAGATGATAATAGACTAGTTGAAATTTCATTATAAAACTTCTTTGTCGAATAAGTTAAGTCTTCTTCTTCCTCTTCCTCTTGAGAACCTGCTGCTGAGGAGGGTATTTCTTTTTGTTTTGAATCTAAGTTACTATTCAATAACAATATATTGCGGTTCTTTCTAATGATATTAGTCAAGTAATTTAGAATGCTGTCAGAGAAGATACCTGGACCAGTCCAGTTCATAATATCAGTACCATCAACATTTTTCCTTTGTTTCTTTTGACTGTGATCATATTCTTTATCAAACCTCCTACGATGTCTATAATTGATATTGAAATCTTTTTCATCGGCAGAATTATCAATCAATGACTTCAAATGGGCAGGAGTTTTAGCTGAAGAATATATGGTGGTAGCCGTTATATTCAGAATTAGCTCTCTTAGAACAGGATGTCCAGGCTTACTTTGAATTGTCCATTGACAAAATTGCACTCTCCTGGAGTACCAGTCAGCCCAGTCAGGTCTATCAGGGTCGGCCTCAATACCAACTACCAGACCTGGATCAATAAAGTTCATACCGTTTATCATTGTTTTATCAAAGTTCTTGTATGGAATTATCTTGGCTTTCTTCAATTTCTTCATATCTTCTTGGTTCATGGAAGGCCAATCCCTGAAATCTTTCAATGGGAACGTATCAATGTCACTATATATACCACCTCTGGCATATAACAGCAGATACCGTAGGAAGTCAGCCTTCAATATATTACTGGGCATCAGCTTATAAGCCTGCACTATTATCGGCACTTCACCGTAGAAACTCTCCAAGATTGACTCAATTTGGTCATCTGGGAGTAAATAGTAGTTCTGCTCATTCTCTTGTGAATATATCTCATCCTCATCAACTTCATAGCTGTTGGATTCCCACCTGGAAACGTACGGTTTCAGATCACCAGGGAATTCTGGTGAGTCTATTGGTACTTTCCAAGTCTGCCACACACGTCTTGGTATAGGCTTTGAAGGATCATAAGGGAAAGCTTTGCTCAAATCAGACCGTAGATCATTGGAATTGAACTTGAGCTGCTTCAAGTTCAAACCGGAAGTATCACCGTTAGACACCAGATAATTCTTTGGGTACTTAGCTCTGAATTGCCCGCTCAAGCCTCGCAAATTACCGTGAACACGTAAGAATACCACCAGCACCAGCACCGCAAGCACTATGTGCCTCTTCTGCCATTTACTCATCACTGAATTTACTGTATCAAGCCAGCTTCGGTTTGCTATTTGGTCTCAGAACAGGAACTTTATATCCCTGGGCAAGAATTGGCCTTTATATTAGTTTTCAATTGCCTATGCAAGCTATATAAAACATTTTTGATAAAACGTACGCCATCATTCTACAAATCAACCTCTCGTGCATGACAGAGAAACGTAGCTCTAAAAGTTGCAGCCAAAAAAATTCTGAATCTCCTTCTAATGAAGAGCTGCACAGGGCCACAATGGCTAGGGCCAGCTAAGACGGATCTAGCTTTCATTTCTTTTTTCAAAGTCAAATCCAAATCTAGATTTAGGCAAGATCTATTTTAATACTACAGTGCTGCTTTCCTTGGAGGGGAATCCCAAAGTGGGCATTTCGTGTCCTCTTGGCTAAATTGCTCCATGAAAAATGTATTTACAAGAGGCTTGCTCCAAAGATCAATTGTATGTGTAGTTGTGTGTGGGGGGGGGGGAAAAACATGGCTGCTTTCCCACCAGTTTGCAGACGTTAGGGACACCTCACCCCCCCCCCCCCCCCCACCAAGGGTCTAGTCTAAACTTATATCCGGGCCAAACCCTTTTAGCAATTTTAACTGATCCCAATTAGACGGTTAAATCCTTTATTTTAGACTAAAAATTCATTACACACGTGACTTTTATATAATTTATTTTTTCCATATTTCCCAATTGCGCAGTGTATGGGCGTAGCTGGTGGCGCTGGCGCCCTATTTGACCTTGACGTTGTGTTCCTTGAGGTCTTTCTCGAGCTGTTGCTGGTGGTCCTCGTCTGTGTAGATGGGCTTAGTGTAGTCCTTCAGGATGGTGGTGTCGTAGCCCAGCTTTGCCGCGCTGATGGCTGTGTTCTTGACGCAAAAGTCGAGGGCGAGACCCACGACGTAGACCTCTGTGGTGTGGTGTTTCTTCAAGTACTCGTCGAGCTCAGTCTTGTGCCACTCCCAGGTGTCGTTGAACGCACTGTAGTACTCGCAATTGGACAAGTACCCTTTGTCGACGATCTTGATGTGCTTCGAGTTGACCAGCTCGAGGATGTCAGGTGCCAGTTGGGCACCTCTGGTGTTCTGGACACAGTGCACTGGCCATAGAGTTGCCGGCTGTGTCGAGTCGTCGCCTGGGCGTGGGGACTTGTACGTGGTCTCGGTGTAGTCCTCGACACCATGGTTCTTCGCGAAGGAGATGTGGTTCTGCGGGTGCCAGTCCCTGGAGACCACCACACGGTGCCATTGGGGGTCCTTCATGAGCTCGACAATGGGGGAAACAACTTCTTCGCCTTGGGGCACGTACATGGAGTGGTCCGGCGTGATGAAGTCGTTCTGCACATCGATAACTAGTAGCGTCTTCATTGTTTCACTGTTTGTTTCAATCTGGTTTGATGAGATATTGGTTACACAAGTGGTGCAAGTTTGAAACAAACCAAAGACATGGATTCCTACTGTTTCAAAGTCTCTACAAAAAACCCAAGTTTTTATATAAGAATCCCTATGATTCGATGGCTTACTAGTCTTATGGTTTCCGCTTTAAGTGATTAAACTGGACCTTATTTACCAAGGAGTGCAAGGGGATAGAAGAACACTGCTAACTTTCACACAGCAGTCTACGTCACTGGAATATCTTTGACAAGAGTTCGTCCCTCCACGAGTTTGATAGTGACTAAGATACTAATTAACAATTTTTAAAATCACTCATCCCTGGGTCAGTGATAAATTGCGGAGTGGGCAGTTGAGTTTGGAAGCCTGGTGACAATGGAGGGGATTGAGAATGGCATCCGTAAGCTGTCTGAGTCCTGGGATGTCAATCTGGCCACTACAGTGCTGGAAGCGCTACGCAGTATTGATCTGGATGTCCTGCGTCATAGCGGGCTCAAGGACGTCACAGTGAGAAGTGAGTCCAGCTTGCAATATATACTACTCTGCTATGTATTACTGGTAGTGTCCCCTGATGACATAGCCATAGAGACATCGGAGACACTAGAGGCATCATGTAGGGATGCCAACGATTCACCAGAAACTAGAATCGACAATGACGTTGGGATATTCGAAGTATTATTAATTCATCGCAGCAGTAAGACTACAAACTTTCAAGACTTCCATTATCCGATCAGGGAGTTACTGAGCTTGATCAGTTCCAAGGATTATAACTGTAATACTGGCAACTTAGCCACTGATCTCTTGATCTGTAGATCCATGCATAATGGTGACACAAACGATCTGCTTGACTCTATAGACAAGTATCAGCAGTACTCAGTTATGAGTAGAGTGCTGCAGTTTCCGAAGATTATATCTGATGCAGTCTATCAAAGGTGCTACAAAGAGCTTATTGTGAAGAACAGTGTCTGCGAGATGACGCAACCTCTGCCAAATGTACGGCTGTCGCTAATGACACTAATGGAGATAATCGATCAACCTGACATAAATTTACTGCAGTTCCCTCGGTTAGTAACACTGCTGGGGAGCAGCTTTGTGTTTTTGTCTGAATCACATACTGATATCTCTGAGTTGCATTACGAATTGGATGAATTGGGTACTACGCAGACTTTGTTAGCTTTACTCTCCTATGTGCAGTATTGTTTGTCGAAATTCTTGCTTGGATTTATTAATGGTTGTAAAGTTTTACAAAAGACGAGTGAGAGCTACGATATAAGTACTGGTGCTGCTGTTAAGGAAGCCTTCAAGAATATTACTTCTTTTGAATTTCAATTGCCACCTTGGTTTGACAAGACTATGATATTTCCTTTACCACCTATTTTTAAATCGTTGTTCATATATGGTAAGGATGACTCTTTGATTAAGGCAAGCTATAGTGACATGATTGTTACGATTTTGGACTCCTTAATGTTGTGTATAGAGATCAGTAGTAAGATATTAAACCAATATCGATCAGCCAGTATCAATCCATTTGAAATTGAAGGGAAGGAGGAAATCAATTTGAAACACTCCAAATTCCAACTTATTAAAAATGTTCACCTTTTGACTTTTATTCCAATATTTTCCAGCTTGTTGTTGGCAGAACAGATGCAATCCCTATCGGAAGCAATGGTAATTAGTAATGAAACTTGGAATATGTATGCCGAGATCCTTACCAATAATATAAAGGAACAGGTCACAAATATACTTCTTGTCAATGAGAGTGTAGCACTGTACCACTTGTTAAAAATAGTATCCCGAGTGTCTATCGATGATACAGGGTTTCAGAGGATATCTATCAAATTACTAAATTATCTATTCTTCCAATCAAAACACACCAAATTCAAAATATGGTGTAAGCAGAACGAACTTTGTAGGTCCACCATCAAGACCTATGTTCACTTATGGAACGATGGTTCATCGGACTATTCTTTGATATATACCAAAATAATCAACACAAAACAGCCGGATGTTGACCACAAGAAAACTATATTGGCAGAATACCTTGATTTACTGCCTGAGGATATGAAATTTGGCTTCAGTAGAGAAGAAGAGAATAAAACCATCATGCCGGCGAAATTTAACGCCTACGCCGCACCTACCTTCATGCCAGCAGAGTCTGCAGTAAAAGCGAACAGCCAAGTGAACCCATTCTTGCCTATAGATCAGAACAAAGTACAGGAATCGGTTCAAATGAACAAACTGACACCGATAATGGAATCAAGTGTAAAATGGACAAATGCACCAACAACAGGGCAAAAATAAGATCACTAACAATGCTTTGACTTCATATTGCACAATAGAAACTTGGAAAGCACACCATGCCGCTTTCAAAGTGCTTGGATACAAATATCAAAGATAATCTTATATACATCTTCTAATGCTTACTGAATACCGTATACTTGCTCAATATTATAACATTACACGAACCAAGCTAGTAACTTGCAATTAAAGTTAACAGTAGATCAGTACGTCAAAGTACATGCAGAGGACTTACATCAGGATACCCTCCATTTCTATAAGGATATATTTTAGAGTTTAGACTAACACGGGCATAATAAGAGTCGAGCTTGTTTCTATTGTGATATGGGTATCAAGAAGTTTTTTAAGATCAAGCCTCCGAAGGAGGACACGGTAGAGCAGAACCGTGAGAATTTGATGGATATCGGTATTGCCACTAAAAGTACCACCAAGAAACCTCAGAGTAAATTTGCTGCGTATGGTCAGTTTGCTAAGGATAGGGCTACCAGCAAGATCTACGCGCCACCTGGCTATGAGGACTTTGCTAGACCACCTGAAGAGCTAGAGAAAAAGGAAGGCGAAGAGGATGACTTGAACAAATCTGAGCTGGACGAGAAAGAGACCAAAAAGGATAAGAAGAAGAAGAAGAAGAAACACCAACAAGAGGATGAACCAGCAGCAGTACAGGATCCATATGCCAGAACAGAAAAATCCTATAGGTATAACCCTGACCCTTATGGCGCTGGAGCAGCTGGTGAGAAAGCATTTTCGAGCAGCGGCGTATATAATGAATTCAATAATTACGAAAATGGACCCAGTTATGGTAATGAGTACGGAAGACGTGATAGATCAGAGGACTTGAATGCTTACAACGGAACTCCTGGCCAACCTATGAAGCCAGTTAATAGAGCAACCCCAGTTCTTGACAGAAGAGATTCTGCCCGTGAAGATCCAGCATACGGATATAATAATCAGAATAGGTCAAATCCATATGCAGGTGCCGGTGTTGGTGCTTTAGCAGGTGGTGCTGCAGGTGGTGCAGTTGGAGCAATGGGTAGCGTAGTTAGTGGCTCCAATCCATATGGTGGCGCCTCATATGGTTCTGGGTATGGCAGCAGTGCGACAACATCAGCACCAGTATCCAAGCCGATAAGTAGAACAAATACATCTGCATCAAACCCCTACGGGAACGCCTCTTATGGATCGACACCTGGTGTCAATGACAGACCGGCGGGTTCAAATCCATATGCTGCGATTAGTGGTGACTCATACCTAAACGGTACACGATCAGGAAATATCTCAAGATCTGGTACTAATCCATATTTAAGAAGGAATGCTAGCAATAGCGTACCGCCTCAGGCTGGATATATCACACCTGATTCGAACAATGTTGCACTAGCGGAGGAAGAGAACCAACAAAATCAGGATGAATTGGACTTAAACGATGCTCCCGAAGATGCTAATGAGTTTGTCTTTGAGGACAAATACATGGGTAGAGAATCTAAATATGCAGAAAACTCTGCTGCGCTGGACGAACTAGATTTGAATGCCACTATAAATGACCGTGGGGAAGATCTTAATGCCACTGGATACGGTAACATGTATGAACAACAACAGCAACCGCAATGGCAAAGAGAAGAAGAGGAATACGGTTATGGTACCCAAGATGATATGAACAGAGGCTATAAGACTTTTGATGAGATACAAAGAGAAGAAGAAGAGCGTCAAAAAGAAGAAGAAGATCAGGCTGTTGATGAAATCAAAGAGCAAATTAGATTTACGAAGCAGAGCTCTGTTGCTTCCACTAGAAATACTCTGAAAATGGCACAAGAAGCTGAAATGGCTGGTATGAATACACTAGGTATGCTTGGCCACCAAAGTGAAAAACTGAATAATGTTGAGAGAAATCTTGATTTGATCAAGATACAGAATACAGCTGCCGATGAAAAGGTAGCTGAATTGAAGAAGCTGAACAGAAATATTTTGGCTGTTCATGTCTCTAACCCATTTAACTCTAAGAGAAGAAGACGTGAGCGTGAAGACATGATTAAGGGTCGTAAGATGGAAGACAAGATGAGAGCAGAGCACATGTCACAAGAATTACACCAATCTACTCAAAGAATTGAGGGAGCCCTAGGTGGCGGTAATGAGACTAGTGCTGTGAGAGAGAAATATCAAAGAGAAAAAGTACTTGCGGCAGCTAAGAAGTATCAATTTGAAAACGACGAAGAGGATGATGAGATGGAAGTTGAGATTGATAGAAATCTAGATAAGATCCAACAGATCAGTGGTAGACTAAAGAAGCTGGCCCTTGCGACTGGTGAAGAGTTAGATTCCCAACAAAGACGTATCCGTGACATTGAGGAGAACACTGATGAAATGGATATCAAGATTCACATGAATACAACCAGACTGGCTGATATCAGATAAATTGGCTTAATGTTATCTATACCTGTCTTACCTTAGTACTAATAATAGTAGTAATAGCAAATGATACATAGTTTTTATAAATATTTATGCACTAAATGATAGTGGGGTTCATCGCACAATAATCTTCAGTATAAATGGCTTACAATCAATTAGCATGTGATAGATAATCCGCAATCCTAAAAAGTAGACATGTGAAGTGCAAGACAAATGAGTCAAAATGGATATTGTTAAGGAGCTCGCTCAGGTTGCTTTTTCTTATTAATTTTTTGATTTTAGTTCATGTCTTGAAATCCGACTTCATGGAGATAGGAGTTACTGGAGCAAACTTTGAGGAGTTCGACGGAGAGAATTCGGGATACACGATCTTGAGGAAAAAAATGCAGTAATTCTTTTATAAAATTGAATATGTGAATATATACCAAACCGTTAACGGAATGGGGGTGCAGTAAATTGTATAAAAAAAAGTCGTATACGTTTGTAATAGTTATCCTATAAAGTAGAGATAGCAATAAAGATAATAATCTTTTATTTTTTTTTTTTGGTAGGATTTATCATTAGCAATAGAATAATTCATTTGAAAAAGGAATTCTCTAGTAGTAAAATTGTTTCAGAAATGTTCAGTAATTATTTTTTTATCGTAGCTTTTATTTGTTTGTTGAGTGTGATATTTTTTTTTTGAGGCAATGATGGGTGTTGGTATTCTCATTGGTTAGTTTTTTGAGTGTAGCCAGAGTTTGTAGTTAGTCTCGGCCATATGCTCAACAATACTAGACAATGGTTGCATGCACCCGGAAAACCCTCTAGGGATATCGTAGCTCTGTTGTGACCGTTCCTGACGGTTGTAGTCATCATACGAGGGCCATTCGCCCTCGGTGTTCATCAATTCATTAGCAATAGAGGTGCCATAGTAGGCGGCATCACTTTGTGGAGTCATGTGATCTCGATCTTGTGGCATAAGCAGTGGTGAACGTATCAAGCGATTCACCTCTATCTCAGTCATATCGAATTCGACCTCCTGGGCGATATCATCCTCGAATATGAGTTCCTGCTCATCTAGTGAAGACATCTGTTAGTTATAGTTTTGTTTAAAAGAGTGTAGAAATGCAAAGTTATAGCGGTATTTTTTTTGGGGGGTTAAGGTCAAAAAAATAATACGCTAATTTTCAGTAGTGTAGGGGGTGAAATTGATAATTGGAATTTGGTGTTTCGATATATCCTATGAATACTTGAAATAGGTTTTAATAATAATTTTTTTGCTTGGGTTTGGGTGATCTTTAAATATTGCTATTATTTTTTCTTAATGAGTGGTATTTTTTTTTTGTGTGTGTTACAGTTGCATCACAGGTATTGTATTGACGTTATCTTTTTTTTAATTTTAATATTATTTAATCTCTCTTTGGGTGAATATAGAAAGCAGATATTCAAAAGATATTAAAGGTTTATTTTCAAGATAGTGATTAATCAAGAAAAGAAGCACGAGTTATATACCATTTTATTCTAAATTTGATCGCCTTTGATAATGCACTTAAAAGGAACGATCATCCTCTCACAATTTTTTTCTTACTCTCTTTGACTCAATGCCGTATTGCACCAATAATTAACTCCAACGTTTACTCTTTCCAATGTTAATCCCATGGATTTCTATTAATAAGGTACCAAACACAGACACAATCCACTGCACCAGCTCAACAACACTGAACCCTCCCCCCCCCCACCAGAAATTGCTTTTTACGCAGGGAAAATCCCTCTCTCCAGAGGGAATTAATTCTCCTTTTCCCCATGGCCCGCTAGACAAAGGGCCTGTTCTCCGGTGGGGGGGACCCCTCAGGCCCACCGGACGAAAAGAGGCTACAGAGGGTTTGGCCCAGCCCTGTGAGTCTACGTCCGGACTGTTCCCACGGGGAGGGGAACCGTGGGTACCAGTAGTTTTTCTATGGTGTTCCACATATTGCTGGATTGCCGTGGGGGTGACGTGGTATTACGAGTCCTTGGAAAGTGTGAAGTCTACGAAAGGTATCCAAGAAGGAATAATGTAAATACCGTGTGTGGGAGGGATAAATGGAATAATGATTTGCACTAAGAACACGAAAATAATTATTTACTTAGAAGTCTATAAAATGCTATATAATTAGTGTGCGTGCGTGCGTATGTGTACTGTGCGTTGTTGAAATGGGACCTGGTAAAGCAACACTCTAGAAAAAAAATAGAAGTGAGGAACTGTAGACTTCTTTTTTTCAACCAGTTGGAAATTGCAAGTGCAAACTTCTCAATGGTGGGAGGCCGTCCTGTGGAGCTATTTGTGGGGAAACCACGTTTTTCTGGTATTGTAGCAGTTTCTCGTTTACTTTGTTCATGTCTTGCATGTTTGTTAGTGACTTCGTCTTCAAAGAGAGGTTCAGGCCACTTGCGGATCTGCTCAAGCCAGTTGTAGGTGTAGCTGTCTTCGACTTCTTTCGTAATTGGTCGTTCTCTAGTTCAGGGTCCTTGAGGTCGTCTTCCTCTAGAGATGAATTGTTCCCTGTGTCATAACCATGTGTGCCCGCACCCGATTGTGTCACCAACTCATTCAGACTCAATACCGAGTTCGGACGTTTCATCAAGTTGCCCATATTGGGTTGCTGCATTAATGTAGTTAAGTTGGTAGAACTGCCATTTGCATGCATGGATGCGAAATCTGTCAAAGATTTTGGTCTTGGTAGGATGATGTTTTGATTCTTAGAGCCATCGGGATTATCCAAGAACGTGGTTGACGCTTGCTGTGATAGATTCATAGTGGAGCTACTGTTTCTGCCAGATAGAGGCGTCATCATCTGTAATGAAGACAACGCGTTAAGCCGTATTCTGCTGCTGCTGTTACTGTTGTTGGCACTGCCAAAGACAGGCCTGACGTGGTTCGGTGGCGATGATAAGAATCTTTGAGGTTCTATAGGTGTCATGCCATCGGAATGTGGGGCGTTTGTTGTTTCATCACCAACCATAGGTGAGCTGGGTAATTGGACTTGGGGGTTTGGTTGTTGTGGTGGCGTGAGGCTTGAACTTGGCGTAGATTCACCAAGCTCGAATGTGGTGTTACGTTTCGTCTTCCTCCTCAGACTGCTCTTACTGGGTGGTTTATAGTTGGGGTTATTCTTGTTCCTCTCTGCCTCTTCACGTGCTCTTTGTTCAGCCAAAATGGTTTCAGGCTTCTTCTTCCTACCTCTCTTACCCTTAGGCAGAGGGTTCGTATGTATTCTTCTATGTCTTGTGAGTTCGTCACTTCTACTAAATCTCTTGACACATCCCGGGAAGTCACACGCATGTGGCTTCTCACCCGTATGGGTTCTCATATGTCTAGTTTGGTGTTCCAGCCTATGGAATGCTCTTCCACAGATAGGGCACACATGCGGCCTTGGTGCGTCATCTCCCTTACCAGCCTTGGACTTACCTGAGTTCGGAGTCGATGAACCATTCGTAACGCTCGAGGGATTATTTTCAGGTGTATGAGGTTCCGGACTCGCTGATGCAGACATATTTTATTTCGACCCGTTGGATTTGCAAATCTATAAAGTATTTGGTATCTAATATGGTTCTATTGCTGTATTTGACGTCCTCTTTTTTTATCTTTCAGATGCTATAAAAAGCTGTTCTAGTTATGGAAGTTCTTTTAGTTCCTATGCTTACCTCTACTGGCAACTAATAAGTACAAAGCTCCGTTATTATGAAAACACGACTACTATTCATTATATATAATCTATTCAACTATATTAAAGCAAGAGAAGACATTTTTTTTTTCACTTTCACTTACATTTCTTTTTTTTTTTCTTGTTTTCTAGTTTACATGAACGCCAGCGTTGTTGAAAGCACGGTGTGAAAGTTTTTTTTTCTTCTTCTCTTGAGATTGTTCCACCTTTTCACCGTCTGAGTCCCCATTGCCCACAAGGGTCCCTTCCCAATTTGAGTCTTCACGTTTGGCAATATTGGGGCCTGCCCCCGTCCTTTTTTACCCCAGCTTCTTGACTGCCCAAATGATAAACAGCACATATCACCCGGAAAAACCCTTGAACTCGGGCAGACTTCTTTCTTTTTTGGTCCACCCCTCCTTTCCTCACAGCTCGATTACATCTATACTATATATTTTGACCCTCCCACAGCTTCATTACGGGAGTCCAACCCACGTCATGCAACGGATCCTGAGCTCAATTAATTATAACTTGCATTGTCTTCCCTTCGAGAAAAAGTAATAAGTAGTTATTCCTCGGTGAACGTTCCTTGCACTGCGACATATTCTGTGTCCAGAAGCATAGAACACGGAAAAAAGAAAAAATCAGATCTCAGTTCTCAGAATTATCGTTCCTATTTGATTTATAGAATGAGAAAGGTGGGGCACAGAGACGTAAGCACAACGTAATTGAAGTGGGGGGGGACAAGACGATTAGGAAGCAAAGCTTCGATTGGGATTTTTGTCAGAATGAGGGGGGGCAACGGAACTTCTAGAAGACTCATGGTGTGCTGGGTGTTCTCTCTGGCCAGGAAACTGGGAAAGTTCTGTGAGGAATAAGATTATGGCAGTGGGGTTAATAAGTTCGCTCCATCGCCCATGGAGTTTGTTCGGAACAACTCTTGCAACAGGATCTGTGTATAGACTGGCATTAGCGTTGGCCCGATTGCCTCGAGGATCGATAACGCCTTGCAATGATGTCAAGGATGGGTAACTGCTTTAATTAAGGCCTATGTTTCTATGTATTTCATGTATTTCATGTATTTCAGGGACTCAAGCCCTTTCCCAAAGAATCATGCGTATGCAATGACTTATAATCTGCCGCCTTACTATGGTAATATTAGTTTCAAGTAGCATGTTGTAAATTAAATTAGCGGGCCATTCCCATACGGTATTGCTGTATTATGCACTCAAAGTTGCCGTAGTTTCGTAAGAGACATAAAAATGCCACCTAAAAAGAAAGCATGTCTCAAGCAAGACGGGGATGTGTGCGGCGTTATCCAGGCGTACCTGGAGAAGCAGTACAAACCCTTTGCCATCAACGATATCGTAAGCAATCTCCAGAAGGATTACAAGTTCTCCAAGCCCGTGGTTCTGAAGGCGCTGGATACGTTGGTGGACGAGGGGAGAATAGTATCAAAGCCGTTTGGAAAAGTCACCATATACTGCTGCAAAGAGCAAGATCTGGAGCTTCCAAAGGGAGTTGATGTCAATAAAGTCACATATGACTTGATCTCTGAGCTTAGAGAGGAGCTCAGGCTTCTAGAAAAAGAGAAATCTACGCTATTGGAGAAGAAGAATGCCTTGTTTAGTGAGCCTGAGAACGATAAACTTTTAGATGTCTTGGCGACCTTACGGGAGAGTGAAAGAGATATAGATGCAAAATTAGATGACCTAGAAAGAAATTGGGACCCAACTAACCAAAAAGAAATCAATGAATTGAAAAACTTGGAAAAAAATCTAAAGAAAGATCTAGCCTCGAGAAAGAAGCTAATCAACGACCTCCTTGCAATTATTAAAGAGAGCGGGTTACTGAAAAAGGGTGAAACAATGGCAGAGTTATTGGTATGTGTTATGGAGATAAAATCGATTTTCTATCTTTCGCTTTTTATCCTTATCTCTTTGTTTTTTATTGACAGAATACTAACAAAACAGAATTTTATTTAGGAGTCACTAGGGTATGAAAAAATATAGAATGAAAAGAAGAAGAAATCAATTAGTTTAAATATTAATGAATGAACTTAAATCAAAAGATTCGATATTAATATCTCTAGGTGTTTGGTGGTATTTTGATAATTTCTTTCTATTCATGTACTGGTTCCTAAAATCCGTGTATTATCTTAGTGTCAACAACATCTTCTTTTTCTTCACAGTCGCTAATATATTTGATTGATCTATAATACTGGAACACACCTATCATTTTTTTACCATTGGCTACTATATTGGTTGTTGAAGATGAGTAAGGTGTAGTTTCCAACGTATTTGGAGGTATAGTTTTGTCACAGATTGTAGTAACAATATCGGAGGAAACATAGTCTATAATCATGGCAAACAGTAGGCAAACAATGCTTAACTTCATTTTATAGCTATGCTGTTGTCGTATTACTAACTATACAAGGGTTGCTAAATTTCTAAATCCGCTAATAAGCGATTATAGTGCTCATAAAAAATTGATTAGCCGGTCCATATTTATATATTAGTTTAGGGATATAAGGCCTAATCAATTGAGTTTATAGATCGATTTGACTACTATATGTATCCTCAACTTATTATAGCTTGATACAAATCTATTTTTTATTACAGTGGTAGTGTAGTAAAAAGGCATCAAGTTTTATCAATGGGAAGCTTTCGTGAAGAGCATGTAAATTCCCGAATGGGGTAAATTACATGACTTTAGAAACTGTTGGTAAGGAGACATTGAAACTTAGAGTTTGACGTTGAATCTTTAATAAAGGGAAGTGAATTAATAACAGTGCTAGCTATATGAAACAAGCTAACTAGTATAGTCGTATCAAGTTGTTGTGACACAATTGCTATTAGGCAACGTCAAGAGCACGATTAAGGTCTCCCTAATGTGCAAGACTTCAAGCAGTAGAGACTCGAGAAGGTACACTATTTGGACGATAGTTATAAAAAGTGTAAAAATATGGATTTATTATTATTGCCTATTTTTTATTGTGATGTTTTTATAGAAGTAAAGAAAAGTTTTAAATTAAAAAATGAGTTATTTTATGATTTGACATTCTTTAACGGGAGGTGGCAGCAACCTTTTGGAAAGCACCCTTAGCTTGTTGCTTGGAGACCTTGGAGCCTTGAGCAGCAGCTAGCTTAGCCTTTTCAGCCTTTCTGGCAGCCTTGTCAGCCTTCTTCTTTTCCTTGTCAGCCTTAGCCTTGTCATCTCTCTTAGCCTTTCTAACTTCTGGCTTCAAAGATCTTCTTTCCTTGATCAATTCCAAAGAAGCACCGACGATAGCTCTTTGAGCCTTGACGGTCTTTCTGGATCTCTTCTTGGCGACTTCTTCAGTGATACCCTTCTTGTGGTGTCTTCTGTACAAGACAGTCCAAGCAACTCTTCTTGGGTTCTTTCTTTGCTTGAACAAAGAAGCAGACTTAGAGTTTTGGAATCTGAAGATCTTGGAGTCACCACGGACAAATAGAGTACCTCTACCTGGGTAGATCTTGGCACCAGAAAAGGAGTCGATTTCAACCTTCATTTTTCGTTTATCTCTGTATCAAAAATTGTCTTAAATATCTCTCAAAAAAACAATAAGAAAAAGCTATCCCAAATCACCACTTACTGGATAATATTAATAATGTTCAAACTCTTACCGTATTCGTTACCTCTATATCTTACCAGGAATTACCAACACTAATTGCTCTCTTGGTTCCCACACTAGGTTTATCAAAAATATTATTCCAGGTCAGGTTCTTGGCACACGTATTCAGGCTTTTCAATAGTTGTTTTTTTTATTTCAAAAGATTATTAACAAATAATAGTTAGTAAATTAGAACTTTTTTTTGCATTTTCTTTTTAATTGTCTATTCTCAATCAATGGTGTCTGGTACGTCAAGCATCGCCATCCGGCACAGCCCAACACAGCCACCTATAACGCTTATCAACATACTCTTTCCGACTTGTGGTCCTACACCTTTCTTGCCCTGTAAGAAATAATGAACAAATCCAGTTCGACTATTCTTTAATATGTATTGGCGCAATTGAAATTTCCAATTATTGCGAAACACGCTAATTCGGTAGCTGCGATTACACCATCGTCAAACCTCGTCAAACCTCGTCAAACCTCGCCAACCTCCCACACTGTGCGTACTGGCAAGCTCGAATCGGGCATCTCAGTGGATTGGGCCCACTTGCCCTCCACAAGGAAGGTTCTCCCTAGCCAGTGTAGTGCCAGGCTAGGCTTACAGTTGGTCCTGCCTAGGACGTATGGGCTCACCCCCCACCTACACATGAACCGAGTCGAGCATACTGGGAAGGGAGCTAGACAGGACCTCCTTCCAGCCTTACCACTGGCGGTGGTACTGGTAGTACTGGTACAGGTACTGGGGGTAGTACTGGTGGTGGTACCACGGGCAGATGGGCTTTCTCCTGCTAAACTCAGACTCCTTCCTGTTTGGGTAATTCTATCCGATCGTTCTGCCTGTTTCTGACGTTCTACCACACCGCTGGGGGGAGAAGCGAACGCACACACGACCGCCTCCACAAACACAACGCCGCTAGAGTCTTGGTTCAGTATGGCCAATGGTACAGGTGTATGGGTGTACCACAGGGCAGTCACAAAATGAGGATTGAACAGGGTAACTTTTGAAAAAAAAAAATTTTCTGAACCGAAGCGGAAGCTGGGAAGTTTTGCAAGACCAGACTTGACGCATCGCAAAAGGTATAAACGTTGGTAGTTTGGTTTTTAATGAGTTATTGTTTATCTCTTATCTACTAGATAACCAATAGCGACCGGAGTGTTAAAATATACTATAGCATTATCAAAACATAATACGCAGAGATGGTCAGTATAAGATAAATCAATTTTTTTTTGCTCGAGCAGCACCTCAGATTCATGCATATGTATGAGTTTGTGGTTTGAACTGCTTGGAGAGTCCGATGAAAGTTCCTTTTACTAACAATAATAAATGAAATGAAATTGTTTGTTTCTTTTAAAATTTGAGTAGGCCCCAATCAAGACTCAAGAATCCATTAACCAAAAGTTGGCCTTGGTTGTCAAGTCCGGTAAGTTTACCCTAGGTTACAAGTCTACCATCAAGTCTCTAAGACAAGGTAAGTCTAAGTTGATCATCATCGCTGCCAACACCCCAGTCTTGAGAAAGTCTGAGTTGGAATACTACGCCATGTTGTCCAAGACCAAGGTCTACTACTTCCAAGGTGGTAACAACGAATTGGGTACCGCCGTCGGTAAGTTGTTCAGAGTCGGTGTCGTCTCCGTTTTGGATGCCGGTGACTCCGATATCTTGACCGCTTTGGCTTAAGCGTTTTAATACAATCAAACATCTCTATGTTTATTTTATATTATCTCTTCTAGCCAAGCACTATGTTATTGCATATTTCTCACTATATAATTATATACTAGACAATTATTAATGAGGATATATTCATACCATAAATCCCCTATAGCCGTTCTAATATCGTCGGTTCGCGCAGAGTGTCAGTAATATGCAGGTACGTGTGCTTAAATGATTTCACAGCATATTACAATGACATTCACATATACCGTTTCACGTATGCTATCTGACTTAAATCTTAAAAAAAAAAGATTTTAAATAAAAAAAAATAAATTGCGATTTCTGTGGATCGAACACAGGACCTCCAGATAACTTGTTGACCGAAGTTTTCGAATCTTCAGTCTGGCGCTCTCCCAACTGAGCTAAAACCGCTTATTAACTTTGATGAATAATCCTGTTGGTCTTGAGGCTATACCATTTACATTTCTCATTTATTTTGGAAAAGTTCATAATCTTCCCTTGATCAGTGTATAAATAGATCTTTATATACTTGAAACTATACAGTACAATAATAATGTTAGTAATGACGATCATACATTAGGAATTTCAGCGTACAGTCTCCAAATTTTTATCGATAGGTAGCTTTCACGGTTTTATGTTTTGGCGGCATCTGTGAGCTCAGACAACTTATTGTTATTTTGGCTAATTACAACTCAATAAACAAAAAAAGGATAACATTAATTAAATAATAATAATACAAATAGTAGTAATATAATATACAAGCTAAGGGAAAAGAAAATCTATAGGAAAACGTTAAGGGTTATGACATATGGCTGTCATAAAATTTAATGGTAATTTAGAATGAATATATGCAGTTGTGTTTGTTGCCGAGGCTGATGGAAGGCTAATCACACACGATAAAGCCTTGTATTGCTGTGTAGCTTAGAGCTTACACTTATGCCAGAATATCAATGATACCGAAGGATTGTTCAATACCGTATGGCCCTGGGTTCTTCCACATATCATCAAATGAGGAAAGCACAGTAACTTGACCGTTCATTTCATCAAGTATCTGTTGAATGGCAATTCTTTGGTTTTCAGGAGAAGGAATGTTGTTACCATTTTGCTTACCAGCAGATGGGTAACCGGTTTCTGTAACAACGACATTGTTTGTGCCGCAGACATTCTGAATTAATTGGACTTGTCCTTTAACGAACGAACCAGCAGTTTGAGCGCTAGCATATTGGTCAAAGTAGGCATGTGCATTGATTCCGACAAAGTCAATTCCTGATTGAGTACATAGATCTGGGCTATTTTCGAACACAACTGGAGGTTCACTTGTAGTAACTTGACCAGAATAACCAGCATCCTTCAAAGCTTGCTTAACCGATTTGATCTTAGCAATCAATTGTTCAACCGAACAGTAATCGGAATGGATAGCCTCGTTACCAATAGTAATGTAGTTAAAGATGTCCCAACCATTGGTTTTACCGTAGTTGATTAGTAGCTGAAGACCAGCATCAAGTGAATCAACACCAGCAGCGGTTATCCATAAACCCTGATTAATTTTAATACCTAATTTGGCAGCAGCTGGTTGCACAGTCCCTAGTGAGTTACAGTCGGTACCATATATTCTAACATTGCTGACACCCTTTGCCTTTATTTGTGACAAGTCGCTAAAGACTTGGTCTGCTGATTTGCAGGAACCATCGTTATTGTATGGCGAATAGGTCAAACTATGTGGAACACCTTTAAGAAGGCCTGATGGAGACGTAGAACTAGTTGGAGAATCTGAATTTGATACCTTTGAACTAGATGAAACAGTTTTGGTGGCACTATTAATACCACTGCTTCCAGAAATAGTAGTAAAAGTTGTAGTGTAAGAAGTATCCCATTCTGTGGTAGTAATGGTTGTGGTAGAGGTCGATTCGGCAGATGAGGATTTTGAAAATGTAACTGTATTAGACACACTGGAAACTGAAGATGTAGTAGTAGAGCTTGAACTTGATTTTAAGCTGGAGGCGGTTGGAGACAAAGTTATGGTTTTTGAGCTAGAAGAGGAAGTTGAAGATGACATTTTAGAACTCTGGGAACCACTGTTGTTGTTATTGTTGTTATTGTTGTTATTGTTGTTACTGTTGTCATTGTTGTTGTTGTTGCTGTTGTTGCTGTTGTTGCTGTTGTTGCTGTTGTTGCTGTTGTTGCTGTTGTTGCTGTTGTTGCTGTTGTTGCTGTTGTTGCTGTTGTTGCTGTTGTTGCTGTTGTTGCCGTTGCTGTTGTCGGAATTGTTGTTGTCGGAGTTGTTGTTGTCGGAGTTGTTGTTGTCGGAGTTGTTGTTGTCGGAGTTGTTGTTAGAGTTACTTGAATTCTCGGAATTATTTTGTGAAGCAGAGTTTCCATCGCTGTTATTAGAATTGTTTTTGGAGTTGTTATCACCACTATTATCTGGTTGAGGTGTTGGTGCTACATTTTTTTGAATAGTTGTAATTGTAGATGCAACAGCGGTAGGGTTCACACCTTCAGGGTAAAGAGTTGTGGTAAAAGTAACTGATCCGCTTACAATGAATTCGACAGTTGGGGCAATAATAACTTCTGTGGTTGTAGAGTAAAAGTCAGTAACAGTGTTTGTTGTACTGGCAGTGTGCATCCTAGTAACTATTTCTCTTTTTCTATAAACAGGGAAAGCCTGAATGGTTGCGAGTAGCAGCAAAAAAATTGAGAATGATAGCGTCATTATATTGTTTCAAAAATTTAAAAAATTAGTTTGTTATTGTTTTATATCTTAGTTGGAAATGTTTTGGCAATGAATGAATGAATGTGCAAATTTTGTCTAGTAATTGAGGGAGTGTATCTAGTTGGATCAATAATTTGTTATTGCTTGACAGTAATTTAAAGAAAGGAATGTGTTGTGATTTATTTTTTTATTTAGACTATTTTCAATTTGAGAACAAATGAATATCAAAATTGAGGTACCCAGATGAAAATAAAAGCATTTTGTCTTCCTTTTATAATCAATTCTCTTTTACAAATAAATCATTAATATGAAAGATCGAAATTTTTACCAGCATTCCCACCTAACAGCCTCATACACCAAATACAAACAAAGTGTGCATTAATGATATCCATCTATCAACTCATCAATTTTAGCTGATGAGTATTTGTTTTCATTGTAGCTTGTATGATATGTTTGTTTACCAAAACCCATATTTACATAAAATAAATAACAACATTGGAAGGCATTGCATATCAAATCAAATACCTGTCAAGTAATAGCTGCCCTCTAAACACTGAACATCAAAACTCAAATATACTGGAATTCATATTAACCAGCATCAAAATATTGAAAGTCATGTTACTTTCGTTAATTAAGATACCAGCATTTTCTGCATCTCAACAATAAAACGTAAATCATTCCAGCTTTTTCCTGCGCTGATTTAGTAGCCAGCATTATTTTTTTAGAATAAAGATTGCTCAGATGACCCCGTGGAGAAAAGCTCTTAGTGTGTGTGTGGGTCCGAAGTGTTGTATATCGTAATGATGCAAGACATCCATAAGTATGCTGTATTGGGTATTGAATACCAGTATTAGGTTGTTTTCAGATAGGATCTCACCCCGATAAGTGCAAAATATTTGTTGAGATGCCCAGTTTTTGAATTCTACTCTTCAGCACACTCCACTATCCGCAAAATACTGGCTAATTCCAGTTGATTATGTTTACAATTAGAGATGTCCAGCCTGTAAATTGTTTGGCACCGGTACCGCGCCCATCAACGGGACTATAGTTCTCGTAACAGTAGCCAGTTGCTTTCCAATTATCGTAAACATTTTTGATCAAGTTTTGGCTTAGCTGAGTGTAAGTGGTTTTAGCTGTCTTAGATAATACGCTAGCTTTATTATTATTGCTTGTACCATGGATTTCTGGAAAATAATATCTCAGCGCATCTAGGCACAAATAATTAATATTCAGCCATATTGGTCCACGCCAATAATTTTCATCTTGACCAAAATATTTGTCTTGTTTTGACAGCGACAGAAGACCATAAGGTGAGAAAAGCTTGCTTTTATCTGAGATTAGCTTTAGAACGCTGGCAATGGCCTTGGATTCCTTAGGAACCAATTTTAAAGCAAACGGTAGAAGAGATACATAGCCTTCATGACAATCGTAACTAATCCCTTCTCCATATTCATCAACCACCACATCACAGAAACACTGGTCCTTTTCACTCCAGTGTAGCAACTCTAAATTCTCAATTACATTATTTTCTACTTCTTCATACTTGAGTATATCTGCGTCTTCATCCAGAATGGTTGCAATTTGTTTCAGAGATCTGGCCATGACACCTACCCATGACAATGCATCGACATGCAATTCTGTTACATCGCATGGTTTGGATCTTGGGTAGTCATCTAAGCCACTTGGCAAACAATGACTGTTGGTTCTGCCAACCCAAGCAAAGATCTCATTTAAATGAACTTTATCTGATATAGCATTTTCTTCAATCAAGCCTTCATACTCTTCTGTGAATCCTCTTTGAGAATTCACAAACCAATCAAAATGTTTGACAAGTTTTGGATAAATTTCTCTGCTATACTCTATCAAGAATTTGTGATTGTATTCTAATGTATCGGAGTCCTTATCAGCACCGCTATCACCTAGTTCACCTACTAACTTGTAACTATTAGACGCCCTTTGTAGCATTTCACTAAAAGCAAGTAAGATAGTAGGCGGGTTAGCAATGTTAGGATTTTGAGTGATAAATTCATCAGGCACCCTAGTTCTCGCCTCTTCGCCTAAAATAACCTCACGGGCAACCCATCCCTTCTCGTCGATCATATTGAACCAACTTGATATTATCTCAAATGCAAGATCGTAGTCATATTCCATGATTTGTAATAAATGAAAACCTTCATCCCAATAAAAACCTCTAGGAAATTGAGATCTACTGGGAACAGATGTGAAAAGACTATATGGTCCATCTTCGTCTCCATGAGAGAGTTTAATTTCATCAAAATGTTTCTCATCTACTGTAGTAATTCTATCAACTCTTTGATTACCATAGAAGTAACCAATACCACCTAGTAAGTTGGCGAGAGTTGATTTTACAAACTCTGTCTTATCCTTTTGGGATTCAGATAGTTGGAAATGCTTATTGAACTTTCTATCAATTTCGAGCAAAGATTGTGTTATTAGTGCATTTGTTTCAGCTGGCTTTATCTTCTGTTTAGACTCAATGGAATTATAAATGATTTCAATCTCGAATTCACCATCACTCCCAGATGTGTCAAAGGTCTTTTGAATAATATGAAAGTTTCCCTCATTAAAATTGAACATATCTCTAATGGAATAAAAATCAGGAAATTCATTCTTTGTGACTTTTGCAACATCATAGTTATGTAAAAGATCTGTTAAGGATTCAGAGATGAGAGTTTTAACCAAATCATGTGCCTTCCAGTAATTATCCTCTGGGACTCTAAAGGAAACATGGCGCGTTTGAGAAGCATCAACAAGTTTGCTATAGGGTTTATCCTTACCCCTAGATCTATAATATTTTCCTTTCTTATCTATAACATCAACATTATATTTACCTAACTCGGAAGAGACACCTTTAAATGTCATTTTCCCTTTCAATTCATTTGGAGTCAAATGCAACATCGACTTTTGATCGTCCTTCGTAGTTTGTTGATTCAAGTAAAGAAATATAGAACCTGTACTCTTTCTTTTGGGGTCCATAGCTTTACCAGATACTCTTGTAACCCAGTTAGCACCATCTTTACTCTTAGCTAGAGACACAGTCAAATTAAGGTTATTCTTCTTATCGACAATCGTTTCAACTCCACCGATTCTGGGATCATAAGTCTGCCACCCATAGTGCTCAAGCCCCTGTTCATGTGGTTCCACAAAATGTCTTAGACCTTCTATACCATTGTTGGAATAACTGTCCATCCACATTAACCCCAAAATGAAGGGACTTTTATCAACATAACGAGGTTTGACACTGAAATATGTATGTGGTCTATAAGCACCCCATAGTAGAGAGTCATTGTTGTGCTTTCTATAATCCTGATAGGTCTCAAAATTTTGGGATTGAACAAAACAGATAAGCTCCAATATCGTTGAGAGAATTAGAGTCCTAAGCATTTTGAAGCAACAACGGCGAAAGCGGTACAGAGTTTTGGTTCTCAGTATAAGTTCTGCACGATGTTCAATTCTATGGTCCCAATTGACAATTAATACCTATTGATTTGGTAGCTTCGTGGCTGTCTCTTATATATCAGCTTATGTATTTTGTAAAGATCAATTTTGATGCATCGGCCAAATGTGTTAAAATGGATTATTTTTTTTCACTTTGCAAAATAACTTTAAGAGCTAAAAGTAATAATCACAAAATAATAATTAGTTGCATATTTGTTACAGTAAGATTAAAACAGAACTATTCTATTTATAATAATATCTAATTTCCTACAGAAGGGTCTTCTTCGAATCTCAGGTCCCAGCCGATTTGAGGACCGAGTTTTGGAAGAACTTCAGCGACACTTTGGACGTCCTTGTCACCTCTACCAGAAATGTTGATGATCAAGTGTTCATCTGGTTTCATGGTCTTCGCTCTTTCACATGCACCGTAAACAGCGTGTGATGATTCTAAAGCTGGAATAATACCTTCAAGTTGGGAGATCAACTTGAAACCTTCTAGAGCTTGAGCATCAGTAGCAGCAATGAATTCGGCACGTCCCGTTGCCTTCCAGAATGCCAGTTCAGGACCAACACCAGGATAGTCCAACCCTGCTGAAACGGAATGTGTATCATGGACTTGACCATCTTGATCCTGCAGAACGTATGTCTTGACACCGTGGAAGACACCTGGTCTACCTGCGGTTAAAGTAGCACTATGATAGTCAGTATCGATACCATCACCACCTGCTTCAACACCCAGAAGTTTGACGCTCGTGTCATGTTCGAATGGAGAAAACATACCAGTTGAGTTTGAACCACCACCAACACATGCCACCACTACATCTGGAAGCTTACCATTATTTAGAGCAGCAAATTGTTCTTTGGTTTCATTACCTATCACACTTTGGAAAGTACGTACCAGTGTTGGGTAAGGATGTGGACCAATAGCAGAACCCACAACGTAGTGGGTACTCTTCAAATTTGTGACCCAGAATCTGAAAGCTTCAGAAGTAGCATCTCTTAAAGTCTTTGTACCATTAGTAACGGAAACAACCTTAGCTCCTAGAATTCTCATTCTGAAAACATTCAGAGCTTGACGACGAACATCTTCAGCTCCCATAAAAACAGTACATTTTAAACCAAACTTGGCACATGCTGTTGCAGTAGCGACACCGTGTTGACCAGCACCAGTTTCGGCGATGATTTCTGTCTTACCCAATCTTCTTGCAATTAAAACTTGGGCAAGAGCGTTGTTAATCTTATGTGAACCAGTGTGATTCAAGTCTTCTCTCTTCAACCAGATTTGGGCACCACCACAGTGTTCAGTCAATCTTTCAGCCTTATGCAAAGAAGATGGACGACCAATGTAAGAGTACAAGGATTTGAATTCCTCCCAGAAAGTAGGATCAGCAATTGCATCTTCAAAACCTTCTTCTAGTTCCTTCAAACATGTATGTAAAGCTTCTGGAACGTATTGGCCACCGAAGTCACCAAATCTTATTGGGTGTTTGTGGTCTTCTTCAAATTCGTGGTGGTCCGAATCGGATTCTAGTTCATTGGTGGCCGTTTTCATTAGTTGGTACTCTTCACCAGATAGAATCTTGTGTTTCTTACCATTTAGTATCTCTTCGACGTACTTCTTTGCGACCTCACCACACTTACCTTCTGGGGCTTCCCCACATAAAGTAACGATTTTGGAACCAATGACAACACCGTCGGATAGACTTCCAACAGATTCGAAATGTTCTCTAGTAGAGACACCAAAACCTACTGCAATAGGGGTTTCCTTGGTGTATTTCCTAACTCTGCTGACCAGAGTATCTAGGTCACTGGCAACCGATGATTGGACACCAGTAGTACCCATTCTTGACACGACATAGACGAACGAATCGGCGATTTTAGCCAAAAGCTCAAGACGAGAATCTGTGGTAGAAGGAGCCACTAGAGGAACCAAACTTAATCCGTGCTTCTTCATCATGTTTCTGACTTTAATGGCTTCTTCAGGTGGCAAATCAACAATAATGAAACCGTTTGCACCTGCATCCGCTGCATCTTGAATGAATTTTTCCTCACCATAGTTTAGAATAGGATTGTAGTAACCCATAAGGATAACAGGGACAGTAACACCTTCATCTCTAGCTTTCTTTAACAAGTCCAAAGTTTGTACCAAAGTGACACCGTTCTCCAAAGCCTTGGTGTTGGCAACTTGAATTGTTGGACCATCTGCAATAGGATCAGAGAATGGCATACCCAATTCAATGACATCAACACCACCTTCTTGGAAACCCTTCATTATTGGAATGGTCTCTGCGACTCTAGGATAACCAGCAGTCATGAATGTTACCAAGGCATTACGCCCCTCATTTTTCGCATTGGCAAATGTTTGCTTAAGTTGATGAGACATTATCTTGTGCTTACGATAGTCTTATTATGTCAACACAGAGATAACAAATAATGAAGTAAAATCCCCACAAAAATATGACGGCAAGTACACCAAATAAAACGTAGATTGAAAATTGGAAAGTACAACCCAGACTTAAATAAGAACCATCGATCCACTTTGATGATGCGATTAATGAGCAATTCTACCAATACCAGTTTACAGGCTTGCACAGCTTGGTAGCTGACAAAAATGACTAAAAAGAAATTTTGGTGAAAAAAAAATTGTGGAAAAATGAGTAATAGCGTCAATTGTGATGTTGTCTATCGTGATGTCATAGCAGTGGTAATACACCTTTCTATGTGGGTGATTATACATGTGACTATTCCGGCGGAAGCCAACTGTTGCTCCCGATGGATGGAATACTTCGGTGCCTTTTTGGACACGTAGATCTCCCTTGCATGCATCACTTCATTTCCCCTTTCCTTGCATTCTTGAAAACATTACAAGAAGTCCATGTTCAGGCTGGAGAGGTCGAGGGAGTTGAAGTCCACGAGATCGTATGCACTCTTGGGGTTGTTGCTGTCGTTGTTCATGTTCATGTTCATGCTCTGGTTCTGGTTCTGGCTCTGGTTCTGGCTCTGGTTCTGGTTCTGGTTCTGGTCCATTCCAATGTTCTGCATCTGGTCGTCTTTCCCCTTCGTGTTCATGCTCAAGATATTGGCAGGTGTGATCTGGTTCAGGTTCATACCCATGTTCATATTCATGGAGGGGTTCATGCCGAGGTTCATGTCGGAGGTACCGGGCATGCCATTCATATTGCCATTATTTGGTGGGAATTGCATTTGGCCAATGTTGGGACCCGGCGATTGCTGGCCCATGAATTGACCGTTCTGGTTGTGGTTCTGCATTGGGAACATCTGATTTAGCTGGCCTTGACCGGCCATGGGGGACATCATTGCATTAGGGTTGTTCATGTTTGGATTGTTCATGTTCGGATTACCCATATTTGGGGCATTCATATTTAGATTACCCATACTTGGATTGCCCATATTACCATTTGGCACACTGGGCCGCATTGCCCCATTGTGCGGTACATTCATGTTGTTCATAGCATTCGCTGGAATAGGACTTTGCATTTGTTTCATGTTCGGGTTGCCCATTACTGGAGTACCCATATTCGAGTTCATGCCAGGATTGCTTATATTTTTGTTCTGCATATTGTTCTGGTTCTGATTTTGAGCTTGAGCCTGGGCCTGGGCCTGTGCTTGAGCAACGGCCGCAGCCGCAGCCGCAGCCTGTTGCTGTTTCTTCGTCTGCCTGGGCTTGCGGGGTTTCTTCGCTTGTGTTCCTGGCGTCGTAGCTGTGGTGGCTGGTGTCGGAGCATTGTTGCTCGGCGTACCGATAGTAGCCGTCGCCGTTGGTGTGGGTGCTGTCTTCGCTGCCTTCTTCGTGCCAGCCCCGGGAGTTGGGGCCGTTGTCGGTGTGGCTGCTGCTGGTGTAGGCGTGCTGTTGGAGATCGAAGCACCAGCTTTCCCCCTGTGATTATATGACGCCAGGTTCTCCAGCACCTGGAAGTTCTTGTTCTTGTATGTCTTCGAGTATTCACCGACTGTAGCAAACAGTGGCTGCAGTTCTTCAAAGTCGTTCGACAATTCCTGCAGTCTCTCTGTGAGCCCCAACACCTTCGACCTTATCATTTGGAACTTCTCCTGCTTGCTGACGTTGGCGTACCTCTCCTCATCGAGACTTGACATTATCTGTGTGAAGTCGTTGAATTGGAGTCTCAGAGGAAGGATGCCGTCTTCAGCCTTCTTGATACGCGCCTGAACAACATCCTTAGCCTTACCGTCCGTCTCATCTGCAAACTTCATTTCCAGCTCCGTCAGACTCATGCTAGGCGTCAGCACGTCGCTCAAGTTCGCCTGCTCCTCTTGTTTCGTAGCCATCTCCAGTACTTAAGCTTGCTTCTCCTGACTCGAATTCGGACTCCGTTCTCAACTCTCAGCTGTTGGTATTATATCGTACTACCACAATTACCACAATTACCAGAATTCCTGTACTGCTTATCAAGTGCTCTGAAGCTGCTCCCGTGATGGACTATATTCAGGAACCTGATTCTCTCGTGTTTACCTGGCCTACTTGCGCGCTGTATGATCTCAAAGGCTTGCTGCTGCTAATGTACACGAGGAAGTGGCTGCACCTGCTGCCTGTGAACGCGTAACCGCCGATATATACACCTGGGGTGTCCGCTGGTGGGACTATTGCTATAGGATCGGGCGCCGATGTCCTGTTCACTGCGACGTTTTCGGGGGAAAGCCTGCTATGCCGGGGCGGTGTGCTTTGCAGGGTGGTGTAATCGTTCGAGGGCACATGTTCTCGCTGATGCATACCCGGGTAGCTCTCATCTGCAAGCATCGGCACATATTCGGTGCCACTAAACAGTATATAGTAGTATATAGCTGGGCTTCACCACCATTTCATGTTTTACAGATACTGAGTATTCTTTTTTATTGCTTATTTAAAACGGAAACATACTTATTGAAATTACAAACAAAAAGTGCATTAAACATGTTTATAATGAGGGAAAGAAAAATCAACCACATTGGCAAAACGTAGACATCTTGTCAACTGCCAAAGGGTTCACAAGTTGAATACCAGGCCAACCATCATCAGTGGCAGGGCTAGGTTGCCAGCAACTGCCCGTCTCACACCACTGCCCTCGAAGTTCAAAACCTCTCCATTCAGCGTTGTTCTTGATCTCACGTCGCCCAATATCGACGTTCTTCTAGGAGAGCCTGCTCCACCGTCATCCACTTGCTGCGACACAATCGCTCCTCCATTGTTGCTCGTATCTCCCGCAACACCGTTGTTTGGCGAGGATCCTCCAGTAGGGGCCGCTTGGCCTGCTCTTGTACGCTCATCACCGAGAAGTGAGGTTCTTCTGGAAGGGCCTTGGTTGGCATCTCCATTACTTCCATCACCTCCATTTGGTGCATTACCATTGTTATTGTTATTGTTATTATTGTTGTTGGAGTTTCCTGTACCACCTCCGTTGACATTGGCGCCTGGACTGTTACCATTGACGTTGCCATTAGCACCAGTAGGCTGAGAGGTACCTCCTGGTGACGCTCTAGTACGTTCATCACCTAGGATAGAGGTTCTTCTGGAGGGGTCTGCTGGATCGTTACCATTGGAATTGCCATCACCGGCATTTTCCTCAGGAGTAGGTGGATTGTTGTCGATTTGATCAGAGTTACCAGAGCCATTGGTGCTATCTTGTCCTGGATTAGCTGGACCATTATTGTTGTCCTGTTCAGGGTTTACTGGGTCATTACCACCATTATCTTCAGGACCAGCCGGATCATCTGGAATATCATCAGCAAATTCTGGATCTACGAATTCATTTTCGTCCGAATTATTTTCAATTCGGTTCTCGGGATTCTCATCATCAGACTCCCCATTACCTTCACTTTCCCCTGTTGGTTCGGGAACAAATCCGGTAACTGTTGTAGTTATGGTTATTATTTGACCATCTTCTGTAATTATTGTTGTAATAGTGGTCGTTCTAGGTTCTGGGTTTGGAGATGGAATATTACTTTCTGATTGACTAGTTACAATCTCAGAAGATGAACTTGAAATAGGCACACTTTGACTTCCTGACTCAGAAGATATGATCTTTGAAGATGAAGTTAAAATAGGCACAGTTTCACTTTCAGATTCTGATGTTACTTCTTCAGAAGACGAACTTGCAATAGGTATTTGAGAAGATGAAGTTAAAATGGGTATACTCTCACTTTCCGATTCAGAGGTCATAACCTCAGATGATGAACTAGCAATAGGCACACTTTCACTTTCAGATTCGGATGTTATGATCTCAGAGGATGAACTCTCAATGGTGGAACTATCCATCGGGGTGGATGAACTTTCCACACTACTATCATCAGACTGCGAAGAAGACTGATCGGTTGTCGAGGATGTTTCAGAGGTGGAAGACGATGTAGGAGGGAAAACACACTCACCATTCTCCAGTACACCACCTGCATCTATGCAACTAGTGTCACAATCACCGTTCTCATCCAGTTGACCTCCTTGGTCCCTACAGCTATGGTCACATGTACCATCTTCGTTGAGTTTACCACCAGAGTCACGACAGGTAGTGTCACAATGATCTTCTATTAGAATACCACCTGCATCTCTACAACTGGTGTCACAGTGATCACCAACTATTATACCACCATCATCTCTGCATGTGGTATTACAGTTGCCATTCTCATCAATAATACCGCCGTCATCTCTGCAACTAGTGTCACACGCGCCGTTTTCATCTAACTTACCGCCAGAATCTTTACAGCTCGTATCACAGTTGCCATTCTCGTCTATAATACCACCCTGATCCTTACAGTGGGTATCGCATTCATTATTTTCGTCCAACTGACCACCTTCGTCTTTACAGCTGGTATCACATTCACCTTCAATCAACATGCCGCCACTGTCCTTACAACTAGTGTCACATTCGCCGCTCTCGTCCAGTTGACCTCCTTGGTCTCTACAGCTATGGTCACATGTACCATCTTCGTTGAGTTTACCACCAGAGTCAACACATGTAGTGTCACAGTGGTCTCCTACTAGAATACCACCTGCTTCCTTACACTGATAATCACACTCGTCTCCTACTAACATACCACCATCGTCTCTACAACTGGTATCACACGTACCATCAACGTTTAGTTTACCACCAGAGTCACGACAGGTAGTGTTACATGCACCATCTTCTAGAACGCCTCCTGATTCAATACAGCTACGGTCGCAATTACCGTCTCCATCTAAGATGCCACCAGAATCAACACAGCTAGTGTCACACTCTCCATCAATAACAACACCACCAACTTCTTTGCATCCATAATTACACTCGCCGTCGATAATTTGACCGCCCGAATCTTTACACGTGGTGTTACAGTTACCACTTTCATCTATGATACCTCCTTCTTCTTTACAACTATAATCACAATTACCGTCTTCATCCAACTTACCACCATCTTCTTTACAGCTCAAGTCACAATCGCCGTTCTCATCCAACTTACCGCCGTTCTCTTTACAGGACATATCACAATTACCGTCTTCATCCAACTTACCACCGCCATTTTTACAACTATAGTCACATTTACCGTTCTCATCCAGTTGACCTCCTTGGTCCCTACAGCTATGGTCACAAGTACCATCTTCGTTGAGTTTACCACCAGAGTCACGACAGGTAGTGTCACAATGATCTTCTATTAGAATACCACCTGCATCTCTACAACTGGTGTCACAGTGATCACCAACTATTATACCACCATCATCTCTGCATGTGGTATTACAGTTGCCATTCTCATCAATAATACCGCCGTCATCTCTGCAACTAGTGTCACACGCGCCGTTTTCATCTAACTTACCGCCAGAATCTTTACAGCTCGTATCACAGTTGCCATTCTCGTCTATAATACCACCCTGATCCTTACAGTGGGTATCGCATTCATTATTTTCGTCCAACTGACCACCTTCGTCTTTACAGCTGGTATCACATTCGCCTTCAATCAACATGCCGCCACTGTCCTTACAACTAGTGTCACATTCGCCGCTCTCGTCCAGTTGACCTCCTTGGTCTCTACAGCTATGGTCACATGTACCATCTTCGTTGAGTTTACCACCAGAGTCAACACATGTAGTGTCACAGTGGTCTCCTACTAGAATACCACCTGCTTCCTTACACTGATAATCACACTGCCCCTCGACTAGCATACCACCATCGTCTCTACAGGTTGTATCACAGTTGCCATTTTCATCCAAGAAACCGCCGGATTCGATACAAGATTTGTCACAATCTCCAGTATCGGGATTAACTATACCCCCTTCCATTTTACAGCTTTGATCACACATGTCACCATTCCAGTAACCACCATCATTAGCGCAATCTTCGGGGGTGTAGCAGATATTATTAATTGGGTCCCACTGACCAATGCAATCTTCTTCTTCACATTTCATCCTGATGTAATAGATAGTTATGACTTCTGTACCTCCACCTGGTTCCATGATCGTACTGTATTGTGTACTAAAAGTAGTGTCATCAACGACATCATCATCACAGACAGTCTTGTATCTGATAGAGTCCTTACATTCATTACCGGTATCATCGAGCATATATAAGTAACCATCAAAGTCATATGTAATCTCCTCTGTATTGGGTGGATAGAACCCAACCATGAATTTCGAATGATAGTCTCTGTTGTTGTAAAACAACCTGATAGGATAATATGAATCCTCGAACAAGTACACTTCCAATTCTTGGTCAGCCTCATTAGGCCACATGGCGTATGCAACATATGGACCAAAATTATCAATGGACTCTTCTCTGTTACAACATTCAAAAGCATTCTTAGAACCAAAGTTGAACAGGATAAAGTCATCAGCATGAATTTCAAATTTATAGAGTCCGGTAGACTTAGGCTTGAAGTAGCCGGATAGAACCATAGTAAAATTCGAGAAAGTTATTTTGGCAGGATAATTATAAGCAGTAGGTAGCCGGGCCATGATTGGCTTACATCCCTCTTTAAATTCATTGTGGTCCCAAGAGATTTTACCATTAACATGATCACTAGAGCCAAAGGAGCCGTACTTTTTGTAACCATAACGTGGGAAGTTGGGGTCCTGATACTCTGGGTTCCAACATTGACCGGCTCTGCCTTCGATTCCGCCCGCAGAATCGCCATCAGTCTCGCCGTCAGCATCACTATCTGTATCGTTAGTGAATCCAGTTCTTGGATTCTTCACGTACAAGTAAGGGTAGTTGTAAAGGTCCATGTGCAAACCCACGCTTACTGCATTTGGTGGACTTGAACAACCTTCAGGTCTTGGGTAGTGAGCAAACGGGGTGATGTCCACGGCCCTCTTCTGGAACACTCTCTTGATGCTCAGTTTATCCTCCACTGGCAATGAACTTGCCAGGTTAAATAGGAATAACAGAGTCAGATACCAAAAGATCTTCTCGTTCATTATTCGTTGTATGAAGCTGCTTGTTGCTTTGGTGTTTTGAATAGTATTATATGTTGTTTCGAATTATATCAATTACTGATGTATTCTTGTAATATGGGAAATAGAATAATATACAATGAAAGAGAGCATTTGGAAAAGACAAAAAGAGCAAATTAGCGGGTGTATTTATATGTTTTTTTGGGATCGCATTGAAGAGGGTTAAATTGTATTCTTTCTGCATTTCATCCACTTAGTGACTTCATAATGTGATGCATAAAGTCTAAGGATATCATGCTGTCTAGAGAAGGACTGGCAATAAAAGTGTACAATTTAGAGGGTGGAATAAGAAATGCTGCCCTTGGATATTTCAGACATAGCTGTGATGGTAGTGTACTATTGGATAAACTAACTTAGAGGGTGAAACAAGGTTGGAAGTCACCCACATTTGAATGAAGATCGCCTTCTGCAGAGCAAATCAAATATGCATCTCAAAGCATGAATAATGAGAAATTAGTATCTCAACGCATGTGTATGGAGAAGTAGGTATCTCTGGGTGTGAGTATTTGGCACTAAGCATCCCACACATATGAGGGTTCGCAGACCAACTAGAAAGCATGGAAACGGCAAGTTAGCTCAAGGTCTAGCAGCAGCGATCGTACTATCGAGAATGAGATGATGCGTATAATAATAACTCTACAGAAATTCTTGCGATACTTTCAATTTTTGGGTATTTTAAGCTATTTGGGCATTTTAAGCTTTTTGGGTATTTAAGCTTTTTGATATTAATAGGTTGTGATAATTATAGGTTGTGAAGCGATTCTTGAGTCTTGTCTCAAAGTGGGTGAGCAATGGACCAACTTCGAGAACGAGACTACCATACCTACCAGTTGTTCACTTTATTTCTTTGTAGATTGTTCACTTAGTTTCTCTGTAGATTGTTCACTGCACCACAGCATTGCTTGCTGTGATAGCCACTGAATCACGACAGTGCATCACTGCATCACTGCATCACTGTCTCACTGCATTGCTCACTTGCGCTATATTAGGACAACAGTCATCCGAGTCACCCAAGGCAGAGACGCAGACCCGCTAGAAGATCTTAAAAATAGATTGACTGATTGCAAGTTTGCCTAATCTAGTGCCTCTGTAAGAAAAGCCCGCACGAGAGTCACACACACAATGCATGGAACACTTACCCAATTAGAACCAGTAGCCATATAAGCACAACCACACAAAACCCGCGTGGGGTTGCAGCCATATGTGAATCTAGGTCTCAGAGCGGCCTGCACACGTAAGACTCCCACAGGCAAGTTGAAATGGAGGCATCACACCAGAAACCCTAATTGGTAAATCCGTTGCTAGAAGAACAAGGGGGGTTTACTTACTGAGAAACCCCTGCAGCACCTTGTCAGTCTACAAATAGGACGTGGGATGAGGGGAAGAAAACCACGGACGAACTGCCAAAACGGAAAGAATTTTAGGAAACTAGGAAAAACTGGCAAATCGTGGCAGAGAATACAGTGCAGGGCAAGTGCCCATATCATTTTGTGAGGACTTTTAAGCATTGTAGTGGGCTGTCCAAAAATAACAAGAACGGCAAAACATGGGCACGTATGTTGGAATGGCAACCATTTCAGGGACCCTCGAGGAATCCAAAGGATTGCCTTCATGAACCTCTAATGACGTATTTTCCATTGTAAAGGCTTACAGTGTAGATGGCAGTCACATCCCTCACGATATATTTATTATATTCAAACCCTCTTTAATCATCACAACTGCTACTAAATAATCATCATCCCCAGTTTGGGTACCTGTATCGCAAGAAATGCTATAACTATGGTACTATCCAACTCATGTAACTTGGCTCTCTATGCCAAGTCAGAATAGGCTTCAATTACTCTGGAGCCAATCATTCACTTCAAAGGGCGGGATGAATTCATGATGAACTGCCGTTCTACATTATTGTGAATTATTATGGAATGGTGTACTTGACACTCTATTATAATGCTGGGACAAGGGATAATAAATTCAATCGTGTTTTCCACATTACCGTAAAATTGGCAATTTCGCATATCCTTTTGGTAAAAAATATGCAACTATGAAAGCTACTGAATAGATTCATTTTGCCACTAGCCGACAGTTCTTTTGCTCCTCGATAATATACTTAATTTATTGTACGACTACAATACTTTGCTTATCCTAGCTTATCTTTTCTTATCATTCCTATCTTTTCTTATCATTCCTATCTTTTCTTATCTCATCTTATCGTTACCCTATCATAACATATCATTTCATGTCATATCTTATCATCATCCATACTGTGATGCCTAAAACCATGCCCGTTCATATAGCAAGTACTGTGGTAAATCTTTGCAAAAGTATTGTGCCTTGGCTACAAATTTTGATCATACCATCGTTCAGCGTCGTGAAGTGTATATTACCCATTTCATAACAATGGGATGTGATTCTTTACTTGTTATATTACAGAGAGTGACAGTTGTACATGTGACTATTCCCGCGCAAGCCAACTGTTGCTCCCGATGGATGGAAAACTTCGGTGCCTTTTTGGACACGTAGATCTCCCTTGCATGCATCGCCTCATTTCCCCTTTCCTTGCATTCTTGAAAACATTACAAGAAGTCCATGTTCAGGCTGGAGAGGTCGAGGGAGTTGAAGTCCACGAGATCGTATGCACTCTTGGGGTTATTGCTGTCGTTGTTCATGTTCATGTTCATGCTCTGGTTCTGGTTCTGGTTCTGGTTCTGGTTCTGGTTCTGGTCCATTCCAATGTTCTGCATCTGGTCGTCTTTCCCCTTCGTGTTCATGCTCAAGATATTGGCAGGTGTGATCTGGTTCATGTTCATACCCATGTTCATATTCATGGAAGGGTTCATGCCGAGGTTCATGTCGGAGGTACCGGGCATGCCGTTCATATTTCCATTATTTGGTGGGAATTGCATTTGGCCAATGTTGGGACCCGGCGATTGCTGGCCCATGAAATGACCGTTCTGGTTGTGGTTCTGCATTGGGAACATCTGATTTAGCTGGCCTTGACCGGCCATGGGGGACATCATTGCATTAGGGTTGTTCATGTTTGGATTGTTCATGTTCGGATTACCCATATTTGGGGCATTCATATTTAGATTACCCATACTTGGATTGCCCATATTACCATTTGGCACACTGGGCCGCATTGCCCCATTGTGCGGTACATTCATGTTGTTCATAGCATTCGCTGGAATAGGACTTTGCATTTGTTTCATGTTCGGGTTGCCCATTACTGGAGTACCCATATTCGAGTTCATGCCAGGATTGCTTATATTTTTGTTCTGCATATTGTTCTGGTTCTGATTTTGAGCTTGAGCCTGGGCCTGGGCCTGTGCTTGAGCAACGGCCGCAGCCGCAGCCGCAGCCTGTTGCTGTTTCTTCGTCTGCCTGGGCTTGCGGGGTTTCTTCGCTTGTGTTCCTGGCGTCGTAGCTGTGGTGGCTGGTGTCGGAGCATTGTTGCTCGGCGTACCGATAGTAGCCGTCGCCGTTGGTGTGGGTGCTGTCTTCGCTGCCTTCTTCGTGCCAGCCCCGGGAGTTGGGGCCGTTGTCGGTGTGGCTGCTGCTGGTGTAGGCGTGCTGTTGGAGATCGAAGCACCAGCTTTCCCCCTGTGATTATATGACGCCAGGTTCTCCAGCACCTGGAAGTTCTTGTTCTTGTATGTCTTCGAGTATTCACCGACTGTAGCAAACAGTGGCTGCAGTTCTTCAAAGTCGTTCGACAATTCCTGCAGTCTCTCTGTGAGCCCCAACACCTTCGACCTTATCATTTGGAACTTCTCCTGCTTGCTGACGTTGGCGTACCTCTCCTCATCGAGACTTGACATTATCTGTGTGAAGTCGTTGAATTGGAGTCTCAGAGGAAGGATGCCGTCTTCAGCCTTCTTGATACGCGCCTGAACAACATCCTTAGCCTTACCGTCCGTCTCATCTGCAAACTTCATTTCCAGCTCCGTCAGACTCATGCTAGGCGTCAGCACGTCGCTCAAGTTCGCCTGCTCCTCTTGTTTCGTAGCCATCTCCAGTACTTAAGCTTGCTTCTCCTGACTCGAATTCGGACTCCGTTCTCAACTCTCAGCTGTTGGTATTATATCGTACTACCACAATTACCACAATTACCAGAATTCCTGTACTGCTTATCAAGTGCTCTGAAGCTGCTCCCGTGATGGACTATATTCAGGAACCTGATTCTCTCGTGTTTACCTGGCCTACTTGCGCGCTGTATGATCTCAAAGGCTTGCTGCTGCTAACGTACACGAGGAAGTGGCTGCACCTGCTGCCTGTGAACGCGTAACCGCCGATATATACACCTGGGGTGTCCGCTGGTGGGACTATTGCTATAGGATCGGGCGCCGATGTCCTGTTCACTGCGACGTTTTCGGGGGAAAGCCTGCTATGCCGGGGCGGTGTGCTTTGCAGGGTGGTGTAATCGTTCGAGGGCACATGTTCTCGCTGATGCATACCCGGGTAGCTCTCATCTGCAAGCATCGGCACATATTCGGTGCCACTAAACAGTATATAGTAGTATATAGCTGGGCTTCACCACCATTTCATGTTTTACAGATACTGAGTATTCTTTTTTATTGCTTATTTAAAACGGAAACATACTTATTGAAATTACAAACAAAAAGTGCATTAAACATGTTTATAATGAGGGAAAGAAAAATCAACCACATTGGCAAAACGTAGACATCTTGTCAACTGCCAAAGGGTTCACAAGTTGAATACCAGGCCAACCATCATCAGTGGCAGGGCTAGGTTGCCAGCAACTGCCCGTCTCACACCACTGCCCTCGAAGTTCAAAACCTCTCCATTCAGCGTTGTTCTTGATCTCACGTCGCCCAATATCGACGTTCTTCTAGGAGAGCCTGCTCCACCGTCATCCACTTGCTGCGACACAATCGCTCCTCCATTGTTGCTCGTATCTCCCGCAACACCGTTGTTTGGCGAGGATCCTCCAGTAGGGGCCGCTTGGCCTGCTCTTGTACGCTCATCACCGAGAAGTGAGGTTCTTCTGGAAGGGCCTTGGTTGGCATCTCCATTACTTCCATCACCTCCATTTGGTGCATTACCATTGTTATTGTTATTGTTATTGTTATTGTTATTGTTATTATTGTTGTTGGAGTTTCCTGTACCACCTCCGTTGACATTGGCGCCTGGACTGTTACCATTGACGTTGCCATTAGCACCAGTAGGCTGGGAGGTACCTCCTGGTGACGCTCTTGTACGTTCATCACCTAGGATAGAGGTTCTTCTGGAGGGGTCTGCTGGATCGTTACCGTTGGAATTGCCATCACCGGCATTTTCCTCAGGAGTAGGTGGATTGTTGTCGATTTGATCAGAGTTACTAGAGCCATTGGTGTTATCTTGTCCAGGATTAGCTGGACCATTATTGTTGTCCTGTTCAGGGTTTACTGGGTCATTACCACCATTATCTTCATCGTTCACTGGGGCTTGTTCAGGGTTTACTGCGCCATTGTTACCACTATCTTCAAGGTTTACTGGATCGTTATCATTACCTTGTTCAGGGTTCACTGGACCATTGCCATTATCTTCAGGACCAGCCGGATCATCTGGAATATCGTCAGTAAATTCTGGATCTACGAATTCATTTTCGTCCGTATTGTTTTCAATTGGGTTCTCGAGATTCTCATCATCAGACCCATTACCTTCAGTTTCTCCTGTTGGTTCGGGAACAAATCCGGTAACTGTTGTAGTTATGGTTATTATTTGACCATCTTCTGTAATCGTGGATGTAATAGTTGTTCTAGTTCTGGTACGGTCGTCACCTAAGATTGATGTTCTTCTTGAAGATTCTAAATCACTAATTCTTGAGCTAGATTCTGCTATTCCAGGAGTTTCTGTACTGCTTGACACAATTGGAGATGAGTTACTAGTTGTGGGTTGAATTGGATTTGGCCATGTAGTACTTGTAGTAGTTGTAGGGGTTGAAGTTGGATATGAACTATCACTCTCTGATCTACTAGATACAGCCTCAGAAGATGTACTTTCAATCGGTATACTCTCACTCTCTGATTCAGGTATTATTATTTCCGAAGATGAACTTGCAACAGGTATTTCCGAAGATGAACTTGCAATAGGTACACTCTCACTCTCTGATTCAGGTATTATTATTTCCGAAGATGAACTTGCAACAGGTATTTCCGAAGATGAACTTGCAACAGGTACACTCTCACTCTCTGATTCAGGTATTATTATTTCCGAAGATGAACTTGCAATAGGTATTTCAGAAGATGAAGTTAAAATGGGTATACTCTCACTTTCTGATTCAGAGGTCATAACCTCAGATGATGAACTAGCAATAGGCACACTTTCACTTTCAGATTCGGATGTTATGATCTCAGAGGATGAGCTCTCAATGGTGGAACTATCCATCGGGGTGGATGAACTTTCCACACTACTATCATCAGACTGCGAAGAAGACTGATCGGTTGTCGAGGATGTTTCAGAGGTGGAAGACGATGTAGGAGGGAAAACACACTCACCATCCTCCAGTATACCACCTGCCTCTTTACACTGATAATCACACTGCCCTTCGACTAGCATACCACCATCGTCTCTACAACTGGTATCACACGTACCATCAACGTTTAGTTTACCACCAGAGTCACGACAGGTAGTGTTACATGCACCATCTTCTAGAACGCCTCCTGATTCAATACAGCTACGGTCGCAATTACCGTCTCCATCTAAGATGCCACCAGAATCAACACAGCTAGTGTCACACTCTCCATCAATAACAACACCACCAACTTCTATGCATCCATAATTACACTCGCCGTCGATAATTTGACCGCCCGAATCTTTACACGTGGTGTTACAGTTACCACTTTCATCTATGATACCTCCTTCTTCTTTGCAACTATAATCACAATCACCGTTACCATCTAACTTACCACCATCTTCTTTACAGCTCAAGTCACAATCACCATCCTCATCCAACTGACCGCCGTTCTCTTTACAGGACATATCACAATTACCGTCTTCATCCAACTTACCACCGCCATTTTTACAACTATAGTCACAATCACCGTTCTCATCCAGTTGACCTCCTTGGTCCCTACAACTATAGTCACACGTACCATCGTCGTTGAGTTTACCACCAGAGTCACGACAGGTAGAGTTACATATACCATCTTCTAGAATTCCTCCCGCATCTCTACAACTGGTGTCACAGTGATCACCAACTAGTATACCACCATCATCTCTGCATGTGGTATTACAGTTGCCATTCTCATCAATAATACCGCCCTCATCTCTGCAACTAGTGTCACACGCGCCGTTTTCATCTAACTTACCGCCAGAATCTTTACAGCTCGTATCACAGTTGCCATTCTCGTCTATAATACCACCCTGATCTTTGCAGTGGTTAATACATTCATTATTTTCGTCCAACTGACCACCTTCGTCTTTACAGCTGGTATCACATTCGCCTTCAATCAACATACCGCCACTGTCCTTACAACTAGTGTCACATTCGCCGCTCTCGTCCAGTTGACCTCCTTGGTCTCTACAGCTATGGTCACACGTACCATCTTCGTTGAGTTTACCACCAGAGTCAACACATGTAGTGTCACAGTGGTCTCCTACTAGAATACCACCTGCTTCCTTACACTGATAATCACACTGCCCTTCGACTAGCATACCGCCATCGTCTCTACAGGTTGTATCACAGTTGCCATTTTCATCCAAGAAACCGCCGGATTCGATACAAGATTTGTCACAATCTCCAGTATCGGGATTAACTATACCTCCCTCTAGCTTACAACTTTGGTCACACATTTGACCATTCCAGTACCCGCCGTCATCGGCACAATCATCTGGAGAATAGCAGACGTTATTGATTGGATCCCATTGACCAAGACAATCTTCCTCTTCACACTTCATCCTGATATAATAGATGGTTATTACATCTGAACCACCACCAGGAACCATACTTGTACTGTACCGGGTGCTGTAAGTAGTGTCATCTACGACCTTATCGTCACAGACAGTTCTGTATCTAATCGAGTCCCTACATTCATTGCCGGTATCATCTAACATGAATAGGTAACCGTCGAAGTCGAAAGTGATCGTGGTCTGTCCCGGTGGGTAGAAGCCGATCTTGAATTTAGAGTGGTAGTCTCTGTTGTTGTAGAACAATCTCAATGGATAGTATGAATCTTCGAACAAGTACACTTCCAATTCTTGGTCGGCTTGATTAGGCCACATGGCATAGGCGACGTAAGGACCGAAGTTATCAATGGACTCTTCTCTGTTACAACATTCAAAAGCATTCTTAGCCCCGAAGTTAAACAGAATAAAGTCATCTGCTTTCAACTCGAACTTATAGACACCAGAGGTCTTTGGCTTGAAGTAGCCGGACAAAACCATAGTGAAGTTTGAGAACGTTATCTCGTCGGGATAGTTATAGCCTGGAGGCAAAGCTGCCAGCACGGGCTTACAACCCTCTGTGAACTCATTGTGGTCCCATGATATATCACCATTGACGTTATCACTAGCGCCAAATTCACCGTATTGTTTGTACCCGAAACGTGGGAAGTTGGGGTCCTGGTACTCTGGGTTCCAACATTGACCGGCCCTTCCTTCAATTCCGCCCGCAGAATCGCCATCAGTCTCGCCGTCGGAGTCGCTGTTTGTATCATTAGTGAACATTCCTTTTGTTGAAGGTTTCACGTACAGGTAAGGGTAGTTGTAAAGGTTCATGTGCAAACCCACGCTTACTGAGTTTGGTGGACTTGAGCAACCTTCGGGTCTTGGGTAGTGGGCAAACGGTGTGAAGTCCACGGCCCTCTTCTCGAACACTTTTTTAATATTCAGTTTATCCTCCACTGGCAGTGAACTGGCCAGTTCGAACAGGAATAACAGAGTCAGATACCGAAAGATCTTCTCGTTCATTCTCCGTGTATTAAATTTTGTTAGTTGTATTTTATCTATTGCTTTGATATGCGTATTTGTATTATATCAATTGCTGATGTGTTATTTGCAAATCCGATTATGGACTAGCATCTGATATAATGAAGTATTTTGAAAACAATGGATGGGCATAGTGGCAATTCTATTTATATGTTTCTCAAGGAGCCAGGAGAGTTCAGTTGGAGGGGGGAGGGGGGAAAGGTTACTTTTGAACAGTTGTATGATATCAGCTCTTGTTGGGCATCATAATGTAATACTTGCCTTTGGAGGTGTCTTGCAAACGAGCATGAGCGAAGAAGGTCCCACAATTAGAGGGTTATCTTACGAGTTGTAAGAAAAAACGTTGCCTTGATTAATGCAATTATGTTTGTGATTGTGATTGTGGTTGTGGTTGCGGTTGCAATTGCGTATCATTAAGAGGGATGCAATAGCGTATAGCTAAAGATAGCATTTTCACCCGCACGCACACATATTAATTAAAAGATCACCCATGCAGCGCATTTCCCAGAGCTGGAGAATGACGGAGTGGTTCCAGATGTGGGGCGTTAGGGAAGTAGGCATGTTGCAGTGTTGCAGTGTTGCAGTGTTGCAGTGTTGCAGTGTTGCAGTGTTTCAGTGTTCTAGTGTTGCAGTGCACATCTGATTTGTAGATGTAGTTTTTAAAGTTTTGATTGCTATTAATTTAGAAAGTCAAAATATGTTGAGTTGTCTTGTAGTGAAGTGGGTGAGGATCAGTTCGAGGAAAGGGATTGACAAATCTACGCATTGTTCCCTGCATCCTTGCATCCCTCCCGTAGAGTTAGTCATATTTTGTCCAGATTTTCCATTGTCCTGCTTGTCTGTAGATTGTTTTTCTAATTAGCACTAGTCCACTGGGGGGAGGGTCTGAGTTCATGAGGTGGGAATGCAGAAAGAGCTAGAGCCAGAGAACCAGAGAACCAGAGAGGCCGCGCAAGTATTTACGCAAAATCTTTTTTTAGTGCGTAAATACAAACAACCAATGACACAATCCCGCGGTAAGAAAAGGCTGCACACAGCCACATCACAAGAGTGTCTTACCCAATAGCAGGCTCGAAGAAACAGACAAACCCGCGTGGAGAGGGGTGAATAAGTAAAGACATTAGAGATCTGGAGGGGGGGCCTTAGAACAGCAAGCACAGGGACAGGCACCAGGCAAGCTCCGTCGGGACAACAGCTGTCCCAAAAGAGTAAATCCGAGCTGCAAGGAAGGGGTACCACCTGTGCGCGAGAGGACCTCCTGTACAACCGTAGAGAAAAACCTCCGGAAGACGTGGGATATGAGAGACGCGGACGAACGGGGGAAGGAACGAAGGAACAAACAAACCAGGAAAACGGAACAAACCAGGAAAACGGAAAAACGGAAAAACCAGGAAAACGGGAAAACGGGAAAACCGGAATAATCACCGCTGCAGTAAGAATCCAGCAGTTACAAAGGGAGTCAGCGACCAAACCAGAATAGCCCCTTCATCTTCAGAACGGCAAAAAGAGTCGGAGTCCCTCGAGAACCAGCAAATGAAATGACGTATTGTTGCTGTACGTAGCACTGTACTAGTAGTATACTATACTATAACGTATAATACGTATAATAATGTCTTGTCTATGTCTTGTAATACTTGTAATACTTGCTTGTCTTAACTTGTCTTGTTATGTTTATCCCTTTTTGTACAATCCTCGTGGTAGAACATACAACACATGAGATGTAACTACACCTGTGATAATATCATCCACGTGTAGGATCAACCCCTCGTGCGACACCCCCCCACGCCCCCCTCCCCCTCGTGCTTATATAACTTCAGCCACATGTGTCTTATCTTTCATATAAAACCCACATGGATCCCCCCCCCACGCATCCTTCCTTTCCATAAAGATAAGACTCGACTCGACTCACAAGAAAAATGACGTACTTCGAGTCATCTCGAGTTGCAACTTGTGCAACAGCAACTGCAACAGCAACTGCTAGTGCAACTTGTGTTTGCAACTTGTGTTTGCAACTGCTAGTGCAACTGCTAGTGCAACTTGTGCCATTTGTGGATGTGCAAGTGCTTGTGCAATTTGTTGGCAAGTGCAACTGCAACTTGTGTTTGCAATTTCTGGATATGCAATAGCATGACATGTGCTTCCGGGAACGTGTTCCAGAAAATTCTTTAGAAAAGTATATAAAAAGGGCTATCCCCCCAATTGTAACAACACAATATCTTATAACAAATGTAGATAAGCACAAATGTCCAAGCATCTTAGAAACCCTGTACTGAGAGATATCCCCACTTCTGCCAGCGAGTGGAAGTACGCCATCTGCGGCAGACACAAGCACGAGATATACCCGATCGGTGCCAGTAAGGCCAACGATGACAACCACGACAATGACAATGACAACGACAATGACAGCACTGAGCACAAGAAGGGCTTCCAGAAGTACTGGCCCATTATCACCACGGGTGCAGGGCTGTTCTCCGACGGGTACATCAACAACTCCATCAGTACGGTCTCCACATGCCTATCGCTGCTATACGGGAAGGAATACTCCGAGTCACACGCCATCAGAAACATCTCATCAATTGTCTTCGCCGGTACCGTGTGCGGTATGCTGATCTTCGGCTATTTGGCAGACCACCACTCCCGTAAGTTCTCAATGCTGCTCGGTACATCCATGCTGATCCTGTTCACCATCCTGTGCGCTGGTGCATGGGGTAAAGGCACCACGAACACCCACGCCGGTGGCCTCTTCGCAGCGCTGACCGCTTACAGATTCTTCCTGGGTATCGCCATCGGTAGTGAGTACTCCAGTAGCTCCCCCGCCGCCGCAGAGGCCTCGAACTTGCTGCCCCGCGGTAAGCGTAACAGATACTTCATCTGGTTCACCAACACTATGATCGACTTCGGCTTCGTCATCGGAGCATTCGTCCCTCTGGTGCTCCTGTGGATCTGCGGCTCCCACCACTTGACCCCAGTCTGGAGAATCACCATCGGCCTAGGTGCCATCCCGCCTTGCTCTCTGTTCGTGCTAAGACTGTTCTACAAAGAGGGCAAGAAGTTCCGCGAAACAAGGTTTAACAGAAAAGTGCCCGTCTGGAGAATCATCAAGTTCTACTGGTTCAGAGTGGCAATCGTATCCATCATCTGGTTCCTCTATGACTTCTCCTCTTACGCTTTCGGTACCTACTCTTCCATTATCATCGGCCTAGTGCTGCCAAAGGACGCACCTTTGTACAAGAACTTCGGCTGGAACGTCGTGTTTAACTTGTTCTATATGCCAGGCTCAATCGTCGGTGCTTTGCTCTCTGACTACTTCGGCCCACGTCTAGTGATCTCCGTGGGTCTAATTGTCCAGGCAGCCATCGGTTTCGCCCTCGCCGGCTCCCTAGACCACTTAAAGAGACATATCGTCGGCTTCGTGTTCATGTACGGTGTCTTCATCACACTCGGTGAACTGTCTGCCGGTAACAACATGGGTGTCGTCGCTTCAAAGGTTAACGCCACACCAGTAAGAGCCACTCTATATGGTGTCGCCGCAATGATCGGTAAAGTAGGCGCCTTCGTTGGTACATACGTTTTCCCATCACTGATCAAGAACCACGGCCTAAGCAGCCCTTACTACGTCTCTTCTGCCCTTTGCTGTTTCTCCGCTCTGCTAGCATTCTTGTTCTTGCCTGACTTGGACCAGGACGCCATGAAGAGGGAAGACGATAAGTTCATGGAATACTTGGCATCCACCGGCTATGACTTGTCTACAATGGGTATTCAAACCGACGACGAGAGTGAATTGTCCACTATCTCCGTCAAGAACTCCGAAATTAACGAGAAGGCCTTTGACAAATAATTGCTCCTCAGGCATTACGCTTCTCCATATCCGTCTTACTATTCTTAAAAGGTCAACTACGTTTTTCTTGCCGATTGCTCTTTGTTAGATGCAAAAAACAATCTTCGAATGTACCTACTGTTCTATTTTTTATTATTCTTACCATTGTGAGCTCCCATTCCACTAACTATTGATATGTGCTGATTAAAATTGTTCATAAAATCAGACACTTTTTTTATGATCTGTTCCTTAAAATACTCTAATTTTGCATTGATTGTTAAGTTCTTGAGAAAACTTTTATTACTATTTCTTTTTTTTTTTGTTGTTAAACCTTGATAATTGTACCTAAAATTCTGGGAGCTTCTATTTACAAACTGATACAAGATACACTCAAAGTCTCAAAGGCTGCTAAACGTCTTCGAGTTGAGACAAACTGTAATTAATTATGTATAGTAGTCAATTAATGATAATAGCTTTCTCCCTAAATTAATACCTTCTTTTGAGTAGTAATTAGTATATATACCTTGAATCTGGTATACATGATTTTCAATACTTTCAATTCCTAATTTATAGACAATAGAAGAATATACTAAAATGAAAAAGAACCACATTAAAGTTCAAATGTCTATTTTTGAAATTGCGCTAAATAACGAGAAGTATATGTGAATTAGAATTAGAGAAATTATTAGGTAAAAGTTATGTAATGAAATGCTGTGCGAACTGAATAGATTGCATTGCGCTGTGCTGTTACTTGAAACAATTTATGATAAAAATTGCAATGCAATAGTGTAGCGACTTGTAGTTTGAAAATTTCTAAGAATTAAATAGTTAGAATTTGGTTGCTGCAGTAGAGATACTCTATTATTTAATGGGTCTTGGCCTTTTCAGCGGCCTCCTTCTCTCTGGCAACATAGTTAGCGTAGTCTAGCCATTGTAGAACTTGCCAGACAAACCAAGCCAAGATAGCACCCAATAATGGACCAATCCAGTAGATCCAGTGGTAGTGTGGGAAATATCTCTTAGCTAGAGCAGCACCAAAAGATCTAGCTGGGTTGACACCGGTACCAGTGTAGGCGGTTAGGGCAAGATGGCCGATAAATAGAGAAATACCAATTGGAAGAGCACACATAAAGTTAGATTCACCCTTTTCAACGGCAGTCATTAAGACAGTTAGACATAGAATAGCGGTACCGAACATTTCCAAAAACAAACCTCTGGTTCTAGAACAGCCTAGCCCTAGACCGTTGTCGAACTTGACTGGACCTGGAGTCATAGCAGAAGCAGCACCACCAGCAGCCATACCACCAAGTATTTGAGCAATCCACATGACAACACATCTGGTTGGGGTGATAGCTCTGGCCAAGGCTAAGGATAGAGAGACAGCTGGGTTAAGTGCACCACCGGAGACACCGACGAAACACCAAATAGAAAACATAACGGAAAAACCGAAACCCAAGGCAATCATGATCAATTGACCTGGGTGAGAACCATGTGGTGGACTGTCCTTTAAAGAGACATCATGGTTAGCAATGTTAGCAATAACATAGGCACACCACAAGAACATGAAAGTACCGCATAACTCACCCATAAATGCGATCACGTGGTTTCTAACAGAGTCTGGGCCAATATTGAATCTTGACCTCAGCATGTTAGCGCTGTTGGAAACAGATTCAGGAACATCTGAGTCCCCCATCTTGTCGACATGTTCGACCTGTGTCTTGTTTTGAATTTCCAAATCAGAGTCCATATTTGACTAATTGGATAATGTTGTTGTTTTCTTCGATATCTAATGCTGTTACAGCAAAATACAAGATTAATTGAAATTGCTCGAGCGGAAGGGAGTGATTATCTTGCATTTATGTCTAGTATTTATAGGAAAATAAAGACTGCAAAAATGGGCTTTGATATCTTGCAAGATTTTTTTTTCTTCTCATTGAATCAAACTGAAATAAGCAAATCCTTTCAATGTCCTTGATCCGGCTATAGTGGGAAAATACTTTAGAAGGGCATCAGCATCCCGGACATCAGTCTACTGAGTTTTCTAATCCCTTACTGTTACAATAGATTATTGTAATGAAATGAAATGGACAATTGCTTACAGAAGGACTTGCTGAAGGGGACCCATGTGAACTTAATTACAATGAACATGAATGTTCATACAGTGCAATCTAAGGGCAAAAAAAAATCATAGTTTCCCACAGAATTTAGTTTTGGATCAATTGATAAAAAGAAGCACATAGTAAAAGGAAAACCCGTGAATATACCTTTTGACAATTAAAAATAACCTGCTGGGATCTCGTTGTCCTTCTTCTACACATGATCTAGAGGGTCTCTTCCACTTCTTTGCTGTTGTATTGCCAAAAGCGGTACAAATATAGAAGATTCCGAAATAACACCATTTTTCTTTATTACTTGATTTCCGTCTTGCCCAGGACGTTTTGTTTCCTACAGCCTACTATTGTTTGATATGGGTGATGTAATACCTTATTCTCAATGAGTACTATAAGCAGCAAGGGCTTTTTCTTTTTCTTTTTTTTACAATTATTTCATTTCAATTGTTTTTATTTCAGCTATTTTTATGGAGAATTCCACTACCTTTTGTTACCTCCTCTTTAGCCCAATGGTTAGATAAGAACAGTGTCCGCTAACTTCTTGTTATCCCAGAGAGGTTGCTCAAAGGTTAGCCTCGTTTCACCAGTACGACAAGACTCTGGCATCCGATTTACTACAGACGATAGGAAGTGTACTTCCAGATTTGACCGCATATTACAGATTAACCCCAGGCTCACACTGGCCATACCAGTATTTCTATGTCAAGTAGTATTCCTATTGTGTCTTTCGAAAAAATTGCTTTTTTAGTTTCTTGATATACACAGAAGCTTGCCTACGGCCTTGTGTTGAACAATGGGGAATAAGAGCATAGAATTGTTCCATACTCTGGAGGGCAAATAAATCCCCATGGGGGGGTGGAAGGGACCCTTTCCCAGGTATTAATGGATGGGAGAAGGGCAAATCGAAAGTGCCTAGAATATTCCCTTGAAGGTATGGATAGAGGGAATTTACGACAAGCTTTCTCCAGCTGGTACGATTCCTGTGCATCAGGACCAAAAGAAATAATCGTTAGAGTCGGGGGGGCCTCAATCAACTGTAATGCCCAAAAGTGGCAAAAATTGGTTCTTCTGCAGGGGTAATTTACAGTATGAGAGTGGGGATCAATGTCCTCCCCATACTAGCAATTGTTATTCTGTGGAAGAAAAAATTAAAACTCAAAAAATTGAAAATTAGAAATTAGAAATGAGAATGAAAAAGGAAAAAAGAAATGTGTTAAAACTGAATTGAGCTGATATTATTGGACAAACCAAAACCTGCCTTCAGAGCTATAAGCAACGATGCTTGGTAGTCTTAGAAATTCGTGCAATTGGGACACCTTTTGCATTCTAAATCCTTATTTGACTTGTGAAAAGGGGCTACTTTGTAGAATGTGTAATAGTAGTGAATGGGATTCAGTTTAGCAGGCGAAACTCTGAATGGTCGGGAATAAGATTCGGCATCTATTATTTGGACTTCTAACCCCTTGCTGTAGAAAACATAAATGGGCACAAAGAATTCTCCGCTCGGCGATTCCTAGCGTAAGTACAATGAAATATGCCGGGAACTTGAGCTTTCCAGAACATACAAGACTGTATGGTCTTTCTTGTTATTCTGAGGGTTTACAAAGTTTACTCATGGGAGGCATCTGAAGTAGAGCATCGGCACTAATAAGCAATTCGTCGTTCCTTGAATTGGGGCCCATTGATCCGTTACGGTCAGTTTATTCTAATAAGAAATATTGAGTTGTATGATGTTTGTTTTCATTTGTAATAGGCCGCAAGGGCAAAAGTAAAAATAGAACTTTTAAAAATAAATAGGGAAAAGAAAAGTAGAACAAAAAGTTGAAAATATAATGGGAAATTTTTATATTCAGAATATTATTAAATATTAACTAGAAGTAAACAGAAGTTCTTCGACGTAGGGTTTATTGGCAACTTTCCTGGAACTAAATAAGAATTCCTTTATGTGGATTGCACGCTCATTGTCTTTCTAGGTACTAAACCCGAAAATAGACACAATGTAACCCTCGTACTACTACAAGTCGTGATAATTAAAATCAAATGGAATAAAAATAAGGATGTCAGAAATATGTCATTTGTTGGCATATATGATATCCCTCTTATTCCTTTTGTGCGCGTATTAGAATGTCTATTCTAGTTGAGTGATTGTGTTGCGGCTGTTACATCTTTCTCACCGAGATGAGATGTCATTATAATTAGTAACCGTGGCTTCTATGGGAATAAAACTCAAAAAATTAAGTCGTAACGTTTGAAATTTTTGTAAAATGAAAGTGCTATAATAAAAAAAATAAAAAACAATGCTTTGGGGGGTCATGTCTATCCTCATGTATGGTGATAAAATAAAATTGCCAAACGAGGGTTCTTTGGATTAGGAAATATAATAAAAAAACAACCGAACCTGGAAGTAAAAATAAAAATAGTAAGATAAAACCAATTAATGTTAAATGAGCGTATAAGTTACGATGTGAGGGTTTTTTTCTCAATGTTTTTCTTTGTCTTATGAAAAATCAGAAGATGTTACCAAGGACCTTTTCGTAGAACCAGTCCCATCCCTTAGTCTTACTGTTCTTCAATCTTTCTCTCCTTTCAGCGTCAGCGATCTTACCTTGTTCTTCTTCTTCATCGATGGCAGCCTTGAAAGTGTATAGATCGACTTCCTCTGGCTTCCAGATCTTAGTCTTCTTAACGAATTTGTAGCCGAAGTAAGAGATCACGAACACTGGGATACCGATGTAACCAGTGATGAAATTCTTGTAGTCGAAGTGGTGGTTCAAGAAGACGGTGAAGTTCTTAATGAAGGCAATCAAAATACAGAAAGCTAGAGTGAAGTAAGAACCGTATGGTTGGAATGGAGCACGGTAAGCGAATCTGGATCTGTCGACATTTTGGGCCTTGACAGCTCTGAAGAAGCAAAGGTAGGTGATCAAGATACTGATCCAACTTAATAGACCGAAGATGGAGACAACATTAACGAAGTAGTTGAAGATCTTGGCGGAACCGGAGGAGACACTCATGTATGCCAATAGACAGAAGCAGGAACTCATTAGAAGCGAGTAGTATGGCACACCCCATCTGTTGGTGACGGCGAATATCTTTGGAGCCTTGTTGTCGATTGCCAAACCGTAAAGGGTTCTGGAAGCGACGTACAAGTCAGAGTTACATGCACTGAAGACAAACATTAGCACACAGGCGTTGAAGATGTGAGGTAGGGCCTTGATACCGGAGTTGATAATAGCGACAACGTATGGAGAAGCAGCAGCACCAGTACCTGAGGTCTTGGCCTTCTTTAGCAATGGGTCATCGTATGCGACACACATACCTAGCAGGAAGATGGTGACCAAATAGAAGACGATGATACGGTACATTGTTAGTTTGATGGCCTTTGGAATGGACTTTCTTGGGTTTGCTGCTTCTGCGGCGACGATACCAGTCAATTCAATACCCAAGTAGGCGAACAAGGCGTAAACTAGCACGGCGACGAAGGCGACGAACTTACCCTTGGAGCCGTCGATGGACTTTGAGTATGGTTTGAAGGCACCTGGATGGTCGTAGAATCTGAAACCCAAACGGTCGTGGGTTGGGCCACCACCAAGCATGATCACAAACAGCAAGATGATCAGACCGATCATGACGATGACTTTGAAAGTGGATAGCCAGAACTCGAATTCACCGAAGAATTTGACACCGATGAAGTTCATGGCGACGATGATAACAAGGAAGATGGTGATCCATACACCAGGGTTGACCTGCTCACGGTCTAGCCAGTATTGGATAACCAGAGCTGCAGCGGTCAATTGGTTTGGAGGCAAGATCAGGTACTTACACAAGTATGCGTAGCCGACGGCGAAACCCAGAGCTGGGTCACAGTATCTGGAGGCGTAACTGGTGAAACCATCTAGTGGGATGTAAGAGGCCATCTCTCCCAGGGCGGCCATGGTGAAGAACACCAGCACACCAACGAAGGCGTAGGCGATAAACATCGACATGGGGCCAGCCGTATACAATGAGTTACCAGTACCGATCAGCAGACCCGTACCGATGGAGCCACCGATGGCGATCATGGAGATGTGGCGCGCCTTCAGGTCCTTGCGCAGTCTGGTGTGCTCGTCCTTACCATCGTCCATGTAGTCGTCTTGCTTCTCAGAGTCCTCCAGACGGGACGAGACCGTGGACAGGTTGTCCATGTCGTTGATGTCCAGACCGTCCTTCTTGTCGTGGTTAACGTGGTTCACATGGTGTTCATGGTGAGTGTGTTCAGTCAAGTGGTGCCCGCGCGAGTCAGAGGCGCCCAGCGAGACCATCGAGTGGTTCTCAGAGAACACAGGTGGTACAGACAGCGTGGTAGTCATGGTTGTATGGTTTTTTTTTGTCAGTGTCACTGGTTGGTGGAAGGGAGTAAGTCGCTGACAATGCGTTACCTTATATAGTAACGAGATCGGCAATGGATCCTCGGTTGGCCTCGAGGTGCAAGACAAAAGTGACATCTCCGTCTATCCGGTCAGAAACCGGAGAACTATCGCCGCGCTGTCCCGTTCCCCCGTCACTCCCGTCACTCCCGTCAGTGCTGCTCCTTCCTAACTTAGCTCCTGCTTACTTCTACTCAGTTCCACTAAGCTCTACTAAGCTCTGCTCTTAGCTCTGCTCTTAGCTCTGCTCTTAGCTCTTGCTTAGTACTGAGACTTCCCCCATGCCCTCCTCCCCGCGATGCTGTCTACGTCATCAGCGATACCGCTGTCTCATCCTGGGAGGTCATCTCCAACTTTCTCTTTGCGAAGGAGTCGCATCTTTCAAGGGCACTGCACATACCTCTGTGCGAGTCTCTCTGAGGAATGTTGTTGGCATTGTGTGACTCTCTCCCTCTCCCTCTCTCTTGGCCCTTTGTTTGTGAGGGGGTGTCCTCCCCCCCGCAGTTATCTCTTATCTTATCAGGACCCTTATCTCTTTTGTTTACGTTTTTACGATCGTGCAGGCGTATCTGTGGGGAAGTTCCACCTTGTTGTCGCAGATTATTCTCCACGTCTGTGATCAGGGTCTCGGAGCAGTGGAAGCTGCCCGGTGGCAACCTGCCCACTAAATTCCCCGTGGAATTTCGGCACAATGCCCGATCTCTTAGGCTACTGCCATATCTACCGCCATATCTACAATCTCTCTGCAATCTCTTCTGCAATCTCTTCTGCAATCTCTATGCAATCTCTATGCAATCTATGCTTTCCTGCACAGAATGGGGTGCAGAGGAGTTCGGTGCCCTCTCGAGATAAAAACAATGGAGGGGTGTGGCGGAGATGTAAATGCGTCTATTGGGTATTCGTTTGCTTTTCTGTTACGTATTCGTGTATTTAGCTATGCTATTAACTATGTCATTTGCTATGTAAGTTACTGTAGTGCCCGCACAGTGTCTCTTCGCAGGTCGTGCAGGTACCCCTTGTGCCTCGATGTGTCAAGCGGCCTCAGCGGCAGGCTCGTCCTACGTGTTGTAGTCTTGGGCGAGCCATTGGCGGTTGTACAGTTGTGTGTGGCACTGTTAAGAGTGCTACTTTTTGTGATGTTCTGTGTGATGTTCTGTGTGATGTTCTCTTTGTCGTCGTGCAGTTCCAGCCTGGCCTTGACGCTAGACAGAACCCGCTGCCTCGTCTCACGGCTCTCCTCGTATACCTTCACAGGTGACCTAACTTTAGTGACTCTCATGTTGGTTTGGTGCGTCTGGGAGTAGACAGGAACTACACTGCAAGAGAGCACCGCCCTTCCCTTATATACCAAGCTTAAGCAGTTCCTTTTTCTTTATCTCTCGCTGCTCGGTTTTCGTGTTTTTGGTAGTCCGCTTACACGGTGAGTTACACGGTGAGTTACACGGTGACGCGGTAGCGCACGAAAAGCGTGGAAAACACGTACTGCTCGCCGTCGGGGCTGCACAGCGGGATGTGTCTGTAGCCCTCGCGCAGCTGGCACACGCGCACACACGTCGTGGCAACAACCTCTTCGCACCGCCTCACAACAACGCGCACAAACACGAACGGGTACTCATCCCGCCGCACGTCCTGCGACAGCGCACTCCGCCACACGGGACTGAACCCGTTCTCGTGGCACTTGCTGCTCTTCTCCACTGTGCTGCCACAGCTGAACATCTCGCATGTGACCTGCGTGTAGTACGGGTCCTCCGTCTCGGCGGCACCGATACTAGCCGCCTGGCTCTTCGTCTCCGTGCTCTCAGACAGGTTGGGGAGCAACTGTGCGCTGATCACTTCGAATGTGACGCGCAGCACCGCACCACAACGCTCGCGCCTCCGCTTGCTCGGCGGGCGCGCAAGCCAGCCCGGTTTCAGCACGTAGCCAGAGGGCATCTGCTGCTGGTTCCGCGTGTTCAGCTGGAACATCGCCACGTTGAGCTGGTGGCCCACGTCGTTCGTCTGCCAGTTCGTGGCCACCATCTGCACGCCCAGCCGCCAGAACCGCACGGGGTCCTCGAAGTTGGTCGAGCGGTACCGCAGCGCGTGCGGGTACACCCGCATCATGTGCCGGCGGTTGTGCTTGTCCACTGCCGCGGCTACCTGCGCGTCCCCGAGCATCTTGTCGAGCCGCCGCTCGTCCAGCGAGAAGCAGTGGTATAGCGTCTTGGACTCCGGCAGGGAGAAGTTCCGGAACTTCACGCCCCGGAGGCCCGCTAGCTCGTACAGCTCGTCCACAATCGCTACCTGCCGCTTGCTGAAGCTCAGCCGCCGAATCCGCGAGCCCGTCTTTGTCATAGCAGTGCTCTCGTCATAGGATGACCGCGAAGACGACGACGACGACACCACTACATTCATAGACTTGTCGCTGTGGCAGTCGCCAATGACAGTCTTGGTCTTCTTGATCTTCAACAGTATGCGGTGCCGCAGCTCCAAGGGCGAGGGCAGCTCGCTGCGGTCCTCGCACGTATATAGCAAATCCCCAAATGTGTCCTTGAATATACTCGCTGCGATCCTCTGGTTCTTGCTGTTGCATCGCACTTCCATGGAGATTATCAGCGGGTAAGGCGAGGTGATGAACGCGTACTTGCGAATGATCTGCGTCACGGAACTCAGCGGCAACGCAGAGGTTAGCACCCCATGGCACACAACGGGACTGCTCTCGCCGTCCCACATATCAATCTCAACACTGCGACACCCTTGCTGTAATGCCTGTATATACCCCTCTACTGATGGTGCCCCACCTATTTGCTTGCCAGTGAGATATGTGTTATGCGAGGACGCTATGTAATACTGGTTCATAGGCCTACTGTAGTCCTCATTGTTGGGTAGCATGTACGGGGAGGTAGTGAGGTACTTCTCAAACCCTTGCTTGTTGATGCCTCCACCAGCAGTCTCATACCGCTCGTACAGGTGTCGTGCCTCATCTTCATCCATCCTCTCTCGTTGGATCTCGGTTAGAAACTTGTAGAAAGTATCAAAAGTCAGCTTGTCTTCGTGTAAACCAACCGCTTCTTGCCATACATCATCGATCTCTTTGCGTGCTTTCAATAATTTTACAAACACTTGGAATTCTTCAAAACTCAGTGTCCCACTATTGTTGGTATCTGCAGCATCGAAGAATCGCCTAAGGTATCCCGCAGAGCAGTATATGTGGAACCGCTGGCACATTTGCCGTACATCTTCAAATCCCAGCACCTCCTCAGCTTTCTCATCAGGATTGCGTGATAACGCCCGGTTCCAATGTATGTCGGCAAACTTGTCGTGGTCCGGAACCGCCAGACTCTCCATCAACTCTCTCCTGGTCCTCACTAGCCCAAAAACCAACGAACAGAATACGTTATAGTCGCTCTCATCCCTAGCAATGACATGGAGCGCCTTCAACTTGTTGGACACTTTGTAAATGATGGTTACCCAGTACTTGCTGTAACTTGCATCGACATTATACTCTTCCCTGTAGTTGCTTCCGAGTTCACCGGGCCGTATGCTCTTGATTGAGTCTAGGTTAAGTTTCTTGAGACCATCTTTCCACGTAATATACTTATTCTTCTCTAGTTTAAACATGTACTCTCTTTGTTTTTTCCTGGTCACTTTCTTCAAAACCACACCTTCCCTCATCACTCCCATGACTCTCTCCAGATCTGAATCGAGCTTGATTCCAGAGTTATCAACTTCTAAAAGGTTAGGAACCCAAGGAGCCATCGAGTACGGGTAAGTTATCGCACCTATACTTTCTCCTAGGTCCTTATAGTTCAGAAATGGAGCCATCTTCTTCACAGACTTTAGATTCTTTTTCACACTTGTGCTACTTGATGAACTCAAGATATCATCCAGCAAAGATCTCGAGGAATTGCTCCGCCGTAAAAACGAAAAGGACTCACTACTGGTTCGAGATTCACTCGACAACTTTCTCTCCCGACATACTACTTCCTTTGAACCATCACTCACCTTCATAGACCTTAGGTAGAATGAATAACCGTTGTGTTGTTCTCAATAACAGATAATAATTGAATGCTTAACTCAAAAATACAGGCTACCTCAAACTAAAAGCATAATCAATTGGTACATTCAATGCATCTATGCATCCAAGAATAGTTACCTGCGCTTTGTATCGGATCATCGAGTAGATTGCAGATCAGATCATGTTTGGCTTGCTCATCGCCACTAATTTTTGACACATAAATAAGCTGACATAAGTATGTCGTGCACCGCTACGTATATGAGTCAAGTGCAGATATATAAGGTATTAAAGTATTGTTACAAAGAGAATAATTAGGAACTCTTCATGCCATAGATGTGAATCCTTGCTACTATTTATAAAGCATGAACTAAATTTCAAAAAGGACGTCTCCTGGAAGATGTAGGGGTTATGAGTGCTGATAGTGGTGTGGGTGGTCTTAATACATTACCTCTCTTTGACGAGGGGCCCCAAGCGTTCATTGATTTTGGTGTTCGTTGTGGAGTTGCAATAGTCCCAGTTTCTTTGTACTTACTGAATTGAGTCCTTTCTGCCTTTTTCATCAAAGACGGCAGCTTGGTAGTGCCGTGGGTTTTATAATACATGATCCTTTCACCTTCTAGCTCTTCAAGTGACTTTGCTGTTTTCACCGGCGTAGAACTTGAGATTGTTTGTGGTTTTGATATTTTGGTCGGCTCGGTAACTGGATCCTTATTGTGAGGAAGAGCCGGAATGGAGTTCAGCACTAACTTACCACTATTTCGAGATTTTTTGTCGAAGAAAGGGTTTGGATCATCCAATAATTGGTCCTTGTTAGTGTTTGAGACAGGCTTGATACGCATCCTTTTCAGAAGCACACTACCAAATTGCCTGCTTGCAGATGGTGTACCTTCCGAAACAGATCTTCTATTTGAAGCGCCGTGTGAACTTCCATTTTTCAATGTCAGTGATTCAAAGTCCTTGGTCACACTTGATATCTCAGGTCCACTATCTACACTTACACTCCTTAGAAGTTTGTCATCTACTCTAACCTTCTCCCATCTGTTTTTCATTTCATTTGTTTTCGAAGCAATGCCAGCATCTAGCAACGAAAACTCTTGAGCTTTGAAGATAACTTTGAAAGTTCTTTCGATAGTTAGCGACTTTTGAGTCATTTGATGGCTCATCTTTTCTCTAATCTGAACGTTTATGCCAATTTCTTCCACGGAATTCAGTTTCTTTTTCAACTTTTCATAGTCATCAAGAATGAAATTGATTTCATGATTCAAGTTTACAAAAAGAATGTTCCATCGTTTATCTATCAGCTCAGCATTCAGTTCAGATATCTCAGATGACATGAACTCATACTTCTTCATCAATACTTTGTACTTATCTCTAAGAAATTCTGCCAATGAATCGATGTTTGTCATGTCTCTTCTTGCAAAATTGTCAATTCTATTGGGTAGAATATCAGTTAGACTCTTTTCAATAGCTGGTACACTTCTTCTTAACTCCAAGAACCTTTCTGATATCAGCTTCTCTTGCTTGTTAAATGTCGGTACCGAAATTGCATTCGAGTCTGAGTTTTGCTTTAGTAAATCCACTATTTGCTCTAATGTAAATGAGGGTGCATGTCGTACAGGTGAGGTGAACCGCTCTTCTTGTATATCGAAACATGACTGTATGTTTTCAGAAACAACTTTGTCTAACCCATCCATGTGATCATTGGAAATTTCCTTAAACTCAAGTGTTGCATCCAACAATTTCCTCAGTTTGTTTAGCCAGGGATCAAGATCATCACGCAGGGTGGAACAACGCTCTATCAGGTCTATCAAATGCATTTCATGCTCATCCAGTGACTTATTTGGATCAGTGTTCAAATTAGCTTCAATACCCTCAAGTATATCTGATAAAAAGGGTCCTATGCTATTAATATCATTTACAAGCTCAAACAATAACTCCTTGCGCTCTTGCAACCAATCAAGGTACTCCAAAAGACTGGATACCTCGATCCCCGTAGAGTCAATAATCTGTGGAAAAATTTCTAGTATTCTATTCATTTGCGTCGTAATCCACTCCAACACATCACAGAGGTCCTCAATACTGCTATCATCACCTTTGATGAATTGCACACTTCGAAGTTTCGATATTGTGTCATGTATTTCCGGCAGTTGCGTCTCCAGGAGCATCTGCAAATCGTTGTTGAACGTCAACTCATGGTTGCTCATCGTTCAATTGTCAGAATTATCGTCGGCTCTTATCAAATCAGCATATCAATTGATATGAATCGCTAATCATGGTAGTTTATAGTCGAGATGAGCTTTGCTCTTTTGTTTACTTTTTTTTTCTTCGACTTTTTCACTTCTCGCCCTTTGAATTTGATGAAAATCATAGCGATGAGCACTAAAGATTATCGGATGTATTCGAACAGAACAAGTTGATATGGGAAATGAATTATTCTTTGATTAAATGCTTTATTATGGAATCGATATGGAAAAAAAAGGATATATGATATATAAATAAAATGAAATTGGGTATTGCAAAATAAAAGATTGTTAGTGCAAGCAATAAGGTACTAATTATGTGAACTCCTTCTAGAGGTTTTCATCTTTTTGTAGCTTTAATGGCTTGCGTTCACTAGTAACATCCTTCATTACATTTTCAATAGTATCTTCAATCTGCTCATTTATCAACTCATGGCCTTCTGCAGATACTTCTGATACAGTACTGATGTACATTGGTGGGCTACCAGGGTCTTCTATGACTGTTTCAGGTTCAGCATTCTCGACAACTTCTTCAACTACCTTTTCTGCCATTGTTGTAGGTGGTGGTGTTACAGTTATATTAGTCGTCTGATGTGGAGTTGATTTTTCATTCAACAGTTGCGATAATTCACTTGTAGGATCATCCCATAATTCTTTGAATTTACCCATTTCAACTACACTACCATCATGCCCCAATACAATGACATTTTCTGACCTACGGATAGTACTCAATCTGTGAGCAATGCTGACTATGGTCATTTCTTTCTTTTTCATTAACTGGCCAAATGTGTAATTAATTGCACCCTCACTTTCAACATCTAATGCAGACGTAGCTTCATCTAATATTAGTATTCTGGGTTTTTTTATCAGAGCACGCGCTATAGCAATACGTTGTTTCTGACCTCCGCTCAGTAATGTACCATGAGGACCAATTACAGTATCGTAGGAAGACTGGAATCTGGTAATGAAATTGTGACAAAAGCATTGTTTGGCTACTTGTCTAATCTCATCCTTAGTAGGCATTTCAGTTAGACCATATACTATGTTATCACGGATCGTGCCTGACATCAGTATTGGTTCTTGTTGAACGAGTCCAATGTGTCTTCTCAAAGATTTGCTGTTCAGATCGTTGATATTTTGTCCATCGATTAAAATTTCACCAGATGATGGTTTATAGTATTTCTCTAGAAGCAATGCTACAGTAGATTTACCACGTCCAGATGGCCCCACAATGCAGACATTAGATCCAGCTTCAATCTTGAAATTCAAGTTTTTGAATATCATATTTGATGGCCTTGTTGGATAAGCAAAGGAAACATTTTTAAACTCAATTTCACCATTGCCGGGTTTATATTTCACACCTTTAGTGGTTGATATGCTGGGAACTCTATCAGTCAATTCAAATAATCTTGAAGCCGCACCAGCACCTTGCATAATCTCTGAGTAAAACGTAGATAGACCAAAAATCGAATTTCCTGTGTACTCGGTATACATCATAAAAGCAGTAAGGTCACCAATAGTCAGGGAATTTTGTAAAACAAGATAAGATCCAAAACCAAGCACCGTTAAAAAACTCAAATCACCCATTGCAGAGGTAGAACTAAAGAATTTTGCATTTATAACAGCAGCCTTCTTACCAATATTGAATATATCACGGATTGCAAAGTTGTATCTGTTTATTTCTCTCTGTTCAGCAACAAATGATTGAACTGTTTTTATGCCCGATAATTGCTCCTCGGCAACTTTGGTCAAATGACCGGTGGCTTCTTGTAATTCCCTCGAAGTTGTGCTAATCTGTTTACCAAAGACAGATGCACTCAGTATCACCGGTGGTGTGAAAACAAGTAGTAGGCATGAAAGCTGGGGTGATAGTGCCAGCATCATACCAATACCCACACTACCACATATTAAAGCCTTAAACCCATCGGACACTTTTTGAGTCATCGAACGAGATACCACATAAGCATCTGAACCTAGTCTAGATATCAAGTCGCCTACTTTGTGGGTGTCAAAGAACTCGGCGTCTTGATGTATCGTCTTTTTAATAACTGTAGCCCTCAATCTAGCAACCAATCTTTCACTTAGGACTCTTAGCAAGATAATTCTTCCGTAGTTGGCGGCAATACCAACCAGTAATGCCAATGCAAACCCGCCTAGGAACTCATAAAATGAGAGGCCAAACACAATGGGTGGTAGTTTATCTATACTTACCGGCTGTCCATCCACGGAATTAGCAGCCAGTGCGTTCTTCAATTGATCTAGAATAAGACCAATGACTTTAGGTATTGTCATACCTATAGAGCATGAGATTGTCAGTAGACCCACGGCAGTTAGCAGCAGCTTCCAATCTCGTCTCACCAGTAGCATCAGTCGTACTATATCCCTAAATTCGGAGTGATTCTCCTTGGTCTCGGATTGCTCCTCCTTCTCCTTCTTGCTATACTTTCTGTCCTCCTCGTTTTTCTCCTTAGTAGCAGATTGGGACTTTACACTGGCATTACCGGCAGTGGTGTTATATTCATTGTTCAGTGCTCGGTGCGCAGTGAACGGCCTCCTTATAGTGCTACTAGTCAGCACTTTATGACTCACCCAAACGCCATAGCCAGCGCCTGTGTTATGAATTATCTGTCTTGTGGGCGGTCTTGCGAGCAGGGAGAGATACCTGCTCCCAGCCCTGGGCAACGCCAGAGGCGTCACTCGCACTCCCCTCAGCACCGCTATTCCAGAGTACTTCATGTCCTATTCAGCAGCGGTTGTCCCCTATCTGTGGCAATCTGTGGCAACCTGTACAACCAAGTACCAATTTCAATTGTTTTGTGGGGCACAGTTGTTGCCAGGTAAGAGACCTCTTATAGTAGTAGGCTATGTAGTCGTTCTTCCGCAATCGCGATGAGCAAAGTGATAAAAGAGCTCGGTGATGTGTGTGTGTGTGTGCGGGGGAAAGTAGAAGTTTGATATAGAATGAAGCTATGATATTAAAATCCTTTTATATAGTATATTCAGTATGATTTAAGTATGTGGTTTTTCCTTATTTACACTCGCGGGAGGGGCAGATGAATATAGACTCAGTTTGTTGTAGTGATTTACTCCTGCAATGGGATAGGGTCGGACTTTGGAGAGCCCTTCTCATACTTGGTGTATGCTGCATCAGTCTTGCCTCTGCCCATCACAGCTGGCGTCTGCAACTCCTTCTTCAACGACTCACGCACGGTTCTGGCAGCAATGGCCAGAAATGAACTGTAACTGAGCCCGGCCTTCCTCCAGGCAGTACTGGCATTCGCAACAGCAGACATCTTGTGTTTTGTATTATTATTGTCTGGTAGCCGAGAGCCATGCAACCATTAAATATACGCTCCTAAAGTACCCAAGCTTGATGTATGTGAGCGTTCAACACACCTCGGAAGGGGTCTGGGGGCACCAGCTTTTCGCAGGAAGTCCTCCCCGGGGGGTGGAATTCAGTCACGTGAAACTATTGATCAGATATGATTGGCTGGTGTATCACGTGATCCAAACTACCAGCCAGGCACCCTCCCCCATCACGTGTCACCCAGAGTGCAGGCCAATGCATGTGAAGGATATATAAGCTGTTGTCGGTGGTCCAGGTATTGTGAGGTGGTGGAAGGTTATCACGCAGCTATACAGATGTGTTGGGCTCACTCCCCGTTCTCAGGCTTGTACCTTGAACTTTGGGCTTGACCTTTGAACTTTGACCTTTGACCTTTGAACTTCTACATGGACTTTGGACTTGGGAAAGGTATACGACATGTTTATACGAGTTGTCTCCTGGAATGACGTCTTGTCCTGCAATAATTAAACGAAATCTTGCCCATTGTCTTTCGATTTACGTTTGCTTAGATCTTGTTTTCGATAATTAAACGATTTTGGGTTCGTAGTTGGACCCCTCTTCTTGAAATAACCCTCTTATAAATGCCTATATTGATTGCGGGGGTAGGGGGCGGGGCTATGGTAACTCATTGGGTGGGGCAACTAAACGAATATCATATCAAAGCCTTGATTTCATGTATGTGAAAACTGTTACTTCACAACATATATAAGCTTGTCTTACACATCCTCGAATTGGTTGTAATGTAGAGCCTGAAAGAAGGTACACCCACACCCACATCCCAACAAGCACACCAACACACACACATAAACCATGTCTAGGTCCTTGTCTAGTTACGAGAGAAAGTTGCTCTCTGAGATACTAGAGAACAATAAGAACGGTACTGTCTTCGGTGCCAGTTACATATTCGATGACTCAGTCACCGCCGATGAGCACATATGGGATGACGACAACGACACCCTAGCCGCCACAAGAGTGGAGTCTCGCTCCACCAAGAAGCCTGCTCTGTCCCTGACTTTGCCGCTGGTTACCAGGGCCCTGAAGAGCCTCATTGAGAAGAACCCCGAGATGTACACCACCGTGAACGACTTGCTCGAGTTCGCTCCTTTGAAAGAGATAAGAACACCCGACGTCATATCTGTGGTCACCTTCGATAACGAGAAGGATGAGAAGGTCAACTGCCACTCCGGCGGTCCACCACCTTACTTGATCCGCCACATCCTGAAGAATGATGTCTTCCAGCCCGGCTCCAACAAGCCATTGTGGAACTTGTACCTGATCGACGAGTCCCAGCTGGTGTTCCACTGTCAGGACATCCTGTTTGACATATTCTCCGCGGCCAACTTCCATAAACTGTTTCTGAAGGAACTGATAGCTGTGTGTAGACCACAGCAGAGCTACGAGAAGCCATTGGAGTATTTGTTTAAGTTGCAGAAATCCTTCGAAAACAATTACTCAGTGCCAAAGTCCATCTATGACAACTTGAAACTGCACTTGCCTGCAACGCGCCCAGAACTGCTAAACTTGCAGACCCAGTCCTTCTTCAAGTCCATCTTTTGTAACGCCGTCAAGAAGCCTCTGGACTTCATCCAGATGCCAATCACGAGCATTACCAACAGCAGCTCTAACTCTGATAACTCCACCACAGTTATCAGCCAAGAAGGTAATCAATTGAAGCTGTTCAGAACCAGATATACCAATATACTGACTTCTGCAACTTCTAACTGTGGTCATACCATCTTCGGTTCCGTCTCCAATGAAAGATTCAACTACTTGAACTCGGTTGTGAAGAACGAGAAGATATGCCTAAGAAGTTTTATTGCCGCCATCACAATGCTGTGTCTGAAGCCTATGGTTAAGAGCTTCAACGGCACTTTGATTTTCTCAATGCCCATGAACTTGAGAGACTCGATGAACGAGAAGAGAGATTTTGGTCTGGTCTACAAGGACATTAGAGTAGAGTGTCCTCTCTCTATGATTGATGACAAGCAATGCTCTGTGCCAGGTCTAAATGAAAGTGATCCTGAGTACAACGAAAAACTGCTGGAAATACAGTTCCAACAGATTGCCACTTATGTTACTGAAAGCATTGAGCAAAGAATGAGTACTTGGAAGAAGTACGGTTACAATGATAATGATATGAAGAGAATGAAGTTCACTAAGTATGACGAGAAGTTTGCGCCAAACACTAGACTAATAAAGATTAATGATGTATCGGAAGTATCTTTCGATGACAACGACATCAGATTCCCTCATATCAAGAGCCCAGGATTCACTACAAGTCTCTCTCAAAATACACTAATGTCTCTTTCATATACCCACTGTGAGGAGGATGGTTTGAATATCTGCATCCATTATCCAGATGGATACAACATGGAGAATTTCGTGGACTGCTTCGAGTCTTTCATGGAGGAGCAATAAGCTATCTCAGGATATTTTCTCATTCTATAATATTTATAAATTCTTACTCTAGGTTTCTCGTTGTTCTATTTTATTTCTTTTCATTAGTAATGTTTTTAATTCACTTCTATTATACAATATCTATTTATTCATTTCAAAAAACAAAATTCCGGTGATGCTTGATTATCAGAAATTTTCATAATAAATAATAAATTTTGTTGGTCGAAAATTTCTATATTCATCTTCTCTTGCTGCTAGCAGATTTGTCTCTCTCGATAATATCTCCAACGCCACCAATTTCTTCCAATTTGTCCTCCTCGATACGCAATTGGTCACGTCTTTCCCACCAACGTTCTTGACATAAATCAAAGGAATGCTTTTTCAGATGCTTACCCTTGGCATTTTTATTATTAGAAATGGCCCATTCGAGGAATGCCGCACCTTCACGAATATAGAAAGCTCTTAGAGTTTCAAAAGGCTTAGGATGAGGTAACCAAGGTCTTGGGTCAGGGTATTCAAGTTCTTCTTCAATTTCTTCTTCTTCTTCTTCTTCGCTTTCTTCATCATCACCTTCATCCTTTTCGTTATCGTCTTCTTCGTCGTCGTCTTCATCATCGTCATCTTCATCATCATCTTCGAAATCAGAATCTTCAACACCCAATTCCTTAGCTCTTTCAATTTCCTTCAAATCTTCCCAATACATAGTCACACCATCTAATTTATTCAGGTCGATGCTGTATAAGGAGTCAATCATGAACTCTTTGTCACCCAGTTCCCAAATACCACCAAAAATAAATAAAGTATCGTCTATAACAGTAGTGGTAGCATTGAATCTTGGATGTGGAAGTTGTGTGAGGATTGTATGTTGCACTGCTAACTGTTCTTCTTCTTCGTCTTCCAGATCGACCTTCGCAAGTGCGGTGTTGATCTCTTCATCGTCTTCATCGTCATCAGATTTGTCTTGCAAGTTGGCCTTCTCCAGGATAGAATCCAACAGCATCTTCAATTCCTTCTCCTGTTCTTTCGAGTTCTTACCGGACTTCTTAGCCACGGCATTGTTATTACTCTTTCTCGATCTAATAGACAACGAGTACCATCTGTTACTTTCGATGTGGTAGGAGAACAAGTCGTTGAAGAAATTGGATTCCAAGCTCTCTTCAGTTTCTTCGAAATCGTAGACACCTCCGAACAAGATACCTCTACCCTTGTGGTAAGCCATTGAGCACCCGACTCTTGGCGAAGGCTGGAACCCTTGTTTCCGTCTGCGCTCCCATCTTATGCCGCTGATATCGCTCTTCATCTTCAAGTACCAGCAGTCAGAGAGGATCTTACCCTTTTGGTAGCCCTTCTTGTTGGCCTTTACTTTACAGTACCCACCCCACAGGATAGCACCCTCTGCGGTTGGGATAAACGAGTGGCCGGACCTTGCGTCTGGGACCTGGTGGTTTGAAGGGAACTCGACCTGCTTCCACTTATAAGTGGTGATGTCGAACAGCCAGCAGTCACTCAAGTAAGTTGTGCTGGTGCCGAGGTCTCTGAACCCACCGTGCAGGATGAAGAAGTTCTTCCACACTGTGATTCTGTGTCCTGATCTTGCGGAGGGCCCGACTTTGGCGTCTACCTTGGCCCATTCCTTTGTGTTACAGTCCAGGATCCATGTGTCGCTGTAGTGGTAGAAAGTGTTCTGTTTTGGCGAGGAGAACTCACCCCCGTGCAGCAGCGCTATACCGCTCGGGTGCGCGGCCATTGCCGCGCTGGACCTTGGCATGGGCGCGTTCTGGGACGTGTACCTCTTCCACTGGTTGTTTTCCGGCGTGAAAGTGTGCAGGTCGTTGTAGAACGTGGTCGTGGACGTCTGCGGGTTGGTGAACTCTCCGCCGAACACTATAAGCTCTTTCTTGCTGCTCGACGCCGAGGGGTTTCCGACCATGCATGGGTTCAGCCTCTTGTTCACTTTGTCGACTGAGTCTACAGCCACCTTCTCGAACTGCTCCTGCTCCTTCTTGAAGTTCGCGAGCACTTCCTCGATGTCCATGTCGTCGTCGTCCTCGTCGAGCTTCTTGGCCCGCTTCTTGTCCTTCGACTCCGCCTTCGCCTGGTTCTTCTTCAGCTTCTGCTCCGCACGCGCCTTCTTCGCCTCCTTGTCCTTCTTCTTCTTTGCCATTGTGGTGTGATTGGTTTGGTAGGGGTAGCTCTGTGTGTGTAGCTGTACATGTGTAGCTGTATGTTTGCTTATATAAAGGCTCATCGCAAGCGATGTCGATGGGTGATTGAAGCAAAAACTGGAAAAACATGTGACAGATGCGTGTAAAAGTATAACTGTGATGTACCGTGTACATGTACATCATGTGATCTCCACTGAAAAAGAAACACCCACACACCCACAGGAGGGGAGGGTAAAATGGAGAAGTTTGGGCTCCTCCTTCGAGCCGAAAAACGCTCCGGACCAATGGGCGTCAAGAGTCAGAATTTCAGGGGTTGTTTGGTGGAAGGGAGTACAGACAGAACAGAGAGACAGCAGAGAAACAGCAGAGACGGGGTTGGATGGGGAAGGAAGTGCAAACTCCGAGAAATCGGCGTAGTCGTCCCCCTCGCAAGTATAAATACCCTACCCTAGTCCTAGCCGCGATGTCTTGTTCTTCCCTCTTGTCTTGTCACTTCCTACTGGGGCTACTTAGCACCAAGCGAAAAGCAAAAAAAAAAGGCAGATAAAATGTTGAGGGCTAGCAGTAGGGCAAAGACATCGCTCATCGGGTACAGCGCGCGGATGATGCATTACAGAGTAGAGACGGACACTTTCGGCGAGATCAAGGTACCCGCGGACAAGTACTGGGGCGCGCAGACGCAGCGGTCGTTCCAGAACTTCAAGATCGGCGGCGCGCGCGAGCGCATGCCGGAGCCCATCGTGAGGGCGTTCGGTGTGCTGAAGAAGTCAGCCGCCATAGTCAACGAGAAGCTCGGGACGCTAGACAGCGAGATCGCGGGGCCCATCCAGCAGGCCGCTGACGAGGTCGCCAAGGGCAAGCTCAACGACCACTTCCCCTTGGTGGTGTTCCAGACCGGGTCAGGCACGCAGTCTAACATGAACGCCAACGAGGTCATCTCCAACAGGGCGATTGAGCTGATCGGCGGCGAGCTCGGCTCCAAGAAGATCCACCCAAACAACCACTGCAATCAGGCGCAGTCCTCCAACGACACTTTCCCCTCGGTGATGCACATCGCCGCGGTCACGGAGATCACCAACTCCCTCTTGCCGGAGATCACCCAGCTGAAGGACGCCCTCCACAAGAAGGCCGAGGAGTTCCAGGACATCGTCAAGATCGGCAGAACACACCTGCAGGACGCCACACCGCTGACCCTCGGACAGGAATTCAGCGGCTACGTCCAGCAGCTCGTCAACGGCATCGCAAGAATCGAGAACACCCTGCCACACCTGAAGTACCTCGCACAAGGTGGTACCGCTGTCGGCACAGGGCTGAACACGAAGGAGGGCTTCGACAAGCTGATCGCCGAGCAGATCTCCAAGGAAACGGGCATCGACTTCAAAACCGCCCCTAACAAGTTCGAAGCTCTCGCAGCTCACGACGCGATCGTCGAGGCCAGCGGTGCCCTGAACACCGTGGCTTGCTCTCTGTTCAAGATCGCACAGGACATCAGGTACCTGGGCTCCGGCCCTCGTTGCGGCTACGGTGAACTGCACTTGCCAGAGAACGAGCCAGGTTCCTCCATCATGCCTGGTAAGGTCAACCCAACACAGAACGAGGCCATGACCCAGGTCTGTGTCCAGGTCATGGGTAACAACGCAGCTGTGACCTTCGCGGGCGCCAACGGTCAGTTCGAACTGAACGTCTTCAAGCCGGTCATGATCTCAAACTTGTTGAGCTCCATCAGATTGCTGGCAGACGCTTGCCACTCCTTCAGAGTCCACTGTGTCGAAGGCATCGAGGCAAACCGCGAGAAGATCAACCACAACTTGCACAACTCATTGATGCTGGTCACCGCTCTGAACCCAAAGATCGGCTACGACGCCGCCTCCAAGATCGCAAAGAACGCTTTCAAGAAGAACATCACCTTGAAAGAGTCCGCCTTGGAGTTGAAATACTTGACCTCAGAAGAGTTCGACGAATGGGTCATTCCTGAAAACATGGTTGGACCAACCAAGTAAGTTGGCAATATACTGCTTTCTCTGCGGGGGGCCACTGGCCTAACTTGCACATAGAGAGGAAGACAAAAGCGGAAAAAGACCACATCATATGTAAGTAGTACACACTATACCTTTCAAATAAACAATTTAACTCTATGTAAAAAAGAAAAAAATGAAATGATGAAATGCATATTTTTGTAACTGGTACGATTTCTTCAAGATCTGAAAATAATACATTCCTAAACCATATTTTATTTCGCATTGGCCTATTCAGTGACTGGCTCTACTTCTAAGTTGAAATTACAAACAGCGCATCACCTTCTTTGGTTTAATTTAAAATTATATTAGTACTACTGAAAATTGTTTTCTTTGTTAGCATAGAACAATATTGTCTAGAGCTCAGTGATTTGTGATCTAAGACAATAGCATGAAAAATATTTTAAGAATGTTAGTGTCCTCTTTAAATTAAAAAAAAAAAAAGACTGAGAGGAGAAAAGTTTATGCCTGTTTAATTGTATACAACTCTGAAGGTATTGAGATCGATAACAAAAATAGTCGATAGCTGTTATTAATTATTAAATTTCATAATGCGAGAGTGCAGTTGAAGGCACACAAAATGGTTCGAAAACGCTCTTACTATCTATCCATAATTCTTCAAACATCGAGAGTGTATGTTTACAACTGTTTAAATTACAAAAAATATTAGTTCTTGAGCTGAGTGAGGTAAAGAGTCATTAAGTCGTTAGTGTACATTCATTTTATAAGTGATGGCTCGAATGCAGTTCTTATTAGCTGCATTCTGTCATCGCTAATTTCGTTAAGATGGCATTTATGTTTCTTGTGTTAGTTGCGTTTCGTTACTCTTTACCGCTCAAAACTTGTTTCACAGGTTCGGATTGGTTGATGTAAAGCTTGTGCTCTTGAATATACCTGATCACAGAGTTAGGTAACAAATACTGCACGGACATGTTACGTCTAATAAACAGCCTGACTTTTGTAGATGAGATATCATTGTAAATCAGTTGCTTTATAACAAGGACGTTCCTTCTGTGCTCATACATGATATCATGTGACAATAAGAAAGAACGAACATCAGACCCTGTTCTTTCCACAATCAAACAACCGTAATTACCCAGGATATGATGTAAATCCTCATCTGCCCAGACACCAGGTTCGCCCATAGATTCTATCAGATCACCACCTGCTAACAGCATAATTTTCACACCTCTCTTATGTTCTTCCATGTGGTATCCACTGTTGTCGGCATTCCGTTTCTTCTCATGGACGGTGATACCTCCTCGCTTGACATTGATCTCGTGGTTGAAATGGTCTAGGACTTTTGCGGTCCTTGTATAGCTTGGCTGGAGAGATTCCCAAGCATCCACCATCAGCCAGGAAGAAGTTCTCTCACAGGCCAGCTCACACATCCTGACACGGTGATACGATGGTGCCAATCCTTGTTTCTTGTAATTGTCACTTACGGGAGAGTAATAGCCACCCACAACCTCGAACCTAGTCATCTCTGAGATGGCGTCTAGGGCCATTTCAAACATTCTCAGGTGCAGATAAGTGATGGGAGAGAACGACCCGCACGCCACTATGACGAGAGGCATCTTGTTTGGGTCCTGCAGCCTGTTAGCCAGTCTGTGCGTTGGGAATTCGTAGTCCTCGAGGAACCTGGCCTGGCGGACAATACCGTGGGGCACTTCCTCCAAGTCGGCAATCTGGTTCTTGTGCACACCGATACCGATACCGTGTCCCGACAGCTGGCCGAGACTCTCGCGCTTGCTGCCACTGTCGCTGTCCATATTTTCGTCGTCCAATTCGAAGTCCTCCTCTGAGGAGCCAGTGGTCGACAACGGCTGGAACTCGCTCTTGTTCAGCGGTATGCGCTGGTGGTTACCCTGCGAGTGCGGCAAGTGAGTTGTGTTCTTCTTCATCTGCAGCGGAGCGTCGATAGACGCGTTGTAGTCCGCCAGCACATACGGCGTAATGGGCCCAGACTTTGGAATCTTCGAGGTTGGGTCAGGAGGTGGCAGCAACTTCGCGTCAGGGTCCCGGGGCTTGAAGTCAGGGTCTCTAGTAGGATCCATGTTTGTATGTTTTTGTATTTTTTTTTGTCTTGTAGTGTCAGTGCAATGCAGAGCGCGGGGACAGAGTCTATAGCAGCAGCTCCGCTGCTGCATAGACTCATTATATATTAACCGCTCTCAAGCTCTCCTGCTCTCCAGCTGTCAGTTTCTCGGGCTCTCAAGCTCTCAAGCTCTCAAGCTCTCCTGTCCAGAGCTCGCCTGCCACTGACGGTGCTTATCCACCACAGAACCTGGCGATGATCAGACCCCTCCTCTCCCATTGATAAGCATTACACACAACCCCACTCCCCTGCACCGCCTTCTAGGAACAAAATTGTCAATACCCCTATAAAAACGGAAGACGTCATTTTTGCCAAATTTTTTTTTCAAAATTTTTCAGTTTTCGTTGCGGAAAGAACCGTCGCGAGTTATATTTGTTACAGACTATACAATAACGCACGCAGGCCCAAAAAATAAAAACCGGAGTTAGTGCGATGAGCCGGTTTTTTTTTTCACCGATACTGTTGCGTTCTATACTGTGGTACTTGCTGAGCTGGAGCTTGCTGTTGTGTACGGTACTGTGGTACTTGCTGAGCTTGAGCTTGCTGAGTTTGAGCTTGCTGAGCCTGAGCTTGCTGATACTGTGGTACCTGCTTCATGCGTTTCTCTACTAGATCGTTGTATATAAGGGCTGTGTTTCTCGTGGAGCAGCCGTTCAGCCAGGAGAACAGGGCGCCCAGGACAGGCACCAGTGTGATGCACAAGTCGAACGTGATGTTCGCGAGCAGCTTGGTCTTCAGGCCCGTGGGCAGCCTGTTGTTGTACAGGTTGCGCTCGGCGTACGTGACCAAGGAGTTGTGGATCATGTACATGATGATCGGCCCCACCACGGGGATGATGCTGAACACGGGCGCCCAGCCAATGCACTCCGTCCAGCAGCAGCACCCGCACATGGACCGGTCGTGTGTCCAGGACTTAGACTGCAGAGTTTTGAACCGCTTGCGCTCTTGCTTGCTGAACAGCTCCGCTGGCAGCTCCCGGCGCACTTTCTTCTTCTGCGGACCCACCCGCGCGTAGTACGGGTCAATCACCGGCTGGAAGTTCTCCTGCGCGTACTCATTCGCGAAATCCTCCGCATACCCAACTATAAAGTCTCTCACTAGCCCAGACATTACTTTTGTATTTACGTGTGTCCTACAGTAGTATACAATCCTTCTGGCCTGTCTTGTGCGAAAACTCCGTCCTTTATAAATGCTTACGTCGATTCAGGGACAAAACCGTAAGTGAGTATCCCCTTTTCGTGAACCCCACACATTTGACTCCTTATGACCTTACCGGATCGTGCCATGACTACAAGCAGAAATCACTGCCCTTGGTAAATACATAGAATTAGTTGACGCGTACCATCCCATATATGCGTGTATACCAAAGTTTATGCGAGTTGAGCGTAACAGCAGCAAGCTGGGAGTCAGGGGGAGGGGCCAGGCCATAGCAAACACTGCCGTGGCCGTTATGACTCCACGCCCAAAGAAGCAAAAACTTGGAAGTAGAAACGTTACCCGGATAGAAGAGCAGCTGACGTGCACCAGTTCACTTACATTTACCCGGCTTTCCCCTCTAAACACCACTAAAAATGCTTTGTTAGTTTTGTGACTGCTTTTCCGTAGGTTGTCTGGGATGCATGCATAAGACCATAATCTTTTTACCTAATTAGGAAATTTTCAGTCTAGAAAACCCATACATTCTCTTATCTCAGCTTGCTTGCGCTGGTATCGACAGGAGGTTCCCCGTCTTGGTGGGGGGGCCAGCGGGTGGGTGAACAGACAGTTTGGCCAAGTCCTCCATCCCCCTCTGCCTAGTTTCTCGTCCCTCTGCCTAGACCAGCTGTTGCCTCTGTCTAGCAAAGGTGGCCTAGGCTAGCGTCCTGGTTGGGTAGTTAGTGGAGTCTGCCTTCTCTTCCTGTCTGGGTGGATGAGCTCTCGCTTCGCGGGGAGACTGCTGGAAGCTCAGGATTCCTCACTGAAACTTTTTTACCCAGTTGTCCATTGGGCTATACTTGTTAGCATAGCGCTTAAGCGCAGGTATAATATAACTATGTGTGTGTTTTTAGACAGTTTATTTCAAGATACCTCTGTCGAAACTACACGCGAAAGAATCACATACAAAAATGGCCAGAGAAGTTACTGATATCAAGCAATTCTTGGAATTGACCAGAAGAAACGATGTCCAATCCGCTACTGTTAAGATTAACAAGAAGTTGAACAAGAACGGTAAGCAATTCAGACAAACCAAGTTCAAGGTCCGTGGTTCCAGACACTTGTACACTTTGACCGTCAACGACGCTGGTAAGGCCAAGAAGTTGATCCAATCTTTGCCACCAACTTTGAAGGTTAACAAGTTGTAAATAAGGCGACAAGAATAGAGATTTAAGCATTTTTTTTATAAAATATTAATCACAAATTTTTTCAATTCCTACAAACCTTATAAAATGAACAATTTTACTTTACAACTTATTTTACCATACAAACCGTCCATATGACAAACTGAATCAACATAAAAAAATGAGAATAAAAATGGTCATGGCTTTAAAAGAATACTAGTGGGTATGCGTGACGCCATCTAGTTCGGCTATTCCAATACTTGTACCCCAAAATTCTGTTTCAATGTACTCCCGCATTCAACCGAACCTATTGAATAATAATAGGGTTGGTGTGATGTGGAATTGGACGATTTACAAAGTTGGATAGTTCTTAATACTGGATTCCCACTCTGCCCTCTAGTATTCTCTGGATAAATTATAAGAATCTCATCATTACTATACATTTTTCCTTGTATAATTTTAATATCATATTTTATTGACATCAACTCATCAGTACAGGTATAACTATAAAGTTATACCTGACTGCAAAATTTAATCAAAACTTTCTGTTAAAAGGCTGGACTATCATCCTGATTCTAGTAATCCCCGCAATAATATACAAATTGTATAATGCATATACCTTTCAACTGCTGGCATGGCCGGCATTGATTTACTGTCACATGATTTATCAAACTGTAAAATTAAGGGGGGATTGTATCACGTGGTTTATACTTTCTTGCAGGACCCAGACATATAATACATCATAAACAGCTTGATATCATTACTTTTTTAATTAATACTACAAAGACAGCATTCTTCTCATGATGACTCTACAACGGAATTGAATACGCCCCCAGATACTGGTTGGTATTTTCTTGATTCTCATATCTTTAGGATTTCTGGAGTTATGAATATCTAAATAGGGACAAATATATGCAAATACAGAAAAATCATATACCAACTAGCAATGATTATTTTACAGATGGTGTTGTTGTTGACGTTGATGTTGCCGTCGTTGTTGCTGCTGTTGGAAGTTTCTCAATTAGCTCTGCAGTTCGTATCCATCTTCTTCTTCTAGTGTACTTTGAAAATGTATCCTCGATGCTTGGGTTTTTCCAAGTATTGTCATAGTATATATAGCCATCATTCTCCTTTGGATTCGTTAAAAACCTCTCTCCTGGTACCTCAATGGCGCCATCATTGCTTAGATCAAGCTTCCATTCACTATCGAGCCATTTCCATTCTTTGTTTGGTAATTGGAAATCAGATGGTTTGGGGGCCTCATTTAAGAACTCGTCAGTCCAAGGTGTTCTCTCATAACTCAGCATGCTTGACTTCCATCCAATTCCAAGCCATCTTCTCTGGTTCTCATATAAGACATACGTAAATTTGTATTTCTTGTCTAAGTTGATCTTGGGCTCCTGTACTTCGTAAGTCTGTATACCCATCACCCTATATATCACTGTTCTGACAAACTTGAATTTCCACAGTAGTCTTCTCAAAGTCTTACACCATGGAGAATGGTATGTCAATATAAGCACACCAAAGCTTGCGATGTTAAACCGAATGAACTCGTTACCGAGCAGGCACCCCAGCAGCACGTAAATAGGCGAGATTAGCATACTAACGTACAGCAATTTCGTTATATCTTGTTCCTTTAGTGTAATCACTGGCTCAATGAATTTATCAAACTTGTACTGCACGCGATTCATTTTAAGTACTATATCTTCCAGAATTGGTACATCTTGAGGTGATTCGACAAAGTTGTAAATCCACATAAGGCCCAGTACACAGAATATCACTATCATATGACCCAAGTAGGCCACAAACACCTCATAGTATAAGACAAAGAGGAGATAAGCCGGTACTAACACAATGCTATTCCATATGCTAAAATCACTCCACGTCAGTACCCCAAGAGCCTTATCTGTTAACTTCAGGTATGGATACAATCGCACCATGGACCGCACCACGCTAGGTGGCGTCGAGCTCAACAGCGGAGAGGGCATCACCACCATGCCACTCTTACCTTCTTGCTCCTCATCAACCTCAACATCCTCACCATCCTTAACCTCCTTCACTTGCCCTTGGTGCAACGCCTTCAGGATAACCCGCGTGGTGTCTCCACCGAGCCGCGGCTGCACACTCTCAACAAACTTTGCACGCACTACCTTATCACTCATGGTATACTTGGCGCTTTCCTCAATGCAATCAAGCCCTGTTCCTTTAGCCCTTTAAATTGCATTCCTTTATGCAACTTCAACACTCTACCGCATTTACTAAATTAACACCGACCCTTGTGAAAAATTGGATCAAAAACTGAAATTTTAAGAGTTTTGCGATGAGCTCATCGCAATAGTAGTGAATTTGTGGAAGTTGGGTCCACAAGAAAGAACTATCCGATGTTTAAGAAGAGGAGTGCTGCCAGTAAGACTCGAAAGCGGGTGAAGGTTGAAACTCCGGTGCAGAAGCCTGCTGTACAGAAACCTGCGGTGGCGGTGAAGCCAGTATTGGATAAGAGTCATGTTGCCAAGTTAGAGGAGGAAATAGCATCGAGACCAGAACTAGATCAAAAAGCTGTAGGTGAAGCAGATGCGACAGCGGTACGGCTTAAGAGACTGAAGGAACAGGCCACAAAACATGACAGGTTGAACTCCGAACCAGTAGCATCAAGCAAGAAGATACAACAAGCAGCGAACCTACGTAATACTATTCTAACTGACTTTCAGCCAGATGTGTGTAAGGATTTCAAGCAGACGGGTTACTGTGGTTATGGCGATAGTTGTAAGTTTTTGCACTCAAGAGATGATTTCAAAGCGGGCTGGACTTTGGCCACTGATTGGAAGATCGATGAACAGAAGGAGGAGACGAGAAAAGAGGCGGTGCCGTTCAAATGTGTTTTATGTAAAGAATCCTATGAACGCCCTGTGAAAACTAATTGTGGACATTACTTCTGTCAGAAATGCTTTGTAAATAGGATCAAAATTGACAAATCTTGCTTTATATGTGGGGAAAACACAGAAGGCATAGCTAAGATGGCAACTGATTTGGTGCCGATGGACAATGCAAATAAGGACAAATGAATTATAGAGATGCTAGTATTTGATAGATATCTAGGAGTTTTAGGAACGGAGTAACATTGCGGGTGAATTTATTTACAACTTGAATGAAGAGGACCAAAAAAGTTCTTTATTGGCAGGTATAATTCCTTAATCTTGATATTAACCGGGTGGTGTCGTTTCTCTCATGATCTTCATGACGATTGATTGGGAACTTGATAGATGCTAGCAATTTTGACATTTCGTTTGTCATCTCCACTTCGAAGAACTGGGGCTTGGCATTTTTGTCTATTGCATTGATGGTACGTTGGTAGAGAAAACTATACTCCTCCAAGCCCAAGCAATAGTTATTTAACAGCACGTCTACGAAAGTCAGTATCTTAAAGAAGCATTTACCCTCGAGGCATAAAGATGCAGGATAAGCCATGATAAGTTTCAAAGCAATCAGATAATAATCCTGGAAGCTGTCACTATCTATTATCCAATTAATAGAGTCAAGATAGCCCTTTAGCACATCCATCATAAACGAAATAAATATCTGACTTGAAGAATAAATCTCGACATTGTCAGAGGGCATAATATTACTTTCAATCATCAGTCGAATAAAATGAACTTCACAATCTAAAATGGGTGAGACCATTAGTTGAACAATCTTATCTTTCAAGATCATAGATGCGCTATCTGCTTCATCTTTAGCGAATTTGTGTATAATGCTTAGTATATTCTTCTGGATAAATAACATCTGTTGCATACGACCCTCGCACTTTCTGAAACTTTCTTTGAATAATAGTCTTTCATTCTTGATATCGTTCATAGACAACAGGCGCTTCAATATGGAGAAATCTTGATAATCGATTAAATAGTCACGGTAATTCTCATCTATAAATTGAACAAAGTTAACCGCAAAATTCTCAGATATGAATTTTTTGTTAAAAACGCTGATAATATGTTGTACTAAGATATTGATCTTTGGGTACATTTGTAATTTCGCCAAAGTGCGCACCAACCTCTTCACCAGTTCTAGCTGATGAGATTCACCGCTGATTTTTTTAAACTCTAATTTAATACCTAAATCTCTACCGAGCACGGTGTTATATAAGGCATAATAGTCATCAGACTCATCGATGTATAGTTTATCTATTAGGGTACTGTAAAGCCTCTCTCTTATGATTTGGTATGAGGCATCGTCAGCAATTGACAAAGCTTTTCTCAGAAAGTATAGACCATTTGGCTTATCAAAATTAATTCCGCTATATTGGAAATATGTCCAAAAGGTCATCTCAGATCTCTGAATCATATAATCACAAATAATGGTGTAGTATTTTATCCATGGTCGACATGTTTTCGCAAGTTGTTTGGATAATGATAGAAGTCGTGAATTTATTATCGACATGTGGATATTTTCCAAATGTTTTACCATAAATTTCATGAGAGACAAGTTGGCTGACAATAAAGGTGTTTCAATATCGCCTTGCATATCTTCGAAACATATTACTAAATATTTCAAAACACTCTTTAACGTCCTTGTCGGTAGGTTCGCACTTATTTTGGCTGTACGATTAATGAAGCTAATCCACATAGAAACTAGATAGTCATGTTTTGAAACATATTCTTTAAAGAATAGATGAAATATATTAAGTTTCAGCGAAATTTTACCATTTTTCTTTGCTGTTGTACGTATTAAAGCCAAAAATGACTCTAATACAGACCTAGCAACTATTCTAGTGGTACCAGAATCTCTATCGTGGAGATATGAATCGTTCAAAACTGGTTTTAAAAGTTCACTCAATCTTTTCTCTATATTTAGATTAGAGAACCAGCTCAAAATGATAATTAAATTAACTCTGTTAATCAGTATAGATGTGGTGTCGGTGGTTAAAATTTCACTCATAGGTGTAATCTTTTCAATGATACTACTGTGAACATTTGAGCTCCTCAAAATTGACAAGTATTTGTTAAAGATCGTTTTTCTTTTAATTTTCTCGGTTGGAGAGGAAATTACATGGTTCAGTTCTGATTCCATATGCTCCTCAGGAAAGTCTTCAAATCTCCTTTCTTTAAATATTTTGTTAAGTTGGAGAATCAGCAGATCATTTGGTTTCCATTTGTAGTAGCTGTTGCAATATCTAACGAGCTTTAGTACACCCTTGAGATTTTCATAAGAATTTATTATTTTAACAGACTGCCATTGGGGTTCTAATATTGGCAATGTAGTAATGATAATTGAAAATAATGAAGGAGAGTATGTATTTTTTCCCAACCTCTCCCAAATTAATTCAATCCCATCCTCAAAATCACTAATAATTAAAGAGATAATGTGGAAAGCTTCATTTAAGTACAGCGATTCTTGTGTTTTTAAAGTTTCATAGCATATATCTAACAGGTTAAAGAATGACACAGTGTGATTTGATAGTCTATCTTGAAGAATCTTTTTATACTGAGTTGAAATATCAGCATACTTGGTAATTTCAAATAGCATTAGCTGGCACATTACTATCTGAAAAAAATGTATTGGTTTGGCTTTCTGATAAATTGAGGAAAGTTTTGTTCGAAATTTGCGATGGAAATCTTCAATTATTTCATAAATATCACTTTTATTTAGGTAAAGTAAAATGGAAGTGACATGAACGTTAAAATCAAAGATCTCATCATCACTTGCACCGTTGTTAACAATTTCGGTAAACAATTTAGTCAAGTTATCTTTTAATGCTTTGTAATCCATCTTTGATAAAACATATGATTCATTCCCAAGAGATATTTTTATCACATTGGGTATTTCAATTGCTTTGTGATTAAATAGTGACTCGATGGCTGGAAATCTCTCTCGTAGATACAAAAATCCATTCTGAAGTCCTGGGGGTGCATCTTCTGTCACCTGAAGCTTTGAGTTTGGATTATGTTGCACCACAATTTCATCACCAATTTTCTCCACAACGGTACTGAAGCTTCTAATATCATTCCTTTTAAAAATAGCATTTTCAGGTGGAGCTATTTCATATGGTCTTGATCTGGATTTCGTTTTCTGTTGTCGATCCCCTTTATGGTCTTTCTTATCTACGTCAGGAATCTTGAGATATGGTTGTAAATTGGATAAATCACCACTTGCCTTTTTACTAGTTATATTGGCCTCATAATTGTTGTAAGGCTTTTCTTTAGGTGGACGTCTAATTGAGCGCCTTGAATATTTTATACCTACCATGCTATATTCCTTGGTAATAGGGTTGTAGGTTGACTTTTCTTTTTTCCTCCTCTTGATCAAAGACCCTGGCTTATTACTTCTGGGGGCCCTTGACTTATTGTCCTTTTTGGATTTATTAGGTGAAGTTCTGTGTAACATCATTGACAAGGAAGGTTCATCAAAGTTATAAGCAGGATTCAACTCCCGAGTTAGGTTTTTATTTCCATCTAAGATTTCTCCAGCCATGTAAGTACTATACCTTCCCTGAACATCTTGTTTATTATTGGAAATGTAATCTATACCGCTTTCATCCTCAAGTATATACGGTGGTCTTTCATGAGATGTCGCCATATCTTCAGCAATTAAGTGAGATTGGGCTGAGTTTAAGTTCAAAGGTGTGACTTCTTCTTCTACTTCACTAATATCGTCAATAAGGAAGCCATCATTAAGTGTGCTTGAATGTCTATTTGCTACTCTTTTCCTTAATGCCACACCTTTGTGCGCCCTTGAGGTGGAGGATGTATTGGACTTAGGTTTAGACTGTTGGCTTTTCATATTTTTTTCCCACACAGAACGTGGTAATAAACCTTTGAAACCAGTCTTCAGGTTTATTTTCCTGCCTCTAAACATGATCTCACTCTGGCTTGATTTTTGATTACTTTGAGAATTTACCGTATCGTCACCATCACTATCAGTGTCACTATCATCATCCAAAGACCTGTCTAAGCGTATACCTCTGTACCTACGTGGCACAACTACTTCCAGACTGTCGTTGCCAAGCTCATCATCATCTTTAATCTCTATACTAGCTTCGGGGTCAGACTCACTATCCGAATCTGACTCCGGAAGTTGGAAATAGGTATCCAGATCTGCTGCTGTAGGTGCAGGCAACTCCAATTGAGACATCATGTCATTGCTGACATCATAACCTTGAAGCAATTGCTTGTGCTTTAGCCTATCCAAACTGTACGGCATCTTCTGGATAGCCTTCCGCTTTCTTAATGACCACCTGAGTCCTATCGCCGGTACTGGCTGGTCTCTAGATTCATTTGTATCACCACTCGCATCCAAAGGTGCTGTCTCTGACTGCCTAACGCCAAGTTCTCCCGCAACTGGAGCCTGAGATAAGGGCTCACGTAACTGCGAAGATGGTACATCCGTGTCCTGCCAGTCCTGTTGGAACAGCACTTCCTGGTCCTCCGTCTCCGAGCCCAGTACTACCTCATCACTCATATATCACTGTGCGTTCGCCCTCTATTCTCCTCACTCTCAGCTAGTGTCATTAACTTGCATTCACTATTGTTCTAAGCTCATCGCGTTTTTAAATTCAAATTTCAAGAACTTGGAAGAACTTAAAGCTTTTCGGATCAAAATAAAATATTAAGAAGGCAAGTAGAGGCAGGTGAACCTTGTACATAGGACAAAATCACTAGTTGGTTAACCCTGTGGCAATTGAAGAGAGTAAATGTCTGAGGAAAAACTTCCGCTGGGCAAGACCCATTCCAGCATAGAGACCACGGTGACCAAGCTATTGATGTCTACCAAGTTGCTCTTGCAGACGTTAACACAGTGGTCTCGTGGGTCTGTGGGTCCTAGAGCGGTATCTGATGCCTATGTGCATTTGGGCAATGATTTCAAGATTGTATCCAAGTTTTTCACCCATGCGAAGGTGGATATCAGCGATCTAGGGGACGTACCCTTGGCGTTGCGCAAAGTACTGGAAGTGGCGCTAAGGGAGCCGCCCTCTGACGAGTCACTTAACAAGTACTTGCCTCAGATCAGGGAGATCATAGTTACTTTGCTTGATAAGTTGAAAGTAAAGCAGGCACTCCTGAAAACCATGAAGCAGGAACAGAAAATGATGATGACATCTCCTCAACATAGGAAGCAGCATTCAATAACGAGCTCTATATCTTTGGAAAGTGAACGTGGTGGTGTGAGTACGGCAGGCAGCAGAGTTAATAGCATAGTTTCCAATGTGCAATCGCAGAGAAACAGTGCGACTGTTGATCAGCAATTTGTTGATGCTGACACAGAATCTACAACCACAAGCGCGGGATTAACTTCGGTGACCGCTGTGGAGGATTCTCAACCGGAAGAAGGAGATGCGCTTGCACAGCTGAAAAAGGGTAATAACCTGCAACGTAAGGCTTCAAAGAGGTACTCTGCATACCACATGGCTAAGTTGACAAACCATTCAGCTACAGAGGCCGCTAATGCCGCAGCTCTTGCTTCAAATGGTCTTCCTCAAAGTCTAGACAATGACTTGTCTTCAGAGAGGATTATTTCACAAGGTTCCAAGAGGTTGTCGAGTACTGGAAACAAGTTGACCGAGAGATTGCAGAATGAACTTGAGGACAAGCATGAAGATGAAATCAATCCCGAAGCTGTTCAAATATCTGACATAGATAAAGTTGAAGCTATGAAACAGGTTGAAGCAACTGATAAGGCAGAAGCTAAAGGCGTTCTTTTCTTGAAACTTGATAACAGAGTCAAGAAATGTGAAGCCACTTTCCCAATAACAATGACAGGATTAAGATTACTTTTTGTCGAAATGTTTGCTTACTCTCCAGGTGGAGATTCTTTTCCGGACATATATATTAACGACCCCGTTCACAACATATCATATGAATTGGATGAACATGGGCTAAAAGAAGTCAAGGAAGGATCATTAGTTGAACTGCATTCGCGTCCTACACAAGCCCCCCCATCAAGTGCTGGATCAGATCTAATAGATTTGCTCAAAGATGAGCTTCAGAAGAACCAGCAGGTCATGCTTGATAGAATTTCAAGTCTTCAAATTAATTCCGCACCAGTTCAAGCATCATCATCTGAGAAAGAAAATGTGGCGACAAACAAAGAATACAGCAATACTCTCAAAGAGGTACAGCATGAAATTGCTATTGTAAGACAAGTTTATATCGATAATAAGAAAGCCTTAGAGAAAACTATAAAATTCATTCTGGAGAAGGTTGATGCTTTCAAATCCGTAAATCTGGCAACGAATAACTCCTCTAACCGCCAATATATTGAGCAGTCACAAACTGAACTGGGAGATGTATCAGATAAATTATTAAGTAAAGTTGACGATTTGCAAGACCTTATTGAAATTATCAGAAAGGATGTTGCTGAGAGGGGTGCACAACCGTCAAAAAGAAAATTAGAACTGGTTCAAAAAGAATTGAACGATGCTGAGCATGATCTACAAAGGATGAAATCATTTATCGATACTGAAAAGCCTCATTGGAAGAAGATTTGGGAAACAGAGCTGGATAAGGTTTGTGAAGAACAACAATTTTTGACATTACAAGAAGATCTCATCGTGGATTTGAAAGAAGACTTGAAAAAGGCTGTCGAAACATTCGATTTGATTGATCAATGTTGCAAGGAACAGGAGAAAACCCCAGCTAAACCCAGAAGAAATCCAGTACTACCGCTGTTAAAGCCTGGAACCTTTAACCAAGTGAGGGAAGAGATGTTAATGGCTGTTCAGCAGTTAAATCCCGATCATGAAAGCAGAGTGGAAGCTTTAGAGAGAGCAGAAAAAATCTGGGAACGTGAAAGAGGTTATAGAGATGAGGATGAATTCAGAGACGAGTTAGGCAACTTTGTTGAGAATTCAAACTTGAAGAAATCAGGAGGTGTAGAAGAGGTAGAGAGAAGAAGAAGAGAAAAGGACGAAGAAAATCTGCGAGCCAATTTTGGTGGAGGACAATTGTTGTAAAGATAGTATCACAGAGGATTTTGGTATTTAATATATATTTCCTTTACCTTTGGTTAATATAATATATGCATTACTTAGTTCATGAACTAAAAACTTTTTATTTCGACGTTCGCTTCGAGTTCATATTTCTAGATATTCCGTTATATATAGAATACTTTCTCTTGAGATTCTTTAGCAAAACAGTAAGTATGGTTTTCTTAATGCTAGTAAGAAATCTTTGGAGGTCCCTATGATTTAGTAAATTCAAATTTCGACTTGACAGAAGACAAATATTGTACAACTCATTGACGAAAGATGAAAAACTACTTACTGAAGTTGCAATATGGTTTGAGTTCAGAATTATCCTCACAATATTTATTGTTGCATTTTCTACCTGTTTTAACATCGTGCTGATGCTGTTTAAGTTTGCATTCATTGTACCATAATTCAATCTCATTTTAAAAAGAACTGCACATTTGGAATAAATGTTACCTTCATGATCGCTTATATCAGTCTCGTTCATAGCAGAAAATCGTTTTATTACCTCCAAAGTTCTGGGAATAATTTCAACACCGCAAAATGGTATAGCTGTATTGGCAATATTGTCAGATTCGCTGAATACAATTTTCCGATGATTCACTTGGGCATTATATTCAGTAAATCCCTCATTTATTTTTAATCTTGCATAACTAATAATTTCTTTTGAAGGTGAAATAAGGAGAAAATCGTCTGCATGACGCAGAACCAACCCATCATTATTTAAGATATCCTTGAATACTCTATTCTTTTCAAGCATATCATCATACAATATATCAACAATTGTAGCAGATAGGCTCAACCCTTGAAATAATCCGTCCTTTCTGAGATAGCATTTATCAAATAATCGTATACTTGTCATTTCCATTTCAAACTCGATCAAATCCATAATGTCCTCCTTTGTCAAGAATGTTGTTGTAGAGTTATCAACCATTATTTCAAAGTCTCTTATGTTTATATGACCATTTACTATTGTATCATATCGAACTTCATTGTTTTTTGTATTTAAAATGGTAACGGAGCGTACATAGAATTCTTCATAGCCGCAGTTATTAATTAAGCTATTGAGAACACTTTTGGCTTTTGCTATTGGGATTGAGTCATAACAATTATGGATATCAAATTTTAAATAGAATAATTTCGGAATATAACCATATTTGGAGTGTAAGTGGCATTTGTATTGACAGATGTGATCAGATATTTGCATAGCTGAAAATAGCAGTTTTTGGGTTGTTTGACGAGATTTGCGTAGATAATCCAGTATTAACTTTGTGGGCACTATAACCTTTGTATGATTTTGTTTGTACTGTAATAATTCCTCTGCATTATTTCCTTTATATGGAATTCCAATCACTCTGAATTCATTATTACCTTTCTTCGGAATCAGGCGAAAATTGCAGTGATTGAATTGAGATTCCATATAGCTAAAATGACTATTACAGTGAGTGTTTTGGACCAGATACTTATCAAGATATTCTTTCAAAAAAGGTGTGGAAATAGAATTCCATTCATCATTTCTAAAATATAGTATCTTACTGTAAGATGATACCTCAGTGCAATAAAAAAAAGACTTTAATAAAGAAGGGATTAATTTAGAGAGCAGGTAATTCACAACGCAGGTCAGGTATAATCTCATGCTTTGCTTTTGCTGTCCAATTGGGTCAATACTGAGATATCTACGAACTGCATTGACATTCAGTTTTGTAAAAAATTCTTTGACATTTATTTTACCGTTTAGTGGCAATTTTAGTAGTTGGGAGATTTTAGAAAACAATACAAAGCTATTCTTTCTAGATCCAATTAATTGTAGAATTTTCAATTTTTCTAAAATGACAACTATGAACTTGTTAACACACTTAACAGGAGTAGCTCGATCTAGGTGATAGTTGGAATAGGTTTTTGGGCAAATTTTATCCAGTATTGGAATAATTGGGATTCTCTGCTGGTTTTCTAACACTTGCTTCAGAACAGTTTCTATGACTGTAGTCCTCAGCGCTTTTTTATTTAGCTTAATATCATTTTCAAATATTTCTCTCATTAAATATTTTACTTGTATATCCAATGTCTCATTTAACATATCCCTGTCAAGTATGATAGATTTTATGCAAAATCCTCTTGTATTGTGATATAGGTAGGGCCGATTATTTATTGAAAAGCAATTGATATCAGTTTCTTGCTCATAGTCATTGTCTATTATCCAGGAAGGTGGTAAGTGTGGCTTATTTAATGAGTTGCCAGCTACTTGCTGTGTAAACTCGCCGTTAAAAGTAAATATTGAATGATTTAGTATTAGATTAACGAACTTTGGGCTTCCAATATTAGTATGAAGTAACTCCCAGCTAGAAGATTTCAAAGTCTTCACTGCAGAGTTGCTGTTCTCACAATGTAATATAGATCTGACGGTATTATTCTTAGCCAATTTATACCCTGCTACTAAAACATTATTCAAAAGTCTCTTTTGCAGCAGAAACACAATGCATTGGTCAATTAACTTTCTGTGACCAGCAGAACTATCAAAGAAATCTTTATCAATATCGATCTGTACTTCATTCTCAATCACAAAAGTAGAATCTAAGAGTACGCCAAGTTGCCTTAGGGAGTTTTCATTGGTTGTAACTACTTCTCGAAGCACTTTCATTCATTTATTATCTGTTAGCATAGTAAAATGGAATATTAGTCGTTAATTTATCAAGGATGTGTAAGAAATTATTCTATGGTTGTTTTTTTGGTAGATGTATATTATTTTCTCTTGGTTGTTGTAATACTTTCGAGTCATTAATCAGCTCAATCACACCGATTTTGATCAGGACATCGCTAAAAAGTGAAAATTTATTGAAAAAGTGCACAGCTCATCGCAAGCAAAATAGGAACTAATAATATGGAAGCTACTACATTAGAGCTATATCTTTTATGATTCATGCAATTGCTTAACTAGAACATGGTGAAGAAGGTAGACAATAAAATTAAGATTGATTTCAAGCGCTGTATAGTGGAAGATCGTCTTTTGCAAATCCAACCTCTCGATATCAGTAATGTTCCTGAACTATGCAACGTGTGGACAATAGATATCCAGCCACAATTGTCAAAGTCCTTCATAGAATTGGTAAAGCTAAACACTAGGGATCAGGACCCGATACCTTTAGCACATTGTAAGAGAATTCGGAAAGTCATAAATGAAGAAGGTAATAGTCTCCTGCGATGCATTATATGCTCCACACTAATGTACGATAATATTGACGAAGTAAGGGAATTAATTAAATTTGATTATGAGAATCTTAACTCGAGCAATAAGGTACCCAAGAGGGGTCCATATGATAAAGATTTAGTGAAGGAATGGTCAGAGAAGTATTGGCCTTTGGTTTGGAATGGTAATCCCAATGATCAAATTTTAAATGATTCAGAGTTCAAGATGGATGAAATAAACTTCTACCTCAAAATCATTCAAGAGGAATCTAAAAGAATAGGTAAGGAATCCGGATCTTTGCCCATAGTTTCAGTTTTTGTTGATCCCAAATTCAAGGGTGACTTTATTATAGCAGTAGATCAGAGATCGCATAGTGAAGAAGAACACCTCTCTTTAAAAATTGACCATAGTATTATGGTTGGTATAAACAAGGTTGCAAATACTGAAAAGAAGCGGAGGTCGTTAGAAGACTGTAACAATGTGCCGCAAAATTATTTATGCTTGGATTTTGATGTTTATACCACACATGAACCATGTTCTATGTGTTCAATGGCACTAATTCACTCTAGAATTAAACGGTGTATATTTATAGAACAGATGGCAAGGACTGGTGCCTTGATGGCAAACAGTGGTAATAGTTATTGTATGCATGCCAACAAGAAATTAAACTCAAAGTATGAAGTATACAAATGGATTGGTGATGAATATAAAGTACCAACTATAAATAAAAATATTTGTGTATAAATTTATTTAAACATTGGTAGTTTTGTGACCTTTGTCATTATCATGCCATATATGCAGTTTACTTTTTATATTTTGGTGATAAATATTAACGATATTTGCAAAAATATATAATACAATTCTTACGATCACTTTCGGCGACCTCTTCTTCCTAGTCTATCAGAATCTCTCTTCATTCTTCTTAATTGTCTTTCTCTCTCTACTTCCCTCTTTTGAATCTCATCCATTGATAATACTTCAACTCTTGGTGACCACGCTCTGTCCAGTTCACCTTGGTTGGCTTCAATTCTCACCATTCTATTATTCTCATCTGGATGTATCAGCTCATGATTGAACTCACCTTTAATCCATTCTTTCTTTATTTGTAACAATTGTTCGTGAAGAACCTGAGATATGGATGGCAAGAAATCCCTCGTTAGACCAAGATCCTTCACCACAATGGTAGCAAACTTCTCGGGTGTCAAAGATTCATCATTGATGTTCCACTGGAAATTGTCCTCGTAATACCTACTGTTTAAGTTACATGCGATGTTTAAATGAACGTGAAAGTCTGGATACGATCGCATATTTTCGTTGGCTTGCAACAAATGCCCGCTTAAAGTTCTGTAATTCTCAATTTGATCCCTTATCAGTGTTGCAATCTGTTGTTGTATGTAGTTATTCCCCAAAATCCCTAAATCACGGCAATAAACCAGGGAAAATTGCTCTGGCGTTACCGAAGTGTCATTTATGTTCCATAGTAAAGAGTCGGTAATGGAAATTCCATCAGCAGTGTCTTCTAGTTTTAGCGTTATTGGCACAATTATTGGCACAGCTAGTGAAGATGATCGCACCTCATTCTGATCGAGTTCTAATTTATACCTGATAGCAATCCTACCACCGAAGAAAGTATCTCGAACTTTCCTAAACTTCAGTACATTCAAAGATGGATCGCTTTCACCCGTGATAATATCCTCCAGGTCCGGTAGAACCACATTCTCAGGCAATTTATCATCCACAACTGCCTCGGTGCTCGCACTTCGGTTATTACTCCCTTGCCTTTCATCATCGCTCTCCTCAAAATCCTCAAAAGCATCAACCTCAGAGTAATTGACCGCCCGCGACCTCCGCGAACCACCACCACGCTGCAACGACTGTACTATCGTCCCATCCTCCTTCACTCTGTTGTAGAAATTAGTAACCACACCCTGCGGTACAAGCCGTCTTTCCACAGCCTTAACCATCCTCACACTAAAACCTGTATGCCCCTGTATCAACCCTGCAAATGTCTAGCGCTCACTCGACCTCACCACTACTCATCGCTATAAACTGCATGTTTTGACGCCAAAACTTCTTTTTAAGGCTGGCGTAGCAAACAAGTACGTATTAGGTGATATGATGTTATTTTGAGTGGGTAAATCGACCTGGGACTCACTCAATATCAGGAATAGTCAAAGATGGCCACTCAAATAGGTTATTTTTGGACGCCAAGAGGTGTATAAATTTGCACCAGTTATAGTTATAAGGAACTGGGGAGCTGTGGTACTGTCTAAGGCAGAGTTGTATTATATTTGTTAGTCCTTTTTATCCATTGTGCTTTGGTTTTGGACGCACGCGTTTTAATTGCGTTCCCCGTAGAGTGTTTGACAAACTTAGGAAGAATGGTGTTGTATCCTGACGAGCTAGTCTCGCAATTGTGTGAGGAGATAGCGTATGAGAAAGGCGCGGTTTCATTAGCGCAGCTGTGGAATATTGCCGAGACAGTTATGGGTGTTACAGCATTGGATGATGATGAGCCGATGCAGCGCTATATCCTACAGTCTCTGTTTTCGGACCCAGAAGTGCTGGTCATGGATGGTGAGGGCAACAGTGTAACCAAGTCGGTCACTGAGATAGACTCAGCATGCGTGGTGAGCATTAGTGAAGAGAAGTTGTGGCAAGTGCTTACTGGCGGTTACTCTAAAAAGGACTCCTCTATCGGAAATTCAGCCTTCCAATTGTTGGTTGAGATTGCACACGCCAGAGGACAAGGTATTAATACCATGGAACTAGCGCAGATAACGAAACAGGATCCACGTAGTATTACAGGAAGACTTAAGAAGCTCGACAATTTAATCAAAAGTGTTCAGGTTATTCATAACGGTCATGTGGTGAAGAACTTAAGACTTCGCAAATTCATCACAGATATAAATGAAGAGGAGAATGAGGAGGTATACATAAGTATGAGAGATCATTTGGCTGAGATCGTAGACGTCGTTAAAAACTCGAAAAATTGCATACGCCAAGTGAGTGATCTCAAAAGACAATTACAATTTGATAAGACAAAGCGATTGTCAAGAGCTTTCATAAGCGCAATTGCTTGGTTAGATGAGAATGGATATTTGAGAAAGGTAATCGTAGTATCTCCAGTGAATCCAGACGTCAAAATAAGGTGTGTCAAATTTTTGAAAGATTATAAACCTAGTCAGGACGCCAATGAATTCTCAGATTCAGATATGGGTGAAATGTCAAATGATGAAGATGAAGCAGAAAATGACGATGACGAGGCAATTGAACGTCTGAATAGTACGAGTACTACTGATGTTTTACAAGGCCAAGAATTGGTTTTGCAAGAACCATCTAACACCACTTCAACCACTAATGGAAATAACAACATATATATGAATAGATTCTATCCAATTCAGAATCAAACATATGCAATGGTAGAGAAGACCGGGGTTAAAGGATTGCCAACGATGGATATTATAAATTCACTGACTGGCAGAGATTACAAGAGGCCGTTTGGTAAAATAAGTGATTATTATATGGTGTCGAAAAATAGCAAAGCAAAAGGCGCTAATTTTAAGAAAAATAATAAATATCAGTTAACTAGACTTTATGATTTCGAGGGTAAAAAGAAGTTTTATCGTTTCTTCACAAAAGAAAATTTCGAAAAGTTAACTGACACAACGGTAGGCAATGCTGAAGTCAAAAATTATAATTGGCCCTCAGATTTGAAGAAACAGAACCAGAACATTTACCAATTGTCGAAAAAGCTATTCTCACCTTTGAATGTGACACTAAGAACCACATTAGACAATAGTGGCAAGCGTATATTTTTCTGGAACGGAGAGCTTGATATCGAACGCCCTGAAATTCCTAGCGGCTCAAAAAAACGAAAGATCACTGTATCTGAAGGAGAGCGCAAATCGAAATCAGTACAGGAGAAAAGGAGTAGAAATATATCCGATAATTTGGTAGAAAAGGACGTTGAAGGCACTAAACTACCTCTGTTAAATATTGATGGGTTTTCAGCAAGTTCACTTAGATCATTGAGTAGACAGAAGGCTATCATGAAAGTTCTAGAAAAAAGTGGAGGCGTATCTCTCCTTCGGGAGCAGTTTTTCGAAGATGTTACTAATTATATGTCCTCCAGTACCGTGATCGATAAAAAGACACTAAAAGGTGATGTAGATTTAATGATTGGTAATTCAAAGCTAACACTTTACACAGATCCTGATACACAGAAAAAAGTAATACATTTTCCAGATGTACCAATGGCAAAGATATCAGATTTACTGACTGATACAAAAGACAACAAGAAGAATTTTTTCAAGGATATCCTACATGATACAGATATTTACTTTTACGATCAAAATGCAAAGGACAGATTTAATAGAAAGATGAAAGCTACAGAGAGGATTAGAAAGTACCAAAATGGTAGGAAGAATAATAACAGTGAAGTCAGAAACACTAACTCTTCATCTGTTAAATTATTTGAAGAAAGGAAGAGATCTCGAAAGGAACGGATTGATAGGACAAAAAAACATAACGGTAACATTACACCTATTGTAGAGGATAAACAACTCGAAAAAGCTTCAAGAGATTTCAATATTTCTACAAAGCTTGGTATAGCCAAGCTAATAAAGCTGGTTGTGATTTCTAAATCTATAAAGAATGAGGTTGTTTGGAGCCAAATTACGACTTTATTTCCCTACAATTCTATAGACAATTTAAAAAGACAATGGACAGCTCGCCGCATCAAGATGGGACAACATGGTTGGAAAGCCTTACTAAGTAAATGGCGTAAAATATTACTTCAGGGAATAAGTGAGGAGCTTGTAACACTGGAACAAACTGAAAACTTAGAACTCTCGATTTTGCTACGATTGTGGGAGGATAAAGAAAAAGAGGTTGACTCTGAAAGAGTAAAACTATTGTATAATTATCAAGAAAATCTAAAACAGCTGACGTTCCTTAAAAAAGGTGATAACAAGACGGTCAGTACTCACAGCTCCATTGCTATGTCCTCCATGATCCAAAGAGAAATTGCTTCTTTAAAACACACACCAACACTATCTCATGAATGCTTGCCAGATGTGGAACAAAAGGCTCGCAGGCAAGATCAGATTCGCACAATAGTAAGATCAATATTAGTAGAGTCGAAAGAGATGAATAAGAACGAAATCGATATCTTGAAGGATGTGCCTAGAGATGAATTAGATGCCATTATCATGGATATGGCAAAGCAAAAGCAGTTGTATCTCCATAGCTCAAAACTGAAACCTACAGAAAGAATATTTGAACTTTTACAAACAAAGGGAGACTTTTCGGCGTTCAAGAAAGCAGCGAATTTGTCGGAAAAAATAGCTCAAATGCTGAATTCTTCGTACGGTATAGTAATTAATGAAGAGTTTGAAGATGTTTGTTCTTGGATATTTATAGATTTGATCGACACAGGTGATGCTTGCATCAGTATAATGCCCTTAGAAAGACATGTAAGACCATTAAAATATACAACAAGGTCATTTGAAATTAAGACGTTGACGCCGCCGCTTGTTCTTTACAATGGTAATGGAAGTACGGGTATAAACTTTGATGTAAAGCAAATTCCAGTCCCATTGGGAAAACCATTTTCCAAGCTATGGATTGATTCTGAAGGCTCTCTTAGATCGGATATTTGGAAGTCGCTACTAACAATAGTGTTAACAGATATTCTTTTCAAACCAGGTGTACAGAGCACTACCATTGCAAGCGATTGCGAAAGTCTAATTGGCGTTGAGGAAATTGAAGTTATTTGCCAATGGCTAATCAACAAGAATTTAATTGTCAAGGATGATAATGATGGCTTCACTGTACAAAGTCGTTGGTACAACTTACTTAAAGTATGAATATATTATTTTCTATTTCTAATGATCGCAAAAAAGTATACATATGTCTAATTGTAATTTATACCTTGTACCTGCAAAATAGGCAATGATACTCACCATTCTGACCCAAATTACCTAGACATTTGTCATGGAAAGCATGCCTACACTTAAATACAACAACATCATGATTTAAACTTAGTTTGTAGAAGTCACTTTCATTCTCAAATCTTATTTTCCAGGTCTCAAAGTCCTTTTTGGCTAATCCAATACCCCACAACTTTTTCCCACATATCTCACAGACATCGGATCCGATTGACCAGCCTCTTCGTTGACTCAGCAAATACAAAATATCACTTTCAGAGGAGTAGTTCATCACCACTGCCAACACTAGCTTTAATACATTCTCACTTAGGTTATATTGGTTAAAAATCTCAACAAAGCCATCCCGGAATCTATTGCTTTTCACTAGTAAAAGTTCTTGGTTTTCCAGTGCATTCTCAAAGATCTTACTGAACCTTTTTGTATCCTCGTTATCTATATCATATCCCTTTTCCGATATGCTTACAAAAACATTTACCATCATGCTATATAATTGAAACCCTCCATTCACTGTTGATATATTGTCAGAAATAAAAAGACGTATCAGACATTCCAATATTGCACACCAGTATTTCTTTTCATCAACAACCGCCGAATTTGCTATAGAAACGGCTTTAAAGATATGCGGCTTGATGAGTTCTTGATTAATATTGTTCTTATTCAAACATTCAACAGCGGATAGCAATGTCCTTAACTGCTGGAATTTATCACCAAGTAGGGAGTACAATATAGAAGCTGATTCAAAGAATGTCGAATGTATTAAATACTCTATCAGGTTATTCACATCTTTTGGAGGGCGTGTAATTTTGTTTAGAAGATCTATCAACTTCTTTTCATCTCCACGTTTTACAGACTCATGCAGATACCAACCCAATAATGCAGGTCTTTCTTCTGGAAGAAGCTTCGTATCATCAAACAGAATGTTAATATATCTATACTTGAGATCTTCATCTTCATTAAGAAGTATTGAATCATGCAATGCTGGATCAAAATTTTGGCAAATAGTAATGAATTCATCAAGGTCAACATTTTGGATAATTTGATTAAAATGGCAAGCAATAGCATCTTTGATTTTTAGTTTATCAATACTTTCTTTGACATTTCTTAAAACAAAGTTTAGAATGTCGGAAGTTTCTTGTGAAGTAAAAGCAGAAGCTGATTCATCACCAACAATAATCTCAATCATATCAGAAAACTTATTTGAAATTCTATAAAACATCACTAAAGCCTTCAGAAACATATTTTTTTTAATCATTTCAACAAACTGATTTTCATCTTTGGGAGTGTATTTACTGATGATAGCCTCTAAAGCAGTTTCTGATCGCTTCTTTAGAGATTCAATTTTATTGTTACAAATAACATCTATGATACTATCATAGTATTTGTTGGACACATGAATAAATTGAGGATATTTTGGACAGTTCCTTGCTATAAAAGTTCCTACCGCAACGCCATTTCCATTATTCTTATTGTTCAACATATAATCCATTAGAATTTCTGTGATGTATTGTCTGCTAAATACACTGTCACCATCTAAGTCTGACTCGTCCACATTTAAAATATCGGATTCAAATAGGTGATCAAGCATTTGAAGGCAGGATTCAACGTTATAATCTAGCAAAAGCGTTAAATACGGAAAAGCTGGTTCTTCATCCATCTTATACAATTGGAAATTATTTGTAGATGATAACGGCCATCGTATCGAAGTCCCACTAAATAAGACGCTTAAAATTTGTTCAAATGCAATTTGTGCCGATTTAACAGGTATATTCCGATTCCCAAGAGGATATTGTTTGCTGCCAAAAATACACTCAAGGTATTTGAAAACCATTCTAGGATCATTTATACCTATGGACAAGTTCTGTGCAGCTGTCGTTTTAGTTCCATTTGAAGTTGCTATGGATTGTAAGAATTCAATAAATGGTGTTAAGTAATCATTGAAAATCATATTCCAAATGTAAATGGACAGATCAATTAGACCTTCCTTATTGCAAACTCTAACAGCTAAATCAATATCGAGATTAGCAACATCTAAACTTGTTAAAATCTCCTGTAGACGAATGACATGCCTTTTTGTTGCTTGATCCTGAATGAGCTCTTTGAAACTTTCAGCCGGTAGTCTCTTTACTTTTCCATACACAACAGCTAGTGCTAGTGCTTCATAATATAAAGATTTCTTCTCATTCGGAAGTAACTCTGAAATTTTGTCTATCAGATCCTCATTAGCGACAATCGAGCTTTGTCGACCATTCGTAAATTGACCCCAAATACGAAAAATTAAAGTAAACAACTCTTCATACTTTGAATTGGATGCGATTTCAGACTTGATCAGAAATCCAACGGCTGCCATTGCCAAGTTATAGAAGGGTTCAAATAGTACCTTCTTCTTTGGCGTATCTTTATTCTCATAAAATAGAATGTTATTCAGTTTTGACTCTTCATTTAAAAAGTATTCCAACAGCAGCAACGACTCTATATAATTACCCTTCTGCACTGATGTAAGTACCAATTGTGACCAGGTCATCAAATGTCCTATTTTAAAACTATAAGTTGAGAACAAAAATGCTTTGGAATCATACCACTGAAAATGAGTCGACGGGGGACGTAATATATCCTGTTCTAAAAGGTCAACGATTGCGTTCGCCTTGAAGCCATTGCTAGAGTCAAGCAACAGAAATTGATGAGATATTGTCAAAACTCCAACCAAATCTCTAGATAACCATTGTAGAGAAGATATGCTTTCCGAGGTTGTATAATCATGGACTTTCATAAGTTCGTACGCGTTATTTCCTTCAAGTGCTACACATGACAAATTTGTATTGACAGAATAGGCCACTCTAGATATGTTTGCATTCCAAGACATGGAATAGTTTAGTCCTAATTGCTGACTTGTTGCCTTAATTGGTTCGTTATATATTAGTTTAGGAACTTCACCCAATTTCATGACTGCAAAGTATTTACTTGTCAATATTCCGCAAAAAACAACATCTTCATAGGCCTTGCAATTGCATAATAATAGCCTCTCATTACTAGGAACTTTCAATACGATAGCATTAGTGTAAACTAGCTTCCAGAGGTGGTTGCGTTTTCCAGAATGGTAAGTAATGGTGCCTGTCTCCTGAACACCTACTATTAGACCTGTGTGACGGTTACCATAAAAGTCCAAACCAATAACGGTCATATTAATATAGTCATCAACGTATAAGATTGCTCTGATTGGTTCAATTTTACTATCATCTGATCCATTAGATCCTGTAATGTTGATATCCCATAAAAACACATGGCCCGACTCATAAGCACCAGCCACATGTGTGCCATCCTCAGAAATTTTTAATATTTTCACAGCATCTCTTAATGCATTATCTGCATCGGAAGTAGAAGACTGAGGAATTAAAATACCATGTAGAAACTCTCTAAAATCAAAGATTAGTATCATTCCTTTCGATGTGCCTATAACAAGATGAGATCGAGTAGGCAAAAAACATGTTGGATAGCCGTAAGGTGTCAAAGATGAATAAATATGTGAATAAGAAGACCATTTTATTAGTGACCTGGCCATCTCTGATTTGGTGAAATAATCCAATGGAAGTTGTTCTAACATTCTTGACGCATAAACCTCACTGTCACTACAGTTGCTAACATTTTTAATCAATTTCTTCCCCCTTTCATTTAGTACAGATTCTTTACAATAGTCATTGTCCTTATCCACAATGTATGAGCCTGTCAGCATTTTTCCGAGACCTGAGGCGTCTGTTTTTCCTTCATCCATATCAAAATTAGATCAGAGTCTTGTCTTCATTTGCTTTCAAATAGTCTACTAAAGAGGGTATCAATTTCAATAGGTAATGGAAATAGCATCTTTTATTTATATCCAGAAACCTTATCATAAGCCTAACAAACCCATAACACATATCATAAAAATTATGCAAAAGCCTTGAAAACCGGCCCTAAAATTCAATTTTTAATAAACATTCAGCATGGAGAATAGCATGTGATCATTTTATAAAATGATTAATTCGCGTATTTATAAATCTATTATTTTACGATCAAAATACAACATGAAAACGCATATGTTTATGATTTCCGAAAAGCAGATTATGTTTTTAAAATACTTTTTGACTTGATTTTGTACGATTGTTAAGAGGTAGTAACATCGATTTGAAATGCAGAATGAGGGCAATTTTGTTAGCATCATTTGAGTACCATATATTTGTTGCAGCCTCTAATATGTATTATTGAGAATATATACATCTAACTCGGGCTTGTTTTGCGTTAAGTGTTGTTTGTCACTCATTTAATAGACCTAGAGAGGTTTTCTTTGAAGTGTGATAAATGTCACATTATTGAAATGACATCATACTTCCCAGTTCAAACGTAGCCATGGTTTAATGCGATATTAGGACTCTTAGCAATAAATCTAACAGGTCAACACTTAACCTCAGTTGTACAATGTGATTGAATTTATTAACCGGAGCTTTTAGAACATTTTGTAGTTCCTACTACAGGTTTGAGTAATGGGGAATTAGAGTTCATTTTGTGTGAAACATTCATGTTGCAGTTGAGATTGTGAACTCCTCTACACAATTTTACACAAAGGGTATTCACTTTTTAATTGTTCAAATGAGGGTGCTATAAAGTAAAGAATAAAATTCCATGTTGTATTGGTGCGGTAAAAATTGCTCTTTACAACATACTGAGCTTATTTAAATGGAAGGGCCAGAAAAAATTAACAAGTCTAGTTCTATTTGATATAGTGTCCAAATTTGCTACAAAAGAATTGAATTGTGGAGTAATAACTATTTATAAAAGATTATCATGAAGATCATTAGTGAAAAAGAATATGTTTTATTGAATCAACAGTTAGAGTCACCTATTGGAAAGGTGTGGTAAAGGAAGTGAAAATATGTCAAATTAAACTTTGTGACGGTTTTTACCACATTCTCCGGTACCATGGCTTATCATCGTGCATCATGGCATCAGCATCATAGGTGGCGTCTCTCTTTGATGGTGGAATCCAATCTGGAGACTTCCATGGCAAGACGCCTTCTTCCCACATAGTGTTGACTTCCTCCAATGTTAAGCCTTTTGTTTCTGGAATAAAAAAGAAAACGTAGAAGTAGGAGAAACATAGGCAGCCCATGAAGACGTAACCATAGTAGAAATTGATAGCACCCGTGATGAACGGAGTGAAGAAGGCAATTAAGAAACCCCAGATCCAGTTAGCGGCTTGACATATTGCCATACACTTGGCTTTAACCCTCAATGGGAATGTTTCGGAGTTGATGACCCATGGAGTTGGTGCCCAAGTTGTTGCGAAACAGAAAATGTAGAAACAGGTGAAAACAATCATACAGTTACCAGCACCCTTGGAGGATGGTTGGTCCATACCGTTTGGATATAATCTGGTGACACCAACTGATGCAAAGACAACCATACAAGCAGTCATGCTAGCGGCTCCCCACAAGAGACATTTACGACGACCGAAGCGGTCAACAACGTACAAAGCTACGAATGTGGATGCAAAGTTAACGATACCAATAACAATTGAAGTTTGGAAAGAATCTTCCAAGCCAACAGCCTTGAAAACAGTAGTACCATAGTAGAAGAAGTAGTTGTCACCTGTCAATTGTTGCAAACATTGAAGCATGATGCCCATAATCAAACGTTGTAAGACCTTCGTCTTGGTAGAGAACAATTCACCCCAGGAAGCAGAACCAGCTAATCTTTCTGCTTCAACACCTGCTTGAACATTTTCTAACTCGAAAGTGACTGCCGGATCTTCTGGTGTAAGTTTGTTAGAGATGGCAATGGATCTTCTAGCTTCTTCAAATTTGCCGACTTCAACTAAGTACCGTGGAGATTCTGGAACACACAGCATACCACCTATCATGAATAGAGCCCAAGCAAAACATAGACCTAGTGGAACTCTCCATTGTACAGAGTTGGGGTAGTTTTTTGTACCGTAGTTGGTACAATAACCCAAGAAGATACCGCAAGTCACCATTAACTGGTAGCAAGAGACCAATGTACCTCTCATATGTTTTGGAGAAACTTCGGAAATCAACATAGGAGACAATACCGCAATACCACCGACACCCAGACCGGAAACAATTCTACCGATGAAGTATTGGTACCACTTGTCAATAGTAGCAATTTGAATCACGATACCGACAATATAAACAACGATGACAATAATTAAACCGATCTTACGTCCATACATATCTCCAAACTTGGATAAGACGACACCGCCAATAGCACAACCAATGTTAAATATAGAAACAATTAGACCAGTTCTGACCTTGGATAGGTAGTAAGTGTTATTGGCACGTCTTTGACCCAATCTTTTGATGAAGTCTTCCTCAGCAACAAAACCGGAAATAGTACCAGTATCCCAACCGAAAACGAACCCCCCGAAAGCGATGAATAAGCAGAGGATAAAGATGAGGGTATAAGCAGAAGCTGGTTTTTTGGGAATCTCAACCATGGGTTGACCATCCTCATCAGCGTAAGCTTTGAAGTCTTCCTCTCTCTCAACTTTGCTGTTGGAAGCTGAGAATGCAGATTGTGATTCTTCAGACATTGTTTAAATTTAAATTCAATTGTATTTTAATCAACTTATTATCGATGATACTATCCAGAAAGTAAAGTATTGAAGAATTATTTTTTTGATGAAGTTGTTGTTCCTATTTAAACGATGGCAAATAGATGTGAATGTAATAGGAACAAGAAGGTGATTGTGGAAAATGGTTGGTATTAGTGTTTGGTTTTTATATGTTTTTTTTGTTAACTTTTTGTTCTTGGACGTCAATTCCATCACTGTTCCGTCCTTTTGGTCATTTTCAATGTTATTTTTGTTGATTAGTTGCGTTGAACCAACATTTTCTCAAAGATACGGCTATACTTCTTCTGCTTTTAGAAGGGAAATTATGTAGTTTCAACACCTTAAGTGAGTGGGGAAGAAGGAGTTGTTTTGATGTCTTACAGTTTATCACAGAAAGTTCAGAGCAGCTGTTACTCTACGATTACTTTCGTTTTGGTTGCATCAAAACGAAACCGGTCAGACTATATTTTTACAGCTCATAGAGGGGTTGTACACTTCTATAATCACCCCATCCTGTTCCCCTCATTAATTTTTGTTATGGAATCAGCACTGGTCCTTCAGGGATAGCGCTTAATGGGGAGTGACTTCAAAAAGAGCACACGAAATATTACAATGAAAGATGTGCAAAAGTTCAGCAATAAAAAGCTTATATCTACTACTGCACCACCCAATGACGAATGCCACTGGTTTTCCGCACCGTAGATTTTAGGCACATCTAATGAAGTCACAAAGTCATTTAATTTCGAGATCAAAGTATCTTCATATTCCATGTACGCACTTGTCTATGGATTCTGCGCCATAAAAAAAGCCAAGAGATTTGAGTAACGCAAGGGAGATCTGGAACCGGGCAAGATATCAGCAATCATAGCAATGTGGGGTACGACCTTGTCTTAGCGATCTACAACCCTTGACGGGTGTTCATTTTGTGCACTTCATTCAGATTTTATTTTTTTCAGTATGTGCTACGATTGTTTCTTAGCGTTTGCTTTACTTTTAACCTTGGGGAGGAAAAAGAAAAGAGGTAAAGCTTGCTGTCAATATCTCTGTGAATTGCCCGCACATAAGGAACCCTGTGTCTCCCTTCCTTAGACAAGTAATTAGATGCGGGGTCGGCTTGCTTTATCAAATTACGTAGATTATGTGTGCCATTCTCACCTCACGGAGATTTCTTTCGGCTACTATTGATGTTCCTTTCATATTTCCCGCAAAGCAGCCATGGTTACAGGGTGTTGTACTATCAGGGACCTTGCTTCTGTAATGAACTGTATCATCAATTGCTGAAAGAGATACACGGACGGCTGTGGTAAAGGGTCCCATTCCGGTAATCGCTGGCGTTGTTGATATCTTGTGCTCCGAAAGTATGTGATCGGATATCCCCCGGACGTGTTTTTTTGTCTCGACACTGTATGACATAGATGGGTGATTGTGTTGGATAACTGAACGAAAGCTTCATTTGGTAATTGCTCCGAAAAGTCCAGATTTTGCGGCTGTAATGCTCAAATTTAGGCTCTTATTCTTTTTTATTTCCATTAATTCTGTGACCCCCTGTGATAATCAAACGTACATCTTATTTACTTCACAACGTAAAAATTTGTGTCAAAAGTAGATAACGTAGATTAGACAATGAATGTCCTTGATGTTACTTGTGTATCAATTGGAGAAAGGAAACGGACATTTAACTGTTATACAATAACAAGAATTTCAGTATTTTACATAAGTACGGATTTATCATAAACAGTTCAAGAATAGGGGGGAGTACACAACAAATCTATTGAAGGAATGTGGAATTTGTTTGAATCCATTGTTGAGTCTTGAATTAACTAAAAATAATACTTTTTGCAACTTACCACTGTTTTTTTATCTGCGCTTTCAAAGTTAGATTATGTAGAGTGTTGGGTTGTATTATTTAAATATTTCCTCCTCAGGACACCTACGATTCAGTATGATAGGCTTTGCCCGGTACGATAATGCTTTGCATTTGACCCCTTTCCTAACAACTAAAAGTGAGTATATGGGTATCTGAACGTCATCATTTTGGAACGATACTGATTAAACCCAACATCTTGATTGCTGTAATAGTGTATTATTTTAGTAGTCCTATTTTCTAAAACTATTTTGTTTCTCTATGTATTTTGTGCTGAATTAACGTAAGCAGTCATCGTTTGACTCCATATCCTCGCAGCTTTTGCAATTCTTCTCTATCGATCACTGCAAAAAAATATAAAGAATTTAATTGCTTGCTGTTACTCTTACTTCGTTTATATCTGAGCTCCGTCAAAGCCGAAATCTATGTTATTTTTAGATTGATTTTTTAATATATTGCAGGGCCTATACTCGTTAAGCTGTTATTCTTTCTATAAAATATATCGACATCCTCTTATCGTAATTTGGTCAGCACGCAAGATGGGAATAAAATTAGCTGCAAAAATATTTCCAATACGATTATGATAGGCTAACTGATAAATTTACCATATTTTTATGCAGCTTGTACTTATATTAATCTTTGTACTGATAATTTTTCAGAAAAACAATCAGGTTTGGCAACATCAAGCTGCGAAGGCAGATCAGATCGTTGGGCTCTTCGATGGTTGATATTTTAATGTTACTAAAAATTAGAAATACTGCAACTTTGTAAAACAGCTTTTATGCAATTCTCAGTATGTAATGTAGCTCATAGGTCATTGATATTTCCAGTTCAGACAACGACAACCATGCTTGCTATGTAGAATTGCATTATCACTGCTCAACTATGTTCATAACAATAGTTCTAAAAAGCGGTTTTTCATTTTAGAGTAATAGCTTTTTAATAAAGAGACTTTCACTTGCCTGACTAAATTGAGGGCCTCAAAAATGAAGGATATTGAATGAAACTAATACTTCCCAAAAAAATACTCAGGTTATAGCTGAGCATGTAAACTCATTCTTCGAAGCCCTGTTCTTTCACAAAAAGAAAAAAGAATGATAATGTACTTAGTATAGTTTACTTATCGACTTATTAACAAATTGGTTAGGGCGTGTGGTCTAGTGGTATGATTCTCGCTTTGGGCGAACATGGATAAAATCCGTGTGAACAATCACAAGCATGCGAGAGGCCCTGGGTTCAATTCCCAGCTCGCCCCAATTTTTTTGCTTTTTTAGGTTAGAAGAGCACGAATGGTTATGGCATAACCTACACATATATACATGATTGAATATTGTGTTGTTAATTGGTATGATTGGTTGTCAATAAGACGCCAAAATCAATTACTCCTGATTTGCTATTTCTCATTTTACTTTCAAAGTATTGCTTTCTACAATGTATTTTTTTTTACCTTTTTCCAAAATTTATTATTTTGGTCACCTCACTGGGTAGAAATATTGTTCCAATTCACATCAAAAATTAAATAAGTAAATGTTAATAATAAATGCTCCAACATAATGTTTTGCTAGTTACGTACACTAAGTATTCCTGTTTCTCTATAACTGACATGTGACAAATACTCACAAACAGATGGCCTCATACCTGACAGGCTCATATCTACAAATTCAATCTCTTCAGGAGATAGTTCTTTTGTAAATCTCATGGCTTGTCTTTCAATAATAGTAGTCTTTATATTTGTACCTTGATGCGATGGGGCACATGGTTTATATTGAATAACTTCTGAAGTAGAGTTTTCTAAAAGCTCGATACTTCGATCTTGATAGGGAATGGGTTTGTTATAGGAGACTAATTTGGTGTAGTTAATTGACCGCAGTGATATTTTAATATGTATATCGTTGAAATATACTCCAACCGCACCACTACGAATAGTAAATTTAATAAATTTCATCTATTCAAATTTTATATTGATAGTTTCATTGGAAGATATCAATTTTAAGAATCAAGAATAGCTACACTGTAAATAAATGTGCCATTCAGCAGAAGTTTCTTGATTAAATACTAATAAAATGCATATTACTTATTTTTGTGCAAGGTGATAATACATAATACACAAGAATTATCAATAGTGATTGCAATTCAACTTATTGTTTCTGTTTATTCATCATCTTTGTGGCCAGTCATCGTGTTCCCGAGAGCATTTATGTATCTCTAATTCGTGTCTAGTATACCTAATGACTTAACCAGAACGACAAGCTAGGATAACCTCATTCGAATAGTTATATGATTTTCTTCACAGCTTCATTTTAATTTACTATGAGGGGTATTATTTCAACTTATATATTTTGTGTTTCAAAAGTATAATGACCCATCATATATTATTATAGGCGATAAGAATATTATTAAATTATTTTTTGTTTTACAAAAAATTTGCCGAGATAAGACATCTGCAAAACACAAATTGCCACTAGGACTACTATTTGTGATAGTATCCACCAAATAGCTCTAGAGTTGACCTTCTCGGATGCATCTCTAAACAAAGTTTCTCTTTCTCTTACCATTTCTTGTTCATATTTAATTTCTCTTACAGATTCAATCAATGCAATTACTCTTCTGTGTAAAGTCTTGAGCTTCGTGGTTTTCTTTGAATCAATATCATCCACAGAACCAGTGGTGAATTCCACATCGATTCGCAGTTTTTTCCTACCCAAATCTGATTGGTTTGGTTGGAAGCAGATTTTATGCTCTCCAGACTCGACAGCTACAAATGTGACTTCTCCTGACTGAATTGAGCTGAACTGGTGAACCACTCTGTGATTGTCATCGAAGACTTCTTCGATGTCAATAGTCATATCTCTGCCATTGGAAGCAGCAATTGGCACATACCGGTTGGTGGTTGAGTCATGCACTTGCACTTTGTAGGTGCTTCTTAGCAAAGCTCCTTGCGGTAGTTCTTTAAAGAAGCACTTCCTGTCACCAGAGTTGGAGTACATGTAGAAAGCACCCACATTCTCCAAAAATAAGCACAGTATACTAACGAAAATAAAGAATTGCATGCTGTATCTTACCCACAACAGCTAACCGATAAGTACAATATTAAGCCGAGAAATCCACTCCCTATAGGTGCTCTCCCTAGCAATTAATTACGGTCTCAATTTGCCGAGAAGTTTTGTTCTGCTCAAGATCAAATTAATAGACTCAACGACCAGAATCAATTGCCCAGAAAAAACTCAACCAGTAGTTAAGAAAGTATCTTTACAAGATTGTATAACTGCTATGCAATTAAGATCTTCAAGTCAATGATTTACTTGGCATAACAACTACCACTTATACCACTTATACCACTCATCGACCCACATTACCAACTAGAGCTCATCGCGAATCAAGTTTTTTGACAAAAAGAGGTTTTGGCGAATTTTCTTTGAAAAAACACGTGATTCCCAAAAAGGCGGGCTTCCCTAGCTCCCGACCTGAAAACCACTAAATCAACGTCGCCAATATATCAAGCAACTGCACAAAACTGTAACAACAGTTCTAACATTGACTCAGTGATCCGTTGACAGTTGCGTACCAGCATTTTAGAAGCACTACACGATAGTTGGAGAAAGAATACAGGGAGAGTTAGGAAACAAATTGCTATACAACACCACAATCACTGTGAAATCGTAAGGTAGAGGCCAGGAAATGTCTGAAAATTCGAACTCTTTAAGGAATCCATTTGTGAGCAATACGCCGCAGGCGTCACCATATAAGAAGCAACAACTTGAGTACCATAGGCGCGGTTCAGTAGAGGATGTGACGAGGCGGCCAACATCTAGCTCGTCATCCTTAAGTTCTCCGGGGAAACACTCCAGAAGACCACGGTCCTCGTTACAACGCTATGCAGATAGATATTTACCCACCCGAACAGACTTAGATCTAAGAACTATTAGATCTATTGGAAGTAGCAATGCCACGAAGAATAACACACCTGTGGTCCCAACCTCGCCAACTTCGCCCAATTCTTCTTGCGCAGATCACCTAGAAGTACGAAGAGAAAGAGAATCAATGGAAAAGTTTGATACTATATTAAAGAACGAATTATTTGGTGACTACTTAGCGAAGGATAGAGATCTTTCTCCAGAGAGAGACTCTATATATAACAGCAGCACGAGCAGATTTACGAGCCCTAGAAAGTCTTTACAGGCTAGCAGCATCGATCAGATAAGAAATACAGTTAATTTCTCAGCTAACTCTTCGCCATTGAAATCAGCGTCAAGCATTCAATTTTACAGAGAAAACCAGTCAGATTCAGATTCAGACATAGGAACAGATACAGATTCCGATGGCGCGAATAGTAGCGGTTTGAACAACCCATACACGAGCCCGTCAAGAAGGCGGCATTCGAATTTATTTTTTAATAATATTGGCACCTCTGTCTCGCTTCCTGTAACACCTAAAAAGCTAACATTCTCTGCAGGTGCATCGACTGAAGAAGTAGGATCTACAAAAAGAGGAGCTAGCCTACTCAAGTACATGACCCAAAGTTCTACTAGGCCATCAACAGCCTCCGTATTACATTCTCACTTTGAAAGCTTGGATGTTTCACCAATTAGAAGAGACTCTAAAAAACTGTTGCTATCGCCAGTAAAGCAATTTAAGAACATCAGTAAAGTACCATACAGGGTTTTAGATGCACCCTCTCTTGCAGATGACTTTTACTATAGCTTGGTGGATTGGTCTTCTACAGACATATTAGCAGTGGCCTTGGGAAAATCAGTTTTTTTAAGCGAGCATCAAACTGGTGAAGTTATTCATTTATGCGATACTCCAAATGAATATACAAGTTTAAGCTGGATGGGAGCAGGCTCACATTTAGCTATAGGTCAGGGGAACGGTATTGTTGAAATTTACGATGTTACAAAGGAGAAATGCATCAGGACATTATCAGGGCATCTGGATAGAGTGGCCTGTCTTTCTTGGAATAATCATATTTTAAGCTCTGGTAGTAGAGATAGGACTATATTGCATCGTGATGTAAGAATGGCAGATCCTTTCTTTGAAAAGATAGAAACACATGAACAAGAAATTTGCGGATTGAAATGGAATACCAACGACAATAAGTTAGCCTCAGGCGGAAATGACAATATGGTTTTTGTGTATGATGGAACTTCCAGAACACCATTTCTATCAATTAATGAACATAAGGCTGCTGTCAAAGCTATGGCATGGTCACCTCATAAACAAGGAATTTTAGCTACCGGCGGTGGTACAGCAGATAGAACTCTAAAGATGTGGAATGTCAATACATCAGTAAAACTGAATGATGTTGATACTGGTTCACAAGTATGCAACATGGTTTGGTCGACAAACACTGATGAGATTGTCACTTCCCATGGTTACTCGAAATATAATCTAACAATATGGGAAGCAAGCAATCTAGAACCTTTAGCTATATTAAAAGGTCACAGTTTCAGAGTTTTACATTTAACTTTATCAGCTGATGGAACCACAATCGTATCTGGTGCAGGAGATGAGACTTTGCGTTATTGGAAGCTTTTTGAAAAGCAAAAAAGGAAGGCAACTGCAGATTCAACTATTCTAAACGCTCTGAACCAAATAAGATGATTGCGTTCAGTGTTATCGATATATAGACTCTAAATATTCTAATAATTGTGAGTTTTACAATTCTGTTAGCCACTCGGCAAAACTCTTAGTGTATTGTAGGAATTCATCATCATTTTCCCAAATCCTTAAACAATCTTCCAAGCAAATGCTACTCTTATTTACAAGACATTTCTCTGCTAACCTAAAGAGATCGACACTTTCTTTGAGAAGATGTATTTTTGCATCATTTGCGTCAATGAAGTCGCTGAACTTAACCTCAACTGCTTCTTTAAGTGATTTTACTAATGTAAATTGAAATAAATCGGAATTGCTCCAAAGCGGTGCCAATTTCAACTCCAAAACTCCAATTAGGATATCCAAAAGAACAATTTTAAAAACGTTAGGATTGTTCGAATAGGAATTTAATATTTCCTCACCAACCACAGTACCATACTCAGGGAAAACATCCTCGATATGCAGATCAGAACTAGGGTGCTGATAAAGATCTTTTAGCAACACAAATAAATATTGCATTACTGTGGAACCCTTTGTATACCACAAATATTTGTCTATGCTATCCTGTGTTATGCGGCGGAGAGTTTGTATGAGAATAAGTAGAGATAAAGTAGTAACCTTAACGTCAAACTTCTGAGGCTTATCTAAAATCCAAGTAATATTGTTAATAGAATACTCTACCTTTTTATTATCGGTATTTTGGGATTCCAGAATTTTGTCTTGCGGAAGCTGCCCTGAAGTTAGTAAAATGAACCTGGAATGTAGGCGGAATAAAAAAATGAACAAAGTTGAATTAAAATACTGCGCTTTGATCCTTCCTAATCGCGATTCCAGATCCTTAGAAAGCCTTATTAGGACAGAGCAGAGTTCACTAATCTCTTTCTGCAGTCTTAACCTGTCGCCTATCGTCTCCTCATCTATTGACATATCCATAACAGACCGAAATACTTTATTAATACAAAATCTACCAAGAGAGAATTCAACAGGAATTGCCAGATCGGGGTCTCTATATTTTAGATCAATATCTGTTTGTTGGTACAACCATGTTCTTGTTGAGAAAGGGAATCCATGTACAACAGAAGTGGAACCATCAATGTAAAGTAAATAATTCCACAAAAAGTTTAACCTTTGATTTGTCTTATCTCCTCTATATTGGTCATTTTTATGCAGACCAAGCTGCTGCGCAACTCTAATTAGCATAGCTGAATGGCCAGTCATGTCTAACATGTTAGGGTCAATAACAAAATTAACCACTGTGAAAACTTGCAATGCTTCTATTGTTGGGTATCTCGGGAAATCGGAATGATGAAGTAAAAACCTGTAGCCATTATAGTAATTGGTACATATGTCGGTGTCTATTACAATACCAGAAGCAATGGCTGAATATGAAGAGCAGAATAGAATCCCTAACAAAACTAACGCATCTGTAGTATTTATCTGTGATGAGCTCAAATCTTCATAGAAATTCGTTATTGCTTGTCGGCTCTCGGAGATTGAAAGAACAGGTATTATAGCATGAATGGATGATTGAAATATATCCAACTGCGATAAGGCTTCTTCCAAAGATTTCGGTAATATAGATATCACATCATCGATAGAATCAGGGAGATTTTGTTTGTCCAACTTGTTTAATCTAGTAATAGGATTTCTAGTAAAGTTTGGTGTCAAAGCCACATCATCATATATAGAAGAGAAGACTAACTTATCTGTTAATGAACTGCTAAAAAATGGGTAGAATGTCTTCGGTTTGAACAACTTGTACTGTGTCGATGACCTTAGAGTATATCGCGGCTCTTTAAGAACTTTAAATTGCTCTAACGACTTTCTATGGGTCAGTGTATCATTATCCTGGAAGTTGTACACACATTGATCTTGTGTACCTTGCTGCTGACAAGTCAGACAGGGACTTTCGCGATTACACTTCAATTTGTGAGCGTAACAGTACTGACAAGACTTGATAACTCTCCTTCTTATGATTTTGCTTCTTCCTTTGGTAGTCATCTGTGAGGAAATTCAAGTGCGGCATTCAGGTACCATTATCCCTTGCTACACAGTACTACACCGAAGTTCTAAAGATTACTATAGCAGTAAGATACGACAGCTGAAATTCGATAGTTTGCAACTGAACTTAATCAAAAGCTTTGTGTGATCAAATTGAACCTAAACAAGTTGCTGTAGATCATATTAAAATTCGCGATGAGCTTGAAATTTTGAAATTTTAAGGTGACAGTTACTAAAATGAGTGAGAACTGTCAGTTTGCAGTAACTTATTAACAGAAAAGACCAAAACATAAGTCTATTATAAGCTTAATACAACAGGCAAAATCACGTATCAAAAATGGCTAACGTTCCAATTGCTCATATCCAATCCGACTTCGAGACCGATTATGAGAATGGAGGTGAATTCTACATCAATGTCGATGTCTCCCCTAATAGTGTTATTGAATACCGAGTCCACATAGATGCTGGCAGTGCAACTGAGGTTAGTAGGGTTGACAATGGTTTACGTACAATTTGCAATGATAGTAGTTTCACAAGGCAGAGCAATGGAAGTTACAAATTTGAAGTGAATGGCAAAATTTACTGGTTCAAGACACCTAAGAGGCTTGTCTCTACAGAGGAATTAGGCATTTCTGAAAGCCTAGATCTTATCTCATGTGATGCTTCAACAGACAAGATAGTCATTGGTGATTCCGGAGGTGATATTAATGTCTATGACCATGAGTGGATGAGCAAGTTATCACTAGTTGGCGCTCATGTTAGTGACGTAACAACTGTCAAGATCTTTCCAAGTAATGCTGTGCTCCTATCAGGGTCTACTGACATGCAGCTTAAGGTGTGGTCTCTTGAAGATGGGTCAAATCCCAGGACCCTCAAGGGTCATTCGGCTGGGATCACAGACACCATTATTATCGAGAGGGGCCGTAACGTTCTGTCAAGTTCGCTTGACGGTAGTGTAAGGTTATGGGAGTTGGGCTCAGGTAAAACTATTTCCAAGTTCTGCAGAAAGGAAAATACCACTGATGGGGTGACATCCATGTCGCTTTTAGTAGGAGAAGAATCAACAAGCATGTCGGCTCAAGTTACCGATAGGGAAACAGGAGATAGGCTGGAGTTTGGCACTGAAGGAAAGCAAGTTTTTGCTGGTCACTTATCCGGTACGATAACTGTTCATGATCTGTTTAATAAGCAGCAAATATTACAAATTCCAAGCTCGTTTGTGGCACCGTGTAACACCATAGCACAAATAAGTGAGCATGCCATAGTGTCTGGTTACGAAGATGGGACAGTAGCTACTTGGGATATCCGAAAACCTCAACAGTATTTACAAAAGCTGGATTTCGCAGGTAACGCAATAAACAAAATCCTCAATTGGAAAGATAAGCTGTTTTTGTCGAGTGGCCTGGACAACACTTTCGAAATAGCCTCGGACTCCGGAAATGGCAAAATCGATATCACTTCCGCGACACATCTTGCCACAGAGGAGGTCAACAACTTCGTAATCGTGCCATCGGCACCCAGCAGTCGTTTACTTGCAGTAGGGAAATGGGGTCTCTGCGGCATATACGATATCTGAGCTTCCCATTCCTAAAATTGATAGCTCATCAATATTAGCAAAGAATTTCAGCTGTATTGATATTACAGATTACGTCAGTTTGTAATTCCCGCAAATAAATGCAAGATCCGTTTTTGCGAAGACTTGGACGTACAACCGGAACAATTCACGGAATAATCACACTTTGTCTTCAAATTACGGAAATTCGGAAAAAAATCAACAAAATTGAATTGCAAGCTCATCGAGGAAATAAACAAACAACTGAGGGCTCCTTGTGTCGAGTTTGGGACATCCCTGATCGACGAGTATACATTCTAAACTGTGTGAAAGAAGGGAGGTGATCAAACAGGAAGGTGGGAAAACTCTATGAATAGGTCTATAACGTTTCCTAAATAAGAATAAGAATTCATTGAAGAAATTGATAAAGGGAGGCAATAGGGCAAACAAAAAAAAGAACCAGGATAGTTGGAGTTTGATTCAATTCAGATTAGGGAGAACCAGAGAGATGAGCGGAACTACAGATATGGCAAGTCAGGATGAAGATGCTGTGTTGAAAATGTTTTTCGACGAGCAATTTGTGCCGCAAGCATTTGTAGATATCTTGCTTTCGAAGGCTAACGGTACTGGTCTCAATGAGGTAAGGGTTGTGACGAGTGGCTTACAGTCAAGACTTGACTACTATACAGAACACCTAACTAAGGAGTTAGAAGGAACTATATCTTCATTAGAGAAGATATCTGATACACTTCCTGGTACATGGAATACAAGTGATTCTTATGGAGCAGATGGTAACATAGGATCGTCTAAGTTAGAATATTACTTAGATACACTTGCCAATGCAGTACGTAGTCTTGAGTCTGATATCAAAACTCTCAACTCCCAAATAGATACTGCAGAAACAGAATCAGAAGAACAAACACAAAAAGCGGCTGTATTGGGTAGGCTTCGAGACTTCGAGAAAGCTAAATCAAGGCTCAATGAAGTGTTACTATACTTCAATCAACTGGAGGCTATAGCTACTATCACTGGCAAGAAGAGCGAACAAAAGATTGCCCCAATTACGATAAAGGACTTCAAATTGTCACTCGATACTTTGCAGGAAACTATTGTCAATACCTTGGATGAATCTGAAAAGAAAGAGTCTGCCAATGAGAAAAATGAGGATATCCTTGAAAAAATTGACATGTTCATAGAGTTGGAAACAGTTCTGAAAGATATTGACCCATTCTACCAAGAATACCATAAGTTTATAGAATCTATTACAAAGAGAGCAAACGAGTATATTAACACGAAGAATATTGAGAATGATTTATAGTCAATATATAACTACATTAATGTAAATAAAAAAGTGAGATGCAATATTATACAAACAATGATTCACGAAGGAACCACATCAAAATCGGAAAATAACTAATATTACATCAATAACCGTCAGTGAGGTCACATTTTCGTAGAGGATCGTCTCCAAAAAGTAGTCATATGCTGTAATACAAAATAAATAATTACAATGTAAGTTGATGTCATTATGGTCATCAAGCCGGAGTCAACAATCTTTCCTCCTCCTCTGAATCACTTCTGGATTCACTTTCTGTATTTCTTAGAAATTCTAAACCTGCAAAGTATTTGATTGCTTTGGCTAGTCTAGCGGGGAACACCGCTTGAGCCCATTCATCTGGGCATATTCTGATCAATGCACCAACAGGGATGGCAAGAATACCACTACTCACTGAAACAAGCCACATCTTTTTAGTTTGGTGGGCAATAGAAAAAGGTGCCCCTCCAAAAAACATGATTAGAACTTGTAATACAGCAATTAATGACATAATGAAAATGAAGTAATAATTTCTAAACAAATCCTGGAAGAAATTTAAGTTTGAAGCGGTCAACCTCTTCCTCCAATCTTTTATACCATCTGCTTCATCAAGTTTCCTTGACACCAGCAGTGTAAACCATTGCAACCAAACGAAAGTATTAAATATCATTGCATTAATTTGTTGATGCTCATGCCCAGGAAGATCTTCCTTTGGCTTGCCAAAGAAATATTGGGCACCGTGTGAGTAAAGCGTAAAAGTAACAGATAATTGTAGGATTGCTTGACCAATGATCATTTTCCAAGTTGACGGAGTAATCAGTGGAGTAGAACGACCTTTGGGCTTTCTGTCCATAATATTTGGATCAGGTTTATCTGTGGCTAGAGCTAGCGCAGCTAGAGTATCCATGATTAGGTTAACCCAAAGCAATTGAACAGCAGTAAGAACAGATTTTACATCAGAGGAAATTACTGAAGTAACAAAAGTCAGCAATACTGCAGTTACATTAACAATTAATTGAAACTGAATGAATTTTTTGATGGAAGCAGCAACACACCTACCCCATTTGATTGCATTAACGATCGCTGAAAAGTCGTCAGTCATCAAGATGATATCGGAAGCTTCCCTGGCAACTTCAGTACCAGTAATACCCATCGAGAAACCAACATCTGCAAGTTTCAAAGCCGGAGCATCGTTTGTACCATCACCAGTAACAGCAACAACTTCTCCCATTTCCTTCAAAGCTCTCACTAGAATCTTCTTATCTTCTGGGGAGGATCTTGCCAAAACTCTCAACTTTGGTAAGATGCGCTTCCGTTCACTATCACTTAGTTTCCTGAACGCAGGACCTTCCATGGCACATGCACTATCGTTCAAACTTTTGCTTGAGAGAATGCCACAGTTTCTTGCAATGGCTTTAGCAGTCAACAAGTTATCACCGGTAACCATACGTACAGTGACACCGGCTTTTTGACATTGAGCGACCGAATTCTTAACGTTTTCACGTAGTGGATCTTGGATACCTACGATAGCATCTAAAGTGAGACCTTCCAAGTGTGGTTTTTTAGGATCAATCAGTTTGACTGCCAATGCTTCATGGGAATTCTCTGGATCAGCAAGTTCTTTAGGAGGCCATTCGTTAACATCGAAATCCATGTGTGCTAAAGAGATAGCCCTCAGGGCGTCCTTTGCCAAGCTGAATATTTGTTCTTCGATATCGTCTTTACTTTTCTGGTCAATCTCAGAGATACCCTCATTGCAGACATTTTTCAAGGTGCAAGCCTTAGCAACAATTTCAGCGGCACCCTTCACGTACAGACGGAACTTCTTACCTTCATTTTCCTTGTTGCTATTTAGTTTTACCACAATAGCGGACCATTTTCTGGAGCTTTCAAATGGGATAATCTGGACAATTGTTTCAACGGTCGGTAGTTTTTCAGGGTGTCCTCTGAAGGATTGCAAAGCGCCAAATTTCAAGCCGAAGGACTTTCTGGCCAAGGATAGCAGTGCTGTTTCAGTCTTTGAGCCGATGTAAGGTTCCTGTCTGCCCTCAGCTGCATGGGCTAGCAGGTTTTCCTCGTCGTCTGGTTTCTTCTTCTGCAAAGTTTGGGTAATTCTTCTGATCAGGCGTCTTGGCTGTGAGTCATCGATGGAGTTGTAGTTGTTGGGGTCCTTGTAGTCTTTGTTCTCGAAGGCTGTGGAGTTCAGTACGATGTTGTCGTAGATCACTGTTCTGAGCAAGTCGGAGCACTTCTTTTTGAAGACCAGGTTTGACTTCGAAGGGTCTGCGCCGATGTCGTCGAACCCGGCTCTGCCGAGGGTGCCTCTGACCACGGTCATGATGTTCTCCGTCAAGGTACCTGTCTTGTCCGAGCACACAGCTGTTGCGGACCCCATGGTCTCACAACTCCTGAGCACTCTCACGAGGTTGCCGTCTTTGGTCATTCTTGTTGTAGCGAAGGCGAGCGCGAGGGTTACTGCGAGGGGCAGGCCCTCGGGGACGGCGACGACGATGACTGTGATGGCGGTGATGAAGATGTCCATGAACTTGCTGCCCTTTTCGGCGGGGGGCAGGTCGTGGTACTTGCCGCCGGAGGGAAGGATGTAGGAGAGGTAGCGGGCGAAGAGCACGACGAAGAGGGTGATGGCGGCGACGCAGCCATAGACCGAGATGTTGTCTGTGAGCTGGCTGAGCCTCATCTGCAAGGGAGTGTCCTCCGAGTCCTCCTTCAGGGACGCCATGGTCTTGCCGTGCACGGAGTTGACGCCTACGTTGGTGACGATGGCGCTGGCGAGGCCCGAGAGCACTCGGGAGCCCGAGATGAGCATGCAGTCCGGGCAGCGGCTATCGTCGGCTGCGCCGCTGGCACCGCTGGCACTGGTGTCGCCGATGTCCCTGCCGCCGTGGGCGCTGTGGTACTCGAGAGCGTCTGCCAAGGGGAGCTTCTTGATGGTGTTTGACTCGCCTGTGAGCGCGGACTCGTCGGTCTCGCACTCGCCGCGGACGAGGACGCAGTCAGCGGGGACCACGTCGCCGGTCTGGAGCTTCAGGAGGTCGCCGACGAGGAGGTTGTGTATGGATATGAGGGACTCGGCGGCGTCGCGGACCACCACGACCTGCCTGTCCTCGCGCTTCCTGTTGAGCTGCTGGAACTGGAGCTCCTTCTGGTAGTCGTTGGCGGCGGACACGAGCACGACTACGAGCACTGCCATCATGATCGCGAGGCCCTCAATCCAGTCCACCTGCGTGATCGGGTTGCCCTCGGGGTCGAGCTCGGGGGGCTGCGTCAGCACCTCGTAGATGCCGAGCGTGAAGGACACCACGGCGGCACCCGTCAGCAGCAGCATGGTCCTGTCCTGGAACGCCTCGCGCACGAGCGCCCAGAAGCTCTTCGGCGCGCGCTCGGGCAGCCGGTTGCTGCCGTATGCGTCCCTTCTTTTCAAGGGCGGAAGCTCCGCGTCTTTGTCTGTGGCTATACCGTTGGCGAGGTCCGTCGAGAGCCGGCGGGCGAGCGCCTCGGCGCTGCCGCCCACCTGCTCCACGAACGCACCCACCGACTTGGGGCTGTGGAAGTTCATATTGTGTGGCATTGGTAGACCCTTTCGTTGTCCCAGCAACTACGACTGCTTGTATGCACAGCGGCATGAGCCACCTTTATAGCCGAACCTCCCCTCGAAACCAGGAGAGTGACAGTGACCTACTTTTGCACGTCAAGGAGAGTCACACCACAGAACCTCACTGTACACGCACATCACTGCGAACGCCCAGTCCATTTCCAACCAGTATCACCACACACGCACGAAAAAAAAGCAACAAAGATAAGAAGCTCAAAAAGAGTACACCCACACACCGGGAGAATGGGAAATGGGAATACGGGAATACGGGAGCAGAATCCCACAAGCTTCCACAGCCCACAGCCCACAGCCCACAGCCCACAGCCCACAGCCCACAGAGTCCCACAGAGTCCACAGGCTCCTACAGAGTCCAGATTACAAGAACTCCAAGGGCTCCAGCACATGGACCCCTGGGCACAGAAGAGTAAATCCCTCGCTGCTCCGGCTCCGTTCCGAGTCCCACCTCTCCGCAGACGACAGAACCCCAACACACAACCCCCCAACACCCCCCATCACCCCCAGCACCCCCAGCACCCAACACACAACACTCCGCACACGTATACGAGACCCGATTAGGAAACGATAAGAAATCGCTCGGCTTTTGCAAACAAAAATCGCTCGCAGAGGATAAGCTGCTACAAGCTACACAACAAACTACAACGAACTACTACTACAAGCTGCTACACAACAAACTACAACAAACTACAAGCTGCTACTACTACTACTACTACAACAAGCTTCAACTTCAACTTCCACAACAATATGCTGTAATGCTGTAATGCTGTAAACAAGGAACTTCCCGTTTGGGAATTGTTTGTTTGTTGACGAATTAGGAAGTGCGCTATTTTGAACAACAATACGTCATCTGAAAATTTTTTTTCATAGCCCTAGCTGTAGTTGCTGTAGTTGTTGTAGTTGTAAGCTTGTAACTGTTGTAATTGCAATTGCAAACTGGAACTACCCATCCACCCAAATTTCAACTATAAAAGGAGGGTACCTTGCTGGCAGTGGGACAAGAATATTTTTCCCTTCTCGCAAGACACTAACTAAACGGATATACACACACCAACTACTATATACTAAATGTCCGACGTTGAATCCAACAACGAGAAGCCACCTCAGGACGTCTACGAAGACGAGGAGATGTCCGAGGATGACGACATCGACGCCTTGATCGAGGAGTTGCAATCCCACCACGGTATGGGCGACGACGACGACAGCGAGGACGAGGGCCACCACACTGGCTCCGCCCGTGTCGTCCCAGAGGAGTACTTGCAAACCGACCCATCCTACGGTTTGACCTCCGACGAGGTCGCTCACAGACGTAAGAAGTACGGTCTGAACCAAATGGCCGACGAAAGAGAGTCCATGATCGTCAAGTTCGTCATGTTCTTCGTTGGTCCTATCCAATTCGTTATGGAAGCCGCCGCTATCTTGGCCGCCGGTCTGTCTGACTGGGTCGATTTCGGTGTTATCTGTGGTCTGCTAATGTTGAACGCCTGTGTCGGTTTCATCCAAGAATTCCAAGCCGGTTCCATCGTCGACGAACTAAAGAAAACCTTGGCTAACGTCGCCGTTGTCATCAGAGATGGTCAATTGGTCGAAGTCCCAGCTAACGAGGTTGTCCCTGGTGATATCTTGCAATTGGAAGACGGTACCATCATCCCAGCCGATGGTCGTCTAGTCACTGAAAACTGTTTCCTACAAGTCGATCAATCCGCTATCACTGGTGAATCCCTGGCTGTTGACAAGGGTTACGGTGACCAAACTTTCTCTTCCTCCACTGTCAAGAGAGGTGAAGCCTTCATGGTCGTTACCGCTACCGGTGACAACACCTTCGTCGGTAGAGCCGCCGCTTTGGTCAACAAGGCCTCCGGTGGTCAAGGTCACTTCACTGAAGTCTTGAACGGTATCGGTATCTTGCTATTGGTTTTGGTCATTGTCACCTTGTTGGGTGTCTGGGCTGCTTGTTTCTACAGAACTGACAACATCGTTAAGATCTTGAGATTTACTCTAGGTATTACCATTATCGGTGTCCCAGTCGGTTTGCCAGCTGTCGTTACCACCACCATGGCTGTCGGTGCTGCTTACTTGGCTAAGAAGCAAGCCATCGTCCAAAAGTTGTCCGCTATTGAATCCTTGGCTGGTGTCGAAATCTTGTGTTCCGACAAGACCGGTACTTTGACCAAGAACAAGCTTTCTTTGCACGAACCATACACTGTCGAAGGTGTCTCTGCAGATGACTTGATGTTGACCGCTTGTTTGGCTGCTTCCAGAAAGAAGAAGGGTCTAGATGCTATCGACAAGGCTTTCTTGAAGTCCTTGATCAACTATCCAAAGGCTAAGGACGCTTTGACCAAGTACAAGGTCATTGAGTTCCACCCATTCGACCCTGTCTCCAAGAAGGTTACCGCTGTTGTTGAATCCCCAGAAGGTGAAAGAATCGTCTGTGTTAAGGGTGCTCCATTGTTCGTCCTAAAGACTGTCGAAGAAGACCACCCAATCCCAGAAGATGTCCACGAAAACTACGAAAACAAGGTCGCTGAATTGGCTTCCAGAGGTTTCAGAGCCCTTGGTGTCGCCAGAAAGAGAGGTGAAGGTCACTGGGAAATCTTGGGTGTTATGCCATGTATGGATCCACCAAGAGATGACACTGCTGAAACTGTTAACGAAGCTAGAAGACTAGGTTTGAGAGTTAAGATGTTAACTGGTGATGCCGTCGGTATCGCTAAGGAAACCTGTAGACAATTGGGTCTAGGTACCAACATTTACAACGCTGAAAGACTAGGTCTAGGTGGTGGTGGTGACATGCCAGGTTCTGAATTGGCTGACTTTGTTGAAAACGCCGATGGTTTCGCTGAAGTTTTCCCACAACACAAGTACAAGGTCGTCGAAATTTTGCAAAACAGAGGTTACTTGGTTGCTATGACTGGTGACGGTGTTAACGATGCCCCATCTTTGAAGAAGGCTGACACTGGTATCGCTGTCGAAGGTGCTTCTGATGCTGCTAGATCCGCTGCTGATATTGTTTTCTTGGCCCCAGGTTTGTCTGCTATCATCGATGCTTTGAAGACCTCCAGACAAATTTTCCACAGAATGTACTCTTACGTTGTCTACCGTATCGCTTTGTCTCTTCACTTGGAATTGTTCTTGGGTCTATGGATTATCATCTTGAACCACTCCTTGGACATTGAGTTGATTGTTTTCATTGCCATTTTCGCCGACGTCGCTACTTTGGCCATTGCTTACGACAACGCTCCATTCTCTCAAACTCCTGTTAAGTGGAACCTACCAAGACTATGGGGTATGTCCATTATCTTGGGTATTGTGTTGGCTATCGGTACCTGGATCTGTTTGACTACCATGTTCTTGCCAAGAGGTGGTATCATCCAAAACTTCGGTTCCATTGACGGTGTTCTTTTCTTGCAAATCTCTTTGACTGAAAACTGGTTGATTTTCGTCACCAGAGCCGTTGGTCCATTCTGGTCTTCCATCCCATCCTGGCAATTGGCCGGTGCTGTGTTCGCCGTTGACATCATTGCTACCATGTTCACTCTATTCGGCTGGTTCTCTCAAAACTGGACCGACATTGTCACCGTTGTTAAGATCTACATCTGGTCTATCGGTGTCTTCTGTGTCTTGGGTGGTTTCTACTACATCATGTCTGAATCCGTTGTTTTCGACAGACTAATGAACGGTAAGCCATTGAAGGAAGAGAAGTCCACCAGATCTGTCGAAGATTTCTTGGCTGCTATGCAAAGAGTCTCCACTCAACACGAAAAGGAAAACTAATCGTGTTAGTGGCAAACTTTCCAATGAGATTTTTCTTCATTTCTGTTTAATTCTTTCTCCTTTTCTGTTGTACTAATTCTAATTTTGATTTTTTTTCTATCTTTGTTTTTCCGGGAACTTATACGCATTTGGCGTTGTCCTTAATACTGAATAAACAAAAAAATCATGGATTTCTTTCAATCGTTTTTGAAAGTTCGTTGCTAATTGACGTGTGAGCTAATCTCCCTTGCCAATTCTTTTCCGTACTAAACTTTTGAGCTATGGGTAAAATCACTTCATTAATTGAAATTAATAATTCTTAAAACACACACACACAATACCTTTTATTAATTTTTCTTAATTAGGCGATTCTTTTCTATCTCAATCGATTGATACAACTCACCTGTTGGCAGGTTTTGTTTAACTCACAACCATGGTTATTAGCAGCAGATCATCCTTTTTTTGGGAAATCCTTAATCTCTCGTTTTGTTTACCTTGACAACGTCAGTGTAGAATCGTTATTAATATAGAAGCAAGCACATTTATTTTATTCTTTTTTATCATTACCATATTATAATTTTTGAAGCACAGTAATATTATTTTATTTTTTTAAACATGCACACACTTTTAATAATAATAAAAAATATATTTATTTTATAAACATATTAACCATCATATCAGATCGTCCTGTATAAGATCCGTCAAAATTCCACCCAACCAAGGGCCTGTCAAGTATGGTTCTCCATTATACTAGTTAAGTCTCAGATCACATCATACGAGCTGCAAATTTTTCTTTTCGCAGGAAGTCAGAAGTTACAGCGCGCAGCGAGGGAAGTTCCATCAGAGTAACCCAAACCGAGTCGATGAGCTATTGTCTTGCTAGCCTCTCTTGGGATCAGAATCCAGGACCCCCCCAGCTTAGTGGCCGCTCTTCCTGAATAATGCCGCTGTGGTTACAATGTAAAGCACTGGCAGCGGTCAGCTACTTGATTTACCATACTATTTCTGTTCTGGAGACATAGAGATCAAACAGTAAGTAAAGAAGAACGACCAGGACTTTAGGGAAATATTATTATCCTTCAACTATAAATTGACTTCGAGAAGAGATATTAGGAGGTAAGAAGCATAATTTAAACACTCTGACGTAATCATACACAAAACAACTAGTTAGTGTTCTAAGAAAGCTTTTTTCATTAAACTGCTGCTCCCGTTAAACTTTTTTTTGTACATTATTTGTTTTCAGTTCCATTATTGTAAATTATTGATTAACAGTTGAACTATTCTAAGTTGTACTTTTATTTTTGAAGCCAGATCTACTTTTCAAGAACCATTCCGTTTTTATTATTTTCATTTCAAGTTCTAAGGCTACTTGTTTTATCGAATCAACACTCTCCTTGGAAAAACATATTCATTGTACATTAGAATACAGAAAGATTAGAAAGTGTTACTGATCCAAACTCATATTAATTGCATTTCATTACCAACATAACATTATAATCAATTTACCTAATTTGCACCTATCCTTGTATTTTAAATCATGACAGATAAGACTCAGAATCAAGAAAAAATTGATGACAAAGTTGTTGCAGAAACTGTAAACTCAGCTCTAGAGCAACTACATATGGATGATGTTGAATCACCAGAACCACCAGCTACGGGTGATCAACCAACTCAGCATGCACCAACGGCCATGCAATCTACCTCTCCATCACACATGTTCCCACCACCACAAATGTACGGTTTTATGCCCTATTCGCAAATGATGCACATGCCACATCCACAGGGGTTTTTCCATCCACCAGAATTCCAAGAAAATATGCCCAATCCCAGTGGCAATGGAAGAATTCCAACTGTGTTCAATAACTCCAATGATGCTTCAATGTTTCCGCCTCTCGGTGCTTCATTCCCACCTCTTGGAGTGGTCCCAGATGGAGAAAACAGCACTGGTATAAATGATCCATTTGTTCCAAGTAATGATCAGTTGTGGAACTCATCAAACCTACAAGCCTCAGCTGCTATTGATGTCGCAGGCAACACAGGTGCTGTTCCAGAAGATAATGGATCAAAACTAACTGAAAAAGATGCAGCACCAACTGCTGGCGCATTTAGAAGACAGACATTTCATGCAATTTCTACTAGTACTATTAGTGACTCAGCAATATCTGACGGTATTCCAACGTCTGTAAACGACCTACCAGAAAAGAATTTTGAAACTGCCAAGAATAGAACACAATCTATTTCTTTCGATAAAGCTGATTCAACGCTATCTGAAGGAAAAGACACGAAAGACACCGAAAAGGGTACCAATGCCACTGCAGATATTCAAAACGTCCCAGTGAACTACACAGCCGCATATCCATATGGAGGACCTCCATTTCAAGGCAGTCCCGTTCCAGGGGTTGGTCCACACCAGATACCTCATTCAGGCTATGGTGTAAGATCGCCGTTCCCAGGTGCATTTGGCGATTTCGGCGCTCCATTCCAGTCATTTTCACCAACTTTAGGAGGCCCAGCTCCTCCTATGCATCCACATTCCCCAATTCCTATGACCCACTCACCTATTCAAATAGGCCCAATGCCTGAGTTTATGAAAGGTATGCGTCCTGAATCGGGAGAAGGAAAAAAGGATGAGAATGTTGCCATGATTCCACAAGGGTTTCCTGTCATGCAACACCAGCAAAATGGAACTCCCCCACCATGGATGTATGGTAACCCAGCATTTAATGGCATGATGCCTCACTCAGCAGGGATGAATCAGGGCCCTCAATCTCAATATCCAAGATCAAAGGATGGCATGCACGACAAGCACGACAAAGGCCATTACAATAACAGACATAGAGGTAGAAGAAACAACAATTATTACAACCATGAAGACAGACAAAGAAAAATGGATAACTCTCAATACGCTGATGCGACATTAGACCAATTTATTGGAAACATTTATTCGTTATGCAAGGACCAACATGGCTGCAGGTTTTTGCAAAAACAACTTGATGTCCTTGGTAAAAAAGCATCGGATGCTATTTTCGAAGAGACCAAAGAATACACTGTGGAATTAATGACTGATTCTTTTGGTAATTATTTGATTCAGAAGCTTCTTGAAAGAGTTACAGACGACCAACGTGTCGAACTTGCCAAAATAGCTGCTCCAAAAATGGTTGAAATTTCGAAGGATCCACATGGTACTAGAGCACTTCAAAAGCTCATCGAATGTATAAGCACCAAAGAGGAAGCCGAAATTGTCGTTAAATCCTTGCAACCCGATACTGTTATTTTAAGTAAGGACTTAAATGGTAATCATGTAATTCAAAAATGTTTGCAGAAGTTGAATCCAGAAGATTCACAGTTTATCTTCGACGCTGCTGGCAATGAATGTGGTGAAATAGCCACTCATAGACATGGGTGCTGTGTATTACAGCGTTGTTTGGATCACGGAACCAAGACTCAATTTAAAGACCTCTGTGAAAAGCTACTGAAATATATCGACATGCTAACCTTTGATCCTTTTGGTAATTATGTGGTTCAATATATTATCTCCAAAGAAACGGAGAGAAATGATTATGACTACACTTACAAGATAGTCAATCAATTGAAACCTAGATTTACCGAACTTTCGGTACATAAGTTTGGATCCAACGTTGTTGAGAAGGTATTAAGAACTCCTGTAGTATCAGAAACTATAATAAATGAACTGATCAACGAAGGTAGTGCTGAGGTTCAAGCTCTGTTAAACGATAGCTTCGGTAACTATGTGCTACAGACTGCATTGGATATTAGTCGCGACACAAATCCTTATATGTATAAGAAATTGGTTGACTTGGTTACACCACTACTAGTTGGTAATATTAGAAACACTCCTCACGGAAAAAGGATAATGGGTATCCTTAATATTGAATAAACCCAAACAGTTTTGCTGTTAGAATCTTCATTCAGAATCGAAGGGTTTTTCTTTTATAAGTTATAATTTGTACAATACGTTTTAATAATCATCATATATTAAACTACAATTTTTTAATGAGAGATATTGTAGTGTTATCGCTAATTTGAGGTAGTCTAAGTCTCATGTAAAATTATGCAACATAACCACTAAAAAATGATTTTTCAGATTAAATATAAAATTATACAGGCTATGCACACTGTCTAAATTAATAGCATCACAAGTAAACATCAGAAAATAGGTCACCCCATAGGCTATTATAGAGTTCATTCAAATCTCCCTTGTTAACAAACTCATCTAAAGTTCCCAAATTATAAGTGGTTTGCTGATCCAATCCATTTTGATTATAAACAGGAGGGAATGGAACGTTGATCTCCCCAGTGGGCACGTCAGAGACAGAATCAATTGGTGTATAAGCCTCGAGAGATGGAACACTGTCTTTAGAATCCAACTGCGTTTGATTCCTTAAGCCCGATAAGGGAGATGCAGTTAGTGTATCAGTTGAATTTACCCTCGCCGACCCCATTGAAGCTTTCTTCTTAGCACTATTGTCAGAAACAGCGGTGGTGGTATCTGAGACATTGGTACAGGAAGGCATTGACTTGCTAAATTCACCATTGCACTTTTTAATGGCCTCTGAGTCCAAATTGCGGTCGTAATTGAAGTCCATCATTCTAGCGTCTTCAAGAATTTTTTTGAATGACAACGTAAAACCAGATTTCTTAATCTGCTGTAACAATGAAAAATATAAGCAAGAGTTTGGATCTAGAAGCATCGGAGGTAGATCTGCAAGGTCAGGGCATACTTCAGAAAACTTCTCAATAAACTCTACCTTCGTCAATTCTTTAATTTGCATAAATTCGATTATCATCAATCTTGAAATTATCGTAATAAAGGAAAAAGATCTAGAAAAATCTCTGAATGTATGACTATCGGCAAGGCTGCATACTTTGGCACTCTGCAAAAACATTCCTAGGTTAAGAAATCTTTTATATACTGCAACCATCATCTTGACATCATCCATTTCCATATTCCTCACAATAAGGAAAGTCTGCGTAGCTAAACACAGACATGATGGTGCATAATATTCGAACGTTGTTGCAATTGAATAATCGTTGTCCATACTTAGGATAATTTCATTCATTACTTTCCAGTGCTCATATAGTCTGTTAAGATGCCCCTTCATGACTGATATTAGCCAATCTGATTTTGGTTTCACCATTAGTCTAGCAATTAAATTGTCTGCCATATTGATTAGCCTGAATCTGTGATATTCATAACTCAAAGTAAATTTGCTAGCTGCTGCTGTATCTTCTTTATTGATTTTATCTTTGGTCACCTTACCTAATGCAATATCCCATAGTTTTGCAGTTTGCTTTCTGATTGCCTCATATGATGTCTCTGTATAAGCTATACCATCCACAATTTCCTTAATTAATTGGTTTTTTAATGTCGGCGGTTTCGCGGAATTTCGAATAGAAGTGTATCTATCAGCATATAAAAATTTTTCATGAAACTCACTGGTAACTATTGTAAGGGCCAACTCACCGTATTTACAAAGGACAGAAATTGGAACATCGGAAAACACACTAAGATCCATTGGCTTTTGAATATTTTCTAGAAACTCCACCCTATCCAGATAGCCAAAGTTTCTAAAAATCTTAGGTAATAAACAGTTGACAGTAGCATCATCAATCACAGAAAAAAAACCCTTCTTCATAGTACTGGCTTTTTCATAATTGTATAACTTCCACCATAGTAGCCGCCTCTTTTCAGCAGTCGACTCTTCATAGCCGACGTAAAACTCCCAACGGTGGAAACCCATTTTTTTAGCATTTGCAACAGCTACATTCAAGACCTTTTCAAAACCATAGTATTCGTCGAGAGCAAGCTGTTCTTCAAGAAGAAGCAACAGATGTTCCATGTATTCAATATTAGTCCCAAATTCAAAGAAACTGTATAACGTCAGATTATAATAGTTATAGCATAATGCTAAGAGCATTTCTTCCGCTTCACACAAAGATGTGAACTCAGCTACAGTTACTTTACCATCATTTTGTTCGCCTTCGGATTTTTCTGTGACAATGGAATCGTAATCGCTCATAACAGAGTCAAATTTTCGCCTTATAGACTTACACATGTTCAGCAATGTTCCAAACATTTTTGACTCGTCATCTCGAAGATCTAATAGTTGAAGACTCGACACATTAGTTACACTCTCAATAAACGGTTGCGGTATTCTCTCTATTATCTTACTTACCAAGCTCTTTGTACTAGCACTTTGTGGACTTCCATAGGACGACCTTGGTGTAGGAGTCATAGGCATTAGATGTTTTTTTCGTAAATATGTTTCTAACGGGTTGGCAATCGATATCGACTCTTCATTGATATGGTGAACACATATATCAATAAACCGTAGTATAATATATAAGGTCTCTTTCATCAGTTTTATCGCTTCCTCAGTTTTCATATATGGCTCATAAAGGTGAACACAGTAACCAAGACCTTGCAAAGAAAAGGCCTCTACCTGGGAATACAACCCAAACAATTCATCGACCAATGGCTGATTAGAAGCAAAAAAAGATTCTGCAAGACTAAATCCACACTCTCCCATAAAATGATTGTTTTTGTTCGCATTTTTATAATCTATCCATATCCTAAATCTTGTTAAATGAACGTGATTAGTGTATTTATTCCTCAGCAAGTTTGTTTCAAGTGACTTAGTGGTGGCACTTTCATTAATCTTTGCTTTCTCGAAATCTACCTCTGGTTTCCAGTTGTCTAAAATGTTTCTAAGTTGTAACTCAATGGCGTCAATGGATGATTTTATCGAACTGGGTGCATTTTGAAGTGATTTGAGTTCATTAACTGCCTGTGTTAGTTTATTAACCGTGCTTTCAATATGTGTATCATCTTTGTATATAATCAAAGGATCACTTTTATTGTCTTTACTTTTGACATTCTCGCTGTCACTCCCTTTCAAGTCCCTTTCTTCCGAGTCACCATTCCTCATATCATCTGTATCTGATGACTGTAGTAGCCGATCATCTCTTAAGTTAGATTCTTTGAATGTTGAGGACATAGGAGTTTCAGAAAGACCTCTATGGCATTGAGTATTAACCGCTAGTGGATTACCCACAACATTGTTCTGTGGTGCTCCACATTGTGGATATCCATTCAATATATTCTCGGAGGGGAACCTGGGACCAACATGAATATTAGCATTAATAGGGACATACTGCTGCTCTAATTTCCTAATATCTTTGTCGACTCTAGTAGTTTCTTTATTCTTTGATACTCTCCCTGTTGGTTTTGATTTACCTGCATCATTTGATTTGAGATTTTTTGTCGATTTTGCATCAGTATATGTACATTCACAGCCATAGATTGTACAAGATGGACAAGGTTTTAGCCCATTACATTTTATTTTCCTCCTTCTACAGCTATCACAAGCTTTTCCAACTTTTGTTCTTCTTGTACTAGGCTTCTGTGCTTTGACTTCCCCTGGATTTGATTTTGATGTAGTTTCTAATGTTTGCATATTCTCTCAATAACGTAGCTAAAGAATGACTTTACCAATATATTCTAAAAAAAAAGGCAGAATAAAACACTAATTCCATATCACAATGGCAATACGATATGGGGTACGAAGTAATGGAAGTTTGAATGTGTTACTTAAAAATTGTTTAAGTAATAACAGCGCCTCTATGCTTGTTATTATCCTGAAAACCAAGCAAGTGTGGGCACGCTTTTCTCCAAGCAAAGTTAATACTTCTTCTTCAACCAAATGTTTTATAGTTTCAAGTGTCTTTGATTACCAAAAATTTAAAACTATATGTGATTTCTGTTACTCAACTAAATAGATAAATCAATATGGTCTTTTCCTACAACAGACCTTAATGTATTTGCTTTTTCCTTTAAAATCCATTTGGTTGGTATATATGTTCGGATTCTATGAATACGCCATCGAAATAATTTTTACAACAATAAAGATGACTATTAGAAGGACCTAATACCTAGTTTTACCCACAATTATAATGATCAACGCAATACCTGCTTATCCACTTAGATCAATAGGAAAAGCCATCTTTCCACGGAATAGGAGGCTCATCGGGACAACTCAGGTGTAGTACTGACGATCAGGATATGGTTTTGCCACTTAAAATTTGAACGTAACCTAATCTACGAGGTAGAAAATGAAGCACAGAGAAATAATCCTTATAGCACATTTTGCTCCGTGGAATGAGTCTACAAATACTGGGGTCTTTGTCTGGTTGCGGGAAACGGACAACTCCAAAAGAAATACAAAAAAAAAACAAAAAAGGAAGAAAGAAAAGAAACTGATAATACAAGCCAACAAAATAACCTCAGTATGCTCAGACCTTGACACTGCATCGTTATGATACTCGTGCAAGATTTGTAATTTTTTTAGTGTAATTTGTTGCAGAGACTAGAAATTGCTGAAGTAAAAGATTAGATCTATGAGGAAATGTTTGTTACGATGTATAATAATGCTTCAGCTTTTCTTTTTTTTTTTCTGCTGTTTTTTTCTTAATGTACTAGTATTTCATTTTTTCTAAGTTTTCTTCTGTATGGGTACAATCAACAATTATTGCTTTCATCTCAGTAGTGTAAAGATACCCACTTGAAAAAGGAAAAGAACTAACGAAGTCTTTCATTTCAATTTTAGATTCAGATGATTATTCGGCTTATATCAAAAAATAATAACAAAACTAAAAAAGGAAAATATCTTTAAAATCGGACCCCCACCATTGTGCCTTCATCAAACGCATATATATATCCAAACTCAGATTACCGGCACCCAGCCACCTAGATAATGCTTGTGGCATTATTTTTATCATAGTTTCACCATATATATATATTTTTCAAATTGATTTTATCATACCCGATGATAGTTAAAATTCTGTTGCATCTTCCAATTGACAATAAAAACAGTATAAAATAGAAAAAAAAAAATCACAGAAAAACAGCAAACAGACCTGCTTTCTTTGAAGTTGTAATTGATCTGTTTCTTTTACAATTTTTTTTGTAGATCCTATAACCTGTAGCGGAGACCAAGTTCTGGTATGACCTTATACTAGCATTAGTATTCCCAACAGTATGAGTAGTAAATCTAATAGCACTAGTAAAAAGCCTGGAGTAAAAAAAAACAGCAAAAATATTGCTATATGAAAATGAGACCTAGTGATAAGGACATAAAAAATAAAATCTAAAGATAAAAACCAATCACTATTGCACTTTAAACGCAAACAGAAAAAGCAACGACAAAAAAACCAAAGAAATAACGAAGGTAGGCACACCACTGCAAGAGTCCTGATTTTGGGAGACACGGGAAAGAAAGAACAAATATCAACCCAGAAACCAGTTTTTCCATGCGCTATTTATACATTTTAGTTTAGCCGCCAAACTCCCCCTGACACAAAAACAAACAATTTAGAGACAAAAAAAAGGGGGGGCGGGTGGAACGGAAATAAATTGCCGCCGTTCACTCACTACGCCCTTTCTTTCTCGATGTATATTCATGTTCACCTGTTCATGGGTCACCGTGGTAGCGCCTAGAGATCTAGCAGGGCCAACAGATGTGCAACCTAGCAATCAACAAAAGATCACCCCCGCCTGTAATTACTCAAGAGCCTAAATATAGTACAGAGAGGAAAACCGCGCATCATTACATGCTTAGTCTCTGCTCACTTCCCCTTCCTTCTCTTTTCAGTACATAGAGACATACAGCATATCGCCCCGGTTATCTCCGCTCAAACTCCGCTAACTGAGCAACAGACAGCAAAGGAGTACAACAAGATAGTGTGATAGCCGAGAAGGAGAATGCGGGTCCAGAAAAATTCCCGCACAGACACCCCATTTCCCTAACTTGGTAACTTTAGCGCCTGCTGCTAAAACACTGTTCCCCTAGGACGACTAGGGCCGAAGTGAAAACACACAGAGAGATTTTTGAGGTATTTGAAGGGATGCTGGCGAGTCTGAGTATTATTCTCTTCTTGGCGATCGATACTTCCAAGCATTAGACCAGGTACCCCAACGAATTAGATTCTAGTGTTGGCTTAGTTAAGACTCCCCAAGGTGCCTGTGTGCCTGTATCCTCTTCGCTACCTTAGATAGCAGTTGAGCTTTTCCAAGCGGTTGATCCATAACTTAAGTCAACTCACCCGAATTATCGCTAAAGCTTTTGAAGAACTATTCTCGGTCAAAAAATAAACCTAGGAATCTACGGGCTTATAATGTTTTACTTAGTAGGTGATTCAAAAGTCAACGCACCAGAGTGACTTACCATATTCAACTTGATAACTAAAAGTTTATGGGGATAAAAGCAATCTATAATAATATATTATGACAAACATATCAGACTAAAAGAATAAAAAAAAATCTATTATGACCACATGATGTAATTAAATGATAGAAGAGTTTGCGATCGAGTAAGATAACTACACAATGAAGACATTACCAACACAATAATCGGTGGGGTATAGATTTTGTTGTTCTGTAAGTCAAGAATTACACTAGTCATTACAATTAAATTTCGGCGTATGCGTTGAATGTAATCCCGTAGTATAACTATATATATATCATCGTGATCAATCGATATATCCGAAGATTGAAAGCTAGATTTGTAAAGTATTACTATGTGTCACGAGAAAGTGACAATAGGAGGTCCCTTGTTCTCCCCACGGAGGAAATCCTAGCATTAAGATTGAGAGGTTATTAATACTTGGAGTAAAGGTAACAATCAATTGAATTCATGTTGACAAATTGATGAAAATGACGTGGGAAAGTGTTTACATTTTTCATTAGTTCAAGGAATTTTTTTGTATCCGAGGAAGGTCGCTCGTTTAGCAATTTTTTTCTTCTCCAGTGATAAACATAAACGTATATACAATGTAGTTTGTCTTGACAATGTGATAGGTTTAATACTTATATAAACCCCACTATTGAACTTAATTTGCATTATTGTAACATCCTTGTATTTATTATTGGGTCAATTCATCAAAAGCGGACTTGTACCAAGACAGACACTTTTTTTGAGATCAACAATGAGCGGATCGAAAGAAGAGAAGAAGACTCAATCGACCGGATTTCTTCCACAAGGTAAGTACTTGAAACCTGAGGAAATCGAATATGAATTTGGTGGCACAGCAGGTGTGCTGGGTATGCTAATTGGCTTCCCATTGTTAATGTATTACATGTGGATATGTGCTGAATTTTATGGTGGTAGAATTGCGTTACCAGCTCAGAACGAAACTTGGGCCCAATTCATCGGCAAACTTTACCATATATTCTGTGACAATGCTATCCCAGAAAAGTATGATCTCGTTATCTTCTTTACTTTTTGGGCTTTCCAAATCTTCTTCTATTACACTCTGCCAGGTGTTTGGACCAAAGGTCAACCATTGACCCACTTGAAGAACAAGCAACTACCTTACTACTGTAATGCTATGTGGACATTATATACCTCTACTGCATTAGTTGTTTTGCTACATGTTACTGGTGTATTTAAGTTATACACCATTATCGACAGATTTGGAAGAATAATGACTTGTGCCATTGCATCTGGCTTTGCCTTTTCCATTGGTCTTTACATCTGGACTCTATTTGTTACCCATGACTACCATAGAATGACTGGTAACCATCTTTATGATTTCTTTATGGGAGCTCCATTGAACCCTAGATGGGGTATCCTTGACTTGAAGATGTTCTTCGAAGTTAGACTACCATGGTTTACTCTATATTTTATCACTTTAGGTGCTTGTTTCAAGCAATATGAAACATATGGCTATGTCACCCCTCAATTAGGTGTCGTCATGTTAGCCCACTGGCTGTACGCTAACGCTTGTGCTAAGGGTGAAGAATTAATCGTGCCAACTTGGGATATGGCTTACGAAAAATTCGGGTTTATGTTAATTTTCTGGAATATCGCAGGTGTTCCATACACATACTGCCACTGTACTTTGTACTTATACTACCATAATCCATCTGAATATAACTGGTCATGGCAATACAACCTATCTTTATACGTGGTCCTTCTAACAGCTTACTATTTCTTTGACACCACCAATGGTCAAAAGAACTCCTTCAGAAAACAAATGTCTGGCGATAAGACTGTCAGAAAGACCTTCCCATTTTTGCCATACCAAGTGTTAAAGGATCCAAAGTACATGGTCACTTCCAATGGATCATATTTGCTAATTGACGGTTGGTACAGATATGCCAGAAAGATTCATTATACTGCTGACTGGACCCAATCTTTGATCTGGGCTATGTCTTGTGGTTTTAACTCTTTCTTCCCATGGTTCTTCCCAATTTTCTTCTTTGTTGTATTGATTCACAGAGCTCTAAGAGATCAAGCTAAGTGTGAGAAGAAGTACGGCAAGGACTGGGTTGAATACTGCAAGCATTGTCCATATTTGTTCATTCCATACGTTTTCTAGATGCCATAAAGAAAAGATGCATTATAACCCTTTCCATAATGGTTAAATGAAAAATATGCACGTCATGAAATAATCATGTTTATAAACTATATAAAGTATATTTATATATTATTGTTGTTAAAGATTAACGATCAATCAATATTCAAATCTCACTGCAACCGAAGAAAGAAAAGCGATAAGGAAAAACGGTTCATGGGAACTATACAGAATTTTGCTATTTTGAGAGTTACGTTGCTAATGAAACTTGGGATTGCGTAATACATAACATCTTATTATGAAGGTGACTATAAACTATATATTCTAGTATTGCAATTCTCAATCTTGTTCTGCAATGGCGACTAATCTTTCTTCGATCTCATCTGGAGTCAATATGATGAATTTGTTCTCGGTAGCAACACCAATCTCTAGGTCCTTTTTGGAAAATTCGGTTCCTAGGGAATCAATCATCTGTGTAATTCCGAATTCAACGACTTTCTCCCATTCTTCCATATCCAAGTGAGAGCCAACATTTTTTTTCTTGTAGTAGTTCTCTAGACTTGTAGTTAGCTCCTGTTGTTTTGGACCAGTAGCAGTAGCTTTGTAACCAACATAATAACCAGCTGGATCACACTTGTAGATGGAAGGGCCTAATTCTTCGTCAACAGAGATAAAAGTTAATATGACTCCTAGGGGTCTCATATATGCTCTTTGTGTGTATATCTGTGAAAGGTTAGCCATTCTCTTAGCTAAAACATCGCAAGGCATGTCGTAACCATATTTGTAACGAAACTCAGCTGCTTCACCCTTGGCCCTTGCGGCTGCGTTTCTAGCATCTGGAATAGGGCCGTTGGCGACCATACCAATTGTTTTCGATATCTTGAAAATGTATGACACTGTGGAAGGGTCTAGCAATTTGTCCGGTACTTTCTTTTGATTGATTATAACACTGCAGTTTTTTCCTCTAACTGCTAGCGAGTTCAAGTTTGTCTGATTTGTAGCCTTGAAAGCATATTCAACTTGGTATAGACGACCTTCCGGTGAGAAAATTGTAATATGTCTATCATAACCAGCAGCAGAAGCAGCAGCAGCACCTCCAGACATTGTGTAATAAACTATTTAAATGTTGTTTTTGACAAAAGTGGAGAAATACGAAAACACAAACCCTTTATATTATCAAAAGTTTCTTTTCGTTATCACCTAACTTATAACTGATCCTCACTCAATTGCTAATTACTGTTATAAGTGACACACAATTAAATAAATTCTTGCACAATATATTCAAGTAATTAAACTTTTCGATGGAGCACAATTACAATGCCCTTCAATGTAAATGGGCTATTACTCTTGTTGGCCATTATACGTTTCGAAGTGGCAAGAAGTGCCGATTTTACTTTGTCGTTCATAGGCATGAAACAGGAGTACCATTTCGTATCAAATATGGCAAACATAGCGATCACATGATTAGAAGTTATCTGATCTGTAATGTATTTATTTCATTATTTTAAGAAATACAATACCATCAAACCAAGCGCTTGTTCTTACAACAAGCAATCTTTCTGTTGGTTGGTTACCAGGCAAAGGCATAGCAATTTTTTTAGTCCTTATTAATTTTCATTGTCTTGCAGTATTCCGTTGGCCAGAAAAACGATATAGTATATTTTTATTGGATTTGGAAGTGGCTTTTCTTTGAATATGAAATGCATTACACATTGCTTTTTACGCCCACTCCACCCAATTATGAAGTACTCGAAATTTAATGTTTGGTAACTTTATTCAAAACTTACAGAAGAATACCAAAAATTTTCCCATAATGATCAAAGAATAAACTTTAATACAAGACGTATTTGCACAGCGGTAACAAATGTGTGTAGCAATTATTCTATTTAGCACGTAGACCCACAACATACTGTATCAAACAACAAGAGCCTTCTTTAAGAAATGTTGCAGTGACTATTTTAGTCATGTGACATTTCGTAATTTATGTCTGAAAAAACATAAAAGTAGCGCGAGATTTTGCACCTTGAGATGCTCTTTGCGATGGCCATCGAGAAATTGGTGAGAAATGTGTCAAAACGCACCCAATTAAATTGCTTATGATTGTTGTTCTGTAGACATTATTCCGATTAATATTGTGTTGATTGAATTCTCATTTGACAATACTGTCATTGCTCTTTCGTTAGCGTTATTTATCACAGCCACTTCTGAATATCTTATAATCATATTTTGCTGGGTGTCATTAATACAAAAAGGCTATTATACAATATATCTGGAAATATAGAGGCTCGATGAGTTCTGTGGAAGAAGTAGTCAATCTCATTGAGGAGTTGTATTCTCCAAAACCCAATAGAGATCTTAACGAGATCCAACAAGTGTTGCAAGGAATACAGAAATCAGGTGATGGGTTGATCCTGGGTAGTGCCTTATTGTCAGGGCCATATTCCACCAATGTCAAGTACTTTGGTGCGCTCACGTTAGCTGTACAGATTAACATGCATCATGATGATCTAAAGAAAGAAGAGTTTGGGTTCACTTTATTTAGGTTGAATTTAGCTTTCTTAGTTCAATACTTTGAAAATGTAGTCAATGATCCCTCAGCATTATCATCATATTCTATTGTAATTAAGAAACTAATGTCCAATCTTTCAATACTATTTGTGAGTATCAATAATAATAACCCATCAGAGAACGATTTTATTGCTAGTTGGAATAACCCACTAAACACACTGATTAATTTGTCAATTGCTAGCAGTCAGATGAGCACCGATCAGAAATCTCACTGGTATGGCACAAATAACAACTCTGAATCCGACAAGATTATTTTAGACACTATCAACTCTGAAGTACCATATAATCAGCTAATTGAATTTATTAGCTCATCTCCAGTGAGGAACCAATTGTCCTTGCTATTTACTGAAATTCTGGTCGAGGACTTGACTAAATTCCAAACTCAAAAACATGCAATGAATTCTATCCATGGTGTCGTTCATGAACACTTATACATCTCAACCATGGCTTTAATTATCTTTAACCTATCAAACTTAGACGCTACACAATTGCATGACAACCTATTTAACTGTATCAATGCTTGGATAAACTATATTTCTATTAGCAGGCAAGTTTCACCCCAGGGCAGGATGGATTTGAGCGAACTGCTTGAATCATTACTAAAAGTCATGCTTCAATCTAATGAAAATGAACAATATGGTAGTGCTGAAAAAGTAATATCAATCTTTTCGCATATTTTCTCGAATGACCCTCTACTTATGAATTTCGAACTACGTAGCAGATTGGAAACAATTTTTTTAGGTGTTTCTCATGGAGACACTAACGCTGACAAGTCCCAATATCAATGGATGTTGGCATATATGAACTATTTGGTAACAAATGAGATGTACTCAGAATTGAAGGATTTATCCATTTGTGTATGCGATTTCTTGCAAATCAATACTTTGGACCTATGCAACAAATTATTTACAACAATTCAAACACAAGATCAGGCTGCATCTGATAATACACAAGAATACATAAAGGTTTTGTTACAATTGACAAACTTTCCTTTGCACCCTGTTTCTCAGGAATCCTTTTCACTAAAAATGGTTGATTTTTGGTTGGACCTAGCTGAAGGTTACTCTAATTTGGCCCTTGAATCATTGAAACCGAACTCTCAACAGTTGTCAATTGAGATTTTTCAACAAGTGATTAATATTTATGTTCCTAAGATATCTCTTTCTAACAAGAAGTTATTCCTTGAAATGGGAGAAGATAAAACTGTACTCAATGAGTTCGAAGATTTTCGTAATGCGGTTGCTGATTTAACTCAATCCCTATGGTTAGTACTTGGCAATGAAAACTTAACTAATGTGCTTATTGCTGGTGTCGGATCTACTGAAATCGCAAGTGAAACTGAGCTTTTCAATATTGAAACAATGTCATATCTGTTGGAAAAGTTATTAAAGGACATCAATATTCCAGAGAGTCTCTGGGTCCTAGACGTCTTAGAAGCAGCTAAGTTCTTAGTTGCAAATGTCCAAACCCTATTAAGGACAGGTTTGGATAATAGTGGACCTCTGTCAATTGACTTTGTGAGGTCGAGTACAACTTTGATGAGCTCTTTGTCCGGCTTTTATAAGGAGAATCCCGAGCAAATTGGTGGTACTATTGAGATTTTAGTCCAAGGTCTTGAAAAATGTGCATTTTCTACTGGGGGAGCAAACGCCTTTACTAAAGTCGAGAGCATGCTAGTTAAGACCATTTCGACACTTTGCTCAGTTTGTAGAAAAGAACTGTATCCCTATTTGGACAACTTCACCTCATTTTTGCATAGTATCATGTCTCCTGACAAGCAAAGCTCCGATTTTACACGCCGCAGTCTTACACGGTCAATCGGGTATATCATTCAAGGTCAGTTTGAGAACGGGCCGGATGCTCAAGGCGGCAATATTGACAAATTAGTCATGATGTTCAATAATCTAATAGAGCAAGCTTTGGGATCGGGCCTATCTATTCAAGAAAAACAGAACTATATCCAGTGTGTCCTTGACTGTATCTCCGAACTAGGTAACGGTCTTGTATATCCACAAGAAATGGACGATCCCAAGGTAATCCAATTGCTGCCTCCGTACCGTGAGTATTGGAACACCGATCCGTTAGGTATCAGGGCCAAGATCATGCAGATAATCGAGAAGGTTTTACAGAATCCGTATTTCCAGAAATCGTCATCTTTGATTGAGGCCAGCTGTCTGATCCTTGGGAAATCGTTGACGCTACCCGAAGAAGAGCCATATTTCTTGCGTTATAGCATGAACGAGATCATCAATTTTGTGTTTACACATCTACAGACCTGTGACATAGCTCCGGCGCTTCCCTTCTTTGTGTACTTGTTGGAGAACTTGTTCAGTTGTTATAAAGCGACAATGACCTCTGCCGAGTTCGACGTCATCTTCGAGCGAGTCATGATCAGTAATTACCACCAAGTTATAGTCCAGGACCCTGACTCATTGCAAACATGTGTCAATTTTGTCAACAGTATCCTGGACACCAAGCCCGGCATAGCGGTGTACTCACAATACTGGTCCAGCTTTATCCTGAAAGAGTTTTTACAACTACTGACTCACAAGGAGAAGTTCACGATTGTTGCGGTGACAAAATTCTGGACTAAAGTGGTGAACAACAAGAAGTACACGAGGGAAGAGCTCGAGATCACCCGGCAGCAAGTGGCCGCTGTTGGTGCGCAACTCACCGCGCATGTCATGGCTGGTCTGTACCACACCCAGAGGTCAGATCTCAACGCATACACCGAGCTTATCCGTACGCTGGTGGCCAAGTTCCCGATAGAGTTCAAGAGCTGGCTAGTCGCTGTCCTCCCACAGCTCGTAGACAAGCCCCAGGCGCACGAGAAGTTCATCAACAAGCTCTTCATCACACGCGGCAGCAGGGCAGCGGGAAACGTCATCCTGACCTGGTGGCTAGAGTGCAGCGGTCTGCCAGGCTACTAGACCTATTACTAAGGATTCCCACTGATAAGCAGTGTGGGCACCTTCCCACCCCCCATGAGCTACTCCATGAGCATCGGCAATGGGCATCGGCAGAGGGCTTTTGGAGCGGACTTTGTCATATGACTTGCATCGCAACTAACGAATACATCAACCCGAAAATGACTCTAACCTTCGTCAAAACAACCCGGTACCGGCAACACCACGCCCGGTATGCCGGTCCCGGCATCCCGTCCCTTACCACCCACTCTATAGAGCCCAGAATGGATGTGGAAAGTTATGAGTCTTTGACGAGACCGGCCCAGTTCAAAGATGCGAGCGGATCATTACTAAAGCAGGGCAGCCCCCCTAAGAACTAGGAAAAAGCTAGCTTGCGTTGTACGCTGATCTCTGAGGTTAGGGGAGCTAAATCGCTGTGAAAAAAAAAAAATCCCAAAAAATAACTGAAAAATTTCAAACTCTTGTTGCAGGATTTGAAGAAAAAAAAGTTGAAATTTGATACTCATCGCAAGCGTTTCTTAGACGGAGCTGCAGTTGGGATGTTGGATTTGGTTCTTACCACTGCCAACACAAGTGAGCGATGCAGGAGTAAATGAGTCGAGCTTGGGTTGGACGCCGGTGGAGTTGGACCCAAGGTGGTTGGAAGTGGAACCTTGGACAATCGAGTCACATCTTCTGGATCAATGTTGGGAGCCCAAACAAAAAAAAAAAAAAAGTATATAAGTTGAGTGGAGGCTATTGGAATTGGTCTTTGCCTTGTCTCCGAAGAATTGGAATGTACAAGAACAAGCAAGACTTATAAAGAATATTAACCGATGGTTACTACAGAGACTAAAGGTCCTAGGACCCTATATGATAAAGTATTTGATGCGCATGTGGTGCACAAGGATGAGAATGGCTCTTACTTGTTGTACATTGACAGACATCTAGTGCACGAGGTTACTTCTCCACAGGCCTTTGAAGGTTTGACTAATGCGAACAGACCAGTAAGAAGGGTGGATTGTACTTTGGCCACAGTTGACCACAACATCCCAACCGAGTCCAGAAAGAGTTTCAAGAACTTGGACTCTTTCATTACACAAACCGACTCCCGCTTACAAGTGAAGACTTTGGAACAGAACGTCAAGCAATTTGGCGTACCATACTTTGGTCTAACCGAGAAGAGACAAGGTATCGTCCATACTATTGGTCCTGAGCAAGGTTTCACCTTACCTGGTACCACTGTGGTGTGTGGTGACTCCCACACTTCTACTCACGGTGCATTCGGTGCATTGGCATTCGGTATCGGTACCTCCGAAGTCGAACACGTCTTGGCTACCCAAACTATCATTCAAAGTAAATCCAAGAATATGAGAATTAGAGTCGACGGTAAGTTAAGCCCAGGTATTACATCTAAGGATTTGATTCTTCATATCATTGGTGTGATCGGTACTGCTGGTGGTACTGGTTCCGTCATTGAATTTGCTGGTGAAGCTATAGAGAACTTATCTATGGAAGCTCGTATGTCTATGTGTAATATGTCCATTGAGGCCGGTGCAAGAGCTGGTATGATCAAACCAGACAATGTCACTTTCGAATATTTCAAAGGAAGACCATTGGCCCCAACTGGTGCCGAATGGGACAAGGCTGTTGCTTACTGGAAGACTTTGCATTCTGATGAGGGCGCCAAATTCGATCACGAAATCGTCATCAAAGGTTCAGAAATTATTCCAACTATTACCTGGGGTACTTCTCCACAAGATGCGCTACCAATCAGTGCATCAGTTCCAGATCCAGCTAATGTAGATGATCCAATCAAGAAGTCCGGTATGGAGAGAGCTCTCGAATACATGGGCTTGAAACCAAACACTCCATTGAAGAGTATCTATGTCGACAAGGTCTTCATTGGTTCATGTACTAATGGCCGTATTGAAGATTTGAGAAATGCCGCTAAGGTCTTAAATGGTCATAAGATTGCCCCAAATATCAAGAGAGCTATGGTTGTCCCAGGATCCGGTTTAGTCAAGGTACAAGCCGAAGAAGAAGGGCTTGATAAAGTTTTCATTGCAGCTGGCTTTGAATGGAGAGAAGCTGGCTGTTCTATGTGTCTAGGTATGAACCCAGATATTTTGGACAAGTACGAACGTTGTGCTTCCACTTCCAACAGAAACTTTGAAGGTCGTCAAGGTGCCTTATCTCGTACACATTTAATGTCTCCAGCCATGGCTGCTGCTACAGCTGTTGCAGGTCACTTTGTAGACATCAGAGAATTTAAATATAATAACGCTGACGATGCTAAAGTTACTATATCTTCTGATGAAGACGAAGAACTTGAAGAAGCTGCGTATGAGCACACTGAACCACAACAGCCCGGTGATGCCCCAACTGATGTTGAGAATGATCAGTTGAAGGACATCCCAGTCGAATCCGAAACAAAAAGATTAAAGACGGACGATACTAAGCCAGTTGCTGGTGGTATGGACCCATTTGTCGTTTTGAATGGTTTGGCTGCTCCACTTGAAAAGGCTAACGTTGATACTGATGCTATTATTCCAAAACAATTCTTGAAAACAATTAAGAGAACCGGTTTGAGATCAGGTCTATTTTACGAATGGAGATTTGTCAAGGATGACAGTGGAAAAGATAAAGAAACAGATTTTGTGTTGAATGTCAACCCATGGAGGAAAGCTGAGGTCCTCGTTGTTACTGGTGACAACTTTGGTTGTGGTTCCTCTAGAGAACACGCCCCATGGGCTTTGAAAGATTTTGGTATCAAGTCAATTATTGCTCCATCTTTCGGTGATATTTTCTACAATAACAGTTTCAAGAATGGTTTGTTACCAATTAGAATTGATCAAGATACCATCGTAAACAAGCTAGTTCCTGTTGCAAAGGCTGGTAAGAATCTCGTTATTAACTTACCAGATCAAACCATCTCTGATTCGGATGGCAATGTTTTGGTTGAACATTTTGAAGTTGAAGCATTCAGAAAGCATTGTCTAGTAAATGGTCTAGATGACATTGGCATCACATTGCAGAAAGAACAATACATCGACCAATACGAAAAGATTAGAAGAGAAAAGTACTCATTTTATGAAGGTGGTTCTAAGTTGCTACACTTCCCAGCCAAGCAGTTCCCAAAAAAGAGAACTCCATTAACGACTTATGACACTGTTCATCAAGATTGGTAAACTTTTCATATATATATATCTGTCTTTTTTTGTTAACCTTTCCAAATTTAGCATCTCTATTTATTGAAAGTATTCTTTCTATCACATATTTATATCAAAATTTTATAATATTAATGTTCAATTCTCTCAAAGTTTTAAATAATAAGTTATTTATAGCATTAGAGGGAGCATTGCTAGTTGGAAGAATTGCTCTAAGTTCCGCTTTAAAGCATTCTGCTCAAGGTACCACATAATACATACTGTTCTTACGCTAAGCGTTTGGATCGGTAATACAATCATAAATAATATTCAAGAATAGCTAATAGATATGTAAGTTTCATAGTATCATAACAGTCATTACCATACAACTCTTGAGTTGTGACAATATATTTAGCTTTGCCTTTTCTCTTGCAATTTTAACTTGGTAACATCCGATTCCAATTCAGCTCTTAATTTTGGAAAGAATCCTAACAAAAACAAAAACTCAAAAAGGATAAAATAAGGTGCCAGCACCAAACTTTGTTCCAAACTGTCTAGTAACGCTGGCTTCTTCTTCTCGAATACACCATGTCCAATGAACTGCATTATCCAAGCTGCAACAAATATTTCTGATTCTTGCTTCAACGTCAAGCCTACCAGTCCGGCATCTAAGGCATACAAGGTACAGACTAGAATTGCAGTTGCACATATGCCTACAGGAATATGTAATCTGCAATAAGTAGTAGCAAACCGCAAAGCCAACAGGTGTCCAAGTGTTAGGTATACTCCCATAATTTGGAATGGTAAGCTGACCCTATGAAGGATACATATCGTCGTGAATAGAATAGTAGGAACACATACTGAATGAATAAGCACATTCACAGTATTATGATGGTAAAACTTGTAAAAGCCAAGCTCCTTACGTAGGCCACCAACCTCTGTATTTGTACCTGTAACAGTAGCAGCTGCAGATGTAACCATTATTATTATTCACTAGCCCAAATACCTAAAAGTTCCAGAAAGCAAATTGATGTGAGTTTAAACAGTTGTTCTAACTTATGAAAGCTTGCAACAAGGAAAAAAAAACAATTTATGTATTAAAAGTCACAAACTACTTGTATATAAGCTACTCTTTATATACATTCTCTAAAGACCCATTGTTACTTGATGCCATCCCATTTATGGGGAGTCACCAGTCCGTATTGAATCATTGGCAGATGCGTCCATTGTTGTGTCGGATTGGAGAAACTTTGAACCATAGGTGAACTTATGTTCTATTCTTGATGAACTTGAGCATTGTTGACATTTCCATTTTCATGGGGTTGTTGGAGAATCCTCTCCAACAAGTTTGCCCTTACTATTCATGCTTCAATTATAACTCAAAAATTGAAGACTTGGCATCATTTATTAAATGTAATTAACTCCGAATTTCTATATGGTAACGGATTCTTGTATAAAGAGCTCACTTTATAGACTCACGTTAAAATAATTTCCAATGCTTATAATTAATATATGCTACTTAACCCTAATTATACCACCACTATAGAGTTGGATGCCATTTCAAGGCCCAACAACCTTACTACGTCACATATAGCCGTCTTGGTTGTAGAGTCCTCATCTTCCCACGGTTCAAGTTTTCTAATAAACCCAAATGAGGTATCAAATACCAATGTCCTACCTGTCAATTCTTTTTGCAATTTACCAGACATGAGCAGATCCTTCAATTCCCAGAGTGGTATTAACCCCGGACATATGCTGGGTATAGTAAAATCAGGATCTTCTCCGTCTTTGGCTATTCTTTTAGCATATTGATTAAATACTCCATCATTATAGATAGGAAAGTCATACTCAAGACCTGAAGTTTTCAAAAAAGATATCACCTCTTTAAGGTATTGTGGTCGATAAATATTAGATGACGTACCGTAAACCTTTTCTGCCACATTATCATCGCTGGCTATATCAAACGCGTCTGTCTGATAAATGCAATCTCTGATAGCATCGGATAAAGCAACTTCCCTGCTAATATCGTGACCTTGTGTTCCCACCATGAATAACTTCCCACCTCTGATCATGTCCTTAACCTGGGACAATTTAAAGTATCTTTCGGTGCATGAATCAAGCAATTCTCCCCCGTAATTGGCCTTATAGTTCATTTTTTTACAATCATCTATGTAATAACCCAGATAATAGTACTTCAAGTTAGTCTTGGATACAAGGGAGAGTTCTCTCAATGCACTCAGTTTACCTAATGACCATTTGTGATAGTCAGGATGCCAAATAAAATAAACCGACGAAATTCCGCTCGGTAGAAAGTCTGTAACAGCAAGGGCAATCAGTTTACCTTTATAATAATAACTTTCATGAACGGGACCTGTTCTTAAAAGCCTCTCCCCAGGTTTCATTGACTTCCAGTTGTTTAATTGTTCCCATTCTTCCTCGGTTCCCATGATTACTCCTTGCGTAAATGGAGCATCGCAAAGAAACCTCTTAAAGCCCTTCTTACTGTGATCAAAATCTTGATGGACACGTTCTTGATAAATTGAAAACAATTCATACTTCTCATCAGTATATACTGCTGGCCCAAATCTGGTGTAGAAGTTTATACTGTCGCTCTGACCTTCAATGTCCACAATATCCTCAACATAGCCCTGCGTTTTTGCGTTAGCCACAGGCTCGCCCAGCACATGCTTTCGAAACCGGTTAATACACTTTCGCATGTCCTTAGTCAGCTTAAACCAATCCGGTCTAGTTCTGATAGTGTAGAGCCGACAGCAGCTTCGCAACGCATCCATCTTGTACACAAACAACCCTGACCTACGAAAACCCATATTACACATTTGATCATACATGGCTACGGTCATATTCTCACATTGGAAACCGACAGTGCAGCTCCTCACGGGTAGCTCCTCTACTTCAGAATCAGCATTCTCTTTTATTCTTTCATACCAGGATTCCAACGAGTAAAAGTCGCTGCCTTTAGCCTTCTTCCCATGGCAATAGCCACAGTCACTCTTATCAGAAAAGTACAGCGGCCTATGAATTATCAACTTATTCTCCATTTATAGTGCTTGTTCCCTGCGAATTAGGCTCTCTATGGCACCCAGTGCTGGCTTAGTCATCTTTTCTGTTGAAACTATCGCATCGCATCGCCTTAGCTGAAATTTGGCTTATAAATACGGTAAAAGTTACTAGAATGCTGATAGAGGTTAGTCAAGTCGTTTGATATGGATTCTCTAAACTCCAAACCAAATTATCAGAACAATGCTGAGATGTGCCAGGTTACCGACCAGTGGGATTAGACAAGTTTTGCAAAGACGGTGGATAGTGAGCTATTATGAGCTATTTCCAGGGACGTTCCCAGATAGCCAACCTCGCTGGGATGTGGATCTTGGCAAGCTAAGGAAAGAATACAGGAAATTACAAGCTGAGGTGCACCCTGATAAGATACAAAAAGAGCAAGAAGCCGACTCAGAGCAATCTTCTTTACTAAATAAAGCTTATCATGCCTTAAAGGATCCCTTAACTAGGTCTCAACATATGATTCAGATCCTAAAGGACGTGGATCTGACTGTTGATAGTGTCGCCAGGGAATATACACAAATGGACCCTGAATTGCTGATGGATGTCATGGACGTTCATGAGCAATTGCTTGATGCTAATAGCCGGGATGAAGTAAGAGAGATAGAGAAGGTCAACAAGCAGCGCATAGAAAAAATAGAAGCAGAATTAAAGGAATGCTACGATAACAAGGAGTATGAAAGAGCAATCAATCTCACAGCACGACTCAAATACTGGAAGAATGTAGCATCAGCAGTTAAGGATTGGGCGCCAGGGAAACCTATTGATTTGAAGCATTGATTTCAGTGATTGGTTTAATCCCACATAGACTATTGATTGTTATTTAGATAGACTACGAGAACAAATGGTCAAGGCATGTAAATACAATGATAAACACAAGTAAGGCACTAAAACACAGCACGCATTGCTAAAGTTCGATGGACAACCGATATACATACTTTTAGTTATGACGAGAATTGCTGTGTAAATATTTAAAATCTACAGTTACGTAATTTATATATATAAAATTGGTTTGAAAGTTTTTGATGTTGCTGTTGAGTATTTTGAAAAGTCACAAACCATCATGCCTAGTTGTCATACCATCTACTATCATTCTACTATTGGCATTTCGAATTCGCATTTATTGAACTCTTCCCAGTCTTCTTCCGTGACTGGGTATTGCCTTAACCACTTCATTCTAGGGCCTGAAACAGCCTGATCGTTTATCCTGAAACCAAACACTTTCAGTTCATATGATTCTTTGTTTTTTCTCTCTACGTATTCTTCCAACTCCTTGAAATGCTTTAAAAAGACACCTGGGAAACTTGTACCCCAGTAGGCACCTTCTAGACATAGATGACGCGAACTCTGTGGTAAGTATAAGTCCTGGCAGCTGGGACAATAGAGCCTTACTGCTTGTTTACCTATCGTATCACTCAGACCGCATGGCAATAACTGCATACCATGGCAGAAGTATCTCGGACAAGTACCGAAATCCTTGTGATCGAATTTCTCAGCCATGGCCTGCAAACCTGGCTTAGTCAGTATGTAACGTGCGTGTATCAGACCGTATAGTTGTTCTGCTGCGTGGCCAATAATGTTTCTATTTACTAGGGCCTTGGAATTAACTCCACCGTTATTGTTTGCACCGCTACTACTCTCCGCACCGCTCTCCTTCTCATCCATGTCCTCCTCATCGCTCACCATCTCCAGATCAAGGATAAGATCAAGCGCCTTTCTGTAGTGTGGCACTTCCTGCGCCAAAGATGTCATGTTGAAATCATCCTCTATAAAATCAGTGGGAACCTGACAGAAGTACTCATGACCGAACCGCGAACAAAATGAAGGAATCCACTCGTCGTAGGTCCCACTATCGTCAGAGTGCGAATTATCCTCCATATACTCACTCATTTTTCTCTAAGATAGGGATATTAGAACGTTCAATTGCCCCCACCAAACTAAATCTAGAACTTTTCGCAACCGCTTTTATTCCCTAGATTCAAAACACTAAGCCAATAGCACCTAAAAAAAAGACTCCTTCAAAGAAAAGTTGATCAATACTACCTCCAAATCAGCAAACCACTGGGTACCCACTCCGATAAGAAGGCTTCCACAGCACAAGCACTGCCCATTAAGAGCCTTTAGAAGGGTGAAAGTTGGCCAAACTTCAAATTTTTTTTGTCAAATTTCAGAACATCAACAAATCACGTGATATACTGAGAGGAAGTTGCCAAGGATTTGTCCAGTGGGCGTTGGGCATCGAGCAAGCTACAAGTCTGGGGAGAGGGTCTACATGGATAAGGATATCTTGAAGAACAGAGTTGTGTGTCTTGAGTTGGATTCATTTTGTCACCGAGGAGAGTTAAGATAGAGCGAGTACAACAAGGAAGAAAATGAGTTGGGTAGTTGCCATTGCGGTGGTGTTCGTGGTTGTTTTGAAAGTGTTGGAGTACTCGACTTCGTACCATGATCTAGTGTTGCAGTCGCTGTTCTTCAAGAACAGCCCTATCTCTGTGAAGTTTGAGACGCTGGTAAAGGAGCGTCGCTCCATACAGGAGGAGAACAAGTCCATTTCTGCGCAGGATAACTACGCAAAGTGGACTAAGAACAACAGGAAATTGGATAAACTGGACAAAGAGATAACGGAACTAGGTGCTCAACTGAAAGCTCATAATGAACAAATAAAGGGCCACCTGAAAAAGGTCAAGCTGCTTTTGCTCACAGTGCCATTCCTATGTTTCAAATTGTGGAAGGGTAAGCATATAGTTTACAACCTACCTCACCATCAAATGTTCCCTCAATTAGTCGCTGGTGTTTGGAGTCAAGGATGGCTGTATTTGGCAATTCTGCCATTGCAGTTAGCTAAATCAATTGTCACAGGATCTTCCTTTGCCATCGAGACCGCTAGCTTCCCACACATGGGTGTCTCATTAGGAATATGGCTTTGGGCTTTGAATAGTGTCATTAGTAACATAGAATTCATGACTATGCAATTGTGGGCCAAGCCTGTTAGTAAGCCTTCCAAAAAATTGGAAATAGTTACTGATGAAATAAAAGTTGATTGATAAATTACTTATATCCATCAAACATAGCTTGATTGTGATCTGTTGCTACCTGTAACAAACAAATCGTATACACCTGTATTCATAATTCTATTTATGCAATTGAATAGCAATAACATAACGAAATATATCTTATATTTACTTTATGCTGATTTGAAATTGTATTTAAAGCAATGCTTCTTAAGTAGTATCGATAAAAAAATATTATTATTAACCTCCCAAATGAATAGAAAAACACTAAATAGTATAAAAATATAATGTAAAAAAAAAAAATTAATGGAAATTCGTTATAGTTTCAAAAAGTTTTCTTCCATTTCAATATATCCATTAATGACTTTATATCGCCATCATTGCGCTTTAGCATGCTACGCCTTGATAGCATTACGGGATCAATGGCTGAACATATCCTTGTTAGATGGTCTCTTTCCGACTGATGCTTGGAATCTGTAGTTTCTTGAATTAGTCTTTTGCACAAATTATGCGCCCATAGTAAATTTGTCCTCGGCTCAAACCTGGCCCATACGGGACATCCATTGGCCTGGTTGTTGAAGTTCTCACTTAAAAACATCCTCATAGTACTATAAACTTCATACTGATCATCTCTTGCATTACGTTGAAAAAATAATGGATCGTCCAATCTAGTAAACGCTATAGTATTCATGTCATCTTGTTGAAACCGTGAGCTGTTTAGATTACTTATAGTAATCGATCCATTTCTTTCATCTACTAAAATGTGATCTAGCAACAAGTTTCTATGTTCAAACTGCAACCTTTGTTCTAAGCCCGCTAAGATTGAAACAGTATTCCAGAATATATTAACCGATGTTTTCCAGTCATTTATGGGTGTTAGTTTTGCCAAAGAAGAGCCATGGTCTTTCATTACCATTATTAAGTACAAATTCTTAAGATCATCAGTGTCAATATTGTCACCTGGAGAAGCTATGTCAGAAGTAACAACATAAGATCGTAAAACTTTTGTAATCCCAGCCATTTGTGAGGTATAGTTATGTGCTTTTAATTCATGCAGGGCAATTGCCTTCTTGGAGTATGTGATATCGTCAACAGAGCCCAACTCTATACGCCTGAATATAATGCTTTTTTCTTTTGTCCAATTAAAAGGCCCACTTATTCTCCAAATATTCTTGGAGATTTGATTAGCGTTATTAAAGGTATGAAAGATAGGAACATCATCATCATCTAAAGAATTTAACCTCTTGATTACATATTTACAGTTGCAGTAGTCAAGCAATTCCTGTAAAAGTGACTCATCAAATTCTTTTTTGAATACAGGTATGGAAGAATTTAAAGACAACAAAGATGTAGAGTTCTTTAGTTTATTTCTGATCTTCTCCCGAGACACTTGATCTGGTACTGGTAGGGATATTTGATAGTTTGCACTAATGGTTGATGCTGTAGTGGATGATATACTAGATCTATCATCACCATTATTCGATTTACGTCTATGTTTTGCCAGCTTATGTAGCGAAGAGTGAGAGCTCTTGTGTTTCATACTCACATTCATATTAATACTGGAGTGAGATGACTTATTTTTTAACCCTCCCAATGAAAGACTTGATGTAGAAGAAAAGTGCTTTAATCCTGTATTAACAGATAAACTAGAACCGGATTTCTTTTTGTTTAAGATGGAAGTTCTTGATTTTTTCTGTTGTAATTCTCTCATTGGCATACCAGACTCTAATGGCTCGCTTAAAAAGGTTTTTGAATAATGATAGCTGGAATAGATTGACTTGTGTAAATCTGAATACGAAGTCTTTGTTCTGATATTTGAGTCTGAATTTCCAAGTTCCAAAGGTTCTGAAATATTCAAATTTCTCTTAGATTCAGACTTAGGTACACCAGGAGCGCGCTTCCAGAACTTCAACTTGGATGACAGTGAGGTAATGGAAGATGATTTGGAGAGTCTGGACGTATTACTTGTCTCAGGTCCTGTAGGGTTAAAATGAACCGAATGGCGTGCTGTATTAGAATATGTTGTACGTGATTGTGCTTGGTATAGACCTGATGCGTTCTCATTGGTTAATGTTCTGAGTGGATAGCGGCTTGATGCAGAGTTACGTAAGGATGCAGTTTCTTTTTTGTTACCAGTGTTCTCCTTATCACCTCCTTGAGACAGAGTATCATCCTCGGCTACAACTATTTTATTGAATAGTTGTCTTAGCGATAGACCAGTAGAAGATCTCTTCAATGAAGGAACCGAGTTCTTATCGGATGATGTCTGCCTCCTGGATACCGCATCAAAGCCCATAGAGTCAACACTAAAATTGCTAGCGGATGATAATCTTTTTATTGGATCTTTTGTGCCCGAGAGCACTCTGCTAGCACTTTCACTAGGGATTGAGGATAGTGTGGACCATCTTTTCTTTGATGAAGAAGAATGGTTTGATATAAAAGACCACCTCTTGCTGCCACCACTTTTTGTACCTTTCTCACCTTTCTCATTGGCACGTTGTCTAGGTACCACTAGTTCTTGTTTCGGCACCGGCGAGCTCTGATCTTGTATCGTGTCTTGCCTATCCAAATTGGTGCTACTGCCATTTAATTCAGTAGATATTGACACAGAGTCCATGGAACTGTCATAGTCGTCCTCATTATCTGAAACAACTAGCGCAAGAACATTTCTGTTTCCGTTAACGTACTCCTCGAAAGAAGTGTCCATATTAGGCGAGAGATTGCTAATGTCCTTTTGAATTCTATAAGCTTGTCGATATGGATCAGATTATAGTGCAGTATATGCTCAATAAAAGTGTTGATATTGGCTTATTGGTCACGGTGATGCTTTTATCGAAACGAGGAAGGATAATTTCAAGCTCAAATCTTTTATAAAGATATCGAAAACAAAACTCAATCTCCAAAACTAAATGCAAACACTACCAAAACTGAAAGAAAGATAACAATATGATATCCTATTTGGGTTTCTGAGGCCAAGCCGTTGCTTTGACAGTGGTGGATCAGCTATGTGTTAAATTTTCCACAGGAGATTAGAAGAACAACCTCTGATCTGTTATTTACACAAAAAGAACGGTTCAAAAAGAAAGAAACTCGAAATATACGCCAGTAACGAGGAGCGCACTATTGACACTCTCAATTACCTTTCAAATGCAATAACTAATACCGCAATCAAGGCCCTCTATTGTTTGTTTGTTTGTTATGGAGAATAAAATTTTTGAAATTTTGATTTTTTGTTTACAAATCTACCGAATTAGGAAAAAGGGCTCATCACCAAATAGTAGCGAGGTACAAAGGACGTCGGTATCACAAGCTGTACCGTGATGTATAATGGCAATCCCTACCATAGCGAGTCATCCGAAGTGTATGGAGTTTGACAACTAGCCCCAAACTGATTTATTATACTGCTTGTTTTTACTAATTGATTTCTATCTAAGAAATATATGTACTATAGGATAATTTTTGATGGATTTATATATACACTGTAATAAGCCCGAATTTATGTTACAGCTATAATATTCTCATGTTGAGTTCTGGTTTCTTCAGAGAGTTCTTTCTGAATGTAGCTGGATGTCTGTTGATCAATCCGACGTCGCCTAGTTCTCTACCTTCTGGATCTTCATCCTTTAGCTTGTATACTCTGACTAACCAGTTCTCGGAAGTGAAGACTTCATCGAAATAATCTAATGGCTCGACGTGAGAGTTGTCGATCTGTTGGTTACGAACCCTATCGACGGCCTGCCCGTTAGGGAACAAGTCTGCAAAGCCTTGGTAGCACATCTTGTACATCACAGATTGCCTCATGGCTCTAGAGGCCATGGCGTCAACTCTGTACTCACCTGAGTCACTGAAATAGTTCTTTTCTTGGATCTCATCTGGCCAGATACCACTAGAGATTCTAATCATCCATAGGAACTTATTGATATCGTCACCACCGAAACCTAAAACACCACCAAAGATGACAAGGACGTAGTCAACATCATGTTCTTTCAATAACTTATAAGAAACTTCTTCTGGAGCAGCCATTGCTTTACCGACAATGGCGATATGTGTATTGTTCCAGGTATTGTTGTCAACCAAAGTGGTTCTGTCTGCAAGACCACCGATTTGGTAACCGTAATCCCACCAGGAGGCAATCTTAGCGTCTTCAGCAGTGTTCATTCTTAGCCAGTAATAGGCTTCTCTAAAGTCATCGATAATAATATTGTTACCAACTTGGTCTCTGGTTTGCAAGACAACAGAAGGAGAAGAGTAAGCTGTCTTAGTGACCCAGGTACAGTGTAGGACGTACAGGTATAGATAGAAGATAAAGGAACCAGAGATAACCAACTTGGCCAAAATGGATGCTGGCTTGTCCAAACTTGGAACGGCTTTACCATCAGCATCTCTCTTTGAGAAATCTAAGTAGATATCAAATATTTTTGATAAAGCAATAGCAGCAGAGACACAAACAATTGGAGTTAAAGTCAACATCAATCTAATCATAACACCAGTGAAGTATGAACAGAGTACGGAATAACAGATAACAAAGACGTGCTCATCCTTCAAGTCCATGAACAACAAGAAAACACCCGCTGGGAACAACCAGATCAAAAAGTGTTGGTCAAAAAAGAAAGATGGCCAAGCTACTGGTTGATGTTCGGAGACAGAAGCAATGATAGGAATGTGAACCTTAGCGTAGCCAGTATCCCAAAGAGAGTAAAATCTACCAGTCCATGGGGCAATCAAACCGAAGTAAGTCAAACCGAACAAACCCAAAATACCTACAGCCATCAACACCAATAAAGAAACCAAGGAGATGACCTTGAACTTTTGTGCGGGGACTCTGGCCTTGACGAAGTCACCAAAGGCAACAATTTGAATGAAGCCGAAAACACCCAAGGCAGCCATATGGTCATTAGATCTGATTGGCAAGAAACCCACAAAAGGAATTTGCATAGAAGCCAATGTACCAATTGCGTACCAAGTGGAGTAAGCAGTGTATAATCTAGAGTTATAACGGCCCATTAGGATAAGGATAAAAACGTGTAATGGAATTAAGTTAGTAATGAAGACGTAACCACCCCAAGCTGAGACCATGTAAAAGTAGAACAAAGCAGCGAAAGTGGCGTGCATGATGGACCCAGTCTTTTGTGCTTTGATCCAGAACATGAAGGTTATCATCAATAGAGTAATTGAGATGGCTTCGTTATCGTAAGAACCAGCAACAGATCTGGAAATGTAACCTGGGACAATAGCCATGAACACAGCAGCCAGTAGACCGGCGGAGGAATCCTTCAATTCCTTTGTGAATTGGTAAGTTGCGATAGCGGTAATACCGGCGAAAGCAGGAGCAAAAAGCACACAGATGTTTCTAATGTCAACAGGTAGACCGATCTTGCGCAGCATGTGCCATACAAAAGCACTTGTGGTCATCAAACCAGGGTACAAAGTACCACCAGTGACTCTACCCAATGGATACCATGTTCTATCGTCGAACCAGTTCAAGAACTCGTGGAACGAATGTGAAACCAGGTATTTTGTAGCCCTGAAGTTGAACCAAGGGTCATATTCATGAATAATCGACTCGAAGTTGATCACAGCAAATAAACGGGAGGAGATAGCGGCACCAAAGATCGCCATGAAAACGAGTGCCTTCAGCACCACGAGTACCCATTGCACAGTCTGCCTATCCGATACAGCAGACGACATGACTCTCTATTTCTCTCTATTTTGTAGTTATTTCCAGTTTTGTATCCTGATATCTTCTCTTTCCTCGCAATATCCAATTGACGTCGATCGAAACGCAAATCCCGTTGGCAGAATGCAATATCAGATAAGAAAGAACGAACGCTCACACAAAATTCTAGGAAGCAGCTTGTTTACTCAGCTAATCTGGTTCCAATTGACGCTTGTTGGGGTACGTCCAGTGGATAACTGACACTGAACAACACTATTTCAGTCCCGACCCTCTCTTATTTGAAGCAATCGCTGGCATTTTGCCAAAATTCGTTGGCTGCTCTGGGGCCTTTCGCCAAAAGAGCGCAGGAAAGTCGTGCGGCACGGGTTTCCCTAAGGTTGGGCCCTTTGGGATGGGCTGACGAGAGGAGGTCTACAAATGCGATGAGCGCAACTTTGGATATATAAGGGAGCCAGTAACTTGTCACACAGACCTGTACTAGGATATATCCCGATATAGCGGAATACTGCGAGAATGAGTGTGCTAGAGCGGGAGCACGGAAACGGTAGCTCTGGTTCTACCGAGAACCCGGCACCAACGGGAGAAAAGCCCGATGGCGATGGGCCAAGTGATGGCCACGGTAGTGGCCGAGGTAAACAACAAGGATTTACCAGCAATGGTATTAATAAAGATCAAACTAGATCGGAAGGGAAATCTGTTGCATTTGAAGTCGGTGATGAGAGAGAGACTAGTCAGGACACGATTTTGGGAGATGGCGGGATGACTCAGAACGGGGACACGTCAGGGGAGTTCACAGACAGGGATGACACTAGCCAAAATAGGATGAATGGCTCACTACAAAGTGAAGGACTAGTCTTTGAAAAGCGCAAAGTCATTCCACAACGGAGAACCCAGTCTCAGCAGAGTATGCTGTCCAGTATTTCACTCAGGTCTATGATACAAGAGCAACAGCATGTAAATAATCAACAGCAACAACAGCAGCAATCAATGCATAGAAACAGTATGGGTTCTAATAACACTAATAATGATCAGAATTTAATCAGCCATAGTTTACTAAACATGAGTCAGCAGATAAGATCACCGGCAATGTTCTCCATCAAAAGAACAGGGTCGCTGATGCATTCCGCTAGTAGGACAGCTAGTAATTTTGGAAAACAGGAAACGATATATGATTCAAATAGTCTGGATTCAAATGAAATAGGTAAAAAACTACCATTCACAAATGACGAAAGGATACAGATAGGAAGTAAGAAAGAATCTCCAACGGTGCCGAGAATAAGAAATGAAATAGTGGATAATGCTACACCTACTGCTCTACGTGAGTTACCGGAAGTTATATCAGATTTGAAACCAGAAGACGAAGATGAAATTTCTCAAAAAGATTTAACTACACAAGCATTAAGGAAGCTGTCCAACTTTAAAGGGTCAAATTTGAATGAGGCATTCAGTGAGCATACGACGAGCACCGGTACTCCAACAACAAATGTATCTGAGAATGAGAAAGGAAAAATTATGAGAGAGTCGAGTAACTTCTTAGTTGCAGATAAAAGCTCTCCATCTCCTATGAAAGCTTCATCGGAAGCGCCCAAGAAAACTGTAAAACTAAATGATCAGAGTAGTACTGATACTGATTTGAGCCGAACATCTAGTTCCAATATACTAAACTTCACGACAAACTCACACTCCATGATGAATATGAAATTTGGTGATAGAAACATAACAGTTGAAAATAATCCAGAAATGACAACCAACACACATGCCCAAAACTTTATTGCAGATGCCAAGCAGCCACAGGTGAGAACGATAACTAAAATGCATTCTTTGGATATGTTACAAAAGCCAGTAAGATACAGGTCCAATTCCAATAACCCCACATTACAGAAACAGGGAGTAAACAGAAGGCATGCCAAACAGATCAATGATCCAAAAAAGCCACTTTATATGCCAGTGGTATTAAGAAATGTGGTTGAAACTAATATAACTAATGATGATCTGCAAGAGATCTCCCCTAGATTAAGTGGACGTACTACCCCAGCGGCTAACAAAAAGTCTCCCGGTTATAGAACAGACATTAATTATGCGGGTTCGCAAAAAAGTGGTACCTCAAATACTTCCTCTGTTGTAGAAACTTATAAAAGATACATTTCATCGTTTCTATTTCCGAACAGGCAACAGCAGGTAACAGATGATGCTATAAGCTCGATATTACACAAGAGAAATATTACTCCATCGACAATAGGATCTTATTCATCTTCAATTGTTTCTGCTACAAGTAGATCGCCTCAACTTCCGACTCGAACACATTGGATTCCTGACTCAAAAAGATCGGCATGTCATCAGTGCCATAAACTCTTCACCTTTTTTGATAGAAAACACCATTGCCGTCATTGTGGAGACATATATTGTCAAAAGCATCTACGGCATTGGTTATACCTAGATTCGGACGCTAAATTTGTTGTAGGAGGTGGCGGTGTTGGTACACTATCCAAGGTTTGTGATGCTTGCCACATAGAGTATGAGGATTTAGCAAGAACTAGCTTGACACCAAGCGTCGTTGTCCCAAATAAAAAATACGGGCCATTTTCCAATGGCATTGTGACAAAGAGCAATTTAAACGTAGAGATGAGTCTAGATTCTGCTTTATCGAGTGGGGAGCATTCTAAAGCAAAACCAATTGAAGTTGCAGGATCAGAGTCAGAAGACAAGCAGAATAAGAAAGACGAGCCGACTGTGAATAGCGTTGTAGGTTCAATACCTGCAGATTGGAATTGGAGCAGTTTTTAAGCTTTTGTTTATAATCTATGTTAGATTTGAAACGCCTGGAAGACGTTTGAGTGCTGCAGATTTCGAGCACACAATTTGTACGATGATCTCATTTAATTTTCTCCTCATATTAGAGTTTCGTTTTGATCTTTTCGTTTTAGCTTTTTAGGTAACTCTCATGAATATTCAAAATGTCATTACACAGAGAGATTTTATCATCAAGTCTGTATCACATATATGATACTACATCGAAGAAAGATAGTTGGCAGTAGTCTAATTACTCATGTACACGTAGAACGGCAAAAGCACTACATGAGCAATGCCTTTAGGTTAATAAAAATCATTTTTGATCATGTCTATTATGTATTTAATATAGTTTAATTTTATGTTTACATATACCTATTCAGTAATGATTGATTCTTATCTGATCGAAATCTTCCTATATTTTAGCCACTATTTTTTCAGCTATTATTGGCCCATGCAACTGATGATGTCCGCCTTCTTTTAACAAGAGAAAAAACATGACTTGTTGAAGCAATAGCTGCAGTTGCAAAGCGCAGAGAGCATATAGAGTTCTTAACTAAGTCGATAGAACTCGACTGAATGTCTCTTTACAGAATTGACGAATAGGATGTATGAATTGAATAATGAAGAAGTCTTAAGAAAGAGGAAAGAAAGGTTCTCAAAATTTGGCAAGGAGGCCATTATTAATGATCCTTTGAGAGATGTAGCTCTACTTAGCCGGTCCGGCGAATCGAATACAATAATAGACTTAAAAATTAATCATGATAAAAGAAGTGAGATGGTTAGCATGTTGAAGCTGTTATTTTATGATGAGAAGCAATTAACTACCGTTGAACATGGACTAAGAAAGCTTAGAGAAGTATTTATGAGTATACGACAGGATCATAGAGACGAAGATGAAAGTTTTTGGAAACAGGCAAGTGAAGTCTATAAGCTCTCATATGATTTCCTGTTAAGGCATGGCCAATATAATAAGCTAGGTGGACTAGTGTTGAATGCCATTCATGAGTGGTTTCCCTTGCAATACAGAAAACCATATGCAAAAATATATGCACTCTACTTGAGTCATATCGAGAAGGATGTGCCCAAATGTGTAGACTTTTTGCAGTATTCCTCTGTATCTCAATCTGAGTCTTTAGATATCATCAATATGGCTAATATATATGTTCTGAAGTCCGAATCGCCGCGTATATGGTTTCACTATTGTAAAAACCTCAAAGATGACGAGTTGAATTTTTTGGAACTTTCATCAGTGATGCAAGTAATGATTAATAGAACTGACAATTTATTACAACTATGCTATAATCAACTATCTGTTAAGGTTGCGCAGCAGTTATGGTTTGGAGATCACTTTACTTCCAACTTGGAAACAAGAATAAAGGATAAATACGATATGAGAGCAGGAACTGATATAATATTATTCAAAAAAAGACAAATTAAAGGTTGAGACATTATAAATGAAACCAGTGCTGACAAATTATATCGTCCTTAAGATCCGAAGAAATGTGAAAAGGTGCTTAATAGTTAACGTAGACCACCGTTATTAAGACAAAATAATAAAATTTAAATTTTCGCTACAGAGATCAATAACAAAAACTCGAAGTGATAAACAGTTAAAAAATCTCTATTTGGCAAAAAAGAGCAATGCTCTTTGCGGTCTATTTGCTTTTTGGTTAGTTTCGGCCTCATAATTAGACCTCGATTACAATTCTCGTGTATAGTATTAGAATAAAACTAACAATGAATGCAAGCAAGAGTAATTAAAAGGTTTCTCAAATCAATACATATTTGCGTTCTAGTATATTCAAATTGCTTTTGTAAAACTTTCAGGAAATATCGCTAAAAGTATCACATACATCTTATACTTCTCAAATACACTACACCACGATAGTGCCACCAGAGCAGCGTCTGAACATTCCACATTATGACACTGTAATATGACGATAAAGTGCAATTAAAAGTTTTACACCATCACTTGATAACCATGAATTACCCATTCTACTGTGTAAAATATTGCTATTCTAAAGGGAGAGACCTTGTCTGGATGAGCTACTATTTAACTTCTCACATGTTGATATTCTAGAATTTTATTTTCACTTAATATAGTAGACTAATTCTAGAAAGTAAACAGAGAATTGTCTTCATCCAATATATCCACAATATGAGGACGGCTGGACTTGTATGTCTAAAAACTATAGTTATACGTCACGAAAATTTATTATTTGAATTGACAGCTTCTAGTTTTGTTTACATGAAGAATAACCAAAACTTAAAAAGGCTCTCTTGAAAAGCAATTAATATCATCTCATTATCAGCTAAGAACTCAATTATTCGTGTAATGTAGGTCAATATGGGATAGACTGGCAACCAACCTACTCTTCGATAGCTCATGTTGGGGTTCATTGGTCTCTGAGTCATGATTTTCCTTTTACTTAATTCACACCTTTTGAAATACAATCACACAAAACCAACAATGACTACATTCAAACAAGATAGTTGATATGAATTGTTGAATATATCGCATGGGAAAGTTCTTAAAGGACTATTGTTTGACTAAGAGTAGCCCAACATTACACTAGCTATTTCATATAATTATCAGAAGTCAACTGTAACGCAGAGCTGATATCTGGAGTGTTGTATTCTACTCAGAAAAGAGCTCTCCAGGCCATTCTGTGTAATTGCTCTTTTCCATTGATGTTAGCCCACTTCTTTCCGGGATAGCTTCTGCCTCCATTACCGCAAGTGAAAGATGAACTCCGCAAAAGGACAGCAGACTCACTGTAGTAAGCACAGGGGATGTATATAGCGCTTGCACTTATGAGGTGCACTCACATGTCAAATCACATTCCTCTTTGCTACGTTTCAGCACCGGAAGGTAGTTAGAAGTGCATCAAACAGTCCTATAAACACCTGTATTAATCCGTTGTTCTTATTAAATATATCTCTTTCTCTCTTATAATCAAAACTGAAAATCCCGAGTAATCGTATAATGAACCAGTAACCAAAATAAATTGAACTAAACATGTTGATGATTGTGTTATTATCTATATATAACTAATAAAATACCAAACATAGAAATAATAAAAGAAGAACAAAAAATCATTCAAAATTCAACCGAATAACTGTAAAGTCTTCATCTTTATTAAATTATGTCTACAGTATAATTTTTAAGTAAAAAATAATGAGCATGAGGACTAATGTGCCTGCCATGAAGTGTGTTAAAAAATCTAGTGAAAGTCAATAATATCACTTATTCAAGTATAAAATGTTACTGTTCTATACACATTGTCCCTAAATGGGATACAAGAAGTAGTTTAAAGATGTCTGAATATGTTAAATCAACGCAAAACATTACTTTGATCTGATACAACTCTAGTGTAACCACTCAAATGCTTATACTTGGTTTATCAATAGTGGTTACAGTTCAAATCAAATCTGTGCAGCAAAACCAATGCGACACAGGGATAATTGTGCTCATCGCATATTAGACTGAAATTAATTTCTTATTCCAATCGAGTTCCTTATCATGTTCGCAAACAAATGATATTATACAAATAATTAGTGCACCATCTCACTTGAGTAGTAACATTGTCTTTCATACTAGTTATCGTTTATGTACTTGCTGGTCTATTTATAGAAACTAATTAAATAATTCCAAGGTAATATTTGTACAAAATTTAGCACGCTTTCATCATCTGTTATTCTCATAGGCCAGTGTTTTGTTTATAACAATGAAAAAGAGCGTTGTATTATTTTAGCGCAGTCCCATGTGTTAATTTTTAATCCTATATCTTAGTTTTGTTTTCAAAAAATGCAATTTATAGTAAGAACATTCACTAAAATAAAGAAATTTCTCAACTTCATAAAACAGTAACATCAACAGATATACAATAATTTCAGAAGTTCACAAAAGCTAAATTTGAAAGTAATTAGTTGACACCATTTTCTTAAAGTTAAGTTATCATTCTTTGCTATCAGAGTGTCCTTTGACGGAGCTGGATAACTATGCATTCAGAAAGAAAAATACATCAAATGAAGACCATCTAAAGTAATTTAAAAAGCAAAGGCCATAGGAATACGATTTGATATACTACTGAATTTTATAGATGACATTTCACCGAAACTAAAGATACTAATATAATATAAGGTTTTGGAGAAACCGTCCATTATTTTTCCCTAAAAAATCATCAATCAGTGATTGTGTTTACTATTGGCCTTTTAAACTTGAAATATTTCAATGAAGTTTGATCTTATCTTCTATACTTTAATATCTTGTCTTTTCTTTTCCCATTCTTTTCCCAGAAAAAGGGATAAATATGGATATTCAGTAAACGACTATCGAACCTTAGACAGTAAGAGTCACATAAAATTTGAAAAACTGTTCTTAAAGGATCCTCTCTATCTAAATATAGATAAGTTAACGTGCTGCAAACGGTCTGCAACTGGTGCCTACTGCTGACATATGTATTCATTTGTACTTACTATTCGTACTGTTACCGTTCTAACTGTAAGTAATACTTTAATTATGCATACAATATGCCAAACAAGACATACATACCAATATTTAGGATTCACTGTAAGACCGTTAATATCACCATGCACCCCAAGTAAACCGTTTGATCAACAATTTTGAATGGAATACATCAAAAGATAACATCCTCCGATCACAAAACGTGTATGATCATAATGTCATCAAAACTAACAGTATTCGCACTAATCATATTGTCAAGTAATTGCTATCTTATTGTTTTGTATTTCTGCTAAAATAATATGATATTACGCCATGGTGAAAACTTTAAGTTTAGCTATCCTTATAGACCAATGAAATGGGGTTTTTGAAAAAATAATTTAAAGTGTCGATAAGAAACTTATAATAAATGACATAAAAAAGCTTTGCAAGTATCATTGCTATCACCAATGTCTTGCTGAGATTTAGAGCAATACAAATATAATTTTAGAAGGCTGATTACAATAAGACAGTTCATTTCCATTTTGAAAGGGAGAATAAAGAAAGTCTTGGAGATGATAAGTTGTTTTTGTCCCAAAGTTAATTTGTTAAAGTCACTCAAAGATAACGCCATTAGTTATCATATGTACTCCTCATCTTCAACAATTACTCTTCACTAGAGGTGAAGTTTCATACGTGTGCTTTTAGCACATTAATAATATATAGTCCTTTGGCCAAACTGTTTTTTTGACTATATCTTTTGCTACCTTGAATTCTACTATCACTGCAATGACTTCAAAATTAACCTTGAAAACCACCTCATAACTCACACAGAACTTATCGCCCAAAAAAATAAACAAGTATTTTAATATGCTTCTATAAATGTCATGGTTGTCTCAAATGATTGGTTGTGCCCAAGCTTGTAATCTCTTTAGATAGCTAGTATAAACTTTAAGGTGTTAATCTTGATAAGCTAATTTAAGTTATCACTGTGATTATGCGATCTACGAATGTTAAAATTTTGTCGTTTTAAATATGTTAGAAACTATTTTCCAGAACTGGCCTAAAGAACTGTTCAAAAATTTCCATTACTTCCTTTGAAATTGTCTCACTTCATATATCTAAGCACTTCCGAATGCATAGTACTGTACGTATCACATATGATTAGTTATATGACTCGGATGCCCTGATCGATCGGCTATATAGTACAGAAGAAAGCCCGTTAATAAAATAATGCTATTTTAGAGAATCAATAGGTAGACAGATCAGATGAGTACCATACATGAAAGATGTTAAAAATAACAATCTCAAATATAAATGTAATACTTTATCATTACAAATAATTTGATAATGTGTAGGAAAAGATCGAGGAGCTTTAAATTATGAGGTATTTCCCATTTCCATCATATAGTGGTAATTGAAGGGATCCACACATTACTCAAAGAATTACTGCTGATATGTGGTTAAGTAGTTCGAAGCATGCAAGATTTTTAGTTACATTAATACAAAAGGAAATTAACCATTTAGCTTTTGTTAAAAACTTCTACAATTGCTTGTGAATGCTTGGAGAAAAAGCGTTTTAACAATTAATGTATCAAGACATCGATTTTCTATAGAATTGAGATCTGGCATTCCAAGGACAATATTAATACTCAACAAAAAACTGACATGCAGCAGATTCCTATACAAAGAATAAATTATAAAGTAACAAAATCAATTTGGAAAAACTATGTTAAATTTCTTTGATATTAAATATATTTCCTAGTAATTTTAAGGTAGGTAATGCAATACCATTTACATAGAAAGAACTTCGGTAGGTAGAATAATACATCTATTAATTCGATTTTGTCAATGAACCAAATAGATTATGCTACTGAATAAATGATCAAAAACATCGGATATAAAGATATATATGTATAAATCAAATACTAGTTTTTATGAGGTTTATAATATATTGCTGCTATAAAATTTTATATATGAACATACAAAGGATATATAAT